AGTAGTAGTAGTAGTAGTAGTAGTAGTAGTAGTAGTAGTAGTAGTAGTAGTAGTAGTAGTAGTAGTAGTAGTAGTAGAAAAACTAAGTTCGCAATTCTACCCATGCTGAGGTCCCCGGATCAGCGGTCGTTCTGCGAGTGTTGCTGCGCCCCCTGCGCCCACGTCCCCCCCCGTGGTCGTCCCCCGGCCCTCTCGTTCGCTCCTTCGGGAGTACTCTGGCCCTATCATCACCCTTGACAACGGCGGTCCCTCTGATCCTGCCGTGCAGGATGAGAGGTCTCCTGCGCTGGCCATAGGTAGAGACCTTTTCTCTACCCACGACGAGCTGCGACTCCTACCTCTATTGACCTGGCTGTGGATATGTCAGAAGACAACTCTACTAGAACTGGAATTGATATTGAGGATGGTGGTTTCGAGATCACAGACGACGAGAGAGACGAGGAAGAGATTAACGTGGCAAGATGTGACCTGTGCGAATTAAATTCCCGCCTATAAGGATTTCATTCATTACTGTTGGTATCACCAGCTAGGTCCTGTGTACACAGTTAAGTAAACAGTATGTATGTTCGTAAGCAAAGGGCAATTTTGATTCGTGTAAGATAGATGTTCGTGTTCAGTCTAGTTGGAAGTTATCCCTGGATCCTACACGCCTGCCCTCGGCGGTCAGAACACCGGAGCCGCAGCCTGGTGCAAGAATGCGTTCACCAAGCAAGGGATGATATCCGTCCGTCGCCAGCAGCAAGTTACCGCTGGCTTGTTCAGAGAGAGGGCTATATCCTGACAATTACTTAATCTTTCGTTCTTGAAGAATGCTCCGGGTTGAAAGAAGAGAGTAGGATCTGTCACATTTCATTGTTAATGCGCTAGACTGAGCATGATGGTCTTACTCTTTGTTTCTCATCAATTCTTTCATTCTGGTCTCTCAATTTCGGGCTTTGTCTTGATCTTACCCGGGTCATCGCACGGTGGTCAATGGGATTGTCTGTCTACATCTAGCCCAAAGGAGGTTGGAGAAACTTTGCTGGGAAGTATAAACTAGAACAAACAATTCCAAATTCAATCAATTTGGGAACTTCTTTACCTACAACGCAGCTCACCGGGAGGTCTCTCATTTTATCTATGCTCGCTTGAAAGTACCTGAGATGAAACTAGTGGGGTCAAGATTTAAAAGGAGATGTGCCCCCTCTATAGGCTGTATGCTTATCCTTTTTCTAATAATTTATGATCCGTCGATACTCAATACATTGGTCTCGCAATGTCTTCCTCGGGCATTCAGAAGCTCCCGGTAGAGCTTATATTGGAATGTGTCGATTTCGTGGATCATGTTAGTGTCAGCAGACTGTCAGCGACCTGCAAGGACTTCTACAACATTTTGAAAACCACTACTCAGCAGTTAGCGACACATTATGCTTTACTTCCCACGGAGCGGGCACCGCGGTGTCCCGAGAAGGAGGAGTGTTTTCGAGGTTATTGTACCTTTCCAAGTCCGTCCAAATCTTATATCGAGATGGCTGTTATCGAGAATCGCCTTGGCTCGCATTGGGCTTTCTTAAACACAGGGACAGACCCTGACACCATGGGCACCGGCGACGTTCACCTACTGGGTACGGCGATCTAGAACAACCGGTTCGACGCCATCAACATTCTGTTGGAGCATAAGGTGGATCTGAGCCTGGAATTGCGAAAGTGGCCATTATCTGAGATTGTTCAGAATTTGCATCCGACGCCAGTAGCGTATGCTGCCACTTCTGGGTGGTGTTCAAACTTCAAATTCGACCGCGATCCCTTTTACATCTACAACTGTTATCCCGAGGAACTTGATATACTGTCTCTACTATTGAGGACTGGCTGTCCGGTGCAAGACCTAGGCGACTTGAGCTGTATTACGAAGAGATCTGATAAAATGGAACTTCTGGAATTTTGGCTTCAAAATGGATTCAAAATCAATGAAGGTATAGGAGCGAAATTGACGATTCTGGGCTGGTGGGAGACGTTGGCAGTGTGTGGGCGGTTATATCTCGACGAAGTTGACGATGAGGGGATAGAATTTCTCAAAAATCTCCTCGAGAAACATCCTGAGCTGCTTTCTAGGACCGACGACCCATCTGAGGGTACCCTCGTCTTTCGCGCGATAAGCAAATACGCAAGGGCATAGTTGAGATTCTCCTCAAACATGGCGTTGAGGTTGGAGGAACAATACTGGTTTATGGTTCGGAACTAGATTTTCTAGAACATATGATGTCGTTCTGTTGGAGTTTGCCTGATAGTGCTTGGAAGGGTGCGCGCTAGGTGGAAGAATAAAAAGTCAAGTGGCGAACCCTGGCGCCGCTGCTCGAAATGAGGCTTCAACTGACCTACTATGACTTCTAGGGGTTATGTTCAGTGCTGTTCACTTACCTCTCCTAGAAGACTCTATCCAAGATATTCTATTACAGCGGGCTGCCATGTCTCGGGCCTTATAGAGGAGAATCATAATTCCGTCCTTCGACTATAGAACTTGTGTTATTCTATTATACTTTTCTTTAACTGGTACTAGTTTTCTACCTCGTATGTTTTCTACATAGTCATTGTAGAGGACTACTTGACTATATGCTCGTAGGTTCCTGTTTAACGAGTTTCTCGAGACCAATTCTTTGGACCTGTTGGATCGAGATCTGTTCGATAAAGGCGTATTGAATCCATAGCTTTTGATCCATGTCCATTCGATTCACTCCTCCGATAGATATTTTAAGGGAACATAAGTGATCTGAATCACCAAATCTTTTCTAATCAAGGCTATTGCCCATTCACACCCGCCTGAGTAACAGAATACAGTCCCACACACACACCGCCGCTATAGACATTACAGATCTTGCCCGTACTTGAGCGCCAGGGCCCAAGGCCAAGAAAACAACCATTGGTAGTATAATAACAGCCAACCATCAGACTCCCATGGGCAATTTGATCCTCGTCGCCGATGAGATCGAATTCAACTTGTCGTGCAAATGGCTGGAGCACGTAGGATGTAACGTCTGGTCGGATGCTCGGATCTTGCATATCCAGCATGATAGCCGCCCATTCTTGCGGAGATAAGTCCGCTCCGAGGAGATGACCCTTACCGCGACTTTGGCGAGCTGCTTTGAGGATGTAGTCGTCTTTGCTCACTTCGCTTTGTTTGTAGGTCCGCATCCAGTTCTTGAGTTCTGGGGATCCTGGTAGGAGTGTGGGGACTATGCCTTCTTGGAGGGTTTTGGCTTGGTCTGCGTTCAGGATATTGTGTTTATTCACAAGCGCGTCGAGCTCTTGTAAAATAATGCCTAGGAATCGTTGGTCGTTCACTAGTAGTGATATTCTCAGATCGTTCACAGCCACCGTCGCCAGCTGCCGAAGCATATCTTGTGAAAGAAGACTGAACTCATCCGGGAATAACGTCGAGACTATTTGATGAATCTTTTCAAGCGGGTCCTGTCCTCGGTAATAGAGAGAATAGCCCGTGACAGAAGTCTTGTCGGATCTCAGCTGTAGATCGTCTATATTCACAATTCGGGGGCAGAATCCAGTTCCAAGTTTCACCGTCTTCACGAATTCCTGTCGATCGAGTTGATCTCTTTCTCGGAGAATATGGACCGGTAGGTCTATCCGAAACAAACCGAGTAAGTTTTCTACCCAATTGTCGAAGTCGCCTGCTGGTTTCAGGGCAGGGCTCGACCTTATTAACTGGCGCATAATACGGTGTTTGTGTGCGCTGTGGACGACTACATTGTCGGGCGTGCGGCTGTTGATCTCACAAATTTGAAATTCAAGACCCATGGCGCTGTCATTTTCAGTAACAAGAAAATCAGGTCTCCAGTTTCCGAGACGGTCTTTGAACGGCGGCAACTTTTGACTCCGACTTTGTTCATCTAGCCACTACATTATCGATTAACATGACCAGGTCTCGGTGTTAGAAACGCGAAGCAACGTCGCTCACCTGTAGCGCTGCTTCCACGGGAGCTTCCAGGGGCATTCTGGCCGGAAAATCGGCATTAGTGTCTGTCCACCATCGATCGACAATATTCACGACAGCCTTGACGAGCGCGCCGTGAAAACACTCCACATCCAGAATAAACTTCGAATCGGTTAATATTGGATGAGGCGACAGGGCCTCGTGCCTTGGGCTATACCCAGGCTGATCGATGGGGGGAATGAGTTTGCGATAAGCTTCGGCCTCATGGCTTCGATCTTCCTTGTTGGTGTCAATTGCAGGCATTGGCTGCCCAGTGGCATCGATGACTGACCAACAGACTTGCTCGTGATTAGGCCGATTGGGAAGGCTGCCCATTTTGAGGGTTTGCGGGAGACTGTCACGACATTGACGAGCAGCGATATGTTTCGAGAGACAACAGCAGCGTCATAGGAGGTTAAGAGAAATTTAAAGTCGGTTTCATGCCTTCCGCATTTGTGTCAAACATTTTAAGTTGCATGACATAAAGTTAGAGGAGATACAGTCCACGGCAACATCTTTGAATCTCTACCGCATGCGACGTCGTACTGTCTGAACTGCTCATAGACGCCCAATCAGTGGCGGCGGTCTCATCCCTCGCTCACTCTAACTTAGATTGGCTCGTAATTGTAAGTTTGTAACCAATAGACCATGATTCGGTGGATCCGTTTGGCATGAAGGCGAGTATGCTGGATTCTTCCCGAAACGGCGGGTCGAGAATGGGTCAAGGTGTCATCCATCCCTTTCTTCCAGAACCCCGGACGGACTGAACATGACAGTTGCTGAATGCGTCCAAAACTTTTCCCGCCAGATTACCTCTGAGAAGAACCGTCGCAATCGAATATAACAGAGCTAGAGCCAATATGCTCGCTTCCCATTCGGATTCGGTGCCGTTTCCTCTGCTCAGCCCATTAACGTGGATGTGAATCTACCATGGCCAACATCGATCCGTTCCTCCGCATGCCCCAGATCTGTTTGGCGGCCTCGAGAAAGGCTGGTAAGCTATCTTCGCCAGAAGATTTGTCGTATGACGAAAGAAGGCACTGTGAAGAGACCTACCATACGGCTCTCATCCACCACCTGGGAGGGGAGCATATACTTCCATATTCTCTGAAATATATGTGTCCACATCCAGTGCTGGTTCCCAATAGGTTTATATCTTCGCTGAAGGAGTTCCATGTTGCACTTGCAACTGCGTTGACAAATATTGTGCAACGTTGGGTTGTCGACGAGTCGGACTTGCCATCGCGCATGCCGCTCGAAAGAAATGAAGAGGACATTCTGAGGGTATTGAACTGGTTACCCCCTTAATTCGAGTAGGCTTCAAGTCCTCTAACGACTGGAATAGTGGATACACGAACTCACCGAAAAGAAACTATTTCCCGCATACGAAGGCCATCAGGGGAATTGGCGACCCGACTTCCTGCTTCCCAGGGATAAGGACGGATTCCAAGTCTGCGAAATCAATTCCCGGTTCCCATCCAACGGCATCGATTTGACCGCATTGATCTATAAGTCTCTGGATGATTCAAAGATCAAGCCCCCTGATCTTGGAGTAGCTGGAGACCCTGAGCACATGTTGAGCCGTCTGACTGCGCTGTTTCACTCAACGCAAGCGCGATCTCTTCACTTTGTTCAGAATGAGGAAAATCACCCGATGGTCGAAAGCCTTATGAGATTTCTGGGCGATTTGAATCCACGACTTTTGAAACCTGACGACCTGCGTCTCGTATCTGATAAGACCTCGCCGACTGGGTATAAACTCCAATCTGCCGATATGGAGGACATTCAACAGGTGGCACTCCGCCTGTTTACTCGGGAATTGGCGTCTCTCTCTCCCGAGATGCAGCGACAGCTAGCGTTTCTTAGCAGCAACGACATTCGGTCGATGTTTTTGATTCATGATAAACGGATCTTGGGGATCCTGCACCAGGAATTAAACGACCTAGTGAATAAGCATCGTGTCTTGTCACGAAGACAGGCTGACATGTTGCGGGAACATGCTATTTTCACTATCCTCCCTGGATCAAAAGAGCTACAGGAGCTCAGCGATTCATATTATCAAGGAAAGGTGTCCAAGGATGATTTTATTCTCAAGCCCATCCGGTCGGGCCGCGGACAAGGTATCGCTTTTGGCGAAGACTTGAGCATCTCCGAGTGGGAGGCTATCCTTGCCGATATGAAGAAGCCAGAAATAACAATCCCTAATCGGACAGTGTACGTCATTCAGCCTGTTGTAGATCAGGCCGAAGGGAACATGTTCCTAAATGAGGAGGCCGGGGTCCAGCCAGTGCAGCGGGTGGGCACATATCACAGCATGCATGGTGAATTTGCGGCATTAGGGGCGTGGAGGGTTGGAGTCTCAGCCAACCGAACGACCAACATGGCTATGGGAGATGCTTGGAAGATGGGTAGTGTCGTGATGAAAATGAACTAGTTTGTCCATCCCATATGATGAGATCGAATGCCTTATCATTTGGGTAATTATGCCATTTTCGAAGTGATTCAGGCCTCACGTAGACATGTGCTTAGTGAGACAACATGTAACTCAAAGCACCGTGTAGCGAACAACATATGAATGTTGAAATTATAAGGCGAAAGTTTTCTCCGGTCAGCTTGCATGACAATCAAATTCCCATTATGCTCGTGATTGTTATACAGACCAAGTAATGCGGGCTGTGTAATCACGGTCTGTGCACTACAGATGTCATCATTGACTCCTAGGCCGTTTCCCAATTCCATTAAGATTTCTAGCTGATAATCTTTTGAGTTGGATCTAAGCGTTGAACAACACATCACACGGCATTCTTCATCCTTGAATCATAACTGCCGTGCGACTAGAGTTTCTACAGCAGTTATCAGCCGAGGCAGCACGTTCTTCGCCATGAATTTCTGCCTCTTAGATACCGTCACAATTAGGCTTCTACTTACCTCGCCTAAATTCTCACTCATGAATGGTCACATCGGCAACAGGTCCATCTTGCGGGGAATATCCCTGATCTTCAGAACCCCGCCTACGAAGAATAGCCTCTGCCAACCAGCGGACAGAGTGGGGGACGATCCCCGAAACGATCGTTCTTGGGACTTGAATTGTGGATTCATCGTAGTCGTACAGATTGGTCGGTTGGGTCGGTTAGACAAACCTGCATGTCTCGTCCTGTTTTTGCGTCGTTGCATAGATAACACCTTTTGTCTTGGCTGGTTGGGCGCGGATGGGTTATTTCTGTGCCTGTTTTCCAGTTTCGCCAACTTGAAGTGTAGAGTAGAGGGGTTTGATGAACGGATTTTCTCCCAGTCGACTGAGATAGAACAAACTATGAATGACGCAGACCATAAATCGAAGTTATCGGTCGAGCAAGATGAAAGTATCTCGTCTGTTCCGCCTTCCTCTGAAGTGACTGAGAAGCAGTCGCTATTGTCCTCGGTCAAACAGTCCCCAAGAGTAGCTGCATATTGTCTTGCTTTGACATTCGGAATCCTTCTATATGGATATGACCTCGTCATCGTGGGCAATGTCTCGTCGATGCCTGAATTTCAGTACGCATCTATCCCTCACAATCATTATCTGGGATCCATTCTAACCCCGGTAGACGAGACTTCGGTCGCAAACTGAACGGCAGCCTGATCATCCCCTCCCTCTGGCTCGGTCTCTGGAACGTCGGCAACCCTATCGGCGGAATCTTCGGTTCCCTCCTCGCAGGCTTTGTCCAGGATCGAACCGGTCGTCGGTTTGCCCTCGCCCTCGCAAGCATTATCTCCGCCATCGGCGTCGCAGTAGCTTACGTCTCGAACCTCCCCGACGGCATCGACGCCCGACGGTCTGTTTTCTTGGTGGCGAAAATCATACAGGGCTTCGCCGTGAATATGATTATGTGCACGACGCAGACATACATGTCCGAGGTCCTGCCGCCTATGCTGCGCGGTCCCATATTGGCGTTTTTTCCGCTCTTCATGCTTCTAGGTCAGTTAATTGGTAGCGTCGTTGTGTTTACATCCCTGGATGTCCCTGGCCCGAGCGGTTACCTGAGGTGTATTATCTCACAGTGGCCGTTCTCGGCGATTCCGTTGCTCGTGGCCGTGTTTCTGCCCGAGAGTCCGACGTATCTTGTAAGACGAGATCAAATTGATGATGCGTGCAAAGCGCAGCGTCGGCTGGATTCGTCCGCCGTGGACTCGGACGCCAGCGTCGAGCAGCTGCGTCTGTCACTTCAGTTGGAGAGAGAGATGTCAGGAGACCAGGCTGCTGCAACGGGATATATTGATTGTTTCCGGGGCGTGAACCGTCGGCGCACGATGATCGTCTTGTTCGCGAATCTTGTCCCGCAGCTGTTTGGGCTGACGCTGTTGGCTAAATCGAGCTATTTCCTGCAAACCGTGGGCATGGATGCGACTAATAGTCTCCTTTTCCTGCAAGTCGGCATCGCGCTGGGTCTGGTCGCTAATATAGTCAGTATGTGGACGTTGACGAGATTCGGCCGCGTGCCTCTCCTTCTGTTTGGCCTGTTCATCTCAACGATCCTCTGGACGGGAATGGGCATCCTCGGTTGCTTTCAAGGGATAGTTACAGTCTGGTACGTTCTCTTGTCCTCGCTCTCACATTCGTCTCTTCGAGCGCTGATAACTGATCTTCGTGGGCAGGTGGTCCGCCGTAACCCTCATGCTGGTGATAATGATCTGTGGTCTCAGCACCTGGCCCGCCTCGTACGTCGTGGCAGCCGAAACCTCGGCGCTGTGTCTGCGTTCCAAAACGCAGGGTCTAGGATGGTTAGTGAATGGCCTCTCCAACGGCATCTTCGGGCTCGTGTTGCCCTACATTTTCAACCCCGACGAGGGCGCGCTGCGTGCGAAAACGGGGTTCGTGTATACGGGCTTTTGCGTCCTGGCGCTAGTGGGCACGTGGTTATTTGTTCCGGAGATGAAAGATCGAAGACCCATGGAGATTGATAGGATGTTTGAGATGGAGCTGTCCACGAGGAAGTTTAAGGGCTGGGTTGAAGAGAGGACAGACTCTGCTTGATGAGGGTGAGATAGGAACGCGTGATATCAGATCATCCAAATATCCAAAAGAACAAAAAAAGGTATCGTGAATTCAAGGCTGTATATACATAATTTTTTGCGTTTCTTTTTCGCCGTATGCAGAATAGCATTTGAAGCATTGCAGGGGTTGTTTATAACATAAGGATAGTTTTGGGTTCACATCATGAGAGTGGCTGGGCTGGTCCAAGGCTTCAGACTGCCAAAACCAACTTCAATTTTATAATAGCGTCAAGCGCTTCCAATCGCCAATGCTAATGACCGCACATTTTAGACGCCAAAGTCCTTTCCATAAAATCATAATAATCGGTTGTATAACCAAGTTTGATGTATGTGTCGGTCGATGAAAGATTAGGAATCTAGAGCCTCGGCAGGCTCGGTCTTAGCAGGCTCGGCAGGCTCGGCAGGCTCAGCAGGCTGAATAGCCTTGTTTTTACCCTTCTTATAAACTCGCTCGTCGTTCGGGTCAAAACCACCATTACCCCATTGGGCCCATTCCTCGGTCTCTCTCATGTAATCCTCAGGGGTGAAAGAGGTACCATCGGCCTTCTCTTTCTCGAGCAACTCGAAGAAGCGATCATAGTCGATGCGAGAGTGCCACTTACCATTAACGTGGAATCGCTCCGACGCAATCAACACGCAGCAACTGTGTGCGTGCTCTGCAGCAATGCCGTAATTGAGACCACGGCGTTCCAGTTCCTTGTTGAGGGCAACAACGAAGGCGGCAATCTCTTCGTAGAAGGGAACGTTCTGCATGGTCAGACCGGCACCGGCGCTGGTGCTGGTGCCACAGTACGTTACACCCTTGATCTCGACAAAGCACGGCAACGCCTTCTCAACGAGGTTGGCGTATCCGATGACTTCGTCGTCGACGTTAAAGCCCTTGACCAACGTGAGACGGAAAACGGTGCGCTGCACGTGACGCTTTTCGCGCAAGATGTCCAGGCAGCGCTGGAATCGCTCCCAGAAATCGCGGTGCAAGGGGCGATCGATCTTACGCAGACTCTCTCGGTTGCTTGCATCGATGGACACGTACAGTTGCGTGACACGCTTCAGGTTCTCCAGCTGATCCGGGTGCTGGGCGTTACACACGAGGAAACTGGAAATGTGTTCCGCGTGCAACATCTCCAGGAACGCGTTGATGTGCGGGTAGAAGATGGGCTCGCCGACCAGACTGAGGGCACAGTGACGGATACGCATGGCCTCCGCAAATCTCTCAGCGCGGACACCAGGCACACCACGCATCATCTTGATCTTCTTGTAGTGGCCTTCTTTCACACCTTGGAAAATGAGCTCGGGAGAATCCACCTTCCAGCGCCAGGTGGTTCCGACGGGATTGGTGCCGTGTCGCCAGCAGAAAATACACTTGTTGCTGCAGGAGAGCGACGGGGTCGCCTCCATACAAAGATGAGATCGAATACCATAGAAAGAATACTTGTAGCACGAACCGCGGCCACGTAGGGCAGACTTGGTCCAACGGCAAATCTTCACGCCGGAGTGCGAGCCCACAATCGTATAGCCCTGCTTCGTCAACGCGGCGTAAGTGGGCGACGTCTTGGGAACCATTTCTTTTCCAGTCGATTGGCTATTCGGCGCGGGATCTTTGCCGCCAGTGGTGAAGTCAACAGGAATGGGTGAGCCCGATCCTCCTTGAGAGTCCGCAGACATTTTGATATCTTCCAGGTCCACCACGGTCTGGGCCTTCTTCCGGCTCTTCGGCTTGCCCTCGTCCGAGAAATCGTCCACGTCCTCTTCGTCACTCTCCAGGGCGTCGCCACTGCCGGGAACACCTTCGCCCAGACTGCCGTTTTTCAGAATATCGGACAAAATGTCCTGCAATCCCTGCGACCACTCTTTCAGCGCAGACTCGGCGTCGCTCTTTACATCACCCAAGCCGAGAGGATAAGCCCGCTTCCGACCGGTGAGTTTGGCCATCCATCGGTCGAGCTCCTTAGCCTGAGAGCAGAAGCCTTCCTCTTCCGTGGGCCAACCTTCCTTGTCACCGAATCCGAAGACGGAGAAGCCGGCCAAGGTCGACAACGAGCCGGTGTCGATGCGGAAATCGTGGTGAGTCTCCTCCAGGTGGCCCAGGAAGGTGTTGAGAACAGTATCGATGTTATAAGTCGGAATCAACAAGCAGTACAGGTAGCGAGTTCCCGGGGAGTTTGCGGGAGGCTTGGGGGCCGTCGTAAAGTAGTCGTCGAAGTCAATGTAAGACAAGTCCTCCAGCTTAGGCGGAAGGATACCGCGCTCGCGATTCTCGGGATCGGCCTGTTTTTGCGCAGCAGCACGCAGATCCTCCATCAACACCTGGGCATATCTCTCGGTGGTGGCAGTCAACGAGGCATAGAAGACGATGGGCTGAATGAAGGACAAAGGCGTTCCCTGATCCGATCCTCCACGTCTTCCCGCAACCTTCAGTGGTTTCTTTCCAGACACCCTCTTAGGGCCAGAGGCAGGTTTCTTAGATGTCTCATTGTTCGCAAGAGCCTGGATGTCCTTCTTCTCCGTCGTCTGCGGTTTCGTGTCTCCGAGCTTCTCTTTCTCAGCTTTTCCGGGGGACTGGCTGCGGGGCGAGGACGGAATTGACGAGGCGGAGGCAGTTTTCGATTTAGGTTGGACGGTGCGATAGACTCGAGCGACGATAAAGATAGCGAATAGGGCCACGAATAAATGGATACGGTACGAGTGCCAGAAGGTCAATAGACCTAAAGTTCAGGTCATGAGTTAGCTACTGAGTACCAATGGACTATAAGCCAACACCGATCGTTGGAAAGTATACCTTCGGTCAAAGACCACGTTTCCATCATTATGAGTAAACTTCAGTCGGTCGCTTAATATTTTTAAGGGGCAAAGAAGATATATGAGCGCGTATGAAGCGCGGTCGAAATTCAAGAGGGGCAATGGAGGGGAGCCCTGTGAGGCATCGCAGACACCGTTCCTGGGACCTTGGTGGAATGCAGCTGCCGTGTCTAAGCACAGGGGGCGTTAATGCGCCGGGAGGTCAATATCCAAGATAGTCCAACACTATCAGCGACCGTAATGAAACCGTCGAGGGAGAGGTCGAAGTTGAAGCATTTCGGCAGTCAAAAGACCGCGGATTGATATGGCGCTGACTAAGCCACCACAGGGATTTTTGCGGTTTAAAATCTCCGCGCTGATTGGCTCCCGCATCGGTTCTTGCCAAGACCGCCAAGACTAGCTGTTGCTGACTCATCCGCTCTCGTCTTTTTTATTTTTGTATTATCGTCTTCATTTTATCTACTTTACATTTTCCTGTTTTTCCTATAGAATGAATTCTTAACATCTTCCATGACTAACGTCATTCGGTTACACATTCACACGATTCAAGAACAATGGCTGATCAAACATGCATGCAGCGCTCTCTAAGCGCTTGGCCCAGAGACCTAGTTACTTCTGTGTAGTTGATTGACACATCACATCTTACCAAGATCCTCATGGATAATTCTCCGTACTGAGAAATCTCAAGCCACTTCTTCTGAACCTTTCATCCGGTCGAAATGTGCCAGGACTATCAAGTCTTCCTCGTCAAGTTCCACCTCGGTATCCAGGACCCCGACATCCCCGGCGAGCGACAGCATACGACCATCTTTGTCCAGACCAGCGAAGATGGCAGCGGCACCATTCACCAAGTGACCGGCGATGTCACTGCCTCGGATGGAATGTATTATTTCCCAGCGCCTGCTGATGATCCAACCTGCTCGGAGGACTTTCGTTCGAGTCAGAAGTTAGGCGTCACGCCGACCGCTAGCCATCCTGATCAATGGAATCAAGTGCTCGGAAGTCTGCCCGCACCGCCTCAGCAAAAGGCATTTAATTTGAGCACCATGAGAACGGAACCGTTCAAGACAAAAGATCCGTTGACTTTCTATCGCCCTGGAGAACCTAGGAAGCCTTTGGTGAAGTGCACCGAGTGGACGATGGAGAGTGCCATCCCAACTCTCGAGTCGAGGGGGCTTCTCCTTCGCCAGGAGGGCAGCTAGACACGGATTGGATACCTTTGGAGCTATGTGCCTTTTGTTTCTTAGTTGGGCTAATTCGTGACTCTGGCTACGTGGTTAACATGATGGTATCTTGAAATTCATGGCTTTCTTATCTCTCATGACGGACTGACCAGCTACGTATCCGGTCATAGCTCATAGTTTTCAAATTTCTTTCATTCTCAAACACTGGTATCTACTGCAGAATCTTGTCATACACAAACGCTTCCGAGCAGCCCATTCGCATAACGGCTGGGTCGCCATATTCTCCAGCATTTCGCTTGGTCGCAATAGGAATTAATTCCATGCTTTTTTTACCTCGGCCTGGCTAGTCAAATCAATATCAGTGTTTTTTATCATTTTCTGAATGACTGGATGTCTTGGTCATCTTGGTTATACCGAAATCTCCAAAGACTGTGTGGATTAATCAGCACACTATAACAGACTCGATGTAACGCTACGATAATCTCTCTACGCTACAAATCCAATTATACCCAAGACATTCTCTATTTTTTTTCTAGAAGGGTACACCTAATTTTCTAGATAAATCCTGATAGTATCATACTTTTTTGCACTCGAGGCAGGTGCGATAACGCGAGGTGACACCATCCCTCATCCTTCCGGATCCCAGCCTCCACATTTTCATCTTCACTCCCGTTATATATCCTGTCACACCCTCCTCCACTCTAGCCATCATATCCAACCCATTCCCGACAATGGAGAAACAAGAGCACCTCCTACCCGGAGGGTATCCTCCTTCGTCTAGTTCTCGCAAGACCGAAGTTGAGGCGCCCCATTCCTCGCTGAAACCGTCTTTGCAACATAAAATCTGGGTCCTTCTCCTCAGCTTCTCTCTGGCGGCATTCTTTGTCACTGCGACCAATGCTCTGAAATTGAAGGATCCTCCGTCCATCGAAGAACGGGTAGAGAAAATCTTATCGGGGACTCCGTTGATCGGTAGGTCATCGCGCGTGTGGTGTTTATTCGTTGTCGGCCTTCAGGAATACTGAGTCATGCTTAGATGGCCATGATGATCTTCCCATCTTCATCAGAGCATCTTTCGGAAATCATATCTATCGGGAGAACTTCACGGTCCCGTTTACTCAGGGAAATCTCTCCGGGCATGTTGATATTCCGCGGTTGCAGGAAGGCCGCGTCGGCGGCACCTTCTGGAGCGTGTTCGTGCAGTGTCCCAAGAACTGGAGCGATTTCTCGGACGAGAATTACGCATTGAGTAAGTGTACCTCCATATTGCTGTCAGTTTCTTGTATCTAACCTCAAAACAAGGTATACGTCAGACGATCGAGCAGGTGGACGTGATGTCGCGCCTGCAACAGGCCTATCCGGACACCTTCTCCGAGCCACCCAACGGCACCACGGCCCTGCAGGTCTTCCGGGATGGAAAGATCATCTCGCCGATGGGTATTGAGGGATTGCACTCGATCGGAAACTCGCTGGCCCATCTGCGTCACTTCTATGACCGCGGCGTTTCCTACGCTACGCTCACTCATAATTGTCACAACCGCTATGCCGACGCGGCGCTCGTCGAGCTTCCGGGTGGTGGCATAAAAGTGGCGGATCCCTTGTGGAACGGGGTCAGTGATGCTGGCAAGGAGCTCATCGGGGAGATGAATCGCCTGGGTATGATCGTTGACCTGGCTCATGTTAGCGCGAACACGATGCGGGATGTACTCGGCGGCAAAGACGGCTGGTCTGGCAGTCAGGCTCCGGTGATTTTCAGTCACAGCTCTGCCTACGCCGTCTGTCCGCATCCGAGGAATGTTCCGGATGATGTGCTGGAACTGGTTAAGACCCGGAACTCGATCGTCATGGTCAACTTCTCTCCAGATTTCATTTCCTGCACGGCCTCGAGGGATCCGAACGGCCTCCCTGAGTTCGATCCTGACCATGCGACTCTGGAACATGTGGTGGACCACATCGTCTACATCGGTAACCATATCGGCTTTGATTATGTCGGACTAGGCAGTGATTTCGACGGCATCCCGACCGTGCCACGGGGTCTCGAGGACGTTTCCAAATTCCCCAACTTGATCGGCGAGCTCCTGCGACGCGGTGTCAGCGACGAAGATGCCGCCAAGGTGGCTGGAGGTAACCTGCTGCGAGTGTGGAAGGAAGTTGATCAAGTTGCACTGGAGCTGCAGGCAAAGGGAGTTCATCCGGCGGAGGATGATCTGCCACCTTTGTTCTAACGATTCCAATAAATCCAACACATGGATAACTTCATTCTCACGGAATTATCGCTCCTTTCATGTCTTTCATGTACAAACCCCTTTCCAACTAGAATGTTACCACTCTATAAGTTAAATCCAAGGCAGCGATCTTTCTAAACAATATCCTCTAGACCTCTAATCCATCACACCCTCCCCTCAAATAACCCGAATCCCTTTAACAACGTCCTCCCCTGATCACCCACAAACTTCAATTTGCCCTCATTCCCCTCCACCCCATGCTTGACCTCCTCCTCTGTCGCCCAAACATACTCTTCATGCTCCTCCGGCTCCAACTTCACCCTTTGCTCCCACCCCACTCCCTCCGCCTCCTCCTCCACCTGTACCAGAAACGTAAACTTCACCGCCCGAACCACCTCGTCGCTCTTCACTCTCGTCCATTCATCCACTGCAATGAGATCCACGAATCGCGATACATGGAGTCCGCTCTCTTCGTAGACTTCGCGCGCTGCTCCTGAGAGGATCGAATTGTCTGTTTCTTCGCAGAGACCGCCGGGTCCTTCCCAGAAGCCTGGGAGGGAGTCGTGTTGGGAGCGTTGGAGGAGGAGGACCCATGTTGGTGGGTTTTGTTGGGTGGGTGAATTGGTGGGTGGATTGTTGGTGTTGCATGTAGATGAGTAGATGAGGCCGCCGACTACGAAATGCGTGTATTGGGGATTGGAGGTGCGGAAGGTTGAGAGCGGAAGGGCGTATTGGTGGAGGTGGGGAGAGTGGTTGTATTTGGACGGAAGAGGGGATGGGGGTTGGCTGGTCATGGTGGATAAGTCTTGTTGGAATTGTGGTGATGAAGATATTGAAGATGGTTGATGGAAGGATGAATTCCGTGATAGTTTCTCTGAAAAACATGGAGGGACCGACAAACGGATAGTATCACGTGGGGATCACTATACCCACGGCGTTGTGGGCTTGTATTTATGCAGAATGAAGTATGTCGAAGTTGAAAGAAGAGGTTAGGGGAAGTCATTAGAGCTTTCATTTGGAATTTGGAGTAAATTAAACTGACTACCCGGTATCCAACACTTGACAAGGATCTATGTTCTGCTAATATTCTCTATCTAGGTCTAAAAGTATCTCCCGAATAACTCTACTCTACATGCTATTACATCAAATCAAAAGATCAAAAGGTCGCAGAAGCGCATACACTGCCTCCTGGTGGCCCCGTTGCATAGCCATCGACAAGGCTGTCTGTCCGTACTCGTCTCTGGTCTCCAAATCCTCAAAATCAGCATCGCCCGTTTCTTTGAGCAGACGCTCGATGACAGCCTCGTGGCCATTGGTGCCAGCCCAGATGAGCGGCGTACGGCCGTCCATGTCTCTTGGATTTCGGTCGACAGTCGGCCGTTTCAGCAGGAGGTCTACTACGGCTGCATGACCATACATCGAGGCCCAGCAGAGAGGTGTGCGCGTATACTTGTCCATGCCATTTAGATCAGCCGCGTCGTGTCGGAGTAGACAGTCGACAACGGCTACGTGTCCGTTCTTCGCTGCCCAGAAAAGAGGAGTCTGATCGAAAATATCCTTCGGGTCGGTTCTGGCCTGTCGACTGATCAAAAACTGCACCATTTCTGTCTGTCCCGACCGTGCAGCCCAGAAGAGTGGTGTGTGACCTAGGCGATCTCGGGCGTTTGGATCGGGGTTTCTCTCAATCAGCAGCCTTGCCATTGCCTCGTTTCCGCTCTTAGCTGCCCAGAACAGCGGAGTACGGTTTTCTCTGTCGAAAGGCTCTGGATTCATGCCTTTTGTCGAGAGGAGCAGCTCCGCGATCGCGGTGTTGCCTTTCCGGACTGCCTCGGTCAGTGGTGTCTGTCGGTATCGATCTTCTGAATTCACGTCGGTCTCGTCTCTCAAGAGGAGAGCTCGGGTTATGGCTGTGTTTCCACCGGCAGCAGCCCATGCCAGCGGCGTTCTTCCGTATTGAATGTCCCTGCAGTTTACTTCGGTCTCGCTGCAGGAGCAAAGAAGCCCCACGGTTGATATCTGGGATTGAATCACGGCCCAATGCAATGCTGTTCGACCTTCTTGATCGCGAAGGTTAGGGTCGATCCCTTCTGATAGCAGATCTTCTGTTATTTTGTCCTGATTCTGCTTTACTGCGTCGATCAGACGAATATCTTTCTGGCGTGTCGGGACGACATTCGCAGTCTCCAGCAACGATTTCGGCAGCTTGGGCGCGTAAGTGTTCAGCACCCGCGGTGAATACTGTTCTTCCTCAGTGCCAACTAGGATTCGAAAGGTGGAATCATCTTCAGCCCGAGCATCAAGCCCCGTCAAAGACTTCTCCGAGATTTGCGTCCTGCGATACACATCCCTCAACACAATATCCTCCATACTATCCGCCTTCCCACCAAAAGCACCCTTGATCACCTGCGTCAGCGCAATACAAGTACTGCTAATCCCCGTGATCAACGCGATCATCTGTCCCGTGGATTCCGTAATCCCATCCATCTCCAACTGATTCGCCCTTAGCATCTTTTCTGCCGAAATGATCGCTACCAACGGTCCGGCCAGGTTAATCAGAACCCAATGCACCGCCTTCAGCGAAAACCCAAGACATGTCCGCTCCATGTAGGTCCTTCGGTTCCAGGGTGCCACTAGCCGGGGCCGGAGGAGTGATCGCAGGCCCGAATGCCGTTTCTTCGTCTTATATCGCGATCCGGAACCGACGAAGAACGCCTCCGCCACGATCACGCCCGCGTTACCGAATGCGCGCGCCACGGGGCCTTTTTCCGTCCCTGTGAGTAACTCCACGGTGTGTGCGATGAAAAAGAAGGTGAATATCAGTCCTGTGACTATGGCCATTGTTGTCGCGAACGGTCGCCAGGTTGTGTCATTTAGTTCAAAGGCTCCGAAGAGAGCGCCTTGCGCGATACAAGTGGGCGCTGAGGCTCTATGGAGCCCCGTCAGCCAGAACCAGGCGCCGAAGAAGCTGGTGAACGCGAAGAGCAGGTTCTGTGCGATGAGAGGCACGTCTGGGCGGAGGATATACCCTGTCCAGGTGCTAGTTGAGGACGATTCGCCTTTTTCTAACAGGTTGTAGGATTCGGAGTAGAAGAGGGCGATGGTGAGATAGTAGACTATGAGATAGTCGACCGAGAGGGTGGACCCTTCCGCTGTGTATATGACCAGGGTCAGGATTAGGGAGAAACACAGCACGTTGTTGGCGATGCGCACGGCCGAGATGGTCTCCCAGGAGCCGTTGCAGTTTCGGAGAAGAAGCCCTGCGATCCACTGCAGGTAGAGACCGAGTCGAACGCCCAGGCCGTAGAGATCGCCGTCGCCTTGGGTGGTGCAGTCGGACATTGTTAGTTGGATGTTGGTGGTGTTGGTTTATAGATTCCCTCGCATTTTGACTGTTGAGTGTAACATAAAGAGTGGAAATACGGGGCAAATTCAAAGTCAAGATGGAAATTCGTTCTTTGCTCTTCCTGTTGCGGTGTAGGATTCGCAAGTCGACTGCCACTTGCAGTTGTCACTAAGGCTTAGCCGGTGGGGGCCAGAATTGAAGCTTTTCCCACGTCTGGGCTTGACAACATATTCCATTCGTTAGCAATAACTATTGGAATGAAATGAACAGATCTTGACAGCTGAAGTTGTTGAGAGGCTGGGGTTGGACTGGACACTGATAAAAGTTATGCGACCTTTAAATATTAAAACAATTCAAACTTATAATCTTTTATAAAATAAACTTAGCGCGCCGCAAGAGAGAGGAAATAACTAGATCTCAATATAGAAGGATACAAAACGTTAAGTAGAGAATTCAAACTCAGTTGTAGAGAGAGAGGTCTCTTATATACAAGCTGAATCATTGAGACCTTTTGTCTTGAGTGGGATTCAGGGGTCTCTCCAACAGTGACATCAACATATTCTGGCGGGAGTATTTGACCAGAGCTCCATGATGAATAAGAAGCTCTGCGATTTCCGACTGGCCTTTTGTTGAAGAAGCGAATGTGAGAGCTGTCCACCCGTTCTCATCTTCCAAGTTGACACTCGCCCCTTTGTCGATAAGAAGTTGGGCAAGGGACTTTTGTCTGTATCCGGCAGCCCAAGCCAAAAGTGTTCCGGGTTGGTCGGGCTTCTCTTGATGTAAGAACGTATCCGGATCGAGTCCCTTTCGTAGCATGGACGCAATTGCCTCGGGATAGGACTTTTCGATGGCGAAAGCTATTTCATCCAAGTCCGGACGCTTTGAGAATAAGATACTATCAATCACCCCTTCACGTTGATTGTGAATGGCAAACATCATGGCACTATCGCTATTGATATCCCGAGCTGACTGAGGTATTGGCGCCATTACGGATGAGCGGATTCACAATGGCCACATGGCCAGCAGCAGAAGCCACCATAGGGGGCGTCCGTCCTTCGAGGTTACTGAGTTCGATGTCTGCTCCTCGAAATAGAAGCATAACGACAATATCCTCCCATCCTTGATAGACAGCTAGCCAGAGCGGCGTCTCGAGGTACTTGGACCGCACATCGAGCTCAATTCCGATGATTTTGGATAGCCGTAGAGCAACAAGCAAATTCCCTTTCATGGCGGCATAATGCAGAGGTGCAATTCCCTTCATGTCAAGCTTTTTTTTGTCGCAAGCAGGCAGAATTATCTCTACTACCTCGTCATAGCCGATCTTAGAGGCGAGATGGAGCGCTGGGATATTTTCCTCGAGTAAGGGAAGATTAGATATCTGGTCAATTGCGCTCTCGAGCCCCGTGACTAGTTGCAACAGAGGCACGTGGTGCTCTTTGACCGCCCATCCGAAGAGAGCATGTGTATGTGACAGCTGCGACCGACCTGAGTTCCAGAGATGGATGTTCCAGCTTTCGTTGATTGTCAAGGCCAGTCGAGGAAACTTCTCCCATAGAAAGTCAGAGGCTTTTAGATTCTTGGTGTGCCTGGCCCAGTTCTCTGTTGTGTAATTCAGAAACTTGTATTGTTCCCTCGAGCAGATAGAGTACGGACGTATGGATCGAATAGGTAGAGGGATAGAAGCTTGTTGGAATCTAGTCTTTGGGAAGAGTCGCTTCACCAATTGAGATCCGGTCAAAGTGGCGGCTAACAACGATGCGTCCGGAGCTTTTAGTTGCACAGTGTAGTCTATTGGTTTATCGAGTTGGAGACTGAAGTCAGAGAATGACAGATATGAGATACATAGCTGGCCACAATTATGGTCGACATCTTGAAAGGCTTCCCGAAGTTCCGGAATGGAGGACTGGCTGCGCCGAAGAAATTTGTGTACCGATGAGTGTGCAAAACGAATGCGACTGTCGGTTGAATCCAAGATCAAGAGATTTGCGCATGATCCTAGCAGAAAGTCACTTCTAGGGACTTTCCCTTGTCCCATGCAGTGTCCTCAGCAGTAAAGGCAACCGCTTCCCGAAATCCGTCAATATGTAACGGCCTTACTGCAAAGTTTGCCCAAGTGAGAGACATTATGATCCGTCTATCCTGTAAGTTAATTCTGTTCATGAAACGGCGATAGGTTTCTTCAAGATCTTTCGACAAAGAAGCCAAAGCACGACGAATTTCGGCATCTGTGATGCAGGTATCCCACAGGATCTCGATTTGGAGGTATACCCATAAGAACCTAATTGATCTGTCAATACGAGAATCACTAAGGACTTAAATGGTATCAGAACCGTACATCTCTGAGGATTCGTCAAGTAAGACACTTTCCATTTCCTTGAGAATTTGGTCGCCTTCCGTCAGTCTTCGATAGATCATTTTTGCGGCTAAAGTTTCCTTTATGTAAACCCCAATATCATGTGTGACGTTTAGAGGTCGATATGCGAGAGACTCTGGGGAAGAAGGAGGCTATAGAAAAATTCCCCCCAAGCTGATCTCTGCTAAAGAAGAGCACTTTCGAGCCGCAAGGATCACGAAACAGAGACTGGAAAAGGATTGGAAGGCTTTTGACATGCGCACTCTCGAGAGTATCAAGTCCATCGAGTATGTAAGTGCTGTTGGGCACTAATATGAACAACGATGTAAAAATTCCTTGCAGGGCTTCAAGGTCAGGAGACTGCTTCTCCGGTCCAAAGCAAGTCTGTATCATTGTCTGCACCTCCTTTGGAAACGGGATAGACGTTTGCATCAAGAATCCACACAGCTGTTTAATAAAGCTGGACAGCACGAGGTGTCTTTGATCTGTATCATGTCGAAGTAAAATAAAACAGTGGCACTGTTCTGTTTGGGGGCTCGGGATCTTGATTCTTCAACTACAGTTGTGCTGTCCAACTGTTATTGAACAGTCCGATTAGTCGTAGAGGGCACATACGCGATTATTGTCTTCCCTGATCCAACTGCGGATTTTTAGATAAGTATTTCAAGCAAGCGGCGTTTATTCATTTATGTCCTTGGGGGCACTCACATTTTCCGGAGCACCATAGACAGGGGCTGCCTTTCCCCGAATTCCAAGTCTGGAAGTCCTCATGGTCCAAGAGCCACTGAGTGGTACCAATAATTCTTTTCCGGGAGAGTCTCTGATGAATTTTCTCATGATCATACTTTGTGATTCGACTAAGTATGGTTTCTCCGGCACGGAAATCTAAAGGAAGTAAGACACCAGCTTCAAGAATAAGAGCATCCAAACCTTGACTGAGAGCCCAATTTGTATAGGAGTACATCTTGTCAAGAAAGTTTTTGTTATTCAAGGTCACTGATGCTAGGATTCAGCTTGATCACGTCTCGAACCTGCGAAGAAGAAAAGAAAAACAAAAGAAAAAACTCACGTCCAAGTTCCTTGATAGAAGCTTGCCTGGCTTTAGGTGCAAGTTGAGACTCATGAACCACAGACAGAAGCTCTTTAGAATAAGCTGCTGATGTTAACGAGGCATATCCTTGCCAACTCTTATTCTTCGAAAAGTCCGCGTAATCGCTGATCCCACGAATTACCATGCATGGGAAGCTGCCTCCATTTCAAGGCATAGTATACCATACTGCCGAGCCAATTGATCTCGAACTCTTGCATCTTTGATGACTTGATTCCCAGAAGCAATGAGGCCGTAATGGATTTTGTACGACCTGTTCGAGTCAAGAGTGCCATCGACCGAATTTTTACACGCTTCTTCATTCGGGAAAACTTTGCGATAGAGGTGCTCATTGAGGCAGTTTTCATGTTCGTCTGGCCGCCCAAAAGTCCCTCTTAACATTGGATTTGTTTCATGTACGAAACAAGACTCGATATCATGTTGCCTCTCAACATGTGAGCTGCCTGTAGTCGAGAGATAGCTGTTAAGGGCACCGCGGGTGGTTTATTCAACATTCCTGTCCGGACCAATTGCCCACCACTCACAATCTTGCCAAAGTCATACTGAATGACGCCCCCAAAATCCCTTGTTGGTTTACTGACCACCACATCACCTAGTTGAATATCTGCCTCCGCTCCTGGGACACCTCCACCAATACCTACCATCAGGTCGAACAGAATAGATGGAAATGTAAACTGAATTTGAGTAGCTAGGTTCGCAGCAGATAATATGCCGTAAACATCAGTTGGTAGACAGGCTATCACAACATTGTGCCCATGTACGACCGAGGATGTAAGTATTGTTATCATTCTGTTTAGTGGGAAGATCTGGGTGCCTTTCATCTAACATCACTTCCGCTGCTGCCATATCAACTGGCAAGGCACTTACCCATGCGACTGTATAGTCATCATGGCGAAGCTGCGTCTTTGGAAATTTCATGGCGACAAGCGGGATTGTAAGATTGACTCTTGCAGGGATGAGCGCGCAACAAATTATCGTGGCTCATCACATGACCAAAACAACGCCCTTAGTCTTTGATGCAATTGTGTCAGTCAATGGATCAATTAGGTACTGTCGTATTGACTTATTATAGCCAAGCGATTTCATATAGGCAGGTACATGTTTATTAATAATTACCTGGTATACCCTCTATACCTACTCCAAAGATTCTAAGGACGACTACCTAATGCTTCACTTATATCCCGCTGCAGATGAATACTGCTACATATTATATAACTATCTTTCCAAGATTCTTTCCTTCAGTTTCCTCAGAAAAGAACATCACAACTTGCTCTCCGATGCAATAGTATCCTGCGTCTCCCTGGGGGTCAGAAACTCATCGAAGAAGTCCCCAACCTTTTCATGCTCGTCTAGGCTGATAACAGCAGACACATCTAGTCTTTGTCAGTAGTCATTTTCAATCCTCGGTCTAGAAATCACTTACACTGATCTGGCCGCACAATGACAATGGCTCCCTTCTGAGGGTTGATACCCAGGAGTTCGTAGGCCTGTCCATGGCCTTTGTTATAGCTTTCGTCGTCAAAGTATATCTTGTGCAGGTCTAGATACCTTAGTGAAGTACTTCTTGATGCGGGATGCCTGAACATACCTTTTATTTGGTTCTTTCCGGTGATGGGATAAAAGCACTCGGGGATCTCTTCCAGCTCAATGTCATGACGCTTTCCATGACCCACAAATATGGGCTCTATAAGGCTGTCTATGTCTGAGTTTGTAGGGCGGAAGCGATGGATAGGGCTGCTGTTTGACGCAAGATAGTTTCCGATCTGGTTCACTGTCAGTTTTCAAGTATCAATCGACAGAAGCACATCTTACCTTGCTCAGTCGACTCCTATTCTCAGACGAGCTCAGATCTCCCACAAACGTCATCACTCGCCATCGACCATCCGACTTCAAGGCAGTCATCAGCTGCAACGGCTTGGAGTCACAGAACCGCACCACCTGCGCACTGGGAAGCCTCATGCCCACCACGATATTCGTAGCCAAGGTCGCCGACTCATCCATATCAGACGTGATCATCGACTTCTCATACCTCGCCGTCATTCCAGCTGTATACTTGCCCGATTTCACAAACCCTTCCTGAAACTCAGTCGGCGAGATATCTTCCCCGGACGAGAAAAGCTTAGAGAAATACCGGTCGAAATTGATCAGATCGATCGCCACCTTCTGTCTCTCCAACACATACGTCTCCAGCAACGATGCCGGCGCCAAACCCTTCAACACAGCTGCCAATTTCCACCCCATGTTGTACCCGTCCTGGAGACTCACATTCATCCCCTGTCCTGCCTTCGGCGAATGCGTATGGCACGCATCACCAGCTAGAAATACGCGATAGTCCTTGTGAAACCGATCCGCGTGACGCTGCCCAATCGCGTACGCAGACCACCACACGGTCTCGGTGAACTCGATACTATACTGGCTCAGGATGTTGCGTGCCGCGGTCTGGAGATCTTCCAATTTAACGTCCCTTGCACTCGTCCCGGCCGGAAGCTCGATGTAGAACCGAGTCAGGTTGTCACTGTCGCCTTCTCGAGGTATAATGAGCAGGTTCCCCGCTCGCGACCGAATGCTGGATTTCTTGCGGATGTCCGGGTAGTCGGTTCGCGGTACCATGTCCATCACGCCCCAGACGGCGTCGCTGCTGTCGCCGATCATGTTGTATCCGAGTGCTTTGCGGACGATGCTATGTGCGCCATCGCATGCCTGGACAGGGCAACATAATAGTCATGTTAGTCTTCGCTGTCTCCCGTAACCAGATATGTATGACTAGAGGAGAAGGAAACACATACAAGAACATACTTCGCCTCAAAAACCTCCGTCTCGCCTCCCTCTTTCCGAGCCGTCACTTTCACCGGATACTCTCCTTCCTGCGTGACATCCACATCCAACACCTCCCACCCATACTCCACCCGCTGTCCATTAAACCGCTCCATCGCCTCAATCAACAACCCGTTGATCCGCGCCTGGTTCAAAATAACATGCGGCTGATGCGACAATCCAGACTGCATATCTGCCGTTCGTCCTGTCCGGTAAATCTTCCCTTTGTCGGTACTTGCATTTGCATTTCCATCTGCACTGCCCCCAGTCCCTTTGGTGGCTTGCTCCGCCCAAAACACTACCTCCAACACATGATACGCCTCGCGGAGCAGGTCCTCGCCGATTCCGAAACTCTCGAATATCTCTACCGTTCGGCACTGCACTCCGTCTGCTTGGCCCATTTTCATGGGCCCGGGTCGGCGCTCGAGGATTTTGCAGGGGATTCCGGCTCGTGCGAGCCAGGTTGCCGCGCATAGGCCTGCGGAGCCGGAACCGCTGATTAGGATGGGGGTTTGGGTGGGCATTTCTTCTGTTTTGCTTATCTTCTCTTCTTTTGTTTTGGTGGTTGGTTTATGGTGGGAGGATGTTAGAGGAAGGGAAGGAATGGAGGAAGTAAGTAGGAAGTGTGGAGAGCTGGGGATGTATGAGGGCTCCGGAGTGAATCCCGAAGGGCTCCGGAATCGATTCCAGGGTCGGTTTGTCTGGTCCGTCCGGGATCGACTCCGGGTGTTCCTTCTGGGTCGCCTCAGGACCAAATCCCACGGGGAAGGGACTCTGCAGGTGGAGAGGCGCTTAACACTTTTTCCGGGGTGAGTTTGAGTATTTCCTTTTTCCAGCTTTACAATTAACTAGATGACAGTCTGGAACGTAGGCAAGGGAGCAATTATGGCATCAACGCAAATCATTATTGGACTCTAAAATCGTTATATAGAATGGTCATCACCCCCCATAAACCGAAGAGTATCGCCCATATCCATATTTACTCCCGAACGCCAGCGCCGGTGCATATCATCCCCCTCGTGAGTTACAGTCTGGCCACGAACGCGCCGAGTGAGAAGACAACCATGCAAGGAAACGAATTGTCCCTTTTTTACAAGAAGTACTCGCTGCGGCCCGGCCGCGACGTCGGAACGTGTCGTTGGTCGTCGCTGACCGCGCTGAAGAGTTTGAACGTCGGTCGTAGGTCCTCGCCGATCTCGCATACGGACGCCAGGTTGCCGCATCGGTAGCAGTAGTTCGGGGCGCTCCACACGGTGACCACGTTCTGGTTGGCAAAGTGGTACTTGTATCCCTCGTTTACCAGCTGGTGGGCTCGCGCGATCAGTGTTAGATCGTTGACGTGGCAAAACTCATCGGCCACCTTGTCTCCGAATAGCCATCCTAGACTTCTGTCAGTATCGGTATGGCGGCATCTAAGGGATGCATGTCTTACCGGCTCCTCTGGGGCTGACAGCCCACGTTTCGACGTCGTCGGGGTCGGACCACACCAGGTCACAGAATGCACCTTCGTGGGGGATCTCTTGGGCCCGCGCGACCACTCGCACTTGGTCCAATGTTCGGATCTCCGGACTCAGTCCGCCGTGCACACATAGCACCCTACCATCAATGATAGCGCCGAGCGTCATAAAGTCGAACACCTGACAACAGGCCTTCCACACGGATGCATTACCGTATTTCTGGAAGCACTCCTCGTAGAACCCATACACTTGGGTGATTTGGCGCGATTCGTGGTTGCCGCGCACCAGCGTTACTCGATCGGGGAACCTAATTTCGCTGTCAGATCTGGGGTCGTTCGTATGGGGAAACGGCACACCAACTTCGCCTTCAAGCATAATAACAAAGTCAAGGTCTCCAAACTGAAATATCCTCGATCGACGTAGTCACCCAGAAAGACGAAATTCCGGTTGACTGAGATGTCCGACGATCCGGCACTCGAGGATCGCTCGCGACTCGCATTCGAAGAATCATCGGCCACATCCTCCGAAGCACCTCCCGACTTCCTTAGTTTCTTCCGCAGCTTGGGGTCCGAGATGGTCGACGGCGGTTCGAGGTCGTCGGAGGTGATAACGGATGGCGATGTCTTTGGGGGCTCGACGTCCGATTGGTCGGGCATGCCGCCCGAGACTCGGAAGAGTTCTAGGAGGTCGTAGAATTGGCCGTGGATATCTCCGCAGACGGTGACGGGCGTGGAGACGGGCTGAATGTTCGATTCTGGTGTAGTCCGCAGTGTCAGCCCGGTGGTCGGTCGGGTGTTCCATCTACCAGATCTTACCTTCCATCATGAACTCCTTCACCATCTCACACAGCTGTTTCATATGGGGCTCCGATAGGTATTTGCAGTCTTTCGCGGCCTCGAGCCATTCGTCGGGGCCGGCATTGCGCTTCAACTTGGCCGGCCCTGGTTGAGGGACCTTGCTGTCCACCATCTTCACACAAGCCCGACGGGATCAAGAGATTGGACGACGAGTGAGGGATGGAATTTGAAAGGAAATAGTGACTAGGGTAATGTATAGGACAGTCAGGGGAGGCTGTAAGGGGGTGGTTTCGGGGAGTCCAGATCAAGGACGGGGGTATCTGGAGGAGGATTACAGCGACCTTCCCCGCAGAGCATTTGTTGGCGATGCGCCGGTGGCGTGTGTGGCCGCCCTGCCCCGCCGTAGTCCCTCATTCCGCGGCTTCATCTCTTCGCCGTCCGTCGTCGACCTACTCACATTCATACCTCTACGGGTGAATTGACGGAATCTGACGTGATTTGCGAAACGACCACATGTCTTAACATCTGCTCATTGTGAGCCCTGATCATTCCCCGTCCCTCTTTCATTTTCATTTCTCAGCCTCCCGCCCAACACATCGACTCTTTCCGTACGCCCAACCCACCATGGCGCAGACACCCGCTGGCAAGTCCACTGGAGGTGTCCTCCAGATTCCTGTAGCAGCCACGCAAAAGAACGGTCCCACTGCTCCCAAGAAGCCTCCAAAACCAGCAGCGCCTCGACTCAAATTGCTCGTCAGACGACTCCCTCCCGGCTTGACTCAGGCGGAATTCGAATCCGCAGTTGGGCCTGAATGGAAGCCCGGCGCTGGCAAGGTGGGTTGGTTCCAGTATAAGCCCGGCAAGGTTTCTAAAGAGTGAGTAGTGACATTGTTCGATGAACGTCCCGGTCGGCCATTGTCTAACTCGTTATCAGCCCGGCTAAACCCTCTCGGCCTTCGCGCGCCTACATTCACCTGAATTCAAGCGATCACATCATTCCTCTCTCCACCAAGGTCCGACAGACTTCTTTCATCGATGCTCGCAGTACCTCCAATGATCCTGTCCTCATTGGACCCCCCTCCGTCGAGTATTCCCCATACGCGAAGATCCCCGGCAATCGTGTACGCAAGGACGCTCGTCAAGGAACAATCGATCAAGATCCCGAGTTTATCGCCTTCCTCGAGAGTCTCACCCAGCCCATCGTGAAACCTCCTCCCGCCGAGACTAATGAGGGAGAGGAAAAGAAGGATGCGCCCATCATAACACCCCTGGTGCAGTACATCAGAGAGAAGAAGGCCAACAAGGCAAAGGACTCTTCCAACAAATCGTCGAAACACTCCAAGTCGGACAAGGAAGGAAAATCAGAGAAGGTGCAGGCGAAGAAACTCCTGCAGCGACCGGACAAGGAGACTTCTCAGTCGGGCTCGGCAGAGAAGGGCGAGAAGAGGCCTAAATCCGACAAGGCAACCAAGGAGGCTGTCAAGGCGGCTACCAAACAAGCCGCCAGTGTCTCCAAACAAAGTGGAAAGTCGACCGGGGCGCAGAATTCTCCCAGGGATTCTAGCCAGTCGGCTCCTACCTCTGAGCGCAAGAGAGAACGTGGAACTGTCGCTGCGGCGGCCAAGATCCTGCAGCGTGATCTAGGTCTGGCTCCGTCAGGTGGACGTCGCAGAGGGGGGAAGGCTGCCGCCGCGGCTGCTGCTGCTGCTGCTGCGGCCGCCGAGTCCGATACGCCCAAGGCAGAGCAGGTCTCGGAAACTGGCAAGAAGGATACGTCTACGAAGCCGCCCAAGGGATCATCATCTCAAAATGCAAAAGGTAGAGGTCAGGACGCACAAGCCACCGAACCGTCCTCCTCTCAGAATCAAGCCGAAACAAAGACACCGGCCGCTGCCCCGTCGCAGGGCAAGTCGTCGAGATCTACGAAAGGAAAGCAAGCAGCCCCGCCTACGACTGTGACCGCCACTCAGGCCTTCCTGAAACATGCAAACCCATCGCAGGGCGTCACTGAAACGTTACTCGACACCGCGTTCTCCCCGTTCGGCAAGATCTTGAAGGTCGAGATTGACAAGAAGAAGGGCTTCGGGTACATTGACTTTGCCGAGTCCGATGGACTTCAGAAAGCCATCGCGGCCAGCCCGGTCACCGTGGCGCAAAGTCAGGTTGTCGTGCTGGAACGCAAGGCCAACCCCGGAGGCGAGAAGGGCCGTGGCAAGAATCGCTCGGAGACACAACCTGCCGCCAACGGAGGCGGCGGTGGCACCAGCAGCAACAACAACAATCGCGGTAGTGGTGGTGGTGGTGGTGGTGGAAAGGCAGAAGGGAACACCGGATCGTCTCGCGGATCCCGAGGCGGTCGAGGCAAGAACAAGAGCGGTTCGAAAGGCGGAGGCGGAGGGAGCGGAGGAGCTGGAGGAAGCGGAAATGCCGGTGCAGCGGAGGGCAGGGCGAGTGCAGAGGCGAAGTGAAGAGATGAGATAATGAATGCAATATACCAGACACGATTAGATATTATCATGATACCCGATGACTCCTCCGTACGAGAATCCAAATGCCCACCGCGGTGCGATAGATTAAGATGACTTGGTCGATTCAGCAATGTAGGTGTTGGAGAATAGGATACAGGGTCTCGCCGTACGGGCGAGGGACAGGATAGCGATCGATGAAGGATCATCACGACCACGTGACACCCAAAAGTTGAGACAGAACCTTTTGCATCGGAATAATGTTAATGATCAACGCAGATTTTCTGAGAGCGCGGCACCATTTGCAGAACAATGTCAACCAGGCTAGACCGCTACCTCTTCTACAATACGAGGAACAAAGAACTACTCCGATGAAGATGATTTCAAAAGAAAATGATTTGTATTATTATGCGCGACAGAAAAAATCAAAGAGGGGTATCAAGCAACGGTAGAGCAAATTCCAAATTCCCAAACTATCACCGACATAAAAGTGAAAGAGGGGAGACACCTTTCAGACCTCCTTGACACCCACCAAATCCGACCGACCGAAGTCCGACATCGAGAAAAGGTCAAGATCATCACCACTCCCTGGACCAACGCACCCAGACCCGAAACAAGACCATCTTGCGATAGTTCGTAACAGGGCGAGAAGTGCGCAGTCGAGGCGGGAGTAAAAAGGCTTCACTTTAGGGCATCGAGGACTTAGCAGTCATCAGCAAGGGTGGAGATTCTGTGGCTCTTTAGAAGAGCTCAGTATGAGACGTCTACTCTAAAGTGATTCTTTGAACTGTTGGAGAGAGGAAGGTTAGCAAGATGATTTCTTGTTGTTTTCCTTGAGAATCGGAGGATGATCCCCAAGGTAGGGAGGGGGGGAACTAACGTAGAGTCGCTTGATTTTCATAAGGAAGGGGGATTCGGGGGTATTTATATCTGCGCCGTGGTGGGTGCCGACCGCGCTAGCCACAAGCGAGGTCACCTGTGTTTGTCTGGTTTGTCTGCCCAGCGGGTCCCCCGGTGAAGGTGGCTGGGTCGCTCGTGGTCGTGAGCCGGTCTGGCCAAGGCTTCCGCTCGAGTTTTCTTCACCGGACAGTTTCTGTTATCCAATTGCTTGCTTGCCATTGGGTGAATGGCTTGACTGGTGGGATTCGAGAGGGCCGAGTTCCGAGTACACCGGGCGTGCGGTTTAGACTTCGAAGTTTTTTCTCGTGCGGACAACCTCAGGCAGGAATTGCGACCAAGTCAGCTCGGCCCGACTATCTCGGCTTGCCGACTGAACGGAGTCCAGAGTACATACGGAGGTTACTGTCGTTCAGCAGACCAGCTCAGGATTTCCCTTGATTCCTGACTTTGCGATCATTGATCTATACAATTAATAAGATCCATGAGTCTATTTGGTGAATTTTATCGTGATTTGTAGTGTATTTCGATCCTGCCTAACAGCGTAAAGTTGCATATCCCCCGGCTGTCTTAAGCAAAAAAGATAAGAGTAGTTTAATTCTGCGACCACGCATTGGGTTCACTATTTCAGGGGCTTTGCTATGAGTCTGAACAAGGTCTGCTACAGATCTGCCTGCGCTTGGTCCCTTTTGCTAAGGCAAAGGGGCAACAGACAAAAAAGGAAGCTCCGGGTTTTCCCATAGTAAAGACTGTACAGCCCAAGCCAGTTTCGAACCTAGGCCAGAAAAAAATATCCGATTATGGATATTTACCACTCGGCCAAAAGAAAGAAGTGTATCCACATCTGCGTCTTCCTTTTGCTTATAGAACTATGAATTAATCATCATTATGCACACAGGTACTCTAAAAAGCGTTCTCAATGACAGTATACCAACATGGAAATTGGGTATCTGGGATAAGAAAATGTTCCTCTAATATCTATTGAAGCTATTGAATCTCTAATTTGTCTCAAAGGTCATGGTTTCAGTGTTGGTGGAGGTAAACTAAATGCAAGCCAAATGCAGTGCTAATGTTTGTATTGAACTATTGCGGGTATCACAAAATATATCTTTGATGCTTTCAGATTATGCACCAATACATTCACAACAGCCCTTTATGATAACTATGAGAGTTTCTACTTCAATCTCATACAAGTTAACAAATATAACCAAGCCACACGTGAAGAACGAGGAGAAAAAAAAGGGTTGCCCAAGGCAGCCAGAGGCCACGAGAATCGACGCCTCAGGCATCACCCAGTCACGAGGCCCGAGGATAACCAAACGATCCGGAGCCAATCAGCAAGGCGATCGACGCAGCGATCGACCTCTCCGCATCTGCACCTCGAGGAGACAAAATGATGTGATGCCAACTAGCCGGCCTCCTTGCTTCCTTGCTGCCCCAGAATGTTTATGCAACCTACCAATCACCACCCGCCCTGCCGTTTCTATCATTCTTGAGCCGGGAAGATCGTGGCGGGTCCGCGCCGGTCGAGATGCCTCGGCCCAAGGTGTCACCCGCTAACCGCCTGCGCGCATACGAGGCCTGTCTCGCCTGCCGCGTAACCAAAAAGCGATGTAGCGGTTCATTTCCTTGCGTGGCGTGCATCAAAAACGACAGAGCCGATACTTGCACCCCGTGTAAACGAAAGGACCGACATGCATTGCCTCGTCTGTCGCGAGACAACCGGGGTGGATTGAGTTCCACCACGGTCTCGGTCTCGGAGTCGAGCGGTGCCAGGTCTATGGCTGCTACTGATTTGAATCATTCGGCTGATGCGCCTCGTCCTGATCGCCATGTTACACCTCAGGAATCCACGGATACCGTCGCAGATCCTGGCTCCCCGGAAGCACCGCACAGGACTCACCCGCGGATGTTGCGAAATCTTCAAGGAGAACGAGGTATGGACATCGGATACGTAACTGGAGACCTCCTCGTCGATTAACATATTGGCTTAGTTTTCATTGGCAAGGCTGCCTCGCTATCCTTTTTGCAACTACTTCGTGATACCGTCACCCAATACATCGGACCGTCGCAATTCTCACACAATGTCAGGAGTGAGGATATGCTTGAGACTGAGACACCACGGGATATCCCGGTGTCAATCGGGGACGTGGATGTTGATCAACAGACGGCGTTTATAGCGAATTACCACATTGCTGTAAGTCTCATGAACGTGAACTTCGGACAACGGCGACCGGTGAAACGTAGCTGACGGTATTCGTGCCAAGACGAGCGGGTTCATACACATCCTTTCCGATACAGAGCTGTCGGAGGTTCTCAGTGAACCACTGCAATCCTCAAATAATAGCCCCAGAGCCCACCGGGATCTGAGAGACATCATGATTGCCATCGGTGCTCAGTCGTATAGGAGTAGCTCGGCATCGATCCAGGCCGAGCGCTTTTTCTTCGCACGTGGTCAACGCAGTGCATTTGACAACATGTTAGAAAACCCAAGCCTGGGGCTTGTACGGGTCTTTCTTTTAATGTCGTTTTACATGCTCGGTGCTTGTCGTCGGAACGCAGCGTTTATGTACATTGGCATAGCTGCGCGTGCCGCCGCGGCGCTAGGGCTTCACCTGAACGATTCGTCCGATTCGACTCCAGCAAGTGAGAGACGTCGGAGGTATGATACGAAGAGAACCCGAAACACCCATTCAATACTAACGCCGTCTTTTCTCACACAGAGCCCGTGTATGGATGAGTCTTTGCACTTTGGACCTCCTGGTCAGCTCAATTCTCGGACGGCCTCCCGCAACCACAATCCTACGCTCGGAAAGTCCAGGAAACCAATTCGACGCGAGACAAAAAGATTATTCTCTCGAGGCGAGTCTATTGGCCTCCTTTCATATGTCACAGGTCCTGGACGAGATCATCGTGCGGCTGTATAGCGACAAAACAGCGTCAGCAGAGACGGCCGAATCGCTCCTGGGAAAGCTCAAAGGATGGAGTGAGAACTTACCGGAGTCGTTGCGTACACCTCCGCCAATCGATAGCGAGCCGTTTGCCGCCCAGGAGCGCATCATAGGGTGTCTGCATATCGCATGCTCTTATCACTTTGCCGTCATCATCATCACGAGACCGTTTTTAATATCTGTCCTTGGCGTTCGGCTGGCCCGACTCCAACGTCCTTCCGAGGTTGCCATGGAGGAAGCACTCCTGGAGGATCCAGCGCATTCGAGACTGGCGGGTGCCTGTAAAGATTCGGCTCTGTATATGATCCAAACCTGCATGGAAGTCCACCAGTCGGGGTTGTTGTTAGGAAACATGTGTATCCTGAAGTGAGTGTCCACGTTAGTGCGATTGCGAGGACCAAACTAACTACCGGGTATCCAGAGCCTTTGTCTTTGCCGCAGCACTCGTCCTAGGATTCTCGATTTTCTCACAAAACCACATGGACTCAATTTTGGACGAGGCGTTCAACGGCGCAATTGAGATCCTCCACACCCTATCCCAGCAATCCGCGCAAGCGGCTCATTACTACGAAATTCTCACCTTCCTAAGAAATGCCATCGAACAGAGACGGCGACTCCTGCAGCAAGCGCAACAGAACAACAGTCCCTATGTTAGCAAACTCTTCAGTCTCAACCACCCTAGAGACCAGGCGGACGCGGGAAACAATGCCCCGACCCCTGCAAGTGGCAGTCCTGATATGACAATACCTAATGGAACCTTGGATATGTGGTCACTCATGGATCCGGCCGAGCTGAGTAGTACACTTCCTGCTTGGGATGGCATGGATTTACCCCTATGGGACAGTTTTCCTTTCGCTGCGGCCGGGTTTCAACTACCGGATCGGATGAACGACGCAAACTTGACGCTTTGAAGATGAACGATCTGATTGTATATGTATGTTTAATTATTATGATGTACAGAAGATGGTCATGGCGGGATAATAAGGATGAACCGTGTAAATAAATTTCACGTAATTTACAATACTGGGGTGGATCTCCCTCGCTAGACGCGTGTATATTACAACCACTGTATATGTAAGTTACACACCCGCCTCGCGGGTGGCTCCTTCCTAATCAGGACGAACGGCGTTCCTTCCTTCCCTCACCCTTCAATTCTTGTCTTTTCTTTTCTTCTTCCTCTTCCTCGTCAGGAGGTATTTTACGTCCTCATAGCTGCTTCGTTGACCCGCTACAAATGCATGGCTAACCAATAAGAAAACTCTGTTCAGATGAGGATGCATTGCCCATACAGGTCCAGCAGATCTTTCGAGGCAGAACCATCGTGGGATACCCTTTTTGCACGCTCAACGACGCTGCCGCCAGCCTCGCCAACCAGTTCCCGTGTGCTCTAATGATGCCCACGCGCGTCGGTGGAGGTTGAAGCAGCTCTTCCCACCGATCGATACTCGCAAGCTCGACCGTGGAATCCTCGCTCCACGTTGGCGCATCCCCGTCATCGGAGAGTGGCACGACGGGATTATGGGGATCAGCGGGTCTAGGCGATGGATTCTGCTTGCAGTGGCAGAAGGGTCGCTTCAAGATAGGACTGTCCAGGGCTGCGAGGACATCTAGGTCGCCTACCCAGCTCCCGCCGTCGTACACTCGGACTTGCGCCTCCAGAACATAGACGGTGGTGTCACAAGCCCCGCGGTCCTCGCTGCGAATGGACTCGGAGTACCCGGTAAAAGATAGCTCTAGTTGAGTCTTCGGGAATTTGTCCATCAGGCGACCGTCAAATGCGGCATGTCTGACCGAGAAGGGATCGCATATGTTGGACGGACGGACCATCGGACAAGCTGGGGGAACGAGCAAGACAATTCCTGGATGCCCGATATTTCCGATGAGTCTCTTGATTAGGAAGTTCTTAGACACGGTGTACGGATCGGAGAAAAGTGACGCAGCGGCATATATTGAATCGCCACAAGAAACCGCCATCACACTTTTGTAGCCTGCAGGATCATGGTTGTGCGACCCCGATTCGAAGTATACTATGCATGCGAAAGCGTGCGAACGATCTAACTCCGGCGCCTTCCACTGCGTCCAAAACTCTTCGCCCTCTTTTGGAAGTGTTAGTCTCTGCTTCAATCGTCCTCTGGAGAAATCCAGAAGACGTAGATTACTCAGAATAAGTCCTTCGCTGTGAGGATCTGCTGTGTCAAAAAGCGGCAGGCTGTATGGATCGGGATACTGGAGGTCAAAATCCTCGTTGTCCCAATTCACTCCACCATCATGATAGGGTTGATAATAACGTGGAGATTGTTGAGAGGTATCCTGAGGCTCAGGACGTGGGATCCAGGCTGCTTCATGGAGAGGCAGTGATAAAGACCGGAGGGACAGCTTCGCAGATGGTATATTTTGATATATCTTGGCAGCAGCGCAAACGCCCCTGATAGCCTGGCTGTGTGGATGATCATATGGCAGGCTAACCTGATTCAAAAGGGCCAGGAGTCGTACGATGCTTACTCTGTCGGTCTTGAAAGCAAGGGATAGACTCATTGCTCGCGCGGCCTCGATGTCCTTCCCAGGGGCCCTGGGATACTCTCCTGCAAAATATAGCGCAGCGTATTCGGGGTCCCCGCAGAGAGGATGAAATAATGTCCCCGCATCGTCAGACAGAGTATCGGACTCGGACATCCAGGGAGATTCTTGCGCCAAATCTGGTTGCGCTTTAAGCCAAGTAAACCCAGAGCCGTACTCGGTACGGGAGGTCGAAATTCTCTGGCTGATTGGGTCAAAAACATCTCGGACTTCCAGTTGAGTTCGCCAGCTAATCCATGCCTCTTCTAGCCCCTGCCGGCTTGCAGTGTCAATGTCCTTCTCAAGAGCAATCCATCTACACGGCACGCCTAGGATGTTTCCATTGTAGTCTCGTTTGTTTGAGACAGTAGCAGTGGCCAACGCACAAGTACTGGAATGAGTCCTGAGATAACCTGGAAACTCGTCTGCGAGGGCGAACTTGATTATGAGTTGATTGGGGATCGCAAGGAGCTTGCTCAGGTCCCGGAAAAGCTCAATCTGCTCCTCCAGATTGTTGGATATCAGAGAAATGACCCTCTCATCCGTGAGGCCGAATACAGGCCGCGCTTCCTGTGAGGGCGGCCCAAGAAATCCAGATTGCCTGGTTCCCAGTGCTTGAAGCATCTCATACTGATCTCTTTTAACACCTTCCGCGCAAGTGAATTCATAGGCAGTTCGCGCCAGAAGTATCGGCCAAGTCGGGTTGTACTCATCTAGAATTTCTTCCAAGCGCAATAGAGCTGCGCGATCGTGGTCGATTTGTTCTTCTAGGCCGTTGATCTCCTCCTTTAGCATTTTACGTCTTTCGGTGTAGATAGGCTCCGACAGTGGTTCACGCCTGTCTAATTCGTCGCTGTCGAGAACTTTCATTCTTCGTTTTGTATCTTGTTTCGCCCTCTCTTGGGCATCGATGACTTCCTTATCCGTTTCCAGTCTCTCTTCATCCTGCAAATGGGCTATCCTCTCGAAACATGAATTCATGTCCTTCAAGATCAGGGCTTTCCCTCGGACGAGGAAGGTCCACATCTCGGCCAGGATCTGTATAATTGGATTGGCTCTTCGTGGAGTGGAGTAACCCCAGCCGGCCAAAGCACAGCCAAGAACGACCTGAAGAAGATCAGACATGTGCAACCTCTCCGCGCTTCTACTGATAGTGGCTGTTAGCTCGACCGGCTCGCCATAGAAGCGAAGATGTGCTAAGGGGAGTGACCAGCGAACACCCTCCCCAGGGCCAGGGTTGGCAGCGTTGAGACCAAGGGTTAAAATGCCCGCGTCGGGCATAAGATTATCTTTAAGATCGATCAAGTCACGACCGAGGCTGAGGACATTCAGAGCAGGATAAAGATGCCAGGATGCGAGGCCCAGGAGTACAGCTCCATCGTGGCCCCTCTGGGGCATCCCCTTGATTAAGCTGTTGACTGTTGTCAATGCCAGGGTCCACGCATCCATCACGTTCTCATATGTACCCCTCACACTACTAACGTCGATGTCCAGGTTCTTGACAACGAGCATCAGTTGAGTCTGCTGATAAGCTCGTGCTTCGTCTGCTCGATTCAGCCAAGCTCGGGCACTGGCGTCCCAGTGCGCCAGGTCCTTTCGTGTGATTTCTTGCTGCGATGCCAGCAGAGAAGCCCAGTGCCGGGGCTCCACTGAATCGCACCCTTCCTTGATGATCTGTTTACGCTTTTCGACAATCTCAACCCAGATTGAAGTGGCCTCGTCCGACTTCCACATGCGAGCAAGCATGCAGGCCAGCAAATGCATGGGGATGGCACCGGAGCCAGATGTCGCAGCCGCCCATATTGATGTGCCGTCAGCACCGACCATGTTCTCAAATAAACCATCATCCTTTGACCCCTTGGGATTGATCCCGGGGGCCTCTGAAACCTCGGACACTCGTTTGCCATAAGCACGGATTAATTCGGGGGTCGACGGAATGACGTCCTCGAAAAGCGCACCTAGTCGCCGCGCAATCCGATGATATAAGCCATCTTCTGCGTCCTCCTTGCGACGGGCGGATAATGCGTTCCCGAGCCCCGTGAACTCGGGCGGCGGTTCCATTTTAAATAGCGAGAAGTCGAAATTCAGGTTCGCTAATGCAAGCACATTTTCATTTGATAGGCTGGTTAGAGCCCCTTGGATTTTGCCGATGACACTCATACTGCGGGCGGAAGTGTGTTGGCTACGGTGAGTCGATATGGTGTTGGTGGGAAATATTGCCCAATAGTCGAACTGGAGTTGTTTGTGCTGGAAATAATGCAGAAGGGAACCCTTTTGACAATTCATGGATAGGGGAGAACATGCCAGCTGGCTGAGGGAGTCGAGGCTGAGTCTGCACCTGAATGACCCTGGGCGCTTAGCAGAAGCAAGAAAAAAGCAAAGTGTGCAGCGGAGACTGCGATAGGCTGGGTTTCAGGTACGCGCATAAATGGCATTTGGAATGCGAGATCTGAATGGTCCTACTGGTACGTTGCGACTGAATCCATGATGATGATTGAATCAAATTCATTGCCTGAATTATGTCGGCTTTCACAAGAACTGCTATGAAAACCATCGCATACCAAACCCATACCCGCTCCTACACGCACTGCGAGTACCAATCGTTCACCTTCTGACAGCTATACGGGCTCGCACAGACCGTCGGCCCGGTCCAATTGTTCCCTCCACACTGCTCATACCGCTGCGCCACGGCCGTCGAAGTCGCAGTCGTCGCGGTGCTTGTTCTGGTAGTGGTGGCGCTAGTGGTGGTCCTGGTCGCCGATGTCGTCGTACCCCCAGTACCACCCACAAAGAACGGCTTCAACAGGCTCAAATAATTCGTATACCCCGTCCCACTACTCGGCTCCATGTTGAAGATATAGTTACCCCACCACGGCCCAGCGGCCCACCACGACGCGCCCAACCACACGTCCGTGTTCTGACTCATATAGTTTAACATGCCCTGCACGGCGGTCTGACAGACGCTATTCGCGCCGCCTGCGAATTCCCCCAGGAACGCCTTCTTGCCGTTGGCTTTTAGCCAGGCCGTGGCGGCCGCGACTCGCTCTTGCCCGATCGTGGAGCTGACGCACGACTCGGACGTTCCCGATCCATCCGAGTCGAGGTACTGGTGCATCTGGTATACGATTTTGTCGTTGGGGTCTGTCAGCGCCTTCAGATTGTCGTTTACGTTGACCCAGGTCCATGCGCCGGACCAGGAGTTGCCTTCCACCATTATATATTGGCTTTTTGCGCCGGTGGCGCGGATGGCGTCGATGGCGGCTTGGTTGAGGTTTAGGACGAGCGTTTGGTCCATGGTGTGGTATTCGTTGTCTATGGGGTTAGCATGCTCTATGTATATCAGGAGGAGAGAGAAGGGAAGGGAAGGTAAGACATACTGGTGTCGAAGATGACTTTGTCGTTGTTGACGAATTCCTTGGCCACAGTTGTCCAGAAGGCAGCGAAGTCGGAGGTCGAGGAGATGACGTTGCCGTAGCTATGGAAGTGTTAGCTTCGAGTTGTCGGTAGGAAAAGTCTACTGAGAGCCAAGAAAATGATCGACTTACTATCGTCCGAAGTTATGCGGATCGATAATCGCATAGTCACCTAAGTCTGTGATTCCTTTGACTGTCTGCATGGACACTATCAGTTGGACTTCGACTCATTTCTATGAATGGAACGACCCACGGCTTTCAAATCACTCAGATACTTTGCATCCGGAGTTCCAGTCAACTGTCCCGGAATCAACCTCTCCATCATGAAAGCAACGCGGAAGATGTTCATGCCCGCATCGTGCAGCGTGCGGATGGTCGACAGATCCGGCCAGATGTAATCGGTTCCCAGAACGCCGGGGATATTGTTCTGGCCGAATTCTGCGCCAGCTTCGTTTGATCCGAACCCTTCTCTCTGTTAGAAGGTAATTCTAAATATTGAATGGTTGGGAAAGAACTCACAGACGAATCCGGAGGCGCGTTTATTCGGCGCCGCGAAGACGAGAGGGAGGAGCGAGAGAAGGGAAATGAGCTTCATTGTGAAGATTGTGTGGCCCGACACAAGACTAATTGATCTCAAGGTACTAACATAACATTCTTCCAAACGAGATGAAAATGCAGCTTTATATACAGCAATTCTACATCACCCCAAGCTCAGAGTCCATTGACGAAGCTCACCACTAATCCCAGAAACCATATCTACAACGGCCCTTCGGACCGCAATTCCCAGATCCAAGCAACTCATTCCAACCCAAAAGAGAACGGAGACAAATTCGTCACGGCAGTTCACTTCATTTAAGTTACGGCAGTGCAGGACAGGCAGCAGTGACCGCATGGGTGGCATGATTACCATGCCTACCTAGAACTAGGGCAATATTGCGCAACGCACGGACAATGCGATGATCCGGGGGTTTCCGGATCGGCAAAGGAGCTGGTCTCTTTCCCCCCCCGCGTCTTGGAAGATCGCGTGGAGAAAAAGAAAAATGAAATCAATGTCTACCCTAGTGCCGGACTGGGATTGTTGTATGCATGCAAGGTGTGTGTCGGCAAAGAGTTGCCTTACCCAGACAGGCAGAAATGTGCGCACCTGTGGCGGTGTTTAGTCGGGGAATAATCCGTCCATATGACGGACAGGGAGGCGTCTGGACTCTAGACTCTGAACTTGCTGCAGGGGTTCACCGTTCGCCGTTCATCAGGCCATGCGCAGCTAGTCGGGGTGGTCGGAGGTCAGCACTAACAGGGAGCTAGAGACGCTAGGGAGTTGATTCTGCAGGGTTGCACCAATGAAGGGAGTGATCTGGTCTGGGAAAGAGGTGGGGGATGATTAGGCGATTGAGCTAGTTAAGTTGAGCTTGGGGTTTGCGCTTGACGAGTGGGAGCTGCTGGTTTATTAGAACCGAAGCACTAATTCAGGGTTAGGAACTAGAGAGTCAGAGACTAAAACTTAGTCACGGGGGTCGACTACAGGTCTTAAAGGCTACTGCTCTTCGGGGATATATGAGCCGAGGTTGAACTTGTGAGTAACTAGTGAAAGCGAATGTTTCATTGATTGACTGACTACCTAGGAAACTAAACAAAGCCAAGCGAACTGTTCATTCTTGCCACTTCTGCCTAGACTTTCTTTCCCCTGGTTTGTTGTCCTTCCCACCTCCCCCACTCCCCTCTGGCCACCTCTACTCTACAGACACTGAGAGTACCAGTCGTTCACCTTCGTGCATGTGTACGGGCTGGCACACTTGGTGGCTCCAGTCCAAGAGCCACCGCCGCACTGCTCGTAGTGCTGAGCCACGCCGGTCTGGCTGCCTCCGCTGCTGGTGGTCGTGGTGGTGGCCCGCGAGGTGGTGGTCGTGGTGCCGGTGCCAGGGTTGGAGCCGCTGTTGAAAGTTGAGCCCAGAGGACCGACCTTGATGTTAGAGTAGACGACGTAGGCGTCGGGGTGGTTGGCCTCGACGTCGGCGGGGTCTCCGGACGAGATGTCGCAGGAACCGCGGGCCACGCCGGGGGTCGTCGACGCCGAGTCGGTCGGGTAGTTGCTGTCCAGCCAGAGCATGTTCGAGTTGTGGTCGTCCCACAGACTCAGCACGAGGACCATGCCCTGTGCCAATCCGGCACTCATGCCTTCCAGGCCGCCGTGCTGCTCGAACGAGTCCTCGTCCTTGAAGAGCGACTTCTGCGCGGAGCAGTAGCTGCTCGTGATCGAGTTGCCGGTCACGCCGGACCAGGTGGACTGCGAGTTCGGGATCACTTTGCCGTTCTGCACGTAGAATCGCCGGATCTCGGAGAGCGTGCCGGACGCGGTGCCCGTGTTGGTCACGAACTGCGTTACCACCGTCACCTTGCTGTTGGTGTCGACGGTCATCCCGGGCCCGAAGAAGGTCTTGTTGCCCTGTCGGTACGAGTTGAAGTCGCAGCCGTCCGGATCGCAGGTACCCGCGTATCGCTGGGAGCTGTACGTGCCACCGCAGGCGTCGCCCGTGCAGATGGTCTGACCCGGGTTATCGCACGGATGGGGGGTGAATGCGGTGGAGATCTTGTTGGCCTCCCAGAGGTCCATCTCCGCGCAACAGGAGCCTTTGTTACCAACGCCCGAGTTGGCGTCGTTGGCTGAGCCGACCCAGCCCTCCATGTTGGCTTGACCGTTGATGAACTTGAGATCGCGGGGACATTGCGAGTCGCAGTATCCGGTTCCGTACTTGGCGCCGGCCTCGTTGGTAGAATATTTGGCCTTGCCACCGTCGGCGTCCATGTTGACGAGGTAGACGGCGCCGTTCAGACCGCAGGGCAGCGCGGAGACGTCCACGTCGAAGGTAATCTCCTGGTTGAGGAGCTTGAGCATCTCGTAGGTGTTGTCGTCCTTCATGAGGTAGAGACGAGAGCCGATGTTCTTCTGCTGGCTCGCGGTAACGAAGTTCAGACGCAGCGAGTCACCGCTGGTGGTGATGCCGTATGTCGACTGGTAGTTGGCACCGTCGACGGCGCACTTCGTCGCGCATTCGGCATTGGTGGAGCAGATGGACGTGTCCCACTTGTTGCCAGTGTAGCAGTTGGTGTAGCCGTCAACGGTGTGCACCCATCGCCAATTGGCGTCGATGACAACCTTGCCATTGTTGGTGGTGCAGCTGCCACTGCTGGTGCAGGTCTGCCAGGTCAGGGACGGATGAGTCTCTGTCTGCTGGGTGCCGACTTTCTGGGCCTGGACGGAGCCCAGGATAGAGCCCAGCAGGAGAGCAGCCTTGTAGAATTGGAAGGAGAATGCCATTGTGTGAATGACGATTGAGCGTGGTGGTTGAGGAATGGAAGGACCGAAATCGTCGAGAAACGAGGGCTTTTATAACTTTCTCATCCAGCACTTTTATTTCACCTCTTCTTGACGGTCTTTGTATCTGGAGCTCCGTCAACGGCTTCGCGGTCCGTATGCCGTCACGATAGCTGTGCGAATTCACCACGGAGACATGTCCCCGCGTTGGCAGGAAAGTGCCTACCATGAGCCAGAACCGAAGTAGATTGTGTCCCAAGACTGTCAGCTCTTCATGCCGTATCGCAATAGGCAGCTGGCCGGCTAAATGCACGTAATGTTTCTGCAGAGCTGCTGACACCGTGGCGAAAGGTGGGGGAGAACCACGTGCATGGACAATGCCGACAACGTGATGCCGTGGCGACCTCGCTTGGGTACAACTCCCTGGTAACTGCATGTTCACGATCGCAAACCGGGGCGAACCCCTGCTGATTCGGCTATTCTCATAAGCCCAATCTAATAGATTGCTGTGGCGCCCCGGATGCCCGGATTAGGCAATAGAAGAATGAGGGGAAGTCGGACGATGGCGTTGGCTGATGGCCTGCTGTGTCACCAGGACTCAGGGACCTTTCTCCGTGTCCAGGATCGGCAAGTTCATCTGCCTCTGCCAGGATGTAAGTACTAAGTAACTGCCTGCATTGTACTGGGACTGGAGATGCCCCCCCGGAACGGCAGAACAAACGGCCGTGCAGAAACCCTAGATAAGATACCCTAATCTAATCAATCAGCCCCACATTAGTCAGCGGGCCGCATTCGGCGGGGCTTTTTGCGCCAAATTATTCTTCGCTTTCTTTCGCCTCTCTCTCTTTCTCCTTTCCATCATACCCCCCCCCCCCCACTAAGCCAATTCGCTCCAATTCAACATCCAGGTCTGGATTCAACATCTGCAATCATCATGTCCAGCTTCATTCTCACCCTCTCTTGCCCCGACCGGCCGGGAATTGTCCACGCCGTGACCGCCTACCTGGTCGAGAACAACCTCAACATCATCGACTCATCGCAATTCGGTGACCCCTCCTCCAAGCGATTCTTCATGCGCGTCCACTTCGCCGCCGAGACCCCCGGAAAGACGGTCGAGGACCTGCGCGCCGCCTTCTCCTCCACCGCCGAGTCCCTGTCCATGGACTTCCAGCTCGTGCCCGCCACCCAGAAGCCCCGCGTGCTGATCATGGTCTCTAAGATCGGCCACTGCCTTAACGACCTCCTCTTCCGCCAATCCACCGGCCAGCTGGCCATTGAGATCCCTCTCATCGTCTCCAACCACCCCGACTTCTCCACTCTCGCCGCTACCTACAACATCCCCTTCGTCCACCTTCCCGTCACCGCCGACACCAAGCCCCAGCAAGAGGCTCAGATTCTGGAGCTCATCCGTGCGCATAACGTTGATCTGGTGGTCCTGGCGCGCTACATGCAGGTCTTGTCGCCGACGCTCTGCGAGGCTATGTCCGGTCGCATCATCAACATCCATCACTCTTTCTTGCCCTCCTTCAAGGGCGCCAAGCCTTACCACCAGGCCTACGACCGTGGCGTCAAGATCATCGGCGCTACGGCCCACTTCGTCACCAGCGATCTCGACGAGGGCCCTATCATCGAGCAGAACGTTGTGCGCGTCAACCACGCCATGAGCCCCAAGGAGTTGACTCATGCTGGCTCTAACGTCGAGAGCAACGTGCTGGCCACCGCCGTTAAGTATGTTACTGAGCGTCGCGTCGTGCTGAACGGTCACAAGACGGTTGTCTTCAATTAGAGATTGGATCAGACTGGTTTGTTTTTTCTTATTCTCGACATGTATATATATATCATCGCTTCGATATAGATTGTCTGTCTGACTTGTTGATGGGGCTGGGGAACCAAACAAAAGTCTTGCTGGTGAATTTGAGCTGAGTGTTGTGAAGAGATGGGAGTTCTCTTCGTTGATTCATTATGCTGCTTGCGGCGAATCGTTTCATTTGTGAGGCGTTTATGCCTTCAATAATATCCCTATCAAACATTAATCATTAGGACCGTTACATTTGAGCAAAATGAAAAGAAGAGGGAAACAATTAATCTTCCGTAGCTAACACCTAACTGGACAAAAAGTCCATAAGCGCATGCAATCTTCAACTCTGTCTAGAGATTCGTAGAAATTTAGTCAGTACCTCCCACCATCTATGCAATTGTTTAAAATCGTCCTTGATGCTACATCCTCTCGCAATGACCAGTAGATCATACGCTGCGAACTTGCACCGCGCAACAAGCCCGTCCTATCGTCTCAGAACCCCACCCAGTCAATCGTACACTTGACATTACACCTGAGTCTGATAAAATATTTTACTTTCAATACACTGCTTACAATGATTAAAAATATGAACCAAAAAGAAAAGAAAAAAGTCCTTTATTGACATTATAATTATTCACCTCTCCAGCTCCCCGGAGCAAGATTCTCCAACCCATCACATAATACACCGATCAAACGCGAAGAACTTCCTCAAAGGACTTAGTCGAGCCTCGGCCTCTTTCCGTTCCTCCTTCTCCTTATCCTCCCCAGGAAGTCCAGGCCACTGAAGTTCCGGCAGGATAGGTTCTCCCCGCCGCTGTAAGATTTTAATGCGAAGTTTCCACAGATACTTGGGCCAGTATCGGTTCTGAGACCCCTTCACTTCGTTCCAGAACCCCGCGTATGGGCATTCTTCTTTCCCGTCTTTGTCGATCGTTCGGCCGATTTGGTACAGATCCGTCTGAGAGACGTACTGGCCTAGCTTGGTCAGCCAGACTTCCCAGGCTGCGTTGTTCAGCTTCAGTTCTTGATCGCGACAGTAGAGGAGCATTGCTGCTTCGCAGGCCTTGATAGGTACGGGGATTCGAACCGGATATGTATCGGCGGGATAGCGACCGAATAGCTCCTTTTCGTTCGGCTGGTCAGGGAGCCTTTCGTCCGTGATGGTCATGAAATAGGGATCGTCGGTATCGGACACGTAGAAGGGAAAGCTAGGGAAGGACCAGAGCATTTCGGATTTCGGGAAGATGCACAGTTTCCCCGGGTCCGTCGTGCCGGCATCTTCGTCGTCCCAGAGATGGAAGTGCGCTGGGGCGAGCGGGAAATGCGTCGAGTAGCGTCGACATCCGTTGAGGTCGTTGCATCGTGGAAAACCGGCTGATTCGAGCACTTTGATCGCTGCGTCGATGTGCTCGTCGGGCACGATGAATTGGAGACATCGTGGGAAGATGGGCGCGCCCATGATCCCGAGCATGGCGTCGCCGACTAGGACATTAGGGATGAGGCTGTTGTCGAGCACTTCGCAGATGATGGGGACCACGGCTTTTGGGGTGAGGCCTCGGTTGAAGACTAGACCGTTCATTTTGAAGGTCTTTGCGGTTTGGGAGTTTTGTGGAGGGGGTTGAGGAGGGTGATATCCTGGAGGGATAGAGATAGATACATCTATATATATGTATGCACTTGGTAACAAAGACGTTGCAGTTCTTGTTCATCAAGAAATTCTCTTTGTATAACTTTGTGTTATGTCCGACAGCTACACCTCTGGAATGGGATGTTCCTAATCAACATCGTATGTGGACGACACAGTCTGAGTGTATCAGTCATCTCATTGAAGTGATATAGTACATGAATCCCTACAAAGAGAACAATCTATGAGGAATGTGTCAACAGAGTCAAAAATCAAGCACGCTTAAGACCTACATAGGGACATGCAGAATCAATCTCAGCTGAAATACACTATAAATTATGATTATGGATTTTGTATGCACAAATCAATCCCATCGGTAAGTCCAATAATGAGAAAGAGCCCCAAAACAGGCACAAAGGCCATTGTGAGCCTAAAAACATGGCCACAAAGCCCTAACATATCTACGAAAGACAAAGAAATTTTGGAAAAATCCCGCTGTAGCCCGGAAGGATATGTCTAAATTATTGTCTAAGATAAATTAGAAAGATAAATCTCCGAATTCGTACTCCGTGTATGTACCAATATTCTTGATATACTTAGCGCTCTTCAATTGAAGAAAAGTATGTATATATCAAGTCAGCAGGTTAGGAGATTTTCTTATAAGAAGCCCAAATCAAGAAACTGACCTAATGCACACAATAAATAATTGAACAATCGTCAATCGATCTGTCGGTGACAGTGAACGTTTATCTCGCCTCTCCATTCCTCCAGACTTGGCAAATGCAACTCCCCATGTCGATCACCGATAGGGCTGTCGGCTCCACGAGCACAGTGTCTACTAGCCCAGAATGAAAGCTCATGCATCTAAATAACCATATCAGGATAAGTAACGTCTTTAGGGCTGAGATGTTATCAATCGCTCCAGAGGTGGGGGTATATAGAAAGGATAGATTATTGCCACGGACCTACGAATGGAATGTCACTAATAAAATTCTTGATTTGGCTAGTCTCAGGCAACCTCGGGCAGCAGCAGCAGTGGTCGAAGTGAAATCGCCGTGTCTTTACTGCGTCTCCTCAAGCAAAGCAGTCTATAACCACAGATATCATAATTAATAGGTCCTAAGCTACAGTGATACTCCATAAATTGCAACCTAGTCCAATAGTGCCCGAAAACAAAAGACTGAAAGCCAAATACCGCGAGAACACCCCTGTCAACAACTTGCCTGATACAGCCCTTGTTTCAGCGGCGCTGCAACCTTGGTCATTTCAGTCTGCTGATAGATATAAAGGTACCACGGGATACCCGTCTTCATTGCGCCATTCTCGGATTCGCTGTCAATGTAAACCACGGCACGGTCGTTCGAGAATCCGTTGAATTTGGTTGTTGTTGAGGTGGTGTATGCTGTATTTATCAGTGATTGGGCTCGGATTTTGGTATCAAAGAGAACGGCCTTGGAAAGAAAACTTACCACCCATATTCTTATATTTCAGCCAGTCACCGACTTTAACCTCCGACTCCAACGCTGCATCCCTTACCACGCAGTCTGTGCTATCGCATGTCGGGCCCCAGATGGAGTATCGATGTTCTCCCTGCTGTCGCTTTACATTCTCGACTTGTGAATGAGCATACGACGTGATCAGAGTCGGACACATTATCTCTTTTTCCACTAGTACATTCATAAAGCAGCCGTAAACGCCGTCATTCTGGTAAAGCATATCGGAACCGGTTTTTCGGGGATCGCCGATCTGCCGACGTCGCGAGATCACCTGACAGGCAAGTGTGTATGCACTGCACGCATAGTAGCGACCTGGCTCAGCGATGACGCGGATGTGAGAGGGGATTTCTTCGCCGAGGGCCTCGTGCACAGAGGATGCGAGTCGCTCGAAGTTGCTATCTTGGAAGCCGCCTCCGATATCGAGCAGGGTCATTTGGAATCCAAGATTGGCAGCTTGACGGAAGACGGCTTTTGCGTTCTTGATTGCTTGAACGAATGCAGAGGCGTTGAACGCGCCAGATCCTGTGCGATCGTTACTAACCGCTCGGGAGAGTTTGGGATAAAGGGGGAAGAGGACGAGAACGTACCGACATGGAAGCTAATTCCTGTAACGTTCAGGTTTAGTTCCCTCGCTCGAAGTAATAACGGACCTGTGGACTCCATAGAAGCCCCGAATTTCTCCCCAAAGCTGATAAGTGCGTCATCGTCGCTGGCGTAAATTCGGAGAACGAGGAGCGCATCTGGATGATACGCTTTTATTGTGTCTAATTCATCGAGATTATCGAAGGTGGTATGCATCACGCCCACTCGCCGAGCGAAAACCAGAGAAGACGCCGTCTTGCAAGGATTGGCAAATACGATGCGCGAAGGGTCCACGCCTAGGCTAAGTACGCCCCGGAGTTCTTCGATGGAGGCGCAGTCGAAGCCGGTCCCCAATTCGGAAAGCAGCTTGAGAAGGGTTGGGTCGGGGTTGCATTTCACCGCTAGGCACGATCAGAAGGGCACAAAAGAAACAGACTGAGACTGGCGCTTACCATAGAAAGGTTGAACATTAGGAAGAGCCGACTTCCATCGGCGATGCTGGCGGGCGACCTGGCCTAGGTCTGCCACGAAAAAAGGCTCCTCATCGGCAATAGATCGACCGGGTCTGCCAAGGGCAGAGATTCTTTTGCGAATAGCTAAGTCAACTAGATGATCCATATTGTGTTTGTTTGAATTCAGTTGTTGCTTACCTTGGGCAGAGGCGATCTTAAAGCTTACTTTATATCGCGTTATATATTACATATTAGACATCAGAAATGGACCGACAGAAAAAGCAATAACAAATCAGCTCGCCCTCTGCATAACCCGGATGTGGTTGAACCGAACCCAGATTCGTATGCAATACGCTGCGTGAATTTTCTCGGTCACTTGAGGCCAGTGGAGATGGCGAGCGCGTATCCGTTTCAGCTGGGGCTCATTTATCACCACGCCATGCCCTGCGGCATTAGTGGCTTATTGGCCGATGAATGGGGGGGCTCTTCATTCTGACTGGATGACATCTTGGGACTCGCAAGTTGCGTAACTCGTATTGCATTTCTGGGCTGATCGGCGTCTGATTCATGCAAGGAGAGTGATCGGCAAGGCTAGTCAGCCACTAAAGGTACTAAAGCATAGCTAAGACCGGGCAAACCATACCAGCAGCCGCAGCACGCATTCCAGCAGAAGCGTAAATGCGAAACCCCTTCCGAGGGCGGGGGCAGGGGCCTAGACTGCACACCGTAATGTCTCATACATTCGAGATGATCGAACCCATTACATCTGGGGGGGATGGAATGAGAGGTTTTATCTTTGCCTTTCTGATCTGTCCATCCCTCATATTATTGTTCCCCAACATTGCGAGCGCATTATGATTTCTAGTTTGAAAAAGCTCTCAAATTTGAGACCCTCAGGATCGCCATGGCTCTCGTCCCTGCGGTCATCTCGCTGGTTCATCGTTGCTGTGATCTCAACTGCGTATCTAACGGTATGGCGGAGTCTCGTCTCTTTATGGTTTGCTTGGTGCTGACGCAAAACGGGTTGAAATCTAGACCCTGTTTTTGTATGGCATGGTATGCTGCAATTCTCTTGTGAGAACGTCCCTTCCACAGCTGAATGGTATCAGATTGTCCCCATCATGCCCTCGGCGCTGGTCGCACGAGCAGGTGTGTCACCGGATCAGCGTATGTCACTGCAACCAAGGTCATGTCCAGATGCTCGCTGACATTACTTGCAGAGGCATTTTGGACAAGTATCCTATTGATCTGTGAGACTGCCACGGCCTTTGTGGCCTGCCCGATCTTTGGATTTTGGGTGGACTCATCGATTGGTCGCAAAATCCCGTTTCTGGTAGGCTTGCTTTTGCTCGCCGCCGCCATGGCTTTCTTTACCGCAGCGCGGTCCACTACGATGTATATCGTGGGGAGAATACTACAAGGTCTCGCATCCGCTATGGTAGATGTTGCAGGTCTTGCGCTGCTGCGAGATGGAATGGGCACCGATCGTTTGGGAGAAGCCTTGGGGTACGTGGGTACCGGCCAAATGGTTGGACTCATGGCAGGACCTCCGTTGGGTGGCATAGTGAATCGTGCTGGGGGGTATTATGCGGTCTGTATCCTAGGGTTTGCGATTGTCATCGTGGACGCGGTGATGCGCTTAGCGGTGCGGGAGCAAAAAGGCGAGGACCAAAATTCCAGCCAAATGGTCGAAGGAGCTATTGCTGTTGGGACCGAGGAAAGCTATAGTAAAACTTCCGTTATGGCGAACAGTGCAAATGCCGAACCGAATCCCCCAGAAGCAAATGCTGTGTCTTTTTCAGGTCTGAAATTGTTGAAGCAGCCACGAGTGGTCATCACACTCTGGGCCCTCGCTATGGATGGACTGATAATCGGTGCTTTCGACGCGGTGTGTACTGTTCACCCAGCTCTCTGATGTTTTTTTTTCTCCAGCTCACAATGCCTCAAGACTCTGCCTACCTATGTGGAGCAATTGTTTGGATGGGATGCCTTTGCAGCAGGATTACTCTTCCTCGCCATGGCAGGGCCGGCACTATTGGAGCCTTGGTTTGGTAGGTCCAATTCCGATTACGCGGGGTGCTTGCATCGAACATTCTGGGCGTCTTTTGATTGCGGAGCTAATGTCCCCTTCAGGACGACTGTGCGACCGTTTCGGCGTTCGCATTATGGCAGTTCTGGGGTTCGCAATGTATACCCCGCCACTGGTGTGCCTGCAATTCGTTACCCAAGATAGTATGTCACACAAGGTTCTACTCGCCGCGCTTATGGCGTTGTGTGGCCTCGCTCCCTCGGTGGCCCAGCCAGCCCTGTATGTGGAGTCGCAGATCGTGCTGGAAGAAATAGAGCAGCGCAGTCCGGGCGTCTTCGGCCCGCAAGGGGCGGTCTCACAGGCATTTGCCGTGCAGACAATGGCCAACTATGCCGGCCTCTCGGTCGGGCCTATCATTGGGGAGAAAATGCTAAGTCGGTATGGGTGGAAACCAATGGCGTGGACATTAGGGGCATTGGCTGGAGTGACGATCCTGCCTATGTTCTGCCTCAGCCACATAAGCTTCACCGGACAGACACCGCAAGGGGAGGTACAGTCTGGCGGTGATCAGACTAACGAGAGTTAGAGTGCAAGTTGGAATCCATTAGGTAATTTCCACAAACCCAATTTTACAGAGAATTCGCAGGTCCAAGGCGGTTTTGGTGCAATTGGTTTTCGATGTCTTGAAAACGGCGTTGACTTCGCCTTGATTGACTCGTGTTCAGATCCAGCTGACTGGAGCGGTTTCAGTATCGATGCAAGGGCGCGCTGTGGTCAAGCTCTGCCCACGCAACAGTTTGGCGGAGATTTACCTTCTCAATATCCAGGCACAATTGATTCACATGATAAATAGCCTGCCCTTGTCGCTGTAAAAAGATGATCCATTGCCATTGACATTTCCCTCATTTGTCTTTGTCCCGCTGCCTTGCTTAACTGATTCCCCGAGATGACCCCCCTTGATTCTGGTCGTTTTACTTTCCCGGCCGAATGGGAGCCCCATGTGGCGACCATCCTAGGCTTCCCATCAAAAGCGTCGTCGGTCGAATCTCTTTACGAACCTCTTTGTAATGAGATCGTGGACCTGGCCGCAGCCATCGCCGACTTTGAGCTAGTGCGTTTGCACGCGCGACCGGAAGATGTACCTGCTGCCCAAGCACTGGTTAATCGTAAATTGCGCGATCCCTCGCAGGTCACCATTGTCCCCGTGCCAATCAACCATTGCTGGGTCCGCGATACGGGGCCCGTGTACGTGCGCGACGCGACTGGCCAGTTAGACCCGAAACAAAGGCTGGCTATCAGCTTTGAATTCAACGAATGGGGCAACAAAAACGGCTGGGCCGGTGTCGATGAGTATCGATACGGGACACCGGCCATGACTGCAGAAATTTTGCGCGAGAACACCGACTTTGCGCGCAATGTCATTGCCGCAGACAATTCGCCGTCCCCAGTGCAGGCAGTTGTGTCACGCATTCGTGCCGAGGGCGGCGCCCTGGTGGTCGATGGAGAAGGCACGCTCATCGTTGCGGAGAGCTGCATGGTCTGCGAGGAGCGGAATCCCGGTCTATCGCGCGACGACATCGAGGCCGAGCTCCGTCGCGTGCTCGGTGTCGAGAAGATAATCTGGGTCCCCGGGCGCAAGAACCTCGACATCACGGATTCGCATCTCGATGCCGAAGTGCGGTTCCTGCGGCCGGGGGTTGTTGTCTGGTCGCGACATCATCCTGACTCGGACCAGGACTGGCTAGATCTGTCAAACGAGGTGCTGGAGGCCTTGCAGAGCCAGACAGATGCAAAGGGCCGGAAGCTAGAAATCCACGCGGTGGAAGAGCCACCAATAAGCGCCTTGCCGTGTGCAGGAGACGACGAGTTTGTGTCGGGGTATGTCAACTTCTATTTCTGCAACGGGGGACTCATCATGCCCAAGTTTGGCGCGGAGGGATGGGACCAAAAAGCGAAAGAGACGCTCCAGGCGTTGATGCCAGAGAGGGAAGTGAGACAAGTCCACCTCAACGCCATTCCACTCAGCGGCGGTGTCATCCACTGCGTTACCCAGCAGGTGCCTACTCCCTTGGCTTAGTCTTCTTGCTGGCAGGCTTCCAGAACGCTCGCATATTAGACCATATTAACCAAGGCGATTCGCCTTTAAAAGTCTAGAGCATGGTATTTCGACGTGTATAGATTTTATGAGGACCCGAGGAGCAGGCGTTGTTCAAATAAATTATGTGATCAATCAGTCTAATTGCCTTGTTCTGCGAAACAATTCAACACTTAGAAAAACATATAGTCGCACCGTCCTACCATCACACAAAATTAATGTACAACCGTGAGTTGCTCATGATGATGATTGAAATGATGGATTTCGACAAGTTTGGATGATGGGAAGGTGTAGAAAGGAAGAAAGAAGAAAGAAGAGGGAAATGCTTGGCAGTTGCACCTCAGGCAGCGAGGCTATTGAATGATGTCATCGGTCGTCGCCTGACTCGAAAAGCCGAAGATAAAACAGTCTTCAGCAGCAGCATTCTCCGTAGGCTATAAATCCACCTACTAAGAATAATTCTGTCATAGGGAAGAGAGAAATTTCCCCTCCATTGACCCCCACTACACCAAGTGGAACCGCCCCGTCATCATCCTCCCATTGGAACTCCGACGAATGTGTATAAATTCTTACCCCTCCATACTCCATACTGAGTCCCTCATATAGCGTTCATCTTCACCACGCCATCTTACTCAAACCATCACCCCTGGCTATTGTTCACGATGGACCCGATTTCTCCTCCTCCAGCTCTCACGCACCTCTTCACTCTCCGATGCGCCGTATCACCGCCCATGGAAATCGGCACGGGGCCCTACGGTCGTCGCCGCTGCGTTCCGATTGAATCCGGGACGGTCCGTGGGAAGTCTCTGAATGGAGAAGTGATTCCAGGGGGTGCAGATTTCATGTTAGTGCATTTATCTCGTCTTGTTTTCTTCATGTCTCAGAATGAGAAGCCGAAGGACTAAGGCGTATGTGACAGGCTCGTCGAGACCGACCAGACAACGCACGTGAACACAAACTACGTCATCAAGACTGATGATGGGGCGTTTTTGTATATCAGGTTCGTTCTACCTGATCTCATCTCCTTTCATAGAGAGGGTTGACCATCCATAGGACGGAAGGAACCAGAGCCGGTCCCCCAGAGGTCCTGCAGGCCCTGATGGAAGGTGGACCGGTTGATCCATCGCAGTATTGGTTCCATCTGCATGTCAAGATCGAGACGGGCCATGACAAGTATAAATGGTTGAACAATCGGGTCATCGTGGGCCGCGCGACTAGAGCGAAGGGCGAGGTTGCCTATGATGCATATTTCCTGGAGAATACGGCGTAGATTGGATTCTCGAGTGTCCTCGAGCATCTCTTGAAAAGTATGAAGAGAATGTTGAGGGTATTATCTATATACGTAACGCATGATCTAAAGCTTTTGTAGGAAACTGTCCTGATTGCGCAGCAATTCTGCCAAATCGACGTATTCTCCTTGGCTGGTGTCCTGTCGAGCAAGAACCTCGTCAGCTAAGTCGTGGGCCCAGCGGAATTCCGAGTGGTATTGTCGAAGTTCGGATAGTCGTTGACACATCCAGTCTCGTTGAATCGGGTCTTCGGTCTCGATGACCGCCATCAACAGGGGCCAGTGTAGTCGGCGAAGGAGTCGCGGCTCGGAGGTGTATTGCTTGCGAGTGATTTCAAGGATGTTGGTGACGGCATGACGATGGATGGTGGCGGGGGGACCGGGAGGGCGGAGAAGGCGGCGATGGAAAAGAATCTGAGCGTAGAAGGTACTGACGGCCATATTAATCGTGTTGAGGGTACGGCGCATCGAGGTTGGGCCAGCAAATTTAGCCGTTATAAAAAGGTCAGAGTATTGCTGAGTTGTTAGCGAGTCCGGTCGCGGCATAAAGGCACACAATGGCTTACATCGTGAATTGACATCATTTCATTGAACAAAGATTCACCCTCAAAGCCACTGCGACTGGGATCATCAACAAGCACCTGCCACGTTTTGTACCGCAGCGTCATGGCGATATGAATCAATTCCAAGCCACGATAATTCTCCATATCGTCCGACACTTGTTGATCAGGATATTGCTTTCCATAGAAACAGCGTCCCCAAAGACGAGCGCAGCGATACAACCGATCCGGATGAAGAGCCGGAATACCCGACCGTAAAACATACTCATACAGCGATTCCGTGGTTCCTTGAGGACGGCAGCTCACATCGATGTAGCTGGAAATTTGTTAGACCAACCGTGACACCCATCAGAGAGATAGGACTTACAGTATCCAAAGCAGCAGTTGTTCCGGGATGAATGAGACGCGGGACACCGATTCATCCGACTGTTCCGAGTCAATGGATAGAAGCACATTGTTCACGTCCTTGATGTGGAACACTTCCGGATGGGATTCCAATAAGGATCGCACACCTTGCAAATGCAATTGAAGATGGTGTACACAGTGACCAAACTGCCATTCGTATGTGATCATTAAAAACATGGTGGCGAAAATAATCTCTAGCTCCGTCGGTGTCACTTGAAGTTTGGTGGGGGTTTCTAGTAATTGGCGGAATTCCTTGACAGCCAGTCCGTAATGGTAGCGACCGTGATCTTCTGCCGTCGGACGCCCCGGAGATCGAACTATGAGCCCGTTGCGATGCATATCGCTGGCTGAGAGAGCTAGTATCATGCGCATGATGACCTTATTCGTCGCAGCCGGCCCCTGGTACAGATAATTGAAGCTGCTCCACTGCCAGGACTTCATATAGTAGAACACCACCGAGGAGGATGGGAAATACTGAAAGTATTTTTTGTCATGGTCGGAGAGAATCAACGAGTTCGAACAGGCAAGGTCTGGTTCCGAGAGCGATGGGTATAGAGGAGAAACTGGCGTGAGGGGAGGAAAGCAGGGCCAGCCCGCTGTGGAAAGCGTCTCCGGAAGGATCGGGGTGAAGTCTGTGATAGTGCCGGGATGCTGCCATATCGCTGCCAGGGTGCTTGCGTACTGCGGATTCAGAATCCCGTGCGTCGCAGTCGCAGAATTGACGGAGACTATATCATTTCCCGACCACCGAGGCTCAGCCGGCTGGAGATGGCGGACGGAGGCAGGCTTGCCGCGCTTTACAGGAACTCCCCATTCGCAATTCAATCGCAGATTGAAACAGCGCTGGCATGTTGGACGCTCCTCACCACATTTCACCTTTCGACGGCGGCAAGTGCTGCAACCTGTCATGTCATGTTAGTCACTGGCGATCGGTGTACTCCGCGGGGAGAAACTGCGGAGAAACCCTGGAGAAACGTCAAATGTACCATTTTTGGAGCGAGGGGCGTTTCGACCCGACATGGATTGAATTGCCCGCTCAAAGAAAACCGATCAGCCCGAAGGCATCAGTGAGAGGGAGATAGGATATTGGGAGGGAGTGAAGTGTGAGAATAATGAAGCCGAGCAAAGCGAGGAGGAAGCGAAGGGAAGAAGAGAAGAAGTTCGGGAAGCAAAAAAAGACAAACTGCCGATAAGCGATAAGGCTGACTCAGCTCGTTGAGATCGCCCGTTTGGGAGAGGCAATTCTTTTTTCTTTTCTTCTTTCCTCCTGCTTTCCTTTCGTCCTCTTTTCTTCTATTTCCCCCTAATCCTATCCACTGGTTCCTGTCGATCCTTGGGTCTCCCCATCTTCATCTATGGTCGATGATCCAGGTTACGGCTATTTGCTTGTCCGCGTTCCCTCAATGCGTCCAATTCTAGACCATAGTACCCTACCATGTCATCATCGGCAGGGATATTTACTTTAGACAGATTCAATGCATTGTATCCATCTCATTCTCGAATACTCTTCTCCCACTGCGTCTTCGTCGTTTCATACAAGGTGTTGTTCGTCACCATCTCCCACCCGATCAAAGCCAGCGACTTTCCAACCACAACTGCTTCTTCGTGGGCATCGTCGGTGCCAGCCGCAGAGGCAAAGGTCGGGTGATGAGGAAACGATCCGTCGGGGGCAGGGATCCCAAACATGGTATGTAAGGTGGGGAGTACGTAGCTGACATTGCCTGGTGCCGTTAGCTTTCCATCTCTCGCCGAGATGATGAGATACAACGCACCGATGTCTGAAGAGCCAGTCATAACCTTATCATGGCGTTTGAGTACACTGCGAGAGTAACGTGCCATATGGGACTGATATCGATCACATAGCGTATCGTTGATCTTTATGTCAGTGTATAATTGGTCCCTATCGAGGTCAGAACTGTTCATGATGAAATCGTTGGGGCAACACACTCAACGATGTTGACCTCACATCCCGTTGCCAATGCCCCGGCTTCTATACAGTTCCGGACTTTGACCATCAGCCTGTTCAGCCCTTTTAACGTCGGGCTGCGGACCTGCCAGTATGCCTTGGTATACGAGGGGATCACGTTGGCGACTTTAGGAGTATCGAGGAAGGCACAATGTACGCGCTCATCAGGCTTGAGTTGCTGGCGCAGGACGGCAACGTTGTTATACGAGGTCACCAAGGCATCGAGTGCATTTATACCCTCCCATGGGTTACCTCCTGCATGGGCACTTCGTCCTGTGAACTCGCAGTGGATTTCCTTCCTGGCGTTCATCAAGACGCCACCAACGCCTTCCTCCCGCACCCCAGGGAAGAGTTTCTTTGGACCTGCGTGGCTAGATGAAGTTAGTTTAAGTTGTTTACACCACGGGAGGAAGCAACGAACGCCATCAGTGAGATATCAACCCCCTTATAAGCACCATTCTCGATAAGTTTAGCCTTTCCACCGCCATTCTCTTCGGCAGGAGTTCCCAGGAGCTGGGTCCGACCAGGAATGCCATATTGTTTCAGAATAGCAGAAAGAGCCAAAAAAGCTGACACGCTACTTGTCGTGATCAGGTTATGGCCACAAGCATGGCCGATATCGGGCAGGGCATCGTATTCAGCGTTGAAGTTGATTAGACGGCCTCCAGAGCCGCTGATGGCTTCAAACGAGGTGTCGAGGCCGTAAGCATGACGAGTGACGGTGAGCCCTTGCTTCTCGAGAAAGTCGCAGATAGTATCGTGGGCCTTGTGTTCCTGATACCCCGTTTCCGGGTTTGACCATATCTGGCCAACCTGTCAATGGATTTTCCGTAGAATGACGGGATTGACAACATTACTTGATGATTGAGGCTTCGCAGAGAGGACTGCAACGTGTCCAACGCTGCATCCACCGAGACCTTGACCTCATCGATACTCGGTTGATCTTGCGGGAAGGCCATGACTGTCTGGAAATGGACACGGGGATTGAAACTGGTGATTGGGAAGTTTTCCGTGGAGATTATCGACACTGGCTACGAAGATATAGCGTCAGCGTGCTCGGCACTGCCCCGTTCCCTATCAGCGGCATCGTGTCATATAACGTGCTCGGCAAGATAGCGAGCACATCATCGCTAATACGGATTGCTGATAGGATACCTCGCCTATCTAGCTATCTTCCCCCTCAATCTGTCAAATGCACGTCGGCTCCATCTGCTGCACCCCGCATTCCTCATGGGGGCCGTGATATCATTTTCTTATCTGTAGAGGAGGGGAAATGCGACGCGCAACGCCACCACAATACATATCAGAGTGGTTGGTGACATCAGACGAATCACTCTGCGGGCGCCAACGCCACAGATATCGGTAGATACCAGAAGCAGTAGAATCCCTAGGCCCAGAACTGGAGAGGCGAGTGGGTATCGCTAGCAATAGCAGTGGCAGCAGTCGCCGAATAGACCCAAGTTCACGCAGGGCCTCCGGCGGCCAGGTGCTGTAGGAACTGCTTCTCCGCACGATCGGATCTGTGGGGAATAGAGAGAGTGGTTCCAAGATTCGGCACTTTCGATTGTTTACCTTCCCATTCCCACCAGCTGAAAGTGACAAGCTTAGTAGGAGTTGTGATAATCATTCGGGTTAAGGTTGGTTCTTTTGCCGAGCAGGGCGTGGTAATTGGCGAATCTGCCGACGAGCGCTACTCGGCCACTGCCCGTGCGATCGGTGGCACCAAGGGCCCCAGGGGAGAGAGAATTAGCGCCAAATGCCAATGCCTTGTCTTCTAGCCGACCTTCTACGAGTGGGTTTCATTGGCCCAGAATCTTCGATGGAGCCCACGACCCACGGAACTTGCGGCGCGGACCACAAGCCAATTCCGCGGTGTGGGTGCTATCTTTGCTGCAGCTTCATCCAGGGGCGACTACGACAAGAGCTTGGCTTGAATCGTGTACGATCTTGGCTGGTGGAGGCAACGAATCCTCGACAGAGTTTGATCTGCGTCCCTGGAGGTGCGGAAGTAGCTATGCGCTCTCCGGTGTGCAGGATTGTGTTGAGTCAGGTATTTTCCGTCTCGCTGTTTCAGCTCGCCTCTGGATAAAATGAGGAAGACGCCCTGATCTAGCCTTGGATTTTCTCTTCTCACCAAGTATGAAGACCTTCTGGAAGCCATCCGTCATGGAAAAGCAGCCCAGCAACGGCAACAGCGCTCCCGGGGAGATACGTGAGGTCAATGATCTCAAACTCCAACGCGAACCATCTATCGTGCGAGATGTCGATATTGGCCATATGCTCGAGGTTGATGCGACGCCAGAACAAGAAAGAAAAGTTCTATGGAAGCTAGATATGATGTATGTTGAGCCACAGTCTCCTACCTCAATGATACTGACAAGGTAGATTGATCCCACTGATGGGAGTCTGCTATATGATGCAGTACATGGACAAGTTGGCTCTGAGCCAAGCCACTTTATTCAATCTGCGCGAGGATCTGGTAGGTCAAATGCACTGCTTTTGTTTAGCATACTGATCAAAGTAGAACATGAAAGGCACCGAATATACCTGGACCTCTGCCATCTTCTATTTTGGATATTTCGCGTGGAGTTGGCCTAGTTCTTATCTGATCGTGCGCCTACCGATCGGAAAATACCTGAGTGTCTCGGTGTTCGTATTTCACCACAAACTCAATACACGCAGTGGCTAATCGCGAATAGGTTTCTATGGGGCGGTTTTCTGCTCTGTCACGCCGCAGCGAAGAACTTCGCAGGCCTGATGGCTGCCCGGTTTTTCCTGGGAGTAGGCGAGGCTGCGATAGCTCCTGGCTTCTCCCTTATCACTGGAATGTTCTACAAGCGAGAAGAACAGCCATTACGGTAGGCTTTCACTTAATCTATCATCTATTGCTCACCCTAATGAATCCAACAGACAATCCGCTTGGTTTCTCGGAAACTGCATTTCGACAGTCATTGGTGGCGTCGTCGCCTACGGAATCGGCAACATCGAAATTCACACTATCGCCAGCTGGCAACTCCTCTTCCTCTTCCTCGGTGCTATCACCGCGGGAATCTCGTTCTTCCTGGTCGTCTTTCTCCCGGACTCGCCTAAGAATGCGATTTTCCTGACAAAAACCGAGCGCGCCATCGCATTGCAACGTACCCTCAAGAACAAAACAGGCGTCATGGACGCAGGATCATTTAAATGGAGTCAGGCATGGTTGGCTATTCGAGACCCCCAGACTTGGATCTTGGTTCTCTATACATTCTGCGTGAACTTGTCCAATGGCGGCATCACCAGCGTAAGCTTCCCTTAACCGCCTCGCTCTATCCTGCTTTTAACTAACTAACTCATTACTAACACAGTTCTCCTCAATCATTATCAACGGCTTCGGTTTCTCCCAAATAAGATCACTGCTGATGCAAATGCCCCTCGGAGCCGCCCAAGTCGTCTTTCTGACCTTTACCGCCACCTTCGCAACCTTCGTCCCGAATACCCGAATCCTCATGATGATGCTCAACACGACCGTCTCGATGATCGGCATGATCCTTGTGTGGAAGCTGGACGATGATAATCAGAAGGGTCGCTTAACAGGCCTCTCCCTGGGTGCTGTCTTTGCCGTCAACATCCCACTCTCCTTGAGTATCATCAGTTCGAATGTCGCTGGATTCACGAAACGAAGCACAACGAGTGCCTTGCTTTTCGTGGCCTACTGTGTGGGCAATATCGTCGGCCCTCAGTTCTTCGTGGAGAGCGAGGAACCCCATTATCCGGTACGTTTCCCTCCCCGTTTCACACCCTCCAATTCATGGATGGGCTTCACTTGGAAACAAAGCATAAATGACTGACGCGAGTGAAATATACAGACGGGCATGAAAGCCGCTATTTCGGGCCTTGCGCTGGGCACGTTTTTCCTCATCTGCTTGCTGGTTTATTATATTTTTGAGAACCGGAGACGAGATGCCACGTACGGTCCTCCGACCGAACTGAGTGAGAGTGAGGAGCTGGCGCAGGGGTTGTCGAATAAAACGGATACAGAGATTGAGAGTTTTAGGTATCTTATATAGGTCGTGTGTTAGATAATAGATTTAATTTAATCATGCTATTCTTTCTGAATCAAGTATCTGTTGTATGTGTAATTGAAACGGGGTTATATATTGATCTACGAGGGCAATTTGTATACCTTGCTCGCTTATTGGTCGCAGGAAATGGGTAGTTGATGTCTTGTCAAAAGATAGAAGAACAGGTAACTTATATAACTATCCTTCCATTTCTATCAAACTGTATATATCTAGAACGCTAGAAGTGTATTCTGGGACGTACTCTGGGACAAGCTACTCATATATATGAACATACTAATTAGACGAGACTTGCTTTCCAAGAAGAATGAGAATGCCTATAGTGTGAACGGTCTGAAGTAGAATTGAATGTCCGTGGTGATTGAATAAACTATTGACTGAATAGAATGATCATGACAGTTTTCCCCCATATATGAAATGGCCATAGCACGGTCATTATGCCGCAGGCATTCAAAATCAGTACTTCTGCAGATTGCAAAACCATTCACATGAGACTTGAAATGAAGCCACCTACACAATAGCCCACTGCCACGGAAAGGAAAGCATGAAAAAAAAAAAAAATTGTTAGAAGGAATCTACGATTACTTAAGAGGACGTCTTGATTATCTGGCAATAGTATATCAAAGGCCAGTGACTATAATGTCTGGATGGGATTATATAAAGTGTTGACCTAATATATACACCTCCTTCAAGCTGGCTGGCCTCCTTTACTCTCTAGAGTCTAGAGACAACCCCTTTCCCCATGATCGATCTTGGATAGGAAAGACGATCCATTTAGCAAGAAACACCGGAAGGAGCGTTCTTGCAAGAGGAGTCCTTGCCACCGGACAGGTCAACGCCGGACCAGGTCCAGTCGGTGCAGCTGCCGGAACCGCAGAGGATGTAGATGGGGACAGCGCTGGAGTCGACGGAGCCGGTGATGCCGTCGAGGGTGATGTCCTTGATGGGGATGTCGTTGGAGGGCTCGCCGGTGGGGCCGCCGTTCTTGTAGTCCTGCTGGATGACAATGCCCTTCTTGTGGATCTTGGAGAGCTCGATGTTGGAGTAGGTGACGCCGGAAACGTCGCCGGTCTCGTCGACGATGGTCTTGATGCGGATACCGTTGTCCGAGTTGGTGACGGTCGAGTCGGCGATCGTCACGTTGCTGACGGTGTTGTCGTCACGGCCGCCAATGGAGCCGATGGAGATACCGTGGCCGCCGGAGCAGGTCGCACCGCTGAACTCGATGTTCTGGGCTCATGTTAGTACTTGGAACTATTGTTTCGTTGCTAGAGAAGGAGAGGGTAAGCTACCTTTCCGGAGTTGATAGCCAGGCAGTCGTCCTGGTTCTTGACAACGGCGCCACGGATCTGGACACCGTCGGATTCGCCGACATCGAAAGCATCGGTGTTGTGGCCGCCGTTGGAGTCACCGTCGGAGTTGTCGATGTGGATGTTCTCGAACAGGGTGTTGGTGGCCTGGACGGAGACACCCTGGACAGGGGTGTTCTTGATGTTGAGGCCGGAGATGGTCGAGTCCTCGAGCTTGTGGGCGTACAGGAACTTGGGCTTCTTCTTGCCACCGTTGGTGCCCTTGCCGTCCCACCAGCGAGAGCCATCACCGTCGATGAGGCCACCCTCGGCCATGTTGACGGTCAGAGACTTACCCTCAATACGGATGAGAGGGCCCTTCCATTCCTTGTAGCCGAAGGTAGTGGTACCCTCGAAGGTGATGGTGGTGCCATCGTCAACCTTGGACAGGTCGAGGGTCTCACCGGCGGGGACCTCAACGTCCTTGACGACGACGGTGGAGCAGCCCTTGACGCTCTCGGTGGCCTCGGCGGCGGAGGTGATGGTGCAAGAAGAGTCCTTCTTGGTCAGAGAAGGGGCCGGGGCGGCGGACACGAGGGAGCCGACAGCGGCGAGACCGAGGAGCTGGAAGGAACGCATATTGGTAGAAGTTTCTGGTCAACAGAAACTAATGGCTGGATTAGGGTGAGGAAAGAAAGAATGAATAGCCTGATCAACAGAAGCAAAAGGAGAGAGGGTAAAAGAGAGAATGAATGAACGCGATGGGTTGAAGAGAAGAGAAAGGATCCTGAGGGTTCCGAGCAAGACGGTTTTATATCAGTCGTTGCGGCCAAGCTTCCACAGGCAGAGCTTGACTTAGGAGGCATTGCTCTGGCTGGTCGCCCTATCGAATACCATGATTCATTGGTGGAACGAGAATTAACCCACACGGTGCTCCATGGCTGCGATGGGAGGGTCCACTTGGCCATTGTTAACCTCTAACGCCCATGGCAAGCTTTGACGCAAGTGGGGGATGGCAGGGGGGAAGGGGAGTACGGAGTAATGCAGCCTGCAGCACGGTGATGCAGACGCACGGATTCAAAGGCATCCGGTTAGTGACGAGTCTGACGAGTCGACAGGCCTTCAGGCTTCCGCCAGCGTCCGGGACAGTGGCCGATTTCTCGAAGGCCACGGCGATGGTATCTTAGCGCCTCTCGGGGCCCACATGGCGCCGTGTCTCAGGCTGTCTCAGAGTGTCGGAACGGCGGAGCCGATCCTTCTTTTACCGGGTGGGGTGCCCCTGGCCAATTCCACGATCTGTCTGGTGGGAAATTCTCGGGTTCTTCTGTAGGGCCTCCAAAAGCACCTTGGCAAATATCAAAACGTCGCGTTGGCCCAGACGGTGGTTCCTCCGGTACAGTTGCGTAGGGCATCCGTGAAGCCCAGTAAGGCTGCCAAGGGATCATCACCTTCACAGGTGTCTGGGCAATATCGAGCAGGGCTGCTTCAGGTCGATAGTCGATACATAGTGTGCACCGTATATGAGTTCAAAAGTGGTCTGATCGGGTTGCCGTTACGAGGCCTGGATAATTCGGTAAAGGTCCGAATAACCTCCTCGTTAGCGGTGATTTGATCAGAAAGAACACCCGGACCCAGTCGATATCAAACGGTTTTATTTCCCCTGAATATGGGTTAGTTAGGCCGCAAAAACAGAACATAATTCCGGTATAGTCTGTATGCAGGAGGCATTCTGCAGCGAAATTATGGCCATGCGCCAGGAGTGTCATCCTCTCCCTTCATTTGCATCCTGCCTACGTAGCAACGAGTCGGCCTGTCCTGGAGCTGACCGCGTCGAGTTTGTAGTTGGTTCCAAGTGGGTCGTATCCACGGTGGGTTTAGAGCGTTTCACTTTAATATCGTGCCGCCGGAGTGTGGAGTGCCATGCGAGCTGACCGGCAAATGAGCTTGAACGCGGTTCTTAGTCCTGCTGCTCCTGATGAGATCAAGCAACTGAAGCGTTCCTGGCACTGATCGGAATGTCTTCTTGATTTTTCTTGATTTCTTGTTTAATAGTTTGCATTTGCACTTCGATGTGAAGTGTGCTCGGTAAGTTGTATATTTTTATAGTATTCTCCAAGCTATAACTGAATTCAAGTAACATCGGTATGCTAGTCGAACATGCTAAGTGACCCTGCGCTATAAGTCTCATTTAATCCGTAAACTGTTAAATTCAACAATGGAAAGCACACCCGACGCACAGCTCCGAAATAGATCAAGCAGCGCACCTTCGGGGTTAGTGTCCGACAGGATCAGCTTATTCAGAGTTTGATGGATCCTGGCGGCGCATTCCGACAATCCCATGGCTTCGATTCCGTACTTTCTAGACTTCAAAAGCCCAAAACTCATGGTCCACAGTCTACAATGTATTCCACATGTTTATCCACACCTAACCGTCGACTTCCTACGGAGTAGATGTTACGGAGAATGGAGTGATGCCGTAGAATCCGAGTTTCTATAAGTTCTATATATGTTTACGGAAACGATAATAGCAATATATGACCTCCGTATGAGTTTACTGTTTGCAAATCTACTCTAACAAAGTCTCAAGTACACTGTCCAGCGACGCTTCGTGGTGGTTATGGAGAGGGATATCTCATATCAGGCAGCATGTCCACGGAGAAAGTCCCCGAGCGATAGATTAACCGGATATTATGCATGAAGGTCGACACCTCTACGAACCTATCAGATGAATGATCTAGAACACGCGATTATTGAGTACTTCTTATTCTCGATATTACTCCCCCATAACCGGTCTTCGTTCTTTCGACCCCTATTCACGTCCAATTCAAGGAATCTGTGCCTAGCAGAAGGTCTCCTTTTTCTTGATTAGTTTCTCACACTGCAATGAAAATGCCTACACTGAGTATTCCGTAGATTAGAAATTATCACATATCCTCCACAGAGAAACGCGCAGAACGTCGAATTCTTAATTCTCGTTAGTCCTCGGGACTCGAGACTCGACCAGTCCCGATATCGATATCAAAACGCGTATCATGTCTCACTCTCCAGTCCCTTCTCCAGTCCCTGTCGCCGCATCGAGCCTTTCATGATTAGTGATTACTGGTTACTGTCTAGCGTCTGGACTTTAGCCCCAAAGTCCGTACGGAGCAGATTCCAGCTTTCCCACCTGCGTTCCCACATCACCAGAAACGATCCATTCTGCGAAGCCACCGGGCTAACCCCAACCTGCGCTAGCGCTGTCGATCTCACTTGATTCTTGATGAAGGGCGCGAGATTCATTTCGGGGGTTTTTTTTTCTGTTTGTTGTCCTCGGCCTCCGTATTTCGTACTGACTGCCGGATTTATTCTAAATGAATTTAATCTAATCTATTCGGGCGCGGACTCCGAATCCTGGATTCCCTCATTTGGAGACATCTACCCATACACTGTAGACTTGAGCTCCCCCCCTCTTCTCTCTCCGATTCTCTAAGCGAGCTCTGTCTAACTTAGTTACCCCTGTCTAGCGTTGAAACAAGAGCACGTTCCGAATCTTGCTGCCTTGGTTTCTTGCTTGGCTGTTTTCATCCTGACTGGTGGACTTAGTTATGGATTATGAGATATGACATGTTGCAGGAGTGCCGGATTCCGCGGAGTTGGTTTTTTGTTTTCTAGGGTTCGCCATGATGTATGTTTCTGAATCTTCGAATGTCCATGTGTCCGGACCACAAGGGATGTGAATCCAGGGGTGGTGGAATAGAGAATTCCAGCCGGAAGAACATAGAGCCCCCAATCGGTGAGATTTCCGCGGAATGTAACCTAACTCTGAACTACTTGGGTGCATTATTTCGACGCTGCGAGCGTGAACAAGCATGCAGATGGAGCTGAAGTGTAGGTCCGTTCCTGTCTGGGATGGTTTTCCTACACCTCAAGGTCCTAGGTGTCTTTTTGACTCTGGTTAGGTTGAAGAAATTTTGTACTGATCTTGTCAGCTTCTCCCTCCCGAAGAGACGCAGGAATATCTCCGAGGAATGAACGTACTAGGATCTTTGTTTGTGAACCCTCAAATTTGAACGAGTTTGAAATCTAACAACAGCCCCGATACATTTGCATTTCACACTCGAGCCTCTGTCACTCTTAAATATGGCGCACTATATTATGTCGAGGTATAGGATTAAGTATTAGGATATTGGGAGGAGAAGGAAAGTAATGCAATAGGAAACAGACAGTCTCATCCCTGTTAACGCCTACCTTATGCCCCGGAAACAACACCCAGACACCTCCGTCAGCTCTCTATCCCCATAACCTCAGTCCTCCCGCCGTATCAAAGTCCCAGCAACTGTTTAAGCTCGGCAATGACAGTCGTCCCTAGCACATTCAACGTACCAGGCTCAGTCAACGGCGCCAGCTTCTTCGAATGTGTACATCTCTCCTCTGCCGGAACCCCATTCATCCGATCCGTTAGCCACAATGACGCCTCGGCAAATCCATCCACCTCTAGAAGTGCATGCTCATGCGTCACCGTCTCTTTGTACTCAACGCTCACACCATCCGCGCAGTACTGGTCTACTAGAGCGGTCGTTGCGTTGATCGGGCTGACCTCGTCTAGCGTGCCCTTGTACACGAACAACGGGATGCCCGGAGTATGCTGTCCGAGTTCGTTCTCACGATAAACCCGCTGAAAGATAGGATTGCTTTGAATGTCATGGTCCTTGTAGTAGGAAAGGACATCTTCGAATTGAAAATCGAGGATGTTGGGAACCAGACACTGTTCACGGGCGTCGAAGAATTTCTTTCTCCGGACAGGGTCATCGGTGACTTCGTCTTCGATAAGCTGCGCAACGTCGGGATATTCTCACGCGAAGCCATGGGCTCCAGACGCGACTAGCCCCGCAAAGAGGCCCTTGTTGACCGTATCAGTCGTCGTTTGAAGATTGCCAATCACGCCGCCCAGTGCAGCTCCGGCCAGCTGCAGCTCCCGGGCATAGGAAGGCTGTAATTCTGCGGCAAAGCCGGTTGCTAGGCTGCCTCCTGAATATCCCCACATGGTAATATCAGCGTCAGACGTAACACCAAGCAGGTCAGGCGAAGCCAGAACTGCACGAATCCCATCTAGGACGGCGTATCCGGCTCGGTTGTTGGCCAAAAACGCGCCGTGCGGTCCTTCAAAATCGGGAATTGATACGATCCATCCTTTTTTCGAGCAGCGACAAAATAAACGGTATATGGACCTTGTAGGTGTTACCCAGGATGCCGTCATTGTCTGCATTCTGCTGCAAGGCATAAGATGGAGCGCAATTGACATACGGAGAACCCTCGGGCATCTGGTAAGATAGAAGTTTGGTGGTGTCCGCATTTTCCGGGACCAGAACTGTGGTTGTTGTAGCGGTCGCATTGTTGAAGCTGTCGGTGGACCGGTAGAGTAGTTGGTACGAATTGGACAGCTTAATGGGGCGGTTCAGGAGACCTGCGATCGGATGCGGAACCTCCCTAGAGGCAAGGACTGTCCCTGCCGGCTGGTCTTCATAGCCATTTGGAGGCTGGTAGAAAGGGTGTTCGCTAGGCGGAACGGGGCCAAATGCCCGCAGGTCGAGCGTCGGCAAAGAGTGGCCAAGCGTGAGTAGGAGAGGGAGTAGAGACAAGAGAGATTTTATCATGTGTTTTCAGGCATATTTCCCTCTAAGAATCCACGACAGGGCCCGAAAACCGGATTTGCCGCTCGTTTTATTGATTGTTGACACGGTCGCCCGTGAGCTCGAAAATTTCCCGCTATGCAAGGGGCACAATATCAGATATCAGGCGCAGGTACACTCCGCACGAAGGACCGTCAGATCTTAGATGCAACTTCTGGTTGCGATCACCAGATTTAGGAATTTGACCAAGCCCGTCGCAATCTTTCTCAACCCGTCGCACAGCTGACCCCAATTCCTACCCAGCCATCATCTAGATAAGTTATTCCACTTCCGGGTGACACAACATATCCGATCGCATGCCGTCCAAGTACCCATGCATTATCGCCTTCAACTCTGCATACGATTGCAGGAACTCGCGACTCTGGATCCCATAACTCTGCTCGTTCAAGTCCCACTCGACCTCGGGAATATCGGTGACGATCTCCCGGAACGGACTGAAGTTCCAATTCAAGAGATCCAGCAATTCACTGGGTGTTTTGCTCAGGCTCAGCAGCAAGGGTATATCGACCGCAATGTCGATATGCAGCTTGCGTAGCTGACGGATCTCAATATGTGATAGGGATCGCGCCAATGCAACCACGCGGTCCTGAAATCCTAGGAGGTGCTCCAGAGTGGACGTGCTGTGGATATGGCGTGGTGCGCCCTGAATCGAGAATTTCAGGTGCATGGATTGCACCCATTGAATAGTCGAGGGGAGCGGTGCATAAGGCGGGATCGCCTTGCCGCAGAAGAGGATATATTTATTGTCGAGGACGACCTCGTAGGACGTGGTCCCGTACCATTCGGGAATCAGTTCATTGTGAATTTGGTGATTGGTGCGCAGAATTGCCGGACAGCATGGCAGATTATCGGTGCGCAGGTGGACGGTCTTGTTGCGACCGCGGATCAGCGGGAAATTGCGGATCGGCACGTTGGGGATCAGATATCGATATATGCACAGGCGCACTTCAGCTGGGAATTCGAAGAAAGGTAGAGCAGAGGTGGGTGACGACGCCATGGAACAGACGGGACAGCAGTGACAGATTGAATCGGCTGGCTCATGCGGTGCAGTTATTTACTGAGCTCGTCACGATGAGTCTTGCTGAAGGAGGAAAGTGGTTGACGTTGCTTTGACCGCTGGCAGCGGTTCTGGGCGATGGTGGGGGTTTGATTCTAGCCCTTTGACATGGGCCAATCATGGGGATCAGCCATTCAGCCTGGTCCAGGGATCGATCCGACATGATGTAAGGCCATGACTAAGAGATGAAGATGGGTTGATGGACTATTCTAGTAACGAACACAGGAGGGAGGAAAATGGATGGAGGATGAAGAAGGAAGAGAGAGGGGAAAGAAGGCACGTGGGAGATGGTCACTCATGGCCGCCTTAGGAAGCCCCGTGACACCGGGCGCCCCATCACCAGGAGTTTATTATGCGAAAGAATCCATTATATTAATAGAAAAAAAAAAAAAAAAACAAAAATTCCAAAAAAAAATCACAAGGGTATCTAGAATTTTACAATTGAGACAGAAGGAAACAAAGATGATGATTGTCGAACAACGTCCACCACGGCGTTTCTCTGGCTTCTTCCTAATCAGCTCATCGACGACGCCTGAACGGTAGTAGTACTGTTGACCTGAATGACCTCACACTTTCGTTATCATTCTGGGCCCGAATTCTTTTCAACACCTTGTTCATACCGGAGAATGAATTCCTAGGTGGCGGCTTTTCCCCATAGATGGCCTTACAATCCAGAAGAACCTCTGCTAGCTCTACCGCGTGCTTGCGGACAGCTTCAGAGAGCGGCGTCGTCTTACTTTCATCAGCCTTATTGATATCGGCCCCCGCAGCCACAAGATATTTGAACTTCTTCCACCAAAGAGCCGTGTTGGTATAATTATAGATCAACAGCAAAAGTGGCGTTCGACCGCCGGGCTCGGTAGTGATGTCGACATCTACCCTTTCAATGAAGGGGCGAATGGCCTCAATTCCCGTCATGCTATTGATTGCAGCATAATGAAAGCAAGTGTATCCACAAGACGAGTAGGCCTTACAATCAGCCCCACGGAACAACAGTGGTTCGATCATTGAACCGCTCCCATCTTTGGCTGCGGCCATCAGCGGGGTTAAGCCATCCTTAGATGGGGCGTTAATATTCACTCCGGCATCCAGTAAGACTTTGACCCAGTGAGCGTTCCTCGTCTCGACAGCTAATTTGAGTGGGGTATTGCCATTTGAGTCGGGGGTTTCGAGGTCTAGTTCGGGCCGGTATGTTTGAAGCATTCGGACTGCCTCAGGGAAGTGACGAATCGCGTGGATGAGTGGCCTGTCCCCGTCGTACGTCTCTTCGACCATGACTTTGCCATGCAAAAGGGTCTTTATGTCATCGCTATCTTTTCCTTTGATCGCCTTGACAAGGGATGCGACCGTTGCTGTGATGCCATTGTGACTCGGAGGACCAGATATGGACGACCTGGTCGCACTGTCATTGGCATTTTTTATACTGTAATCCGAAGGAACAAGATTAAGAATGCTATCCAGTTCTGTATAGACAGTATCTGTTATTGGCCTTGCTTCTTTATCGAGAGAAAGCATTCTGAATATGAGGTCTGCGTACTTCTCCGTCGCTTGGCGGTACTGAGGATACTGAGAGGGCAGCACGGTAAGCCATGACTCTACCTGAGGGTTAAGAGCCAACGGTGATACCCGATAGAACCTGTCGTTCATATTTTTGGGATTGCCATCGTGCAGTGTCCTCTGTTCATCCAAACTCCGAAGACCCTCTTCCCCGCCGAGGCCAAATGCAAGAACGCGCATCAATATGCAACCGAAAGACCAGACGTCGCTCCGGCGCCCGAACGGGATTTCCATATGCACCTCCGGAGGCTGATAGGTGCTATTCGGGTATCGAGGCTCATCCATAACAGGGTATGTGTTGTTGTTCACAAATTCAGATATGGTCGTCGTCGGGCCTTGGTCTGGCTCGTCGATGATGGAGATGCCGAAGTCAGAGATTTTCCACTGTCCCACGGGGAAGCCGCGTCGGAAAAATAAAAGAATATTAGATGGCTTCAGGTCCCTGTGGCGACACTTTTGTTTTAGAGGTTGGAGACCCCTGTGCAGAAACGACAGCGCTCCGGCCAACTTCAACATCTCTGACATCAGGTCGTGAAGGGTGAACTCGGATGACAATTCCCGGTAGCGGCCTTCCAGAAACTTGTCCAAATCCATATTTGCCCAGGGGAAAAGAATGTTGAAGTCGCGTCCGATGGTGACCGTGGCAAGACATGAGACGATGTGTTCATGCTTCGATAGACTGGCGCGTAGTAGAGAGAGATTCTTCATCTCGGTTTTAAAATGACTGCGGATAGTAAAACACTTCCGAGCAACGACGAGATTCTTTTTATACTGTCTTCTTATTAGTTTAACGTTGTTCAAGCAAAGCTAGCAATTTGCTCAATTACTCACATCTAACGGTCCTTCATCGTCGTGGTCAGACAGGATGCGAAAGTGTCCTCTGGCGATAGTCTCTTGGTCAACCACGCCAAAGCCTCCGCCTCCAATTTTTCCGCCACCATCAAGAAATGGAAGCCTCCAGCCTTCACTCCTTTCGATGTTTTGCCCCTCCAAGATATCAATCGGACAAAAGATATACCTGCCATTGTAGAAATGAATTGCCCACATGTGTCCCAGGAAGTTCGGATCCTGTAAGCCGGGTAAATCGTACGTTGGAATATCACAATCCGCCCGATTCTGCTGGAGGAAAATCGCCCCAAAGTTTGCCCAATCTTCCCACCTGATCCATACCAAGATTGAAAGTGTCTGAACATAGCGCTCTTGGACCTCTGCGATCGAGCTCTTGTCGAACCCCGGAGCGAAAAGGTCGATGAATGTTTCCAAACGTGATTGGGACCAGATTTCTCGCAATGCTCCACGCGAAATGAACATTTGTGGGGGGGTTTGGCACTGCTGCATCTCTTCCCCCAAGAGTGTAAGAATATTTTCGCAGAACTGGTCAGGCATATCGTAGGTGTCGCCGATTACGTGGATGAAGATCACGAGACGGGCAGCATCACCGGAGAGGGCTGGTAAGAGGCCGAGAATACGGTAAAACCACTTGTCGTGGGGAAGCAGGAGCGTGCATCATAAAAAATGTTGCATGGATCCCTGGGGTTGAATGATAGTTCTGCAGATGAATGACGCGCGACGGATGAGAAGGGAAGAAAGAGGAAGAAAGGAGTTGGGGAAGGGCGAAGGAGAGCCGCAGCACGACACCAGAGCAGCAGCCAGCAGCCAGCAGCCAGCAGTTCCCGGTCGGTCCCCTCCCCATGGGGTTGGGTTGGTCAATGGGCGCTAATTATGATGTCTCGGCAGCCTCATTGTGCACTAATTTCCCGGCTACACGAGGCTACCTGGTTGCCCGTCCCTTTGGTCTTGCGTGCATGCCCCCCTATGCAGGTGATACGTAATACGTCAGCTAGGCACTAGCTAATAGGCCAATGATGAGTTCAACACGTTTCCGCTTCGTATTCGTGGCTAGTAGTAATTTCCTGGAAACGGAGGACAAGCGATGTGCCTGGCCGAGTGATGTGGACGCACGATAGAGGCGTACACGGTGAGTCGATGACATTATCCCCTGGCGGATCCCCTACATCTACTCGGATATACATAGATCTAACACGGGTCGAGAACGTACGTTATTTCTCATACCTATGATCTCTAGGGAATATTTCGTGATTTGGTAAAAAAACAAGGGGAAGAAAATGAATATTATTACAAATTAGTTCATTCTCTACTTTATGATTATGAAAATTTCAAGCCTCTCTAACAGTTAATCTCTCATACTGCGGTCTCCAAAGCATGCATTTGATATCCAGGCGCCCTCTCAGACCTCACGGAGGGTTTGAACTTTTTAGACCTACCGATCCGTTTCAGTTCGGAAAAATGTTCCTTGACGTGGCTCGCTGTCTTGGTTTCGACTGTCGGAACTTAGCAAGATATTCCGTCCAAAATATCGAGAACCACTTACAAATCTGGTTGGTTGCCTCTAAGCTCACGCCGGCGGTACCGCTGGGAACCTGGTATACGGTAAGATGGCTTCTCCAAAAGCATCCGGATGAGACCTACCAGGAAGAATACCAATATAAAGGCTAGCGCATTTAATCCTCTGTAGTATATATTAATGAATAAGCCCCAGTCATGGCGACATGTTACGAGCCGGAGGACTCACGTAAAAAGAAACAACAGGTTCGAGAACCCGTTTGAGCCGAAGGCTTCGGTCAACTTTGGAACGAACATCACCAAAAGACCGAGCCCGAGGAAATTTATCATTACACTGAAGCTCATTCCTACCTCTACCCACAGTCAGTTCCGGCATACAAGGAGCCTTGTTCATAAATGAGACCTACCACGGAAGGCAAGTGGAAACACCTCAGCACTGAATGTAAAAGGCACAGGCCCAGCGCCAATTCCGTAGAGAAATGTGAATATGACAATCGAAAAGACCGAGACAGTTCCCAGGCGGGCTTTCTCGTCCGCCAGTCGAAAGAACCCGCCAATGGCTGCTATGGTAATGAGCATCCCTCCTAGAGAGCAGAGAAGAAGAACCCGACGGCCTTTCCTCCAATCAATATATCGATAAGCCGGAATCGTGAAAAGAAAATTGGCTAAACCAAAGCCTGCATATAGTTCGTCAGCAATTCTAATTTCCCGTGAAGGGCTCTCAGATATACCACCCACCAAAATTCAACCAAGCGGTTTGTACGTAATCATCCGACTCAGCCTTGTCATTTGGAGTGTTCATTTGACGGAATAGAATTGTGGAGTAGAACGACAGAACGTTGATCTAATAGAAAGTTGGTTAGATGGGGTAAGTTATGTGACCATTAATCCTCAAGTCCCTCATGTAGTAAGACTTACCCCACAAAGCTGCTGAGACGCCATTACCACAAACGCAGCTACACAGGCCCTGCGGTTTCGAGGTATACTCCAAAGACACCACACTCGCTTTAGAAAGGACATGTTCCGCACCAGCTGTTGATATGGGTATTGGGCCTCGGGTTGCGTTTCGTCTCGTCCAGAGGAGGCTTGTGTCCTCGACTGTAAGAGTTCCGCCTCGGCCTGTAACTGACAGTGAATATAGTATAAATCCCGCGCGGCTTGGATATCGGTGCCTCTCAGTTGACGTAGACTTAGGAAAGCACCTCTATAATCATTCCTGCGGATTAAAAATCGCGGTGACTCGGGACAGAGGAAAACAAGAAAGAGTAGCACGATGGCCGGTATAGCAGAGGTGCCGAGCAGAACCCTCCATTCGTGATTTACGATCCAGACAGCCGCGAAACCGACAAATATCCCACTGATGTCATATTAGTAACGAGAAATCTAATCGTGCATTACAATACGTACAATGTGTCAAATAATTGCCACATCATTAGCAGCCGCCCTCGAATGTGGTCTGCTGCTGCTTCTGCGGCGAAGACTGGAGCAACGGATGCTTTGGCACCGATCTTACGCAGCCGGAGATTAGCAAGGTACACAAATAATATATGATTTGGAGACACCTACCCCAATCCCAAGTAAAAACCGACATACAAGCAGTTCTTGCCATGTTTTACAGCGGGCAGTACCTGATCGATTTATCAGACCCTCTCCACACCAAGGAACGAGGAGGAATACCAATTGCGAAGGCGGCACAAAATACAGCCGAGATGAAAAGCGCGGGTCTTCTTCCAAACCGTCCTTCTTGTAAAGGGTCACTTAACCAAGTTCCGCTGTATAGGGTTAGACAGGTAGATTTCATCGGGTTGAAAAGTCGAAAACTGACATTAAACTGCCGGATAGCCAAGGGGCGGCGTCGATTAGCCCGGAAAGAATCCTATAGTTAATCCAATCGCCGCCGGCATGCTTCAACTCCCGTTGCCACCCAGGAGAGCTTGCATTTATAGTTGATTGCTGCCAGCCTCTATGGTCCGATGTCAGAGGACGATTCCTGCGAGGTCGGTAATTTTATAGTATCACTGCTGATCAACTTACTGGGTAATGGCGGCACATGCCGTCGTCAAGATCGTAACTTTCAGGTCTTTCGTTTGATCAAGAAATGTCAATTGATCTTCATTTTCGACAGCCTGTTTCTCAGCAGCAGTAAGACCAGATGCGCCACTTCCCTCCCGAGCCACTTGCGCTCCTTTCAATAGGAGGTTCACATCAACAACGTCGCTGAGTTCCTTATGATGGTCATAAAGACGCTGAACATCATCCTTGAGCTCCTCGGGAAACTCGACTATTGGAAGACCAAGTCTGCACGAGTGTCAGCAAGAAAAGGATTATCGTCTCACTCAGTAGAGGCCACGACATATCGCATGTTGAGGTACCTACCGAGGCATGATCAGATATTCTCCTGTTGGTCACAAAATATCCGATCGTTCAAGTAAGTTGACAAGGCGGCTCCCCCAGCTGAAGAGGACAGGTGATAAAGAAACGCCAGTCCAAAGAGGCTGAAATGTCAAAGGAGGGTTTTAATAGCCTGATTACATCCTTAGTGCTGTACAGCCTTCGTCCCAGGTCCAGACGCCATGCATCATGCATTCAAAGTCCTTTCAAGGGGTACATGCTTTTGAAGAAATAATCACCTAACCAGAGGGGGGACCTAAAAATGCTAAGAGAAATTCCCCTTCAACCTCACTGTGCCACCCTAGTCACAGGCGCAGCGGGCCAATCTCGTATTCGAAGCGCTCACTCATTTCCACTCGGACAGCCTCGCCATGCTGCCTGCATGGCCGACCCAACTTGGTAATTGACCTGTCCACAGACATGGTTTAATGTGATTGACTTTTGCCCGGGCACAGCAGGTTGTTCGCGTTAGCGTCTATTTTCATGATAGAAATATTGCCACTAATATCAAAGATCAGGGAATATACCATGTGCAAACTGCGAGCTATATATTTGTTAAAATACCTGGAATCTATAATTCTCACCTGAATCCATGGTTAACTAAGAAGCTCGTCAACTCCAGCAAACCGCCTAAATGCGAATCCGTTGTGGAAGTGCTCCAGGTTTCACAAGACTACTGCAATGTAACGCCATTTCCAAACACCGAGCACCTGGCTCGTGTTGGATGTTTGCTTCTTAGTGTCTTGTTTACTTTTTTGGGGCAACGTATGTCTTGCCTCCGTCACTCGTCGCCCCGGGGCTGTTCAGCTTACCATCCCAGATTTGCCAGACGTTGTTTCTCATATTGTTTATTAGGACCAGCTAGATCTCACTCTTGGTAATGCTAGCACAGTTACGCTCATCTAACAAACAGAAAAGCAACCCAAGCAACTACGCACCTTACCAGGGCTTTGGTAGTTAGTACCGTCATCGACGAAGCTGGGGGTGCGGGGAACCCTGCGCACCATGATTGAATCATTGAATCCGAGGATGCCACTGTCAGCCAGTCATGAATGAGAGACTCGGACCTGTGGCTGAGACCACCACATTTGCTGTTATTGGGGATCAAATACTCAGCCATAGTCCCTTGAGCCTCTCGTGTTCCCATCACTCGATATCCCCCGCTCTCTCTCATTGCCGCCCGATCGCCCAAACGGCACTAGGTGTGACTGCAATAACATATCCCCTAAGACGATCAGCACGGTCAAACTTCTTAGATTTTTCAGTGTTCTCAGTATTTGAATTAGAATCTCCAAGATTTCATGATCATATACTATCATGTCCACCACATACGTGAAAAACACCCTAGGCCCGGATGTCACTGGATACATTCGACACGAGAAATTAGAGGCTAGACTGAAAATTATCTTCAAGACGCCGATCATGGTCGAAGTAAGACAGGAAATGACTTTCTAGACATTCTCGTACTTGCTCTTTCTGATTTCACGGCTGACATGATGGCAAATCACTCCGCAGCTCCGCAGCAGTCGCTTTGTCTTCTATGCACCGAGGACGGTCTCTGAGGTAAGTTTGGCCACGCAAGGCTGTCAAGATATGGGCCCAGGATGTCTTGCTGATGCTTCGGCGGCTGTAGGATGAACTTGAGTAAGTTCATGTTCAAGGCTGACCTTTCTCTTCCACTGTAAAGGGAATAACCAACCATGCAAGCACAGAGATATTCGCGAAGACTACAGAGTCAACTAGCTTGATATTCAACATGAACCTTCGGCTTAATTATTGTTGTTTCTCTGCTAAGCCTGGACGGAGAGTACTTTCTCTTTCGTGGTGATTTCGTTCGAAACTGGCAATGTAACCCTTCAAGGCACCCCTCAGGTGGTGGCAAAGACAGGGCTTGTTCTTTAGCACAAATTAGCCTCGCTTATGAGTTATTTCTATTTCTGCCTTGGGAATTAACAGAATGTTTACCTAAAATTATTCTTATACCATCTTTAGCGCTGTTTTCAGTTTCAGAATAAGTTCCGCGCGCCTCAGAACCCAGGCAACAGTTTTAGAAAAGTGAAGCAATCTTCTATCGACTTCTATTATTCTATTTCTTTTTCAGAGCTAGATCTAGACCCCAAATTATTTTCCACCTCTTCTGTGATCATGTACCTCCCTCCGCGTCAGCTCGAGCCCGGCGATTACGACGCGATTCGACCCTATCAACGATACCCTACCTTCGGCGCTCAACCCGAGCAATCCGACATATACCTCTTCGACAGCGATACTGGAATCGAACCCCATATTTTCACAAACAGTAATGTCTTTGAAAAACACATATCGTCTACAAAAAAGCCCAGGAACAGGGTTGTGTGCGTATCCTCTCTAGCCATCCCTACTATACCCACCTAGCTAAATTTGTCCCATTCCTAGATCAATATGCTCTCAAAACTCAATGAGACCGCTGCGCATTACCTACAACGCGATACGAACCATGATCAACCAGTACGATATCAGTGCAAAATTTCTCGATCTCGTTCTCTCCTTTGGTGATAAACCACAGAGCTCGAATGCCGGACATGGTGGAATGGCTGTTTCGCATCGCGAGGATGGATCATACGGTACGGTTGCTCTGACCCAGCAACGCTCCACGACGAGCCCAGTTGCTCATAAACGCAGATATACAATATCTCTTTACCTATGCCGAGGATTATGCTGCAAATGGGAAGACCTTATGGACCATCCGACAAGTCTGCGTCTTTCATCGTCATGATCCCTCAGGGTCCGGGAATTTGTGGATCCTGCTGCATGCTCAGCGGAATTCAAAGTTGCAGCAACATGTCGAGGCGGCTCTTCGCGCTGAGCCAGGGATTTTGCTCTCGGAATGGTACTCGATGCATTCTTTGGTCTTATCTACTTATTTGACGGGTTGGAGGTGGTGTATTGGCAAACTTGGTCGGGAGATTGAAAGAACTGTATGTTTTTCTTTCCTTTTCTTCATACACACACACCCTCTATTCCGCATTTCCTTCTTTGCTTTTTCCGTTGCCGCCGATAGGAGATGGGTATTAACATATGATCTAGGTAGACGCAGCCCTGACCTTTGAGCCCTCGGACACCGACGACGACAAGAAGAGTCTTCTTAGCCTCTTGAAGCCGCAATACCTCGGTGACAAACTCCTACCGCTCTCATCCAGACTCGGCGTTGCATTGGATATTATCCAAAAGTTTGAAGAGCTTAACACAGAGCTCAACTCAAAACGACTTACATCCGAAGGCAGCTTTCGGCATGTCATGGATGAGACCACATACCACAAAACCATCTTACAGGGCTACTTGAATAGTATCTCTGTCCTGGAGAAGAAGGTCCAGGGAATCTCAGATCTGGTATGTTTTGCTTCTAGTTAACCCGTAACATCTGTTAACAGGTTACTAATTGTTTTATGCTTATCTAGCTCGCCGTATCCCTCAATCTCAACTACCAAGCCGTGACTGTGGAAATCAACAACAAAATGTTGAAACTTACAAACGCTGCAATCAACGACAATGCGACCGTGAAAGTCGTGACTCTAGTCACCTTAATCTATCTTCCTGCCAGTTTTGTCTCCGTATGCCCACCTATCATCATATATTCTCTGCTGATTGATCCATTCCTCTAATATGTTTCCAGACTCTCTTAGGAATGAATCTTTTCGACTTCGACGGCGAGAAGGATGGTGGTGGGTTCACCATTTCCCGTCAGTTCTGGATCTTCGTTGTCGCCGCTGTTCCTCTGACGTTTCTTACTTTGGCCTCTTGGTATCTTATCACTCAACGGCGACTTCGGTTGATTAGGAAGCATAAGGGCTCGGACGAGGAGAAGATGGAGTGATGATTTGTACGAGTATGCTATCTTATGGGTGGTTGGGTGGTGCTTTGTGGTTGTTTGGCAGGTTATAGATTGTTTCATTTTACGTTTTGGCTTTCTTACTCTGGTTATAGACATTAGGTGGCTTTTGCGTTGTTTGAAATAGACAGTGCATGATCATGATATTTGCCTAGCTTAGCATAAACTAACTAACCTATCCAGCACTTAGGTAGAGTCTCTTTCCAGGGGATAATAAATACATAGAGACAAAAAAATACCACAAAGATCCAGTCCGCATAGAGACGCCGGGTATTTCCTCCTGCTCGAAACTGCTGTACACGCGCATCAAAGTCATGATGAAACCCGAAAGTCACCCAATAGGAAAGCCCAGCAATCCAGGGTCCGAGAAAAAAAAAAAAAAAAAAAAAAAAAAAAAAAAAAAAAAAGTAAAACACAAAATAGAAGAGCATATGAAACGCCACAGAACGAGACTTCATCGTGAACATTCTGAGATGAGCAGATCACATCGTCGTGCATCGATCACTCATTGAAAAACTCCACGCCACTGGTATCATCAAAGGAATAGGTACCAGGTCGATCCCAGATCTCAGTGGCAGTCAAAACCTGATTGTACCGATGCACACACATCAGCGACAGTCCGGCCCCGGACACAAAAGAGACCTCGACCTCTCGAGGGGATCCGATCTTGCGCCGGCAGGTGTATATGTAGGTGCTTTTCAGGCCCCAAAAAGCCCACCGCATGCCGCCGAGCATGGGCTCCCATTCACGAGCGATCATATCGAGTGCGTTGAAGGATGGCCACTGGTTGTTGCCGACCACGGCAGAGTAGTATCTCTTGCGGCGGTCGAGATAGTCGAAGATCTGCTCGAGTAGCTCTAGCGGAATCGGTATCGTACGCGGAGGTGGGGTTTCGTTTTCGTCGTCCTCCAAAAAAGCTTCGGGAGGGGTGTTTATCTCCAAGCGGGTGAGGAGAGGGATGCGTGAAATGTAGTTGAGCATCTTGGGATCGAGGGGGGGGGGTTAGGTGTTAGTCCTTCTGTGTAATGGAGAGGGGAAGATAGGGCTTACCAGGGGCAGGTGACTTACGGGTACAGTCTCCCTTCCGATGGCCATTGTAATTCCCAGTGTCTTGAGAACCGGCAGCTGGTGGATCATCCACACAAGTTGATCGCAGCCGAAAAAGACAGCTCCTGCACCACGGTCGGTATCGCGGACAACCGTATCGCGGAACCGAAGGGTCTGAAGGTACTGTCCTTGAAACAGCAGCAGGTCATTCAAGGTGGAAAGAGGAAGGTCGTAACCATTGAATTCTTCTAACGCCCGCACGCCGCGCAGAAAACATCCTAGAGTGAAGCATATACTAGGACTAGCGTCATCTAGGAATCTCGCTCTGGTCTCGAAAGGCAGCGGTTCGCTGATCTGATCCTCTTCGTTACGAAGACGCACCGACAGCGATTTCAGATTTGGCACTTTGCCCGCAAGCTGCTTCAGCGCTTGCATGGTGAGGAAGTAGCCGTCAATGGTCAAGTGACGCAAAGCTGAGCATTGGAGGCTCCTCGTCCACTCACTATCGCCCACCCCTTGCATGTGGACATTGTAGAGACGAAGGGATTTCAAGCGCGCCAGTCTGGCACCAGGGGGGATGATAATGTTGCATACTTTGAAGCTGGGCGCAGTTGCGCGATAGGTCAAGGTCAGTGCTTTCAACGTGGGCAGCGAGCAGATGGGAAAGAGGGATCTCTTCAACACCCCGTTCTCCTGGTCCCAGTGCTCCAAGTTAATATCAAGCGACCGGATGTAAAGCAATGGGAAAGCGTGCAACATGCGGAAGATGGTAGCGTTGTAGATGAATATCTCCTGCGCACCCTGGATATCGATGATAATGGGTCGTTGGAAATACTTGAACATGTCGAGGATCGACTGGTTGATCTCGCGGCGCGACTTCCACCTACAAGGCGACGTTCCTTAGTACTGTGGGCTTGCTGAGCGATCTCTTAGAGCTTACTTACTTGATAACCCTCACCCCCGGAATCAGCTCAAAGAGGCTCTGAAGGGAGCGAGTGACGCGAGTGTTGCACTCGAGGTGTGAGTAACTGTCGGAGATTTCCAACACACGGACATCATTGAACTGAACCCAGGGTCTATGGTACGCGATTCTTTTGTCAAAGGGCTTATGCTCCGGGATGGTGTTTTCAACAAAATGGACATGCAAGTGATAGAACAACGCGGGTTGAACACATTGATGAAACTGGACGCAGGTTGCATAGACAGCCCACAACGAGCGGTAGTCAAACTCCAACTGCAGAAATAATTCAAAAGATTAGCTGTCGCAATGAATCTACGCAAATAACTGTTCTCTCACCGCGTAGAATATGCGGGTCCAGATCTCGTTCGGGACTCTGGAGACGGCACGGACGGGCTCCTCTGAGGTGGCTGTGTTCTCCATCTTGAAGGCGGGTGGCTCACGCCAGACTCACGATCCACAGGAGAGGAAAGAAAGAGAAAACAAAAAGAAGTTGTCAAGTGGTCTCAACGACATAATGGGCGAAGCCTTGCACGTGACGTAGTCTGGGTGCAATCGCTGTGCAATCGCTGTGCAGAGCTATGCAATCACCGCGCAAGAACTTTACCAGTGGTGCCGTCACTCCTGTTATGCTACTGCCTAAATAATCCCCATAGAAACATCCCTTTGATTCACCTATGGGAAAACACTTGCTGAACTTCTAAGTAGGGACCGTAACAGTACTGCTATAGCAGATGAGTAACCGTGGTGTTGGTTCGTGACTTGCGCATACTTTATAGGGCACTTTGCACATGATCCAGGTTAGCTGAAAGTAACGATAAGGGTTGAGCTTCGGATTATCAGTCACGTCCAGGCAACTTCAAAACCTACACAAAAATGCAATTGCTATAGAACTTGCTTCGTGAATTCCAGATCTTATTATTTCACGCTCGCGAAATAATACAATTCACCACTGCTCCAGGAGGTTCCTTCTTGATCCCCATTCAACACATGGTCCTGAGATTCCTGTATTCTTAGTGTCTAGAAAGCTTCCTTGCATCAGGCATCTTCCTGCATCTTGCATTTTCCTGACTCATCAGCCCTTTGGATAGAAGGAATGGAGGAACGTGATCCTTGGCTTCTCCAGGGCTCCGAGTTAAGTCTCAAAGGAACAACACCCCTCTCTTCGGGATAACTAACCTCCTGTTGTCAGACCGTGATATGGATCATCCGCGGCATCATCTCCTTAGCGAAATCCCGCGCTTCAACCTCTCAGCGACGGCGAGTCGGATCTCTTCCAGCGATGCGTTACCAAGAATGAAATCGAGCACGTCGGCGGCATTGCGGTTCTCAGCCGTCCATAGGGCTGGCACGGGCTGAAGCAGTAAAGAATCCCGATCGCTTTCAAGAGATTGGACCTTGCGCTTGAAGTCGAGTCTCTTGCGGTTGTCCAACATCTCATCAACGATGCATCCCGTCTTGTGCTCGCGACATATGACGTACGAGACACCTCGTTCTTACTATTTCAGAGGGTCAACGGCGATGTTGCAAGACTGAAGAGTTCCTACGAAATAATCAAATTTCCCGTCAAATTTGCTGCCAGGGGCGCAGGCCTGAGGCAAGGGGCCAGGTTGTTTATGTTTGCAATGGTTGCCAAGAGTCTAAGCCGACCCACTCTCTTGGAGCTTATCTCCTGTCGCCGTGACTGGATTGGAGAGGCCGGTAATGTGATTCTTCCTTCAGACGTACCCGTCTGTCGGCCAGAGTAAATGAGATCCCCAGACGATCGGAGTCATACCAAACACCACGATGTAAACAGCCCTGACGCGCCCTTCGGTAGTTGACCAGCTCCCGGGCCGAGCCACAGCCGGAGCCTATCATAATCGAAGACTTGGCAATCGCAATTAATCAGATTTTGTAGGGGTGGTCATCGTTCGGATCCGCCTTTGACTATTTTGTTTGGGTAATTGACTGTTAAGCGTTTAATTTTCCAACATTCATGCTGTTTCTTGTTTTCAACCCTCATGAAAGTTGCAGAGTTGGCTAACCAGCCATACGGCCCAACGCGGCAAGATATATAACTGAATTGAACCAATTGATGCCAACTACGCGCAACTAATGCAAGCGATATCAATCTAGACAAGCGTACCCGTCATTGATCAAATAATGGAATTTTACTAAACGGGATATTCATCAAGATTGCTACTCTAATTGTGATGCAGGAGGGGTAAGCAGAACACAAAATGCTTGGCAGTGACACTTCAGGCATCCACACCTGCAAGTCCGGAGTCAGCCTGCAGAGGAACAACCTGGCATAACCCAATGCCAGATAAGATAAAACCAGGCCAGCGGAAACTCTTGTGCACCGTCACAGCGGAGGTCCTCCGAGGCCAATGATAGAATGAATCGAGGCCAGGGCAACCTGGTTGGGAGGGCTGCCCCTTCAGGACTAGCGTCACCCGCAGTTGGCGCTCCTGCCCAAAGGAGACGCGAAACTTGCCGCGCTACTCGGCAGATTTTCGGCGAAGTTGCTCTCCCCCGTATAAGTACCACGCAACGTCATTCGGGTTGCCCTCATCGAACGTGCTTCTCTTTGTCCTTTTTTGTCTCTTAGTTTACAGATACCCTCGTCTCCTCGAAGCATTCCAGTCCCAGCCATGTCTGTCGCCGCCACCGCCAAGCGCCCGGAGATCATCGAGATCGCCCGCGGTCTCGACCATGTGCCCATGTGTGAGGAGTTCGAGAAGATGATCTCCGGTATGATGTGAGAATATGCTGTTTTCTCCCCGCAGACTTCATCTTCTGACTCGGTGTCTCAGGTACAACCCCAACGCCCCGAAGTTGCTGGAGGGCCGCCACCGCGCGCGCGGGGTAACGCAAGACTACAACAACCTCGACGCCAAGACCGTTTCTTACGACCAGATCTACGACGTTCGCCTGGACCTGCTAAAGAAGATCGTCGGGAAGGTCGGGTCCGGCACGTTTGTCGAGCCGCCGTTTCTGCCGGACTATGGGTGTAACATCAGTATTGGGAAAGATTGTTTCATCAACTTCAAGTGAGTTGTTGATTCTGTTGACGAATCGAGAAGATGGGGATGACAGGGGGCTAACAGTACGCACAGTTTCACCGCCCTGGATACCAGTCTGATCCTCATCGGCGACCGCGTGCAGTTCGGTCCCAACGTCAGCATCTTCACGGCGGGTCACGACGTCAGCGTCTTGTCGAGACGGAAGTTCGTCGAGTTCGGCCACCCGGTGACGATTGAGGATGATTGCTGGATTGGAGGAAATGTGGTCATTTTGCCGGGTGTGACGATTGGCAAGGGCACGACGATTGCCGCGGGGTCAGTCGTTACGAAGGATATTCCGGCCTACTCGGTGGCCGTTGGAAGCCCGTGTCGGGTCAAGAGAACCCTTCCGACCGTGGAGCAGGAGGAGCAGGATCCTAACAACCCCTACCGCAACTTGGTTCGCGAGGATCGGTAGAGTAGCCTCCTAGAGGGAAATGGGGGAAACGGTGATGATGTCTATAACGTCGTTAGATAGGAACAGCAAGCACGTGACTATAGACAAATTCGTATACAGATAAATGTGCTTTTTTTGCACAAGAGAATAGAAATGACCGGAATATATCATTATGCATGTAGTGTCTAAGTCCGTAGTCCCTATCCCATATGATAGATACAAGCGCCATGATCCACCCCAAGGGCAAGAGAACCAATCCCTTAGCGTTTGCCTGCACGGACTGTCATACATGTCTCTCCACCCGGCAGATATGCGATCGCCAACGACCCCAGTGCACCACATGTCTCGAAAAAGGCGTGAAATGTGGGGGCTTTGTCACGCCTTTAATGTGGGATACTAGTCGGACGTGGCTGGGCAAATCGGGCAGACAGGATAGGATGTCTTGGTATCGCGTGCAGACGATGTTGCCGTTAAGGACGTCGGCAGTTCGGATCATGACAGAAGGAGGGCAACAGGGCCTCGGAGATTCGATTTGTGCAGAGTGGGAGTCGCAGAAACGACGCAGATTGCAACAGGAAGATCGGGATAGTATTCGACCAGGAAGGGCGATAAACCTGGAGCCGGAGGATTCAGCCCTCGAGAATGTGGAACCCGCCTATGGCATTGAGATAGATCAGACATCTCCTGAGACCACGACACCGGTATTTGACGACCATGGTATGTTAAATTCGGGATTGTCACATATAGTTGATTTACTGATCATCAAAGGCCCATACCCCTTGGATAATGTCGACTTTTCTATTGACGAGGCTGTGCTCGCATCCCTGTCGGTTCCCACTCTAGAGGGCATCGCTCCTGTTGAACATTCAGCGTTGAACCCGGAAGATCATCTATTAGCCAATACCATGGAGAGTGTACTTACGAGCAACCAAGCGCTCATGCCTCCTGTTTCATCATCAGCAAACGGGTGGCTGTCATCAGCTCCTGCGCTGCAATCGGGGAAGGATACCGGCTCCCACTGCAGGCATAGGAAACCAACATGAGACACTGTTTAGAATGTGTAAGTCACCCCAGAAGACTGCTTGAACGTGAAATCGGCTAAAGACGAGCAGACGACAACGAATTCTGCATTCTTCCAATCACCTCAGACTCCGAGATCGATCCTTTTCGCATTCAGTGCTCTGTATCTGAGGGATCGACGTTATTGTTCCATTCCATGCTGGCTTTATGTTGTCGACATCTGAACATTCTTACTGGGTCATGGTCATCTGAGGCACAGGAGCATCGCAGCGAGGCGTCTAAAATTTTGACCCAAGTTAGTCAAAACCAGCATTTGCTGAAAAAGGGACTTGCATTGTTAGATCCCATTCTTATCTGCTTTACCTTGGATGTGAGTGGTGCCGCGGAGAGTTTGGTCTGAGGAAGCTAAACATTAATGGTGTACCCTGTCCGCATCTGGACGATGGTCGTCTCAAATCACCCGGGTTCGCTTGATTCTTGAAGAATGCGGCGGCCCGTCGGCACTCACAACCCAACGGGCTCGGGCTCAGGTGGCGATGATGATGTGGTAATACAGACCCAGATCCGTCCGAATGAATAATGTGAGCTAATAACAGTCAGGTGGGATGCGACGCTCGCGCTCGTCTCTCGACAAGGTCCTATTTTGTCTCGACCGTATCTTGAACACCTAAGAAAATATGAAAAAGAAGATCAATGGTCATTCTACCAACTGTCGGGATGTCCGACCGATCTTGTCGGACATCTATTTTCGCTCGCTGAGCTGGCTCATCAACGCGAATTAGCTTCGTCCATGACATGGCTGACATTCGATATAACGCCCATCTTACAGATCGAAGACCAGATTCGGCAGTGGGAGCACCCTCTATATTCTGGTCATTTGGCTGAGCCCGACTCCGACTCTGAAGACTTCGAGGAGGCGGACGAAGCTGGTTTCAATGATCAACAGGATAGATACCACTGTGCAGAGGCCTGGCGAAATTCTCTGCTGCTATACATTGAACGGGTGTTTAAGTGGGAACGCGACACCCCTCGTCCCAACGCTTTGAGTCGACTAGCTCGAATAACGCTTGATCATGTTCGATGTTGTCGGAAGACATCGTTAACGCAGAAATCGCTCCTGCTGCCCGTATTCTTAGCGGCGAGCGAGACGTCCAGTGAGGAAATGAGGGACATTGCAAGGGATTTTTGCCGATGGTGGGGAGACCGAAGCCGATACCACATGTTTCATTCTGTTCCCGCGTTATTGGAGGAGATCTGGGCTGGAGACTGCTGGTGGGGAAGTGTTGTCGATTCGAAGACCAGAGGGACAGCTGGTCATGCCTCGGTTCAATTTCTTCTTGGATAGACGTGGGGTGTTAATTGTCTCGATATATGAACTTGTCTATAGTTTGCTTTCTCTCATTCCTGCCCCACTGACCATCTCAACCAATTCTCGCACCTTCAGTCCCGCTCCATAGCTGAAAGTATATCCCAGCGACCCAAACCCATATGCATGTATCACATCACCGTCCTGTTCCAATCGATATCAACCTTTCCGGCTCGGTCGAAACCCAACAAAATCCTGCATGCTGCTTGACTTTAAATCAAGACCTTTATACTGATCACCAAGGACTAGGTTGACCCGCTTCAGGATATCGGTCTTGACCTCCCCATCGGCCATCTCATCCATATTTCCTTCCTGCGCCACTCCCCCATTGATCACTCCCCTGTATACATACGTGGAATCTGATAGGTGTAATGCGATCCCTGAAATAGAACCATGTCCTGCGCATCGCTTTGTATGTGCATGACATGGCCCCGGACAGGGTGGACGTTCTCGTCATTTGCGAGCTGAAAGGCACCGAGTGCGGTAGCGTTGACGATGAGTTCAGATTTGAGGATTGACCGTGCCTCATACCGGCAAACGGGCCGGATTAACCCCGTCTGCCACTTGCCTATAGAATAGATTGATTAGTAAATCACTCAAACAAAACTTCATCTTTAGTTAATCTCGTTTTATGACCACAATACAGAATAAGCAGAAAGGTTCGGCGTTTGGCTTAAGCCACAAACTACAATCCAGACACCACAATTCTCGGAAGGGATGTTTTCATCTAATAGGACGCTGGGGTGTCCTCGGAATCGCCGTACGACCAAGAGAATGGCACAGTGCAACAAGCCCTGCCACATGTCGTTCCAGACATCAATCCTACATTTGAAATCCGGGGTTTCGGATCATAAACAAAGTTTCTGTATAACCCCATGTCATCCACGCGGTTCATCTAGAGCCGTACATTCATCTAGGCCCATTTATCTTATTCATCCTTTTCCTTTTAAAGTCTCGAGGATAAATCTCCTGTCGAATTAGGAAAAACTCACGAGTTATTTCTCGGGACCAGAAGTCTCTCGGTATACACAACCCATTTCAGCGACAGCGGTTCCGTGTTCTAGTTCTATAGATATCTCTTTCCCTAACTCGTATTCATTAATTAAACAGCATCAGCACTGCCATCTGCATCACCTCTCACAGAACCGGCGAACACCGATACAAATTCCCGGGAACCATAGCTACTTTCCAATCGGTCTAGGCGTCGGACGTCGGTGAGCAAATTCGAAATTCATACGCGAATGGTGAGCGCAGAGTTTGTCAGCTTGTGGCTCCTCACCCCTTAAGTCCGTTACCTAGTCCGTTCTCCGATCCCATATTCAGGCCACTCATTAAGGTCATAGTGACATAAACACAAGCATTCTAGTCTCGCCGTTTGCTCAGATCCTCAGGCCTGCTCGTCTCATGTCATCTCAGCTCACGTGTGCACTAAAACTAGCTGCATGACCCAGATTAGGAAAGTGGTTGCTGACGCAGTCTAGCCGGATACAATACTAGCCATTAGAAATGATATCCTTGATTCCTAGGCTACTGAGTAATAATTGTGCCGGTCTCTCGGTGCGGACGGAGCGTCGGACATAAGCCGCACGGGAGTTCGGGAGGATCAGGGCTTGTATGGACGCCACAGCCGAGCGACGGACATGGGGTTGCCGACGAGGCTCTGGGCGGAGCGTATTAGTAATAGTCGGGGTCTGTGGAGAGAGATCGTCGTGTGTGTTCGGGGTATGGTTTACATTTTTGGGCGTCTGTATGCCGTCAGTAACTGCTTGGGATCTGGGGGTGTGGCTAGGCTCGTGTTTGCTGATATTGCGCGAGATATAATTAGAATGGTTGGAGGAATGTGTGCTTTTTTTCTTTGATGAAGGTGAAGTCGGATGTTGAGTCTCCGTTACGTACAAGCACAAAGTGTACCGAGTAGTAAAGACGGTGATGTTAAGTCGGGAGAAGGTCCTATGAATAGGTCGCATGTGTTCTAGGTGAAGGAGACTCACGTTAGAATCGAATGGTCCTTCCTCTATTGGTATGGTCAGCATGTACGGTTCACGGCGTTTCAATTGGGTGAAGTATCGTACTAATTGTAGCTGAACGACCAAATACCCGGCGGTTTTGAAGCCGCGTGGGTTCTCATGCCCATGTGTTGATCAACAGTGCCCTGCAACCACTCACTAGTCCAGGGTGGCCTAACGGTCTCGGAATTCACACGGAAATCGTCTTTTCCGACTCAGTCCAAGGTCGAAATAACTATGGCTTGATAAACCCGTAACGGAGACAATCTAGACATGGTTGATCAACGTGAGCTCGCGAATGACATCATGAGCAACACCTAGGCTCTGTATTTCAAAGAATACCGGCTGGCTTGATCTTGGCTCTGTGAATATGACAACTTAATGTGGGTCTTCCTTACATCATGTCCACGCGTAACTGGCTGTTTTAGAGCTTATGAGTGGAGGATACCGTGCCTTGCAGTTCCTTGGTAGTGAATCGAAATCCGTACTTTTAAATCATTTAGCCAATAAAGCTTCCCAGCCCGACTTGGCGTTTTCAGTAATATTCGCGAGCTCTTTGAAACGGGACCAAAGGTATGGTAAATTCAATATGCATGTGTGGCTGATAGGTAACTGTGTTCTGGCTAAATATGATATGGCATTGATCATGAAACCCCCTCCCCCTTTGGGCGGAGGGAATCCGTTACGCATGACCTGTGAAGGTGGTCTTCATTGTCTCATTACTTGTGGATCATAGCCGCTTGCGCAAGCCCGGGATTACGAAAATTGTCTATTCTCTAATTTCAGGCGATCGTGGACTATACTGGATTTTGCACAGCTAAGCCCCCATCTTGTGTATCTGGGTTCAGACATGACTAGAACAGCAGGATTGGCGAAGAAGAACGCACTGACTACTGAATCAGAACGAGCCCCATTGCGGAGGGAATCCGCGATAGATTATCAGCCTCACTTCGGTGGCTACTTCACTATACCCACACCTAATCTATTCCCGGTTCTAAGGGCACTAGAATTGAGATCCAGTGTACACTTGTAATTTTCATGTTTTTCAAAGGATCTAAGCCCCTCCCGCCATTGACCTCACGATGATCTACGCAGTATAATCTTTCGCACTAGAAACTAAATCTGATAATATGCGACAGTCGGTAATTCCCGCTGACATACGGAGTAGGAGAAAGCAATTCATCCGGACAGATGGAAAAGCAGGCGCTATATCTACCCCACTGGTCTGGAGCCTCGTAGAATCCTGCTCTTCCTGGCTCCGAGGGGCCAAAAAGTACTCGGTGCTCCAAGTAGATACAAGGCCCCACTAAAAACGGGGACGGATTTTCCGAGTTCTGATGCGATCGACAAGAACAGGGGTTTTAATTCGCATGCCTTCCAAGGAGAAGAAAAGAATACTCTCGGCAGTTTCAATTTACAGGAAACGGATGGAATCCAAAAATTGGGAGATGCGCGACGTATCCTTCGAGTCCTTGGTGCTCACTGCTCGCCGGCTCGGACATAATCACCTCGTTAAGCGCGAATTTGACAGCACTAGGGCTGAGATTGGCAGGTAACGGTGGCCACGGGCTCCGAGCGGACCTTGTCCGTTGAATGTGCACACTATGTTAAGTCCGCGTCATGGTTTCTGGATACTAGCGTGTGTCGGGTCGGGGAAAGAGAATGTGGGCCAGTGCGGATAGACTATGAATAATCCACTATAATTTGGACTAGCCCGCGAGCGTCAGACTATCAGTCGGAGTGTTCAATCGCACCTTGAAGCGATGTGAGTCGCTTCGGAACTTGGCTGCCTGGTGATGGAAAGATGCACAGAAGCTTTAGATGAGATGGTATTCCAACAAGAAAAGCAAGGCTGCCAATCGTATACCGGAAGTCGTCGAAATAGAGTGGGTCTCAAATGAGCAGAATATAAGCAGAAAGGTACCTAGACCAAAAGGACCACCAGATCGATACCGCTGAGGATCCCGTATTTATTCCGGATAGCTTCATTCTTGGGATTGGTTGAGCTGCAAGCGACGTAGGGTTGTGTATTTTGAAGCAGTAATTGTTTCTCTACTATTTTTCATAAGCAAACTATTTGGTCATCGCTACCTTAAAACGTCTCGTGTCCAAAGGAGAAAACCCACCTGCAACATCGTATTGCCTAATGACTAGGCAGTAATAGCTGCTGACCATCTCGTTATGCAATAGAAGGGTCCACCAGCGATCCCGATCCTAGGCCAGGCCCTCACCATAGTCGGACCATGCGTTAATCCTTGCTTAACTCCATTCATTAATTGACTTTGATGATTTTATCAATCTCTCGCCACCATGCACATCATCCAAAGAGGAAATGCAGATTGTGTCATCATTTCCCACCAATTGTGCTCGGAAAGGCCACCACCATATGAGTATGACATACTTACCACCTATCAGCAGAGATAACCAAAGACAAGATTTCGTCAACGCTTGGCAAGGCGCGAAAAAAAAAAAAAAAAGAGCAAACAGTAAAGAAGGAAGCGATCGGATGTATCATCCGAGCGGGGAATGGTGTCACATTAATCACATTAATGGATTATAGGAAGATAGTAACGTGTTTAGCTGTTTCTTTTCCTTTCCCTCTAATAAGCCCCTCTACTCCGTAGCGAGGGGGGCTATGGCGCCAAGAATTCCGAATTTAATTTCCCTCTCCATGTCCGTTGGAGGTATGTACCTTTTCTCGTCCTGAAGGATTTCCGATTTTTCGTTTCCTGGGAGCCGCGGGATCCACGCGTAGGGCTGGCTGTCATGATTGATGTCATGTTTCTACAGGATTCTTACGTAGAAACTAAAAAGCGGTGCAGGGTTGAGTGTTGGATATGCGAGATGAAGTGTTGGGAAACGGATGTGACTGTAGAGTAGCCTATGTATGGGCAGACTGCTAGTAGCAACTGACCGACTTGCAACTAACTTAAAGGTGAGTTAATAATTGGGGGGTCCGGGGCGGTCTTCAGCGCCGACGACCGAATGCCAAGAGGGGCTCCCGGGCGAACGACGGTCGCTCGGGCGCTAAGCAGATGGCACCTCCGGCGTCCGACGTTCCCGTCGATCCCCGTCGGCTTCTTGGCTGTTCGGTGTCACTCGAAGCCGGATTTTTGTACTTTGTTGCTGGGCATGTGAAGGAAATATGGACAATGTGGAACTCAGAATGCGCAGAATAGAAGAGATGAGGCTTTTTATACATTGGGAAGTGATTCATTGAAACATGTCTATCATCAAATATAAATAAGGGGGCATATGCTGCTCAATTTTCGGGGGACGGTGTGTTCTCCTTTTCTTTCTTCATTACATCCATGGAGTGATCACCGCTTTTCGATCTCCAGCAGTACCCGTAAGCATTCCTCATCTCCCGCATCCACCGCGTAATGCAGTGGCAACCAACCCGCCGCATCTGTGAGCGTAGGATCAGCGCCCCGCTTGAACAACTCGCTCACGATTACACTATGTCCACTAGTGACTCCCGCGTGCAGCGCTGTCGCTCCTTCGCTATTGACGGCGTTCACATCCGCTCCGTGTTCTAGAAGCAAACGCACCATAGACAGATTCCCGCGGGCAACGGCCATGTGCAGCGGTGTCGTCCAGGGCATGTGTGCCGGCGTCAAAGTGCTCGGGGCCTCGCCGACCTTAGTCCGGTGGACGATATTGGGGCTACCCGTGGCCGCCGGGATAGTCTGCGCGTTGACCATAGAGGACAACGGAGGTAGGAGACCCCCGTAAGCTTGCGCTTCTAGAATGGTCGGCACCAGGGTTTGCATGTCGACGTCGCATAGCCGCACTGTGCCTTCTTCGGCACATACCTGGAACCCTGGCTCGCTGCAGGTCCCGTAGACGGGGTCGAATTGCTGGGATAAGGCAAAGGGATCAAATGCAGATGGAATCTGTGTGGTGGTTGCAGTAGTCGTAGTAACCGTACCATCCGGTGCCGATGGTTCGAGACAATTCAGATAATCTGCCGACGGGGAGTACGACGTACGGCCGACAGACGAGGATGGAGAGCTGGAGGACCCGTAGGTGGAGGCAAACGCCCCGTCGCTACCAGGATAAGTGCCGTCTGGTAGCACCATACTGTGGAGTGTGATTTCCTGGGGCGGCGCATCGGACTGGGGATCGGGAAGCCCAAGCTCTAGAGTACCGGGCGATTGGGAGCTGCGCCGCGAGCCTCTCTTGGAATGTGTTTCGCGCGAGGTGCGGCGAGATCGTGGACCCGAAGCCGTCGGACTGTTATTACTATCGAGCTCTAACTCTCTTAATCGCTTCCTAACATTATCTCCTTGGAGAACCATTAGCTTGGGGTCGACTGAAGCAAGGGATGTGCAACAACATACGGTGTCTTCGTTGCGCGATGCGGTTCCTCTCTCGGCGTCTTTCTAGAGCTAGGAGCTCCTCATGTCGCGCGTCTGTGGTATCCAACTTGGGTTTCATGTTTGATATTGTACAGTAAAAGTGGAATCACAAGGTCAATTCAATTGAAGTATAGAACCCTCCAAAAAAAGCAAAAGAATGGTAGCTCGCTCCTATGCACCAATTCGTCATGCCGGGAGAAGCCCATGTCTTATGCGGAGGAGCGTCGATCCCTCAGCTCGTAAACCGATCGCTTTTCTTTCCATGGCGCCTGTGGCCCCAGGGAAGGAATCAGGCGAGACAAACGGTCAGAAAATAGTAAGCTGGGCAATATCCATGGGTCTCTCGTATATGCTGGCGCGACAGAGGGTCGTGGCATCATCCTGTTCGGGGCTAGCGGTAATTTATCATGCGTCTTGATCGTGAAACGCTTATTATTATTATTTTTTGCCTTTTTCCTTATTTTTTATTTTTATTTTTTAAAATTGCTTCGTGAAGAAGCTCTGCGAGTCTGGGCCAGTATAAGCACCTTATGTTGCTGATGATTTCTAAGATGGAGGCTTAGCAGGTGCTGGTCGGGAACTCCGTTGCGTTGCGGTCACGCCGCAGTCCCGTGGTTTGGCAGACCCTAAAGTGAATCTTCATCACCCGTCAAGGCTCGTTGAGGAAACAGATGGGATTTAAAAACAATGCCTTCTTTTCCTGCCATTCCTCACACAGCCCCGCTTTGTTGATGAAGTTTATAGAATCAGCTTAGTCTAGTCCCTTGGTGATTGGTCATCGGGGTCGTCTGAACCTGCCCGTTTACAAATAGCACTCGGTCTCTTTCTAATCGTCATTCCCCGGCGGACTGATCCGGCGTGTCAGCCATCGGTTATTATAGGTCCTGTCCGCTGACGATGCCAAGTTGCTCTATTTCCCGCAGGAAGAGACCGGCCAAGAGGCACGGAATGGTCTTGGTGGCGCACGGTAAGGCAAAGGAAGGAAACCCCGGCCGGCGACGAGGGGACCACCGTCAGCACGATGGATTAGTTAGCTTTTAAATATGATAGCACATGCCCGGTCGAACTCACTGGCTTTGGACTTGAAAATCTTTCTTCTAAGGATCTCACATTCACATCGATTGTCTTGCGAGGGCAGAAGTGGCACAACTTCCTCGTGGCTTGCACAACCCAAAATACGAACCCGAGCAAGCCCTCCTCCCCACAGTCTATGCAAGATGAGACGGCAAAACCGCTGTTTCTGCAAGAAGCCGAGGAAAACTGTTGGTCCACTTTCACGACGTTATGGCCGTTTATCGACTGCTCAAAGGGCGCGATAGTATTCTTGAACCACCCTCGTTGTCCCACAAAATGATGCCCCTCGGCGGACTTGTGCAATTTAAACCCTGCCGCCGAAGATGCCTTACCTACAAGGTGACATCAGAATGCTCTTTAGCTGCAGAGTAACCCCTCTCGCCTCCCTGCTCCCTTGTCGCTGGCCTTTGCTGAAGTGTCATCCTTCATTCGCCCAGGAGACGTGGTTTTATATTCCGACGGCGAAAAACAGCTCGGGCCGTCCGTTCATGACGACATTCGGTGCTTGAATCTGCATTTGATCACACTTTCATCTCGCGATCGGCCATCATCTGACTCCCGCCTCGCTATCATAATTCGCGCAATGTCACTCTACATCCAGTGTTCGTTTGTTGCCTACGCGCTCCCCCCCCACTTCGCCAGGGCCTGGCGTTACATTTCGACCAGGGAAGCCGGTCAAAACAAGCATCCCCGTGGCTGCTCGGCGGCCCTCGGCGCGGTCGTCCCTACCGAGTAATTCGTATCGCTAGCATGGTACGGTGTGCCCATATACGACTAACCCCGCTCTGGAGGCATTGAAAACGGGCGGACGGGACGGCCGTTTTGGTCCTCTGCAGCTGCCTTCAAAAACCATTGAATTCTGCAGACAGGGCGATCGTATTCGCTAGAATTTGACATATCTTTGTGATTCCTCGTCTCTTTCCTGACTGAATTTCAACGTTCAAAATGCGTCTCTCTCAAGCCGTTAAAACCACTCTCAATTACTATCCCACCTGCTCTCTCGCCGAACGGCAGATTGTCCTGGGAACTGTTGGTGCGTACCGTCGACCCATCGACTCGCGTCCGATCACCGTCCACGACGTGCGCGGCCGCGAAAGTAGCTTCAATCTCGATGTGCATGGATTTCAATTCCTGAACCGTCCCAGTCCTCATGTTTCCTCTTTCAATGAGTCTGTGGTCAAGAAATTCATGTATCCTGAGGCCGTGGATATTCTGAAAAAAGCGTATGCCCGTTCCCCTCCGCACCGTCTCCTTAATTCTAGATATTTTACTGACCCATCTCCAGAACTGGCGCTACCAAAGCCCACGTTTTCTCGCACATCACGCGCACAGCGCCCTACGAGAAAGTCGAAGCCATGGCGGCGTCGAAGGAGTCGGATACCAAGCCCACTAGCTTGATGGTTCCTGCGCGACTCATCCATGTCGACCAATCCGAGACTGGCGCCTTGGACGTGTTGAAGGACAACTTGCCGCCACAAGAAGCTGCTCGTCTAGCCAAGTCTCGTTGGGGGATCGTTAACATCTGGCGCCCGTTGAAGCCCGTCCCGCGCGACCCGCTGGCCGTGGCGGATGCGCGCTCCGTGCGAGACGAAGATCTTATTGAGATCTATGGTCGGATGCCCGGGAAGGGGGAGAAGGATTATGAGGCGGCGACCAAGGGCGCTGGGTTCGGCGTGCTGTATGGGAAGTATGGCGAGGGTCAGAAGTGGTATTATTTGTCTGGCATGAAGCCGGAGGAGATCATGTTGATTAAGTGCTATGATTCCAGGGCTGATGGGAGTGTGGCGAGGAGGGCGCCGCATACGGCGTTTGTTGACCCTCAAACGAAGGAGGTCAAGGAGCCCAGGGAGAGTGTGGAGTTGAGGTGCTTGGTGTTCTTTGAGGATCAGATCTAGTGATTGGTTTGGTAGCTGGATACTTCCTAGATTTGAGCTTTATGGGGTGTGGATGTTAGTCGTACAAAGATCTACTCTAGCTTCTATCACTATCTCTGTTATTGCGTTCTTTTTACCGTAATCTCAATTTTCTCAAAACAGTTCTTGTCTGCTTTATTTTCAATTTCCTCTTCGGTCTCCTTCTTCTTCTCCTCCTCCTGTTTCCTCCTTTTTTTTGGGTTTCCTTCTTTTTCTTTTTCCATGTCTTTCTCTCTTTAATTCTCTTTTTCTTCATTAGGAGAGTGATTGTCTATAGTGATTTCCCTTACCGAATACAACTTGACTATAAGCAAGGACGGTCGGATAGACGAGTATTGTCGGGGTATAGCTCAGACTAATTTCATTGAACATATTTCCCCTTAAAGACTTTAGCGTACATGCTGATAATTATAAATATTCCAAAATCCAAACTCTTTTCATTTGCTGAAAAGGAACCAACATATAATGTCCTGTTATCTCAGGTGCTACAAAAGCTACACATTTTTGTTCAAGAGCATTTTAAGCAGTCATAACTTTTATTCAACATATTTCAAGCAGAGCAATGACAAAAGCAGATCTACAAGTATGCAAACAATTTCCAGTCTACCCCAATATCTGCATCAACTTCAAACTCTAACAGGCACCAAACCCCTCTCGACCCAATCGGCCACATGTCTCTCCAAATCCTCCATCACAAACCCTGTCCTCCGTTTCGGCATATCCGCTAATGCCCGCTTCGTGTTCGTGATGTCATACTGCGCCATGTCCTCGTATAGCTCCCACCGCGTGCGGGTCTTCCGCACGGGTTCCTGCAGAACAGGCAACATCGGGAGAAGTGGGTTCGCTAGGAGGTCTTTATCCGAGGAGAGCGCCTCCAGCCAGTCCTTGTATGGGAGCGCTTTGAGCGGATAGCCGCATTCCTCGAGCATTTCCCAGCAGGTTTCCACGTCTTTGTCTTCCTCGGGGCTCTGAGGTACGATGTGGAAGACGCGGTTGTAGTTCGCTGTGTTGGATGTGATGTGGACGAGCGCGTGGGTGACGAAGTCCACGGGAATCATCACTTTGCTTTGGTTGGGGAGGATAGGTCGGACGCCGAGTTTGATGGAGCCGATAAACACGCGGCCCATGAAGTCGTCAATGTTGGCTTTTCCTCGCTCCGTGTCGCCCATGATGAATCCTGAGCGGAAGATGGTCGCGGGAAGACCCTTGGCGATCATGCTGTGCACCATCTGTTCCGAGACCCATTTGCTTTGCGTGTATCCGATGTCGTAGGGGAGCCAGGCTTGATATTCTCCGAGTTCCGTGTCCTCAAAGATTCGCTCTTCGCCGGTAAAGTGCGACACGGGGCCCGTGACGGCTGCCGTGGACATATAGTGCAGGGACTTCGGTCGACCCGTCGTGGCAAGCTTGATACAGTTCAGCGTGCCGATAACGTTGGTCTCGCGGTGCTTCTCGTAGGGCTGAATGTAGTTAATGTGAGCACCGGCGTGGAAGATGGTGCTGCTCCAGAGACCAATCTCCTGGAATTCGGCTTCGGGAAGGCCGAAGAGATCCTTGCCCAGGTCACCGGCAACAGCCGAGATCTTGTCGAGATTCTCCTCCTGGTCGAGGCCGTATTTTTTCAGCGCAGCGATGAGACGACCACGTGCCCAGTAGTTGTCGGCGGCCCGGACGAGGCAGCGGACGACCTTGACGTCGGGCTGATCGATCAGGTGGCGCAGGAAGTAGGTTCCAAGATAGCCGGTCGCACCGGTCAGGAAGACTCGCCCTTCCGAGGGGGCGCGCCAGTTGGGGGCCTCACCGGCAGGCACAGTGATGTTCTTCGCGAGCTGGGAGTCGGCGATGAACATGCCCAGGCGCGAGTGGTCGATCTTGTTGTTGGTCTTGCCGGCGTCAATAACACCGGCTTGTGTCTCTAGGGTGGGGAAGTCGTAGATCTGCTGCATTGTCAGGGACAGGCCGTATCGGCGACGGATGTGGACCAGCAAAGCAGCGGCCTGTAGAGAGCTGCCGCCCAAATGGAAGAAGTTGCTGTTGGGTGTGATGTTGCTAATGCCCAGAACGGAGGTCCACAGGGCTCGGAGCCACGTCGAACTGTCAACATTGCCGTTGGAGTCGACCGATTCCAGAGCTTTTTGCTCGGCTTGTTCGGTCTCCTGGATGTGCTTGGTCACGACAGCGGCGCGGTCAATCTTGCCGTGCACGGTGAAGGGAAAGCGCTCGACAACTTCCAGTCGGGGGACCATGTAGGAGGGAAGGATTTTGCGCAGGTACCAGTCCAGCTGGGCGAGGGAGAAGGTGGCGTTCTCTTTCGGCTGAACAAACGCCGTGATGTACATCTCCTTTCCGGGTCGGCGAATGGGCAAAGCCACGGTGGCATGAACCATGTCGCTCTTGAGCAGGGCACCTTCGATCTCGCCGGGCTCGATTCGATATCCGAGGATCTTGATCATGTTGTCGGCACGGGCCATGAACTCCAGGGCGCCAGACTCCAGCTTCCGCGCCAGATCGCCGGTCTTGTAGACCTTGACTGACGAGCCATCTCTCGACAAGTGAGACAGATCTAGGAAGCTCTTTGCGTGTGCGTCGGGACGACCCAAGTATCCTCGGGCGACACCGGTCCCGCCGATGTACATTTCTCCGGACTCGCCATCGGCAACGGGCTGTAGGTTTTCGTCGAGGAGGTAGATGGTAGTCTCGTCGAGCGGTCGGCCGATAGGCGTTAAGCCTTGACGAACCTCCTCCAGCGTCACCAGGTGGTAGGTAGCAATACTGCTACCCTCTGTGGGACCGTAAGCGTGTACGAGATGCTTCGGAGCGCCGTTGTCGAGCACAGCCTGCATCACCGTGGAATTGGCAGCTTCGCCGCCGGTGAGGACATAGTCGAGATCCTTGAAGGCGTCGGGAATGACCGAGACAACATGGTTCAGCAACGCCGTGGTCAGCAGGATAGTGTTGATCTGATACTTGTTGAAGCTCTCATAGAGAGCGACAGGGTCGACGACCACGCTCTTCGGCAGAGTAACGATGGCACCACCGCGGGCCAGGGTAGTCCAGATCTCGAACAGGGCGGCGTCGAAGCTCGGCGCCGAAATCTGCGCCACCCGGTCCGAGCTGGTGAACTGGACCACTTGCGTGTTGAAAGCCATGCGGGTAATACCTTGGGACAGGATCTCCACGGGCTTCGGCAGGCCGGTGGTGCCTGAAGTGTGTAGAATATGGGTCCGGTGGCTCTTGCCGGTGGGCTCGGGAATCGGATCGTCGTGGAACCCATTCTGGTGCAGATCGGCCAGTTCGGTCGCCGGGAAGATGGCGTGGAATTCGTTAAATCTTGTCTGTTCGCCCTTGACGGTCATGACCAGACGCGCATTTAAAGCGTTCAACAAATCGCGAATTCGCTGGTCAGGGAGCGACAGATCTAGAGGCACGCAGGTAGCTCCGGCGCGGAGGACTGCAATCTGAGAGGCAACATTGGCAATTCCGGAGGGCAACAAGATGCCAATGGGCTCTTCCGGACGCAGGCATTCCTTTGTGAGGACGGGAACGAGTTTGTTCGCGCGCTCGTTCAGCTCGTGATAGGTGATGGACTGGTCCCCTTCTACTACAGCGGTGGCATCGGGAGAGTTGTGAACGTGGTACCGGAAGCAGGCCTCGAGGCCGAGCGAAGATAGTTTAGAAGATCCAGACATGATGGAAAATAAATGATTGTGAATTCTAAAGAGAGCGGATGAGGAGGAGTGTCAATGGTGTTGAGCTGAACCATGTTACTCACATTCCAAGTTCCAGTCTATATATACCCATTGTCTACCTCAGGCTGCCTCTATTTTGCCTCTTAATCCGAGTCTCTCTCTACGCATCTCATCACGATCCTTCGTCTGACTTGCCTGTGGGTCGCGGACTACCTTCTAGCGGCTAGAAGGCCTTGGTATAGCGCCACCAGTAGCTCGCTCGGAATTCGTCATGTCACAGCGTTGAGATGCCGACCATTCATGCAGAATCAGCCAGGAGGGTATGTCGCATTTCCACGTGTCATGTCATGTCATGTCATGTCAGCATCGCAAACGTTCTGTGCCTGGCGCTCCATATTGGACGGGGTCTTGGACGGTTCGCATCGGGGACCCGTTTTATGTCAAGCAGGATTGCAAATCTGACGGATCTGACACGTTCTGGATCCTTCAGCCTCGTATTCGGGGCGATCAGAACATCCGTGGCGTGTAAAAGCCTCAATATAAAGGCTTGATCACGACAAGCCGGTGATCTCGTCATCTCTTGACTTTTCGACTGTTTTTTGGCTTTTGCTTTCTTACTTGCATTATGGCGATACTATCGGGTTTCACCGTGTTGATTGGGCATGGGGTCGCACATCCTACGCTGGTTTACTCGGTTCTGGGGGTTATAGGCGCTATCACTGGCCTGGTTTTGGCGACGCTCGTCTGGCCCACGGCTTTCTCACCTGTATCGAGGGTGGTTTCATGGTTTCTCAATGTATGTTTCTGTTCCCTCTATTGGAGCTGGCGATACTGACTGTCGGCGAGGCGTACTTGCAATTCAGATATCCCATCAAACATGCAGAAACCGGTCGTCCCATTCCCGGACCGGCGTACGTCTGGCCCGACGGACAGGGAGATGCAGGCAAATACATCTTCGGCAGAGACAACAGCGCACAATGGCAGTCACAATATGGCAATGTTTACCGATTGTGGGCGGGGATGACTCCTGAAGTGTTCGTCGTCCAATTCACCTCTTTGCAAAACCACGTATTGACATAAGGCAGTGTCCTCACTCGTCCCGAACAACTGCACGTCGTCTTCAAAGACTCAGACAAGCACACCAAAGCCACGAACAGCAACTCCGGATACTTCATGAGCCGTATCCTGGGTAAATGCCTCGGTCTCATGGCCGGTCAGCGCTGGAAGCTTCTACGAGGCATCGCTGCCCCGCCCTTCACGCACCCGGCCGCCATTAAATCCATCAGTCGCATTCAACGCCATGTCCGCGAGCATTTCCACGAGCTCGAAACGCAAGGCGACCTGCGTCACGGTCGCATTCACCCGGTCCAGGACCTTAAGATGCTGCCCTTCTTCATCGTCGGCGAGGCCAACTACGGCTCCCTCACCCCCGAGATGAAAGCCGAGCTGACGGACCTCGCTCCGGCGCGCGAGAACCTGATGAAGTTCGTTGTTTTCGGAGGTCTCGCTCGCTTCGGTATCTCGCGCTTCTTCCCAACGGAAGCGAATCGTCAACTCAGTAGCTTCCGATCGCAATGGAAGACCTTCAATCATAGGGCTTACGAGCGCGCCCGTGAAAAGCACCCCTCGGCACTCGTGGTGCAGATGTACGACGCCGTCGCCAAGGGCTCGCTTACCGAGGAAGAAGTCCAACAGACCATGGACGAGACCCTCTACGCCAACCTCGATGTAACGACCGGTGGATTGTCGTGGAACCTCGTATTCCTCGCCTCGAACCCGACTTGCCAAGCCCGTCTATATGAGGAGGTCTCCACGATCTCCACGCCTGAAGAAGAAGAGGCCTATATCTCCCGTTCCGGCACGTACCTGGCCGCCTGCATTCTCGAGTCCTCCCGTCTCCGACCCGTCACGCCCTTCTCGATCCCGCAGTCCGCGCCCACGGAGCGTCTCGTCGACGGGTATAAGGTCCCCGGAGGCACGAATTACGTGGTGGACAGCTGGGGTCTGAATCTGCGGAACGATTTCTGGGCGCCAGACAGTAGCGCGTATCGACCAGAGCGGTTTGTAGGACGGTCGCCGACGGAGCTGCGGTATCATTTCTGGCGGTTTGGATTTGGGCCGCGACAGTGCATTGGCAAGTACACGGCAGATGTGGTCATTCGCACAATCCTGCTGCATGTGGTGCGCAATTACGAGCTGAAGTTGCTAGAGGAGGGCAATTGGGCGCAGGACCCTGAGTGCTGGATTACGCATCCGGATCTGCAGGTGAGATGTGTGAAGAGAAATTAGATTAGACCAATGTATAATTTGGGTTAGAAGATGGCAGGAAGAAAGGAAAATAGGAAAATTTACGCAGTTAACCATGACGAGATGATTTATTTGCTTTGCCAGTTTGAGTTTTGTCGTAGTTCACGATGTGTCATATTGGCTCCTTGGCGGAGTTTGTTAGTCGGAGACACCGAGGCAGCATAGGGGGACGTTCCTTGACGAGGTTGCATTTCTCACTCGTGACTAGTGTGTCATCATCATTTGAATTAGTTAACTAGAGTAATAAGAAAGGTCATAGAAATAGTTAGAGCCTAAGAAAGAAGGAAGGAAGGAATCGGAAGGAATCCGCAGACGATGACCGCCGAAGCTCTAATGCACGTCGGCCTCTTGGCACCGCCGAGCCCCCGAGCCCTGTCCGACGACTTTAGTGACTCTTAATGACCGACTTGAAAGACACGCATCCCTCGTTCCTTTCCATCTTCCGACCCCGACAGATCACCTGCGCTCGTCCTGAATGATCCGTTCCCACAATAATTAATAATTTCATGATGAAAAATGGAGCGCTCGTGTATGCAGTGTCATCAGCGTAAGGTCCGTTGCAGCAAGACCCTCCCCTGCTCGGCCTGCGCCCGCCTCGGCGTTCCGTGTCGCTATCCCAGCGCCGACCTCCATCGGCCCCGACGAGTGCAGAAGATCACCATCACCGACCGCGTCGCCCAGCTCGAACGCAGTCTGGCCGTGCTGGCGAGCAGTCCCATGCCCCAGTCTCAAGCCTCGGTCCCTGAAGACCCCAAACGTGACCCCTCGGCCGCCTATCTGCCCGATCCTCCGCCGTCGCCTAGTCGACGCCAAGAACTGCTGGTCCAGGACGGCGGCTCCACGCGCTACATCAACGAGACGTTCTTGTCGCGCATTTTGGAGAAGGATAGCGGTCTGCATAAGGCGATCGGGACTCCGCGCGATTCGGCAGAGCCTGCGGTTGGTTTCAGACCGGAGGGGCTGTTGCTGTCGCGGTCGCGACGGCAGTCCACGGAAGACGAGCAGTTGGATCTGTCAAGATGGCAGGCGGCGCAGTTGTGGCAGATTTATCGCACGAATGTCGATCCCGTCGTCAAGATTCTGCATCTGCCGACGGTGGAGCCCCTGGTGTATTCTATCATGAACGACGGGGGCGCCGAAGATCTCAAAGCCCTGCTGTACGCCATCTACTTCGCCGCTGTGACGAGTCTTTCGGGGGCGGATGCGGCAAATTTGCTAGGCAGGGACAAACGGTCGGCCTTACTGGACTTTCAGGGGCGGATTGAAACTGCGTTGGCTGATTCCGCCTGTTTTGACCTGCCGAGCATCTTATCTCTGCAGGCGCTAGCCATCTACATTGTAATTCACTCCCGTCTGCTTATTGTTGGAGGAGCGCATACTAATGAGACCAGACGTGCCTTCGAGCCCACAGTACAAGCCGATCTGGTTGGATCATCAACGGAGTCTTGATTCGCTCGGCCCTCTCCATTGGCATCCACCGTGATGGCACGCACTTCAACCTATCCCCGCTTGAAGCCGAGATGCGTCGTCGGTTATGGTGGCAGATCATTATGCTGGACCACCGCGCCGCCGAGGACCACGGTCTGGCCGTTCACGGCTTCGGAAGTCGAGCCGACACCCACATCCCCTTGCACATCGACGACAGCGACATCTCGGTCGAAATGCGCATGCTGCCCAGCCCGCGCGCTAGATGGACCGAAATGAGCGTATTCCTGCTGACCGCGGAGATCGGCATTGCCTTCCAACAACTCTTCCATAACACCGCGAGCCAACCGGTCGAACCGGCGCAGCGGCTGCAGACGGTGCATGAACTGACCTCATACTTGGAAAATGCCTACTTGCGGCACTGTAATATCAATATTCCGATCCAGAAGGCCGGGTGGTTGACTACGCGCTCCTTACTGGCGAAGTTCGAGTTCTTCGTGCACCAAGAGGGTCTTAATAACGATCGGCCACAGGAGCTGGTATCCTCAACGGCCGAGCAGACCCTCACTTCGGCTTGCAATTGTCTCGAGCTGAGCGTCGAGTTGCAAACCGATGATCTCTTACGGGGCTTCCGCTGGCTCTTCGTCAGTTACAATCAGTTCCATTGCCTCACGTACATCCTATGGCACTTATGTGCGCAGCCCGCGGGGCCAAATGTCGTGCGCGCATGGAATATCGTCGACGTTATCTTCGATCTTACGGAGAACGACGCCAGTCGCCCGGACCCGGGACCCCTGTGGAAGGTCCTTAGACATCTACGCGAGAAGGCAAGACAGAGACGTCAGGATGAGAATGCACCACCCCCTGTCCCGAAGGACCTACCGGAGGGGCAAATACCCGTAGAAAAGCGCCTCGATGAGCGACCAATGGAACAGATCGAGCCACCCCCGGAGGGCTTAGAGGACGTCTTGGCTCCGAACCTGGATCCAAACTCTTTGTCTGAATGGATGGATTTCTCCGAGAATCTGGGAATTTTCCGGTTTGATCTGTAGTCTTCTGTACCGTGATATCACCTTGATTGTCTTTGTGGCGAACATGGAGCGAGGGTGGGCAGCGATGACGATTTTCATGTAATGCGAATAATGAATGCGGTTACCTAGTTTTAGTTTCCTCCGTTCAGAATGTACACCATTTCTCTCGTGATCTTTTGACCAACCAAAGAAAGTGCACACGTAGCCCAAAGCAAAGAGAAAGAACAACCGGAGGCAGCCCTACGGCCCCTGGCAATGACCCAACTCGGCGGTCTCGACCTTTCGCTCCCGAGCCGAGCGGAGCCCAACTCCCCTGAGCCCGAGCCGACGGCGCAAAACAAATAGAAATATCAGATTTTAGTGCTGTCATGGACGCCTCCCTTATATCAACCAGCTCATCTCTGTCATTCCTCTGAAGGTACGTACAGACAGACTAGACCAGATCAGATACACCACGAACGCTCCTGGTATCACTCAAATCATCAACCGTCAAGATGTCGTCCAGTCCTCGCACCTCCAAGGAGAACCACGATCTCCAGCCGTGGGATAACAATGAGAGTCGCTCATCTGTGACGGTGTCGGGTTCGCCGAATGGGCAGCCCGTTGTCGACGAGAAGGACATCTCTCCTCCCCCCGATGGAGGCCTTGAGGCTTGGTTGGTTGTTGTTGGCGCCTGGTGCACGTCATTTTGTAGCTTTGGCTGGGTGAACAGTAGGTTCTCAATCTTTGACAAACCGTGAGAAATCCGAAATGCTGATTATTATAGGTATCGGTATCTTCCAAAGTTACTATGAATCAAACATGTTGAAGAACTATTCGTCCAGCACCATTTCCTGGATCCCTTCGTTGCAGGTTTTCTTCATGTTTGCGATGGTATGCCCGTCGCCAATCCCCCCCCCCCCCAAAAATAAGGGGCAAAATCTGACAGATACAGGGTCCTATTGTGGGAAAGCTGTACGATAGATTCGGTGCAAGATACCTGATTATCGCAGGCACCTTCTTCCATGTCTTCGGTCTCATGATGGCCTCTATTTCGACTGAATACTATCAGATCCTGCTCTCGCAGGGCGTGTGCAGTGCCATTGGCGCTTCCGCTATATTCCAACCTGGTGAGATCATTTCCGGTACCACTTCCCACCGTCAGAAGCTGATTAAACCTATTGAAAGCCCTCAACTCCGTTAGCGTCTGGTTCAACAAGAAACGCGGTATTGCCTTTGCCACACTTTCCACCGGCTCAAGCGTCGGCGGTGTCATTTTTCCCATTATGCTTGAACGTCTTGTTCAACAAGTCGGCTTCCCCTGGAGTATGCGAATCTCCGCATTCATGATCCTCTTCCTACTCGCCATAGCCATCGTCACCGTCAAGGCGCGTCTGCCTCGCGCCAGGTCCGCCAACCAGAGCAAAACCACCCTTCTCCATCCCTTCAAGGAGCCAGCCTTCGTCCTCACCCTATTCGGCTACATGCTTCTCACCTACGGTGTCTTCATTCCCATCAACTACGTCATCGTCGAGGCCGAGCTGAACGGCATGTCCGCCAGCCTGGCCGCATACCTCCTCCCCATGCTCAACGCAGCCAGTCTCTTCGGTCGTCTCGGTGCAGGCTTTGTGTCGGACAAGCTTGGTCGGTATAATATTTTCATCGCCATGTGTCTGGTTGCGGGCGTGTTGGTCCTGGCGCTCTGGATCCCCGCCGCCAGTAATGCCCCGACGATCGTCTTCGCCACCATCTTCGGTTTCGCTTCCGGTGCGTATGTCAGTCTCTCGCCTGCGCTGGTGGCGCAGATCTCCCCTCTCACGGAGATCGGATATCGCACTGGCTTGCTGTTCTTGTTTGCGTCGGTCGGCGGTTTGACTACCAGCCCGATTGCGGGTGCTATTTTGTCGAATGCAGGCGGCAAGGACTTTACCAACGTGAAGATCTTCTCGGGTGTGTTTTTGTTGGGCGGAACGGTGTTTGTGATTGCGGCCAGGATTATGAAGACGGGGTTGAAACTGGGCGCGAAGTTTTAAGATGGAGGCTTTTTTTTTTTTTTTCTTTTTTGTCATTCCCCCCCTATCAGCGTCTGCACTTGCTATGGGGGTAAACAAGCGTTTTTGGTGGTAGATAATGCGCGCTGCACGAGTGGGAAGGTGCAGTTGTAATAATTCATAGATCATTCTGGGTTCGTGGTATCATAATCTCCCATGGTCCCACGGGCTTGTCCGCGGGATCGCAGTGGTCCGAGTCGTAGCCGAGATCCTCCGCCACTGTGCTGGGATCTTCATCCTTGTAAATGTTTATAAAGAAAGAAAGGGAAACAGTAGCAGCGCAGGTGTGAGCATACGCAGGAGTCCATTGATGCTTGGATTGCAAATATTCCGTGACTGACAAGTGGGAGAATCGCCACACCTTCAATTTAGAGTCGATCACAAGGAAATTGTTGCAAAGCGATAACAACCCCTGTTCGTCGATTTCGTCGGCTAAGAAGCACTCGTCGTCTTTCGACCCAACTCGAATAGCGGAGATGAGCTTCTCGCTATCCATCGGCTTGTACGCCGCCATCAACCACAACATGGCGCGTTGCGCGAGCGTTCTGTCTGGCTCCTCCAAGTTGTCAATCTCGTGCCAAATTTCGTAATATGCATTCTGTAGAGCATCCGGAAGATTCTCAAGATGTTTCCAAACACTCGTCTCAGTTTTGCATCTCACAATCTGATGGACTTGCAGCGAGGTCCATTGAAACCTGTACATATCTTGTCAGCAATCTTCAACCTCGAGAAAGCGGTCATAGAACAGTCTTACATTCCCTTTCTGGATCGGGCAGGCTAATATTCTCTAGTGAGACACAGTCGTTCACTTTCGATTCGATTATTACCACACAATTTGTTCCCACTCGCTCTTTCCTCCAGGAGACATGTATCGATGCGTCCCCCATAGTGCACGAGTGGCTGGATACCTCTCAATACAGTAAGCCGTTGTACGTGATTACAGGGCTGAAAGTTGTCAGGGGCGCAAAGAAGAGCCGGACACTATTATCAAAAGATGCGCCAGCCAGATAACCCTTCTCCACCGCCTATCCAACACAACCCTCATTACATGCGTGATAAATTCCCCCAAATCGACGAAAAGATTCTCCAACGGCTTGTTTCTGCGACGGTCACTCGGCGGAAAAGGGTCCTATACAAACGGCATCGTTTTGGGGGCATCCCTGTTAACGTGCAGGAACCAACCGCTCAACCGATGATCAACACCACAGACGACGAGTTGCCACAGTCTGTTCCCTTGGAGAAACCCCATACGCGTACGGATCAACCTGGCGATAGACCACAGGCGTGGCTCACCGCAACGACATTGGCAGTTGACAATTTCGGGAAACTTTCTGCACCTTCTGCAACCTCGGCCACTAAAACATTTTCTTTTTCCAGATGTGAGGAGTTTCCCGTTCCTGCTGCGCCTCTTTCCAGAGTGAGACGGATGTACAAGAAGATGGAACAAGCCAGAGAGGAAGAACACAATAAAATTATCGATTTATTGGACAGCCAAGACACATCGGGGCCTCCTGGTGACATTCCCATTCGATCCCATACTTGGAAGGAAATCAACTTTGGAATGTCGTTCTCTCAGGCCAAACTTTAGGTATTCGTTAATGGAAGACTAAACATCGCCCGCTGTGATACTTACGCCTCCCTATTCCTCTTTCACCCCCTCTTGTGGTTTACTCTCTTCATACCCCTCCGCTGTTATTCAAATGAAACCTCGTCATGTTTTGAAGAGGAGATCAATTCCAAAAGGTACTGCTTAGTTCGAGTGAGGAATAGCGTGAAAAGTCTGTAACTGAGGATACATTTGGGAGATTTGAATCACTTGGTGTTCAGAGAGACTGCCTGTTTTCCCACCAGCGTTGTTTCAATGGGTGTTCGCTTTCGTTTCTGTAGATAATTGTCAATATCACTACTTTTGGCTGTCAAGGTGAAAACAGAACGCATCAACTACTCTATCACAAGGTGCTCGCATCACTCCGAGCGGGAAAGAGAAGAGACGTTACACATTCGATCTCACTGATACGGGACATCTTCCTCGCTACAACCCAATTTGCATTACCTGGGAACTTTTCACTGGCAACTCTGGCAGAGCAGTAGTCGGGTTGAATATTTATATCACTCTACTGCCAAAACTTGTATATATCATAGCCTTAGTGAGTCCTACCTTTTCATAGCGGAACGGTAAAGCAAAATAAAAGCTCAGTAGGAAGATTCTCAGAAGAAGTATTGCAATATCGAATTATGGCTGATATGGAACAAATGGTACGTACTATTTTCATGGCGTCAAGTTAATTTGGCATCTCATCAAACTATCAAGGATGGCTAAAAAATGCTTAGCATCGTCTGTTGGTTACCACTTTTGCATCCAATGGAAGCGCTAACCGACCCTCCCTTTGATACAATCTTTTCTTTTCCCCCGCTGGAGACAGCCTGTCTGGTTGTTATGGTGGTAGCAGTTGCAGTTGGGTTGGGGAAGAATGGTGTGCCAATTTTCATGAGTCCATCTTTATGTGATCGCTAAGTTACATCACCAACATTACGGCGTTCAACTCTACAGCAGCATCGATAACAGTTTCAACAACATCAGCCTCGACCTCATTCAGCGGCGCTAATTCCATATCCTGCGCCCATGACAATGATGTGGTCAATGTAGAAATTCGGAAGTTTAGGGGATCGATACGGGACCAAAAATAACGATATGACTGCTTGGATTCCTTCGAATGAATGAATCTCCAGAAGATGGAGGGGCAAGCGAGGTGTAGACCTTTTGATAACTCAACGAGGCGTACGCCTCGTAGCACTGTCTCAGATGCCTGGCTGCCTCGGGCTCACAATGGACGACGGCTTGGCATTCAATGTCACACGGGCTTCCTTGATGGCAAGAAGCAATTGGCTTTGATAAAGATGCCGTCGTCCGCCGGCCGCCAGACCTTTGCGACTCAATGAGCATGTTCAAGAATACAGGGCGAATGGGACGTGCTGGTGGCATTAAAATGCGACAGAGACGTATGAGGTCAAGGAGTTGGAAATTGCGATTCTGCAGTAAAATCGATTCTTTATATCGGCTTTTTAGATCTTGTATACCCTCGTTTACAATTAGATAGTGTGCGGATGCTCCGAGATTGGAGGACGTATAATGACTGAACATTCGGTAGACCCGTTCATAGTGTGTTTAATATGAACCCTCTTAGACGGCAAATTACTTTCTAATTCCATGGCGACACGTACTGATTAAAATTGGCTGCTTCATCAGAACAAATCCTTCTCAACTCCACCAAACAATATCTTCAAAAACCCGGATTTATCCCTACCTGACTCTCGTACCGCATCCCCCATCCCAACATCCCGATTGATCTCCTCGGCCTGTATAACAACATCCTCATGAATCCCCCTTCTCCGTTTCCAATTCCTCTCCGTGTTCGTCACATATCCCTCCCTGTACATCCGCCCATAAAACTCCCTCCCCTCGTCTGCCGTGCGCACCCGCAGGATATCATAGTCGCTCGCGGCCGTCATCGCGGCGTCTCGTTCCCGTCCGGTCTGTCCGTCCACCATGTGTACGTTTACTCCGAGTCCTCGGAAGGTGTTCCCCCATATTGCGTCTTCGGAGGGTGTCACGAAGATGGTTATTCGGGACGGTGCGATCGGGTAGGACAGGAGGTATGAAAGCGCGTTCGTGTCCACGCCGTGCGGGATGGGGCCTATGACGAACGAGTCGTTGGATGCGATGGCGGCGTCGATGACGGGGGTGTAATGCTTGAAATAGGACTCGGAGGAGCCGGTGTCGATGGGACCGGAGATGAATGCTATTCGTCGTCTCATTTTGAGGATAGACTTCATTAGTATTGGATATGGCGAGTTCTTGGTGTTGATGTTGTTCTTGTGTTGATCTTGTTGACATGGCAATTGATAAGATAACAAATTGCCGAAGGCGCGCTAGTCCATATTGGGTAAGGCGTGAATTGGAGGTAAACGCGGGGAAGATGGAGGGGGACACGTGAACGCAATATTCATGATGAAATCTTGCATGCATCGCTGTAGATGCTCTAGAAGCCTTGAACCATGATTCAAGCCATTTTCTTCGTTGGTCAAGTCCAATGTTCATGCTCTCCACCTGTTCCTTGGCTCACATCCAATTAACCCGGCTGCCCTTTCAAGTAATGCCTGATTGGGAAGCCAGCTATGAACTTTCCTGCCCGCCATGAAGAATTATGGCTCCTGGATATAAAAAGCTTGTAAGATGTCTAGCTCCTGATCCTTCGGTAATGGACTGTCCTTGTTTTATGCTTGAATCATCCTCACATTAAAGAATCACAAAGAGAAGTTGACTAATCTTGGAAACCGCCATCATGTCTACGATGGACCAGATCTTCTCTGGATATTACAAACGCGTCGAAACCCTCAATTCCAGCAAAAGCCCCTTCGCCAACGGAGTTGTCTGGGTGGACGGTGACCTAGTTCCCCTTCACGAGGCCCGCATCCCCATCACCGACCAAGGCTTCATGCACAGCGACTTAACCTACGACGTGCCGTCCGTCTGGGACGGCCGGTTCTTCCGTCTCGACGATCATCTTAACAGACTGGAAGCGTCGTGCGCGAAGATCCGTCTTCGGTTCCCCATTCCGCGAGACCAGGTAAAGAACACGCTGGTGGAGATGGTCGCCAAGAGTGGGATTCGCGATGCCTTCGTCGAACTGATCGTGACTCGTGGGTTGGTCCCCGTTCACGAGGGCAATCCTGACAGTATGAGAAACAATCTATATCTGATCGTACAGCCATATGTCTGGGCCATGGATCCTGAAACCCAGAAGACGGGTGGAAGCTCGATCATCGCGAGGACAGTCCGCCGTGTGCCGCCGGGTGCAATCGATCCGACCGTCAAGAATCTGCAGTGGGGTGATTTGGTCCGAGGAATGTTTGAAGCGAGGGATCGCGGCTCACAGTATCCATTCCTCACGGACGGGGATACCAACCTTACCGAAGGGTCCGGGTTCAATGTCGTGCTGGTGAAAGATGGAGCGATCATTACTCCCGACAGGGGTGTCTTGGAAGGAGTTACGCGCAAGAGTGTCTTTGATGTTGCCAAGTCGAAGGGCATTGAGGTGCGCGTGGAAATTGTGCCGATCGAGACGGCGTACCAGAGTGATGAGATCTTTATGAGCACTACGGCAGGTGGCATTATGCCGATTACGGAGTTGGATGGGAAGCCAGTTGGAAATGGCAATGTCGGGCCGATTACGAGGGCAATCTGGGATGAGTACTGGGCTATCCATTATGACCCAGCTTACAGTTTTGAGGTCAAGTACTGATGTAGCCGTTGTGTTTCTTTGTGTCTTGCTATGATCTGGGTGATTATTATGTAAAATTGGTGCCAGTTTCCTGTTCGAATACAAGTGCTTTTGAAAAATCTGTGACGACTCCGAAGCCATGACGTTTTTCTTGATCTTGTAAACGTGGCGAGTCCTAGTCAATTAATAAGAATCAACTAATACGTGGAGTAGCGGATATTTTCACATTCCTCGTTTGGTATTCATGCTCCCATTTCCGCACACGGCAGAAGGAGAATTCTCTGGTTCCGGCAAACTCCACCGAAGGCGGTTTCTAGCTGAACAAGAGGGTAAGACCTTTCTTTGACTGCTATCAACATTTCGTTGGCTATTCTGAGCTTTCCAATATTTCGGCATACCGGTTCAACGATCGTCCGATCAAATTGACCAGTTCCCAGATATAGTCCGCTGTGAAAAGCCGAGCCCACAGCCGGGTGACGACTGCACTCAAACGGGTATTATTCGCCAGAAGCCAGTCTCTAGTAACGCCATGTCGAGCTTCCATCACCATCTCGATCACGAATTCCAGAAGTTTTGTTTCTTGCTCGGTAAGTCCAGGCTGCGGATTAGGGACTGTGGCAACTTCCAACCATTTCGCTAGAAGGACTGCGCATTCGAGCGAACATAGGGCGTATTGATTGGACCAGGACACTACCTGCGTGTGTGCCACGAAGTTGATGCCGAGCTTGATTGGCGTGCTGAGTGCGTGCGCGCAATGTAATGCGGCGCGCGTGAGCCGGTCGCTGCGTTCCACGCCCAGGTTGGTCTTGAGGGATCGGGCGACTTCATCAGGACTCCACGTCTGGAAGCGCCGGGCGGAGCTGAAGTCGGCGTTGAGGCGGATGTAAGCTAGACGGAGGAGGGCGGTGGAGGTGAATGATAAGGGCCCGTGGGGGTTAAATGGGTCGATCGACGATTCTTGGTTGTGCTCCCAGCATTGACACCAGTTCTCGAGCGCTTGTTCTTGAGAAGCGATCTGAGCTGGGGATAGAGAGCTGGTTTTGGTGTCCGGAAGTCGGTTGGCTTTTTGAATCATCCAGATGTTCTGGATGATGGCGTGGATTAGAACGTAGCCGCCCATCGAGGAAAAGCTTTTCAGTCGGTCCTTGGAGCACGGAGCCTGGCTGAAGAGAGAGGACAGGGCGTCTTGAAATTTAGCTTCCGTCTTGCCTTGGCCTCGTTCTTCCATCCACTGGTGGGTGGTGATCGCTTGCCATTCTTTCTCGGTACAGGGGAGATCTAACGCGATCTCTTCGGTCAGGACGAGTGGCGGCACGTCAAACACAATAGTGTGGATATTTAGGAAGCAGAACACGACTAGCTTGGTACGCTTTCGTTCTTCCATGCGGATCCAACCGGCCCATGTCCCGTCTGGAATTGGGAGGTCATTTAGTCCTCCCTGTCGAAGGAGGGTCTCCATAACTCCTCGTATGTAGAGGCCTTCCGCATACGGTGGGTCGCGTTCAAACCAGGACGAAATTGAGGTTAGCATCAACAATGCCTGGATGGTCTCAATATGGTCCTGGTCCTTGGGTATGGTAGAGTTGGAGGGCGGCTTCGGCACGATCCATTGAAATTCTCTACGAATATGCTCCATGGTCACAGCTTTGGCCACAAGATACAGCCTCATGCTCGTATCTGGTTCCCGGCAATACTGTGCACCAAGTGCAGCCATCGACAGAAACAACGATAACGATATAGTCTCCACGTCCAGAGTGGGAATATGCTTGATCGGATAATGGTCATGGTATCCAGTCAGGTATCCAGTCAGACAGCGAGACAGGGCATGTCGCGAGGGTACAAAGGGATTTGGCATGACATTCGAGTAGTCTGCCAGTAGCGCTATTATGCGCTCTCGGCACTGGGTCGTTACAGAAATGGAGCTTCTCGGTTGTCGCGCTTTATACGGAGTATGAGATGCCTCCGGCTGCAACGAAGGTAACTGTGTGCCATGTCGGGGGAGCACAGAGCTCGACGGCGTTGCTACACTTCCGCCATCTTTGTCTCTTTCCGAGGATTGCTCGTAGACAGGCGTCGAGTCGAACTGGAACGCGGGAAACAAAGGCAGAGGCTGATACGTCGGGGAGTACGGGTGGCTTGGGAGGGGGATGCTGTCCAAGAACGAAGTGAAATCGTCGCCATCATACGGCGCAGACGCACCGAAGCCCCCAAAGGGTTCGCTGAACGTGGTTGCTTCCGACTGCGCTGTCCCGGGTGTCTGGCTCGGGACAGGATAGGTGACTCCCGACATGTCAGCGCCAAAGGTGGTATTTCCGGCTAGAGAATGCGGGCTATCTTCAGCCGGCGTTGGGACTTGGTTCTCTGTCACAGCCGACGCGAGCATATTCAGCCCGTCGAATATCGGCCGAGAAGTCACAGGTGAGGATGTCTCCGCCGAGGGAGAAGTGTGGGATAGGCGCTCATGGCGCGCTAGGAGATCCCTGGGTCGGTCAGTGACTCGTTCAAATGAACCGCTCGAGCACATACTTCCTCGTGAAGGATTTGGGGCACTTGTCACACACGAACGGCTTCTCCTTCGTGTCTAGAGAGGATCAGCGCCGCAACCAAAAGTGGATTAGTCAGACATACGCGATCGATCATGACGCTGCAGATGCTCCAGGCGCGCAAACGATCGTGAGCACCGGTGGCATTGGAAGGACCTGGCCGCTTTGACCATCACTGCATTGTCGGTCGAGTGCAAGCACGGTGCAGGAAGTGATACGAGAAGAAGACGCGAAGAGAGAAGAGAGGAGGAGAGAAGCGAGGAAGGCCGATGCTTGGCGTTGGGCCCGAGGATATTCGGTGCCTTGTATTTCCGGCGGCAATCGATCTCGGCTGCACCTGCCGAGCCCAATTACGTCATCTCTTGGTCCAGTAACTACCCCGTAGTATACTTGGTGCATTACCGAATCCACAGTGCTGGCTATGCAATATCGATGTTTAGATGAATTTATTGTTCGAATAAAAGACATGGCCTTCTGGACAAGTACGTGACATCTATCATCCGGCGAGATCGAACAACTAAATGGCCATGTATCAGTTGTATATCTTTGATCTGGGATGGGAACCAGGTGGGTCAGGGATTTGTTTGCGTTATCAATTTATTCTCTGATGTCAATTGTACAGAAACTGACTCTTCGCAATCTCACTTCCTGCACTAATTGTGAGAAGAATATAAGTTCCCGGGGTAAGACTGGCTGGACGAAACCGTGTGGTGGAGCAAGGCAAAGCTTAGCCCTTACTAAATTATGGTGATGACAGATCTGGGCTTCATATTGTCAATCGTGGATCGTTCAGTGAATTTGGCCACAGGTCAGTTATCAGCTACTGGAATGATACTAACCAGGGAGGACGTGATGCTGTGCCAGAAATATAGTCTGCCCTAGGTACCTCGCGATGTCTCGGCCCAGAGAACCACGTTCTGACAATTTTAATCAAAACCATGTGAATAGATCAATCCAAGGTGGTGACACGCATAAGACGAAGATCTGGACGTGACAATCACACAAATACGGACACACATCAGAGGTGTGTGGGATATCGAGGTATTCAATAGGCCAAGGCGCTAGTTCAGTCTAATGCATCGTGAAATAGCGCTGCAGGACGATGGGCCTGTGATACCCCTCAACGTGGCTCACGAAATGGGTCCAGGTGCGTGAGATGCCCGACGGAATTCTATTGATGAACATTGACAGAAATCATTTAAGAAATCGGATTCGCCGGGCAATCTTGACTATCTGACCACACGTGACGACGTAGTCCCTCAACTTAGCCTCATCCCAGTTCGCCACATTCCCTTTGGTCCCATGAGTCGCAAAGATCCTCCACGAAGCAAGTACACCGTCGGATGGATTTGTGCGCTTGCTATCGAGCTCGCCGCCGCCGAGGCGATGCTCGATAAGCGTTACGATGATCCTGGACCGGAACATGGGCGAGACACCGACAATGACACGAACATCTACACCCTGGGGGCAATCGGCGACCACAGGGTGGTTATCGCCTGTTTGCCCGGTGGTCAGATGGGAACAACGCAGGCCGCTACTGTTGCCGTGCAAATGAAGTCGCGGTTCAACCACCTTCGCTTTGGCCTGATGGTGGGCATTGGAGGAGGTGTACCCAGCGACAAAGCGGATATTCGACTAGGAGACGTGGTCATCAGTCAGCCTGACGGCGGTCATGGAGGAGTCGTTCAGTATGACTTTGGGAAGACAACTCCTGACGGAGCTAAATTGTCGGGATTCTTGAATACGCCGCCTCCTATCCTATTGAGCGCTTTGCCTAAGTTGCGTGCTAGGCACATTCGAAATAAGGACGCTATTACGAAACATCTCTCCAGGTACCAGGAAATGCCTTTGTTTGCTCGCGACCGCGCGGGATTAGATGAACTGTTCAAGTCCACTTATAGTCATGTCGGAGGAGAGACGTGCGCCTCATGTCGCAAGGATAAACAAATACATCGTACTCTTCGCAGTGTTGAAGAGGGGGTCATGCTTCATTACGGAACTATCGCCTCGGGGAATCAAGTGATGCGTGATGCTGTCGTTCGCGATCAGATAAGTTCGCAGATCGGTGGCGTTCTTTGTTTCGAAATGGAAGCGGCAGGGTTGATGAATAGCTTCCCATGCCTTGTCATTCGAGGCATCTGCGACTATGCGGATTCACATAAGAACAAGAGATGGCAGCCTTACGCGGCAGCGACCGCCGCTGCTTGCGCAACTGAGGTTCTGTCTATCGTTCCGGTTAAAGATCTGGCGAAAATGATGACAATTGACGAAGCTGTATGGTGGCTTCTCTTACCTGATGCTTTTACGAGGGACCCCTCTAACACGTTCTGCGTTTAATAGGAAGTACTTCGATCAGCCGTCGAAAGAGTTCCCTTTGACACTTTCCTCTCTTCATTGTCATCACTCGACCAGGATGAGCACAGGTCCAACATTCCAGAGCTGGACCCGTATGACCCTCAACACTTTTGGGTTTTCAAAAACATCGATTTCCGGGAATGGTACGGATCAAGCGCACCAGGTATTCTGCTTTTGTATGGACCACCTGAGTGTTGTCTCGATCAAATTTCAGCATATGTAATCGACGAGGTGAAAAGGGTTTCCAGCTGGACAAGAATCTTTTACTTTTCGTTCTCCTCTACGCGGTCGGGCAACTCTTTGGTCTCTATCTTCGTGCATACCATTCTTCGCCAACTTATTCAATTCACCTCATCGAAGCATCAGGCGTCTACTGTCAAATCCTTTCTTCATTTTTTACGTGAGAAACTTTTGATGGAAGGAAGCAAAATCCATGTTGACCCTGAAGCCTCCCCGAAAAGAATCGTGCAGCAGATTCTGAAAACATCGGCCTCAGAAGAACTTTGGTCTTCGTTGCTTAACCTTTTCCATGCCTTTGATCAAGACTTTCTACTGGTAATTGGTGATATGGATAAGGCTAGACCTGGCGGAGAAAGGTTCATCATTGACATGGCAAGTTTCGTTCAAGGCCTTATCGGGCGAGGCACTGGCGTCAAGGTTCTCGTCACATCTCGCTCACAAAACGACGTCCAGCGAGCGTTCAGTAGCTCGGTATCAATTGAATTCGACAAAGAGAGAAAAGGTAAGGCCATTATTTGCTACTGAAACTTAGGCTAAATTCTGTTGCAGAGTGTCTCGCCAGCTTGCAGTTTGACAATACGCGCTATGAGAAGATCTCGTCAGAACAAACTGGTTCTTTCGAGTGGATTTGGTCCCATCCTCGGTACTCTGATTGGTCTCAGTCGAATAAATCCCGGCTTCTGTACCTTCAAGGTAAACCCGGAAGCGGTAAAAGTACCTTGACGAAGTACTTCTATAAAAGCCTTCGGGATCGCGATAAGAGAGTGAACACGTCGGTCGTGGCAAAGTTCTTCTATAGTTACCGAGAAGGTGAAGTGCAGAAAAGCCATTATAACATGCTACGGACAGTTCTTCACGATATCTTGCAACAAGACGAGACCTTCTTCTATCACGAATTTCAAGCGGAATACCGACGTCAAGTCGAATTAGAGCAGAACCAGGGATCGGAGGCAATTGAATGGGATTATGATTCACTGAAGAACGTGTTACTCTCACTGCGAGATCATACACAATCTCGCATGTTCTACTTGATCATTGATGCAGTAGACGAATCGCAAGATAACGACAGGCGGGAAACTCTGGAGCTCTTATTTAAGTTGAGCACAGAAATGAAATATTCAGTGGTGAAAATATTTGTCGCGAGTCGACCGGTGGCAGTGATGGAACGTCGCATAGACAAATTCCATTGTTTCATTCGAATCCAGGACGAGACGACATCCGACGTTGAGATATTTGCAGACTCGTTCGTTCGCCGACTTGATATTCATCCGGACACGGCAAACGAGCTAACGCAGTACATTACGAGGAATGCCGAAGGTGTGTTCTTGTGGGTTAAGCTTGTCGGAGAAGAGCTGCTAGCCTACGATGAACAAGGTCTTGCGAAAGAAGACATCATGCAATTCTTACAAGGGTTGCCAACAATGTTAGAGGTATTCTACGAACGAATGCTGGATAAGATGGGAAAGGTACGAACAGATCTGCGTGACGCGGTGAAGATTCTCCATTTCGTCCTGTTCGCCCAGCGCATTCTGAGTACTAAGGAGCTCTTACACGCTCTTGCGATTCCGGACCAACCTGGTATCGACTACGCCGTCTCTGATGAGGAGTTTAGAGGTCGGATACCCTCAGGAAGGCGAATTACGCATTGTGGAGGCCAGTTCGTCGAAATCAAACAACACTCAGGTAAATCAGTCAAAACTCGAGCAATGTCATTCTCACATTTCGTGAACTAACAAGACGATCTAGGCGCCGATGGGACAGTTCAGGTCATTCACCAGACCGTTCGTGAATTCTTTTTACACCCTGAGTCGTCTGTCAACAACACCAAGTTCAAAATTGACGAGCGGAAAGCTCACGCTTCGATATCAATCACCTGCTTGCGATATTTAAGACACTGTATTGCAAGCTATCTTCACAATTGTCGACAAATCGATGAAAACTCGTCAACTGAATTAGAACTCTTTTCTCGTTATCTCAATGACATGCCGCTGGCTAAATACGCCCTGCAACACCTGAAACATCATCTCAAGCACTGTGAAAGCGACTCGCACGTCCAAAGAATCACAACAGACTTCTTTGCCGATATTCGTCGTTCCAAAATATCTGGATTCCTCGAAAAATGGACCCGTTTCCAACTGGACAAACCGAGCAGAGACAGTAAAAGCTTGACTCAGCTTCGAAATAGGTTCCTTTACCCCTCTATATCAAGCGGTCTAAGTCTAGCCACAGAGTTACTATTGATTCTTGGAGCCGATGCGAATACAGAGGACAGTTCCGGTACTCGACCCATACTCATAGCATCGGCCCTGGGGCATCAGGATGTTGTAAAGGCTCTTGTAATCTCCGGAACGGTCGATCTGAACATCGTGGGAAGCAACGGTCGTACTGCGCTTTTAATTGCTGCGGAGGAAGGTCACGAAGGGGTGATGAAAGCTCTGGCTTCTGACGAAACCATCGACTTTAACAGGCAGGATAAGAATGGCCGGACCGCATTGTCTTGGGTGGCGGGTGAAGGAAGAGAAAACATGATGAAGGCAATTTTGGGACGAGGAAAGATTGACGTGGACCTGAGTGATCTTCACGGCAGGACACCCTTATCTTGGGCTGCAGGCAATGGGCACAGTGTCATTATCAAGCTACTAACAGACACTGGCAAGGCTAATATCGACTCCGTTGACGATACCGGCCGAACGCCGCTATCGTGGGCAGCCGGTAAAGGGCACGAACTCACAGTCAAGGAGTTGCTCCTCAATCTACCACCCAACAACAAAACAAAAGATAAGGTTGGAAGAACGCCATTATCATGGGCAGCTGGGAACGGCCATGAGGACACAGTTCGGGCGCTGATGCAGTTCGGCAACTTCGATCCCAACGAAACTGACGCGACCGAGCGAACTCCATTGTCGTGGGCCGCTGGCAATGGCCATCTGATGGCAATGGAAGAGCTATTGAAAGCTTCTCAAATATCTCCGGGCATCAAAGACGAAAAGGGAAACACGCCTTTATCGTGGGCGGCTAAGAACGGATACGATCATGTAGTCAAAGCCCTAATTGCACGAAAGGACGTCAACGTCAACAGCAAAGATTTCAACGGTCGCACTTCCTTGTCTCTGGCTGCCGAGAACGGTTGCACTTCAGTTGTCAAAGCATTGTCGACTGCAGAGGATGTCAGGATGGAGGCGACCGACAAAGAAGGCCGCACTGCGTTATCCTGGGCCGCGGGATGCGGGCATCATGTCGTCGTCAACCAATTGCTACAGACAGGCAAGGTAGACGTGGACCGCAGGGACCAAAGAGGTCGCTCTCCTCTTGTATGGGCGTCAATCAAGGGACACGATGCAGTAGTGCAAGAGTTGCTCTTATCAGGCATGGCCAGTGCATCTGTCGAAGACGGATGGGGCCGCTCGGCTCTGTTCTGGGCTGCAAATCGAGGCCACCATGCAGTGGTCGAGCTTATAATGTCATTGAATATCGTAGATGATGAAACGAAGAAAGAATGGAGGCGTCGAGTGTTACGCAACCCCAGGTGGTCAAGGCACTGGAGGTCGTTGTCATCGGAGTGAACGCCCTTCTACGTCTCAAAGAGATTGTGTGTGATATTTTTTTCAACGACTGATTGTTCTTGCTAGCTATAGAGTCTCGTCCAACTTGTATTCATCTTGTAAGTGTAGTCTGCAGGACATGACGTTTTCAACTGGTGTGGCTTCCAGGAGCATTCGTGATCAATGATACCTGAACCGCAGCATATCTACCCAGGCACGTGGTTAGCAAGGCGACCTGGCATCCGAGGACTTGGTATACTTAGGCTGTCGCGGCAGCAAAAATCTCTATCGGCCTTGCTGTGACCAGAAGCCCCAGAGAGAACGAGAAGAGTAGATTATACACAAAGATAATGTTGAAAACTAGAGATGCCTATTAAGCCACAAAAAGATGTTATAACACCTAGTTATGCTCAAAGTGCAATATCTAGGACTTTCTCACGTTGACAGATAACAATCAACCTGACAGTGATACTCTGGATAAAATAGAGGCCCACCATTGCCGATGCAGGCAGAATCGCCGAGAAAGCGATACTGATAGCCCTGGTGAAAGATTTTATCTTTCGATCATCATAATGCCAGATTCCAATCTCTCGATCATGCCGGGCCTTGTATGGTTCTTGGTTAGCTTGTTTTTTCAAATGGCAACCTTTTGGGAGTATACAGACAGCAGAATCGCGACTCCATCTCTTATGAAACTAGGGAATGACTTTACTAGAGGTCCATCTGGTGAAGTGATCCTCTCCGCTATATCTTGCGCGTAGAGCGATGAGATCCTCTTCATGAGAGTTTCACTGCGTCATTTTGGATGCAATTTGAAGTAGATCTCTTCCGTGGTCATCCAGTTCAGTGGAAGTTCCAAGTCATTCTTTTCTGGGGCCCGAAACTGTAGTAGTTGTCCCTGTTGGATGAGCGCTTTATCTGATGATGAGCGTGGCTCTGATATGGCTAGAAAATCGGATGGAAACGCTTGATTATCTCTCATACTGCAACTGCAGAGGTTCTAGAAATGCAGCGGCCCAGTGCGGGTCAGCTGACTGACTAACTACGTGCAGGCTAGCGCTGCAAGCCGGCGCTGCAAGCCGTACCAGCAAGCTCCAACATTTCCGAGTTCCAAGAACCTATGTCACAACTACCGCATGTCACATCCTCGGCTGGAACCTATGTCACAACTACCGCATGTCTCATCCTCGGCTGGAACCTGAAAAATGTACATTCAATGCACAAGTGATTCCTCGCAGCACAGCAAGTTCCCATCCGTCTGGAATAACCCTGTAATTTATTCCGAGCAATAACATGGTCCCCAACAAAGCCGACGTTGTCGTGGTGGGAGCAGGCCTCAGCGGCCTGACAGCCGCCACCGAAGTGCAGCGAGCGGGTCTATCTTGCGCGGTGCTCGAGGCCATGGACCGCGTGGGCGGGAAGACTCTCTCAATTTCCGCTTCGTCTCAAGGTGGTCTCGCCGAACTTGGAGCTGCCTGGCTGAATGACACGAACCAGTTCTACATGTACGCTTTGGCCAAGAAATTCGGGTTCGAACTCGAGATTCAGCGTCATAAGGGGTTGAACCTTTTTGAGGATTCTAAGGGCAAGATTCACAGCGTTGAATATGGGAAGGAGTATCTGAATGTGAGAAATCAGTTCCTATATGTGATGCTAGAAGGCTCGAGGCTGATACTTCAAGGTGTTAGGATGAGGAGTTTTATGAAGACCTTGCCAAACAAGCGGACCTAACCCACCTGGTGCATCCTGAGCTCAGTCAGCATGCGATGAAGCACGACAAAATGTCATTTGCAGCATACGCTCGGCAGTTCTCTTCGGACGCAGAGCTCATCGCCGATGATATAGCCAAGACGCTTCTCGGGGTGCAAGCGAAAGATATAAGCGCGTTGTATATGTTCAGCTATACGAAGAGTGGGGCCGGGCTGGATAATATTTTGTCGGACCTGAAGGACGGTGGTCAATATATGCGGAATCGTCACGGTATATTACATGCTGCCCAGAATGAAACCCGCTACTTAGCCCCCGAGACTTGTCTAACCGGTGATACTATCTATAGGGAACCAAAACTTTTCCGTCCGCCTCGCCAACGACCTGAAACCCGACACCGTTCATCTTTCCGCGCCCGTCACCAAGATCGAACAACATGGCGAAGGGTCTTGCACCGTCACCACACTGACCGGTCATGAAATTTCTTGTAAACGAGTTATCATCTCCATTCCCACTTCTCTGTACCATCGGATCCAATTCATCCCTGCTCTCCCGGAAAAGAAGAAACACCTTAGCGACACCACCGCGCTGGGCTTCTATGGGAAGGTGATCGTCGTATACGAGTATCCGTGGTGGCGGCAGGCTGGATTATCGGGAATATTTACCTCATTTAATGGTCCGATATGCTGTTCCCGAGACACCTGTATCGTGGAAGATCATCAATACTCCATAACCTGCATGATCACCGCCGATGCGGGCAAGGACTGGTCCAGACTCCCTCCAATTGAGAAGCATAAGTTGACGATGAATCAATTTAATGCTGCGTTCTCTACTCACGTTAAGAAGATACCAGATCCTTTGAACGTGATTTTGCATGACTGGTCGGAGGAACCATGGATTCGGGGTGCACCGAGTCCTACTATGCCGCCCGGATTGATGACTTCGGATGCTGGGAAGTCGCTGCGCGATCCGTTCGGGAGTATTCATTTTGCAGGCACCGAGACGGCGATTATTTGGAAAGGATATATGGAGGGAGCGGTACGTGCTGGCATTCGAGGTGCTGGGGAAGTCATTGATTTATTGGTGCCGGAGAGCGAGCGGCGTTATTTGACGTCTTTTCTCTAGATTGGGTACTGCTCTGTAGTCTTCGTGTTGTTTGTGGGTCAAGATTGAAAATTACCCCATTCTAATGAACATTTCTGCGTAGTCAAGACTGTTCGCTCGTTGTGCTCGGTATCATTCCAGCGCGAATTGTGTACGCGACACTTTGGCCAATTCTGTGCCGATAGACTGCCCGCCCTTTACAAATCCTGCCGGAGTAACCGACAGTTTCACTGAATCGCGCGGTGTAATTTGACATCAGATCCGTCATGTCATACGAGACCCTGGCCGTGGTTCACCAACCACGATGCATGGCGCAATACTTCGTTACGCCAGGATTCAATGAGGTGATTGACGGCCGCGGGGTAGCAACCAGGCTGCGTATATAGACAGACATGTCGCCGATCCATCTCTGGCTGTGTCACCGAATTCCCTTCTATCATTCCTCTACTTAATCGTTCCAAAATGTCCGAGGTTCTCACTATTACTCAACCCACTCAACCCGATATTCAATATCATCCCGACTACGAGAAATACCTCGCACGCGGTGAACGGCGCAAGGCAACGGAGACCCTGCCCAAGACTCTTCCAGCCGGCTTCCCTGCGCAGCTGTCCTCGCCATTGGTTTGGGAGGGCAAGGACGTTGAAAAGCGAGATGATTGGATCTTTAAGCTGAATAATGCGCAGAGGGAGGAGATCCATGCTGCATTGGGGTATTTCAAATGTCGGTCTACTCACTTGAACCTATCCCGCCCAGTTACGATCGCAAGGTGCCCGCAGGAGAGGGATAGATGTGATCCAAGTGCTAATTTTCACAGCCCTCAAGCTCAGCCTAGGACACATCAACCAAGACACCTTCCCCCTACCCAACCTCCGGCCCGAGCTACGCAGCCTCTCCAAAGAACTCCACACCGGACGCGGATTCTTCGTGCTGCGAGGCCTCGACCTCGATCGCTACTCGCGCGAAGACAATATCATCATCTACAGCGGCGTCTCATCGCATGTGGGAAACATCCGGGGTCGTCAGGAGGATCAGCGCTTCAGCAACGGCACCTCGGTGGTGATCTCCCATATTAAGGACATTTCGCGTGTCGCGCAGGCCGGGACTATAGGAGCTCCGTCGAACACCAACGACAAGCAAGTCTTCCATACCGACTCGGGCGACATTATCTCATTATTGTGTCTGAGTCCCGCTGCGGAGGGCGGAGAAAGTCAGATCTCCAGTAGCTGGTTTGTTTACAACATTCTGGCCAAGGAGAGACCCGATCTGATCCATACCTTGTCGCAAGATTGGCCGATAGATGGGTGAGTTCCCCCCTTTTTAAGCCTTTTTAGGAGACCCCAGTGGAAGCTCCTGGGTAATCACCTAATAATGCGGCTAATTAACGAACTCCTGACTGACTGACGGATGGGATCAGCTTCGGCAACCCGAACCGCCCGTATACCACCCGACCTTTGCTCTATCATCAGCCGGCAACCGGATCGACAGAGGAGCGCGTGCTGATCCAGTACGCCCGTCGCTATTTCACCGGGTTCCTGGCCCAGCCGCGTTCGACCGATATTCCGCCGATCAGCGAGGCGCAGGCCGAGGCCCTGGACGCGCTGCACTTTCTGGCGGAGCGACATAGCGCGGCGCTAGACTTCCAAAAGGGGGACGTGCAGTACATCAACAATTTGAGCATCTTCCATGCTCGGAAGGGCTTCCGCGACGGGCCCGGTAAGGAGTAAGTGGCTCTCAGTGGCTCTCAGTCCCGGTGCCCCCTGATGATCCACGCGCTAACCGACACGGCGACAGACGCCATCTTTTGCGACTTTGGTTGAGAGACCCCGAGAATGCCTGGGAGACGCCGGAGCCGCTGCGCAACCGGTGGGACAACGTGTATAAGGATGTGAAGGAGGAGGAGCAGGTGTTTCCTCTGGAACCCAAATTGCGCAAGACGGTGGGATCTTGAAGAAAGATGTCATTTTTGGGGTTCCCCGAGAAATTGGGTGCCTGAGTCGGGCGGCGACGGGGTTAGTCATGCCCTCCCCCAATTTGGGGAAGCCCCACCGTCCCCGAAAAATTGAATGTTCATCGCCGCCGGCAAAGAGTCACGGAGGTCAATGAAGGCAAATTAGCAAATTTAGCACGCATTCTGGAGCCCCCCAATGGCACCAACGGCCCGGAGGCCCGAGCTGTTCTCCGGAGTAGGCCAGTCATCGGCGTAGTCTTCACTTATTTCGCAACTGAGGTGGAACCAGGAAGAGGAACCGAGACGGTCGATGTGGGCTTGCAAAAATAGCCTGCAAACTGGATCTCTTCCTAGTCGGAAATCCAAGAATTTTCTTTTCTCCAATTCTGACAAAATGGTAGACTCCATTGACTGGACCCGGAAGCTTGGATCGCCCATTCTTATAAATCCACGGTGTCCGTGTCACGCACTGTTGTTCTTCTCTGCGAAGGCTTCAATCAAGTGCGTTCACTGACCGATAGACGAGCTCACCATGGTACTGCAACAGGACAGTCCAAACTCCAGCGAGCTCAGCTCGGGAGAATCAATCTACGCGGCCAAGGAGTGCCCCTTTCCAGAGATCGAACATCTATACCTCGAATTAGAGACGTCGCTACCAACGCCATTGATCACGGCGCCCCCCGAAACCGGCCAGTCACCCGCTCCCGAATGTCCTGATCTCAAGCAATTCACCTCGCCCTTCCTCTGGCCGAAATGGCGCAAATCCATGATGACGTGGATCGCATGCGGTGTCACGGCTTTGGCAGGTTACTCAGCCGGTGAAATCAGTCCCGCGTCGACAGAATTGACAGCGGAATGGGGGATCAGCAGCGTGGTATACAATCTGGGAATCACGATTTTCTGCATCGGATTCGCTTTGGCACCCATGGTCCTGGCTCCCTTTTCGGAAATCAACGGCCGTCGACCGATTTTCGTCGGTAGCGGAATTATCTTCGTCGGTATGACATCCGTTGCCTGGATAAACAAACCCCGATCGCACGTTTACTGACTGGGACGTCATAGCATGCATCATCGCCTGTGGCGGCACTCACTCGTTCGGCGGATTTCTTGCTGCGCGGATCTTTCAAGGAGTGGGCGCTTGTAAGTCCCAACAAGCTTTCTCGGGGTGTGCCCAACTGCTAACTTAGGCTTTTCGCAGCAACCTTCTCGACCATGGTTGGCGGCGTCATCAGTGACATTTACCACGCCGAGGATAGAAACACCCCCATGGCCTTGTTTTCAGGGGCGGCCCTGTTTGGAACCGGTCTTGCGCCGCTGCTGTCGAGTATTATCGTCTATCACAGTACTTGGCGGTGGATTTACTACTCCCACGCCATTGTGTCGGCTGTGTTCACCATTATGATTTATTTCTTTTTCAAGGAGACGAGAGGCAGCGTTATCCTCAGTCGGAAGGCTGCTGCCCTCAATAAGTATTACGATGCCTTGGAGAAAGCCGGCCATGTGGGGGTTATCATGTCAGATGATGCCTCTGGGGAGAAGGGTCAAGTGAAACGCATTCGGTGGAAGGTTAAGAGCGATGAGCATCGTACATCGCTGACCCAGATGATCAGCGTGTCTTGCTACCGACCTTTCCGTACGTCCATGACCCTGTTTCTTTTTGAAAACTCAATCTAACATGATACAGATATGCTTCTCACTGAACCCGTCGTCTTCTTCTTTTCCCTCTGGGCCGCGTTCAGCTGGGCTGTTCTTTATCTTCAATTCGGCTCTGTTCCACTTGTCTTCAAGAAGAACCATGGCTTCAACACAGAGCAGTCCGGTGCTGTCTTCACCTGTATGCACCCCTCCCTCCTAGCATCTCTTAACTATGTATGCTAACAAACCCAGCAATGTGTGTTGGCGTTATCATCGCCACCGTGATCAGCATCTACCAAGAGAACATCGTATCGCGATTCATCACCCTCCCCAAATCCCCCGAGCGCCGACTCTACTTCGTCTGCCTCCAGTCCACGCTCATGCCCATTGGTCTTTTCTGGTTCGGATGGACCTCGTACTCGTCCATCCCGTGGATCGTCCCGACGCTTGCCATCGGATGCTCGACCATGGGCATTCTGTCTATCTACCTGGCTGTGTTCAATTATCTGGCGGATACGTATCACCGTTTCGCTAGTTCAGCGATTGCGGCGCAGTCTTGCTGTGAGTTTTTCAGATCGCCGATCGTCGGTTGTCCCATAGTTTTGGTGCTAACAGCTCTATGTTGCAGGTCGGAATCTCCTCGGTGGTGTCTTCCCACTCGTGACGGCCGCTATGTTTAATAACCTCGGATACCCCGGTGCTTCGAGCTTGCTTGGTGGAATTGTAAGTTCTTTCTATGTATTCAGTGATGGACTTTGCTAACGGATTTAGGGTGCTTTTCTTACCCTTGTACCATGGGTGTTGGCGTTTTATGGGCCCAGGATTCGGGCCAAGAGCAAGCTTGCGAGTGTAAGTTTCTGTGTCTCATCATAACTAGAGTGGTGTTGCTAACTTGTGACTTTCAGGAACTTGCGCATTAATTACCTTGTTCTCGGATTTTCGGTTTACTGCATTAGCGAGGATGGTCTTTTGCATTTTCATATCGCCTGGTTTAGCGATGGCATAAAAGTAGATATACCCATAGAGTTATTAGACTCTCGAATCGATAACTTAATAAAGGTACATACTGACTGACATCCATATATATCACAATATTCACTATATAATTCTAATTTATTTGTATAATTGTAACTTATATATATCCCAATACTCGAAAGAAAAAGCAATCAGTCTATTAATATGCCACCGGCGCCTCCCCAGCCGCCAAATTACACTGCCTGAACAGCCTCACCTCGTCATCCCCAAACGCCCCAACCACGGAGTGCAAAACTCCGCGGTTATGGAAAATCACAAGATCGCCCTCTTCCCAGTCATGCGGGTACACATACTGCGGTTTGATGGCCGGTCGTTGGAACCTGTACACAATCTCCCGCACCCGCGTCAAATCGTCGATCACCGTCCCATCGGCGCAGTGGATCTTGCGGACCGCCGAGGGATGGACCTGTAGTGCTGGGTTCCCGGTGGAGGGGTTCTTCCAGACCATGGGGAGCACTTGGATCTTGGAGTCGTCGATCGGTGGGAGATCTGAGAGAGGAAGTTCTTTGTTTTCCGAGTATAGGCCGAGGCCGGTGGGGAGGGCGCGCGCAGGGCTCATCCAGATGTATCTGATGTTTTTGTTAGGTGGCTTTCATTGGGAAGGGGTTGGGAAAGGGCAACGTACGGGTGAGGAGCGTATTCGATTTTACTGTTCAAGGCGAAGTTCTTGTCCTCGTCGGAGAGCAGCTCGAACATTCTCTCTCCGCTGACGAATGCCGTCGTGCCGAGCGGTACGTCCAACGTCTCGTCGGAACCATCGTCGTATCGGAGCGTCTGGCGTCGACCCTTAGGCACCTTGACTGCCAACAGAGTGGTCACCTGCGGTGGGTAGAATTCATACAAGGCAGCGTCGATGTGCCAGCGATAGAACCGGGTAAAGTCATGATCCTCTTCGGCCGGGATCACGTCGCGGTGGAACGTCCGATGGTGAGGGTGTTTTAGTTGAAAGTTCGATAGACCCTCATACGAATCAATGTGTCCGTGTCCAATGATTTGTACCTGAGGCTGGTGAGGAACTGTCTTCAGATCCGGGTGGAGGATGCTGCGCTTGGCGTCGAGAGTCTTGCCATGGCCGTATTGCGAGGCAGATGGATCGAAACGCTGCGTGAGCTCGTATTGTGTCTTTGGGGTCACGTGGTCTTGATTCTTGATTACTACGACCAAATTCTTATAGAGAGCGTCGTGGATTGTGTTGAATGTTTCGTCTGCATCCAATATTAGCTTTGTTGTCGGTGAATGGACACATCAAGGGATGGTGGCGAGTACCGGTGAGGTTCTCCAAATCGACGTTGGCGATGACTGCGCCGAAGTTGACGTCTGATCCTGTGGGGGGCGATAGGGGCGTTATAGTAGGAGTCATAGTGAAGCTTGTGTTTCTGTTTCGGTATGCCGACAGGGAGACACGGAGCAAAGATATAAAGAGCGGTGGTACTTGCAGCTTTATCAATCTCGGCTTCCCCCACCGCCGGAGGTGGCCGAAGCCGCCTTATCTTATCGATCATCCACCTGACCAACCGCCCTTGGTCACGTTGGCTCGCGTCACGTGATGCTCTTTTGTTGTGGAAGCATAGAGTCTGGTATTCAGGGGTGCGGATGCACACCCCGGAAGCTAGGCTAAATAATTAGTTAGTTAGTTAGTTAGTTAGTTAGTTAGTTAGTTACTAATGAGATGCTGACTAAGGCTATGCAGCCCGGCACCCAAGGACAGGGGAAGAACCCATGTTCCGACATTTGTGCTAAGTCATCTTTCGATCGTCAGTATGCACCGATTTGACTGAAAAAGTTATCCAAATACATGTAAGAATGAGGAAATCTATTGGATTAGAGCCCGACAAAAGAGCTTTGGAGCTTTGCCTCGGGAACGTGTATGTCGACTGCTCCAGTTAACAATTCTTGCAATCCGACCTCGTGATATATTTAGCCGGCATGGTTCTATTCATGGAAACAATTGAAGAAAAACGGAATAACGAATTGTTGGATCGCACTGTAGAGGGCTGACAGCTTTTTCTGAAATGAATATAATTCTTATGCAGTCACTTTTAAACGCTCCTTTGAAGGTCGATGTGATATAGAGTGGCATCAAGGAAAGAAGGCTAATGGAAAGAAGTTGATGAATCAGGTCTGGATGCTAGGCTATAAGTGTTTGTCAGTCCTCAACAAGGCCTTGTGTTGCAAAACAATGTTTCAAGCTGGTGAGACGTTGTAATCCGATGGTCTGAAGATCGCTACTGGAGGTATCAGTCGGTTATCATATGGGCTCGCCGAGTATGTTTTGTAGTAGTCTGTGGTTTTCCTATTTCATAGAAATAAAAAAAGAAATGACTTACATACCGAAAGCTTGCAAATGCTTCAACAGATTTTCCTCAATAGTATGCACCATATTGATGGCTGTATCCATTGTTGTAGCCTTGGTAGCTAACCATTCCATCATCATTCCCATCATTGTCGTCATCGTCCAGAGTGTCATCATCTTCCAAATCGTCAATCTCTTCATCTTCCTCGTCGCTGAACTCATCGGCATCGATCATCCTCACAGACCACCAGATCTGAAACGGGGCCTCTGCTTCATCAAATTCATACAACTCCAATCCCAAGTCCTCCATATCACAGGCTCCCTCGTTGGTCATTGCAAGCGCAACGCAATAAATATTGCATCCTCCTTGAAACAAACGAGTCTTGAAAATTCCACCATTGATCTTGCTTATATCCTTCTTCACCTCTGCCTTAAACTTAAATGCATTGTGATAACTCTCGCATTTTAGCTCGATGACCGCACACTCCTCCCCTACGTATGGCTCGTTGGGAAAGACCTCCTCGCCAGACGTCCCGGGCGTCAGGACAATATCGGCAGCCATCTTCTCGTTGTTCTCGTAGCAGTTGTCTTCGCGGCCGGCGTTGAACAGGAACCGCATCTCTTCTTGCATCCAGCCTTCCCAACCGCCTTTGGAGAGGTGGGCTTCGCGGATCTGTGCGGAATTTTCTTCGCCCCAGTAGATGAGGGCTCGGAACATCGCTTCGTTTGGAGGGATCGGGGTCTGGTCGTCCATTGTCATTCTTTTTTTGATCTGATTTAGTGTGAGCTAGTTCAATGGGAGGAGTGAAAATGGAAAAGATGGGTTGTTAGGTTTGGACAATTATAGCAGCACGAGGCTATGTCGTCTAGATTCCTTTTATCAACCATTCTTTCTCACTCGATCATAGATGTAATTAGACGATCAGGCGACCCGACTCTAAACACTTAAAATCCAACCTAAAAATACGACTCCACTTGCTCCGAAGGGAGGGGTTCACGCCATTGGGCATCATCGTCGTGCTAAACCCGCAACCCGATCTGCACTGACCCGCTGCTTACCAGAAAGGCCGGCGCCAAGTAACGGCCGTCCGTATCTGCAGGCCTCAGCCGCGTGCTGACCCCAAAGCTGAGATCTGGATTTCCCAAAAGGGAAAACACTGAGCCAGCAAACTTGACCTGATATGGAACTTGCTCCGAATTGGGTTCCGGGTTCATGTGGGATCCTGCAGGATCGAGGTCGGCTGAGAGAGGGCCCGCGATCCTATTCTGGCCTCGAACATGGGTTTCCGCGTGTTTGATATGATAGCCTCGCGGTTGAAGAAGCCACCGATGCCGTCTGCGCCGCGCTCCATGCGCTATGGAGAGGGGCTTCTGTATGTTGAAGGACTTGGACGAAGTCCGGTCCGTTTCTTGGCTCCGTACTGGCTGGAGTGAAGCCTGCAGGGACGGGATGGAAGGAAAGAGAGGGTCGAGGGTGTCTAACAGATTGACAGCCTCGTTTTCTGTAGCTGTTTTGCCTCCAGATGATTAGTTATTCGAGTGTGGCGTGCGCGTTAGCGGCTTTTGAACGCAACCCTCCGATCGTATTTATATACCCATTCCCAACCACGATACTGTTGATACTTGCAAGACCTTGTTTTCACTGCTACATTCTCATTGAATTCTTCCATACAAGCAAATTTGCTTCCTCGTCATCCAAAATGGTTGAGCCCCGTCGCAAAGGTGCCGCCAGTAAAGGTGTCCATCCCCCAGCGCCCGCCCACATTCGATCCAGCCAACCTCGTCCAGGACCTCAGATGCAATACCAGCCTCAACATCGCAGCGTTCATAGCGGATCCTCCCCCCAAGTCAATCAGATCCGAAACCAGCAGAATGTACAAGGAAGACAAATCGCCCACCACGGCGCACAACTCAGTCAGCACACCGCCACCATCCAACACCAGAATGCCGCGCAACAACGTCAGAATGCCGCGTTAAGACAGCAGAATGCAGCGCAGCAGAAACAGTTCGCTCACCAAAATGCGCAGATGCAGCATCAAATGGCGCAGCAGAATGCCGCCATGCATCGTCAGCAACAACAAATGGGTCATGAGTTGCAGTCCATGCGACATCAGCAGCAACAGCAACAGCAGCAGCCGAAGAAACAGAAGGGCAACGGCAAGAAGGTGGCTGCAGGCGCGGCGGCGGGTGCAGCTGCTGGGGTTGGGGGATACATGCTATATGAGCACCTGTCGGAGTCGCGCACACAGGAGCAGATCATCCACGACCCCAGACCGGAGAGCAGCGACGATGAAAACGATCAGAACCAGAACGACTCTTCGTCGGATAATCAGGGCACCGGGTATCAGAGCCCATACGAGGAGGGCGGCTACAACAACGGGGGGTATAACAATGGAGGGTATGACAACGGAGGGTATGATGGTGGCTACTCTGGGATGCCATCGCAAGAGAAAAACGATGGTAATGACTCCGACTGTTGCGGCTGTGGAAGTTGCTTCTGCTGCTGCTGCTCGGATGATAACAACAACAACGGCAATGATAGCGATTGTTGTTCTTGTTGATGAGGATTTGAAAAGAAGTTTTCTTTACTTCCCGTGGGAAATTTCTAAATTGTTTGCTTTTTTTTCTGTTGCTTTATTTCTTTTGTTTACGAACTTATGGCATCATTTCCTTTCTTATATATCAGCCGTGGTTTTATGTTTTCTTATGTGTTGAATACCTAATAGTTGTACGTTAAACATATGGCTTGCCCTGGCAATATCGCGCCCCTGAAACCTCTCACGCATTATCAGCTGAGTTAATTCATAAGAGGTTGTAGATTATGTGCCACTTTACTAACTGATTGGCCTGGCTTGCCAGTTGCCACCGTGCTTATCAACACCTTCTAGTATCATCCTGACTGTAAATAAAGGTCGTCTGTTTCGTTCTACCACCCATTCTCACATTATCAGCCGCACGAGGCCCAAGAAACAGTCTGTCCCAATCTTCTAGGTCATATCGTCAAGGTGGCGCTCGGTCAAGATGGCTCTGTTGGGGCCAAAGCAAGGCCACATCGGTCATTATGCGAATGTACTGAAGCCATTCCGCGCTACGCGCCTCTTGGCAGCATATTAAAGAAATTACAATCCGCAAGGATGGGACCAATTGAGCAGTGATGTGCGGTATTCATTGGTCATCAGGCTAATGCTAGTTAAGATACGGACTTCAGATGTTCAGTTGGGTCAGACGCAAGAAGATATTTCCCCACCGGAAATCTCGTCACTCTTTCTGGGACATCTTGAAGAGCATTGACTAGGGTATAACTGAACATGATAATGATCTCACTTTTGGTGGACTCAAACTAGCCATTAACATTTATTTATTTCTCAGTTCTCGGGATAGCATATCCTAGTTAATAATTAATGAACTATGCACAATCTAGTATAATGAATGCGACCTGCTGACTTGACACGTCAGACGAAGCCCATTAAGAGCTTGTTATCTTTCCCTCAAAATTTATCTCCCTTCTTTAGCTCTTCATTTGTTCCGATGTTTTCTCTTTCTACTCTTCTCTCTCTTCTTCTTCGCTTTCCTCCTCTTCCTGGCAGTCGATTGGGCCCGTTTATGATGACCCACCGGCTGCGAGTCCCTTGGTAGCTCTTTCTGCATATAGTTCTCATCTGCATTGTTGTCCTTATTCTCCTCGTTCACTTTGGCTTCTTGTTTTATCAGCTGGTTCATGGTGAAAGGGCTGCTGTCGCTCAGTGCCCTTGGTGAGTTTGAGGCAGCAGTAGGGCTCTCTGGTAAATCGTCCATCTGGATTTCAGGCTGTTCCCTCGATTCTTCTATCTGACCTTCCGATTCAAGATGGCTCATTTTCTGTTTCTCTGACACATCTGGTTCTTGAAGCCCTGGCGAAAGTGGTGGACCTGGGGAACTCGAAGCAGAAGGAGAGTTCTCTAGCGACTTTTCAACCTTGACGTTAGTTTCCTTATCCAAGTCCTTAGGCCTGTTTCGCTCGGCTTGTCGCGCATCTCGCGCTTCCGTTGCATCTATTCCGTGATTTGGTTAGTATTTTCGTTCCAATATGTCCCTCTCAAACCTATACACAATGGACAACTTACACTCTACATGAATATCCCCCAAACGCAAACGGCTCATATTGTCTGGGATATAATAATTCCGCGGATAAAAGTACTCAAGGTTATTTGTGAGTGGAAAAACCGTACCCCCTTTGCATGGGAACCTCCATAGGAGTACGGATTTTTGGGGTGGTAATTTCAATCCGGGGGGTCCGGCGGGTAGTAGTAGAATCCGCCGTTGAAAAATTGTATGCATGACGAACCATTTTCAAGATGCCTGCCTATACGAGTAGGCCTCGACATCACCTGGATCCTCACTGGCATGCACCGGGAGCTCGATAATGGATTGGAAAAGCCATGACCGGTCTTCCATAATAGCCGGGTATAGGAATTGGCGGTTCATGTTAAGAACCCGACCATCTCTCTCAACATAAAGCGCGAGGTCGGTCTGACTCCAGAAGTAGTACATGGTCCCATCTCTGCTTTGCTTTTAGCTTGCATACATCTTTGGGTAGGACAAGCATACGCATTCAGGTAATGGTAGGTGTGGTCGTAGGGAAAGTCAGTCTTAGTATACTGGTGTGTGCAACAATAGTTGCCTTGCTAGAAAAACCGGCTTGTGAAATTACATTTCATCTAATAAACTGGAATGGGGTCTGATATTATCTCACGAGATTTTTATAGCCAGAGACCTGTCGTCGCTCGGGAAACCCAAGCAATTTGTTGAACACATCGCATGTTGTGGGTATGATTTTCTCTCTGCTCCCATCATCCTGCTGCATGTGCAAACGTCTTGATTGGTTTGGATACATTATAGTGAACTTGAGTAGCAGGAGCACAGCGATGTCCTAGTATTTTCGGAACACAACTGACATGTATGAAGCCCTAGAACAAGGTGGGTTTTAACATTGGTTCAGGGTAAATCTTGGTTTGTTATTGTTTTGAAGTGTCGAAGTTTGAACAGGCAACAAGTGGGCCGTCTAAGTGGGGGCACTAGGTCCTTAATAAGGAAGAATATTTGTTCACTTTTGGAATGATAATATGATACCACGGTTATTATCACTTGCTACCATTATCGACATTGACCGGCGGGTAGATTGGTGTTGCGCCTTTTGGTTCTGTCTCGAAGAGGTTATGCGCACCAACCGGGGCTGCACGGAATGAAAATACCCGTTGAAAGGTCTTTTGGCTATAGAGGTCTAGGCTGTCGTTCTATGCTCTTGTAATGAAGGGAGTGGGAAATATTTGGATTATATTCCCCCCTTTCTTTTCTTTTCCTATACCACGTCGAGTCAGTCAATTCTACAAGGGGTTTCAAGGCCTGTATAGGTGATGCCATTTTGCTGCTTCCTTCAAGGATAGATTTAAGTATGAATAATCTATACCATCATTTTTCGTACAGCATTTAAATGTCGTATCGTGGAACTCCGGCCTTTCGCTGCCGGGTTCTCATGAGATCTTCTTCAGTTGCACTTCGCGAGACTAAATGAGAATTTTCAATATCTGTCGCTCGACAAGACGAAATCAATGAAGGGAGGAAAATCGAAAGAACATGTATGCAAAATGGGTATAGGAAGACTCACCAATACCCAGAGTTCACCATCAACAGAATCCAATTTCCCTATACGGAAACAAGTTTAGCCTCCTCAAGACGAAGTGGGGAAGAATTGCCAAGGACGCCATCGTCCAGCCAAAAATGAGTCAGCGGCCAAGCATTCACAGTGTCAGTCTGGCGCACTAGCTAGCTAATCAGAAATTGGTCAGGGGGTGTCGGACATTCGGCGTTTGACAAGTCCACCTCGAGCACCGCGGCCGACAATGCGTCCCAAGCTCCCCTTCAAGAAGCCTCGGAGTCGTGCGAAAGACGGGCCGGCGTTTGTATTCGTGGATCATGCCGACAGCCTTTCGCTGGCGTCTAGCGATAAGGATGCCAGGGCTTTGATCCGGCGGCAAGCAGCGCGCTCAGGATGCAAGCGTCGTCGGGACGAGTATGCGAGTCAGGAGCATATCGATCCTCTGCGAGGGCTTGACGCGGTTGCTACAACACACAGCGAAACCTCAGACGAAAGCGACGACACGTGGAGCCGGGGTATACTGTGTGAGGTGTCGAACCCCAGCCCTCGGCCTCAGCCCTCGTACAATGGATACGATACCCTGCGGGTGAAGTATAATTTCGACATCACCGATCTCACCAGTTTCACCGACGTAGACCTGGGCCGAATAGCTTATCTGTCGCTGCGAGATCAGCCCACTCGCCTCGTTAGTCTCCTGCAGAAGCGATCGTCTTCGTTCCTGGCTTTCCTGCCCAGTCGATACGGCTCTAGGGCTTATCTGGATGATGCTATGCATTGTGTTGCTGCAAGGGCTGGCCAGATGCTCGGCTTTCCGGTTAGGGCTTCGACTCTCTCCATGCTCTACGTCAAGGCCCTGCGCAGTTTACAACATGCTATCCTGGATCGAACAGAATGTCTAGGGCCCGATGTGTACTGCGCGACACGTTTGCTAGCCCTCTACGAGGTAAGTCATATCCATTCGTTCTGAGCGCCAGTCATGACGGGGCTCGCGTAGTTGCTTGGCTTGCCAGACGCAAACCACTGGGTCCATCACAATCGCGGTGGACTTAAGCTTGTTGAGGTCAGGGGCCCGGAGAATCATACAACCAGATTTGACAGGATGCTCATCAAAAGTCAAGGGCCATCTATTGTAAGTTTATCCTTGGGAAAAAAAAAAAAAAAAAACAACCTCTACAATCCGGGTGCTTACGTCGCACAAGGTAATCGACGGCATGTATCGAAAAGAAGCGTCAATGTTCGAAGCCCCAGAATGGCAGAAGTTCTTTAAACACGCATCCACCGCGGAAACAGATACAGATTTGAGTCTCTGGTGGGAGCTCTTCGGGGCCATCAGTTTCATGCCGGGTATTCTCAAGGACATGAGGCTTCTCTTCAAAGATTTCTCATCTACCCCCGAATACAAAAAAAGAGCCACAGAGATTCTTGAACGAACAAGGAATATGCACTGCGCTTTACATGAAGGCCATACGTGCTATCACCGCCGTCTCCCACATCTACCGTCCCTCTTCGACCTCCCCGTCTCCGCCGAGTCTTCGGATCGCGTGCGACTCCGCGGGTTCTTCCTCTATGTCATCATGTATATCAGCCGTGTTCTGGCGACGCTTTCTCCCGACGAAGCTGAGCGGGCGGCCAGCGAATTCGAGGCTCAAGCATTTGCCACGCGGACTTTACTCATCGAAGAGATGAGTGCGAAGCTTGATCCGGCTATGACTTGGCATCTTGAGCAGCGAAATGCCCTGCCTTATTCGATTCTGCGAACGGGGGATGAGTGGCTGTCAGATGGAGATCCTCGAATGTCTTGGGAAGAGCTGAAAGCTTTTCTGCAGCAGCGGTGGCTGAGATGGGAGGATTCGTGGAGAGACGGAGTCCTGGCAGCAGAGTTGACTGTGAGCGAGGTCTTTGATTAATACTGTCTATCTCAAGATAAAGTTAGTCTCTGCTTCTGTACGCATCCAGAACTAGTCACTGGGATATAGGGAAGTCTCAAATAAAGATTCAGATTCCAAATTTGCGCAATAAGCATTCATTAGGTCACACATTCCAATAAATCAACGCTCCCTAACTGATATACATAAAGAATTGACGTCTCAAATGACACGCCAATAAAATCTGTCAGTTCGTAATCGAGACAACCTTGTTGTAAAAGACCGTATCCCTTCTCAGGACGAGGTTCTGAGCAATCCACCGCCCCGAATCCTCCCTCGAGATGGTGTATCCGATGGCCTTGTAGATGGGCCCGGTTTCGGGGTCCTCGAGACCGACACGAACCCTCTTGGTCGTTACTCCATCGACCAATACGCTCGGACGAACTATGGTGAAGGTTTCCTTGCTCGCTACGAGCAGGTCTTCCATCGCCCTCTTGTCCGCCGTCGGGACATTCAGCAAGTAACCGTAGAGCGGCAACAGGGCGAGTGGGTAATTGCGCCCAAATCGAGACATGCCCAGCCCGCTACAAGCGACGATGTAGGGGCTCCCAGAGACCCCGTTGCTGCGCAGCCGATTCAGGGCCTCGATCAGCGTCTTCATGCCTTTCTGGCAAACTTGCGGGTCGTCCAGCGTCAGGCTGATTCCGTTCATGACAGGTTTCGCGCCGATGGTGGTGATGACGGCGTCGACTAGGTGGCCATCCTCGCGCTGGAGGCACCTTGACACGGCTTCGACATCGTGCGCGTTTCCCTCGACGATTGTGAGGTTGGGTTCATCCGGGAAGATAGCCGACAGCTTGGAGGATTCTCGACAGAGGGCGATGCCACGGTCCCCAGACAGGAGGGTGTGCTTGAGGGCAGCGAGGCCCACCCCGGTGCTGGCGCCAAAGAATGCGATCGTCTGAATGTCGCTCATCGTGTGGACTGATCGGCTGATGGAGTCGAAGTGGAGAAGTGTCGATCCCTTATTTCACGATAGATAACAGTTATAACTCCGTGGAATCAACAAGCTGAGAAGGTGTTGGCAAGAGCGATGCTGGAGCGACTTGATGCGTTTTATTCCATCCTCCACACTGGACGAATCCATACCTTTTATCTTCACTTTCCAGCGGCTTGAATGAGGAGAAGGAGCGAGAAGGGACCGAGCCTTCTCGCGCTTTTCTCGCGCGGACTGGCGATTGGATGTCAGCGACGAGATGACCGACCCACTCGCGCAGTTCTCGGGGCCACTGCGATGCGACCGAAGGAAACTGGCAAACGCAGCGGATCGCGATCGCAACGAGCCTCCAGATGTCGCGCGAGGCACCCGACCCAAACACCACGTCTCTCTCAGCCAAACCCCTTTCGACTCCGAAACTCCGCAGCTGTATCGTCTGTCGCGCCCGAAAAGTCCGGTGCGATAAGCTCTCGCCCTGCTCGAACTGCCGTCGCGCGAATATCGCCTGCGTCGTCCCCTCCTCCCACCGCAGTCCACGATGGGCTCGTCGTCTCGAACGCGTTGCCAACGATGCCGCCGCACAGCCCGAACCGGCGACGACTCAGGTCATGGAGAGATTGCGAACACTGGAGAACCTGGTCAAGGAGCTGAGAGGGCAGCTGGAACAGGCAAACGCTGCTGTCGCTCGGTCGGGGGCGGGCAGCTCTGGAGTCAACTCTCCGGAAGACCTGACTCACGATCATGATGTCGATCACCAGCGAAGCCTGTCTGGTGGGACCACGCAGAATGATGTTCAGGTTCGGGTCGGCAGACTGGTCGTGCAAGACCAGGATCGCACTCGCTACGTGAGCAGCGGCTTCTGGTCCCGCGTCAACGACGAGGTACGCCGGTCTGTCCCAGTGTAGTCTCGCATGGCATCCATACTGACTTCCTTGTCTTCAGATAGATGGCTTGAAAATCGACAGTGAGCACTTCGACTTCGACGGTTACGATACCTCGGAAGACGAGTCATCGCCAGGCAAATCCCCATCTACCCAAGAACTCGACCGCACGCCGTCCGAACGCCATGCATTCCTGTTTCGACACAATCTCAACCCTTCCGCTGTGGACCTGCGTGAATTACACCCTTTGCCGTCTCAGATCCCATACTTCCTTGACGTCTTTTCGGAGAATATCAACTCCATCGTTCGGATCGTTCACGGTCCGACCGTGGCGAAGATGATTCGTGATCTGCGCGGCCAACCCATGTCCAGCCTGACGCCCTCCAACGAGGCTCTGATGTTTGCGATCTACTATGCTACAGTCACCTCCATGGAGGAGGAAGAGGTAAGTCGTGAGACTGGACCTATCTTGTCTGAGACTATACTCATGTTCCTACATCAGTCCATGACCAATTTCGGAGCGGCCAAGAGCGATCTCAATCTCAAATACCGACTGGGACTCGAGCATGCATTGGCGAAGGCGGATTTTCTCAACGCGCCCAATCTCATCCTGGTCCAGGCATTGGCTATCTTTCTCTGCGTCGCTCGCCGTCACGACAGCCCCAGATTCGTCTGGATGATGGCGGGAATCGCCATCCGCATAGCCCAGGCCCTTGGATTGCAGCGCGACGGCTCTCACTTCAAGCACCTGACACCGTATGAGGTCGAAATGCGACGGCGAGCCTGGTGGGCCCTCTGTCTGATTGACGTGAGGGCATCGGAGGACCAGGGAACGGACTACACGATCGCATACGGCAGTTTCGACACGAAGCTTCCTCTCAACCTCAACGACGCAGACATCGGGCCTGAAACCGCTGAAATGCCGCCAGCGCGCCAGGGTCTCACGGACATGACGCTCCCCCTCGTCTCGTACGAAACCTCCAATCTCACAAAAGAGATGATGACCCGCAGCGTCAAGGACGGCGCATCCAGCATGGAAGAACAGGACCGTCTGCTCGGCGAAATTTACGCGAAGCTGGATCGAGGCTACCTGCGATATTCAGTGGAGTCGGACAATATTGCCTACTGGGCTACAACCGTCAGCACGCGCCTTATGATGGCGAAGATGGCCCTTTTGATTTACCTCCCGATTCTCTCGCCTTCCGCCGGCGAGCAGTTCTCCGAGGCAACTCGCGCAAAGCTGTTTGTCGCATCGATCGAGATCGCGGAGTACAATCATGCCCTGAACGCTGAGCCGGCGTGCCGGCACTGGCGCTGGGTCTTTCAAACCTACACCCATTGGTATGCCATCGTCTTTCTCTTGCTTGAGATCACCCGACGGTCGTGGTCGCCTCTTGTTGAGAGGGCCTGGGTAGCACTTCATAGCCAATGGTTGATCCCAGCTCAATCACACATGGACAAGAACCTGCGCATCTGGATTCCTCTGCGAAAACTTATGGCTAAGGCGCGGAAACATCGCGACGTGGAGATTGAGCGTCTCCGAGGTGATCCTCAGGATGCCGACCGGCTGGAAACCGGAGATCACGACTTGCCTGTCCCGATGAGCTGTGGGCCGTTTCCTAATGGCTCCGATGCTGTCCATCTGTTTGATAACCGTTGGCGTCAGCTAGTCGGGGCCGCACGGGAAACTGGGGGCCATATGGAAATGACTGATGCGTCAACGCTAGATACCAGGCCCCCGGAGCAGCTGGCTTCTACAGTCCAGCCAGAAGCCAGCTCTTTCCCCGCGTGGGGTGTTCCTGGCAATTCAGTGTCCATTCCTACCTTCGACTCGTCTTATCCTGATGTCGATGCAATTTCTGGATTACGGGATCTGACAAATGATGTACACACGTTCATACCGTCGGTTGGCCCCGGCGACGTTCCCCTGGATCAAGCCCTGACTAGCGATTCTCACGACGCTTCCTTTGGCCCTGGCTTTGTTCCCTGGTCATGGGATGATGCTATTGATGTTAATATGGACCTGGATGGTGAGGTGAACTGGCTTGATTGGCTCAACTCTACCAAGAATGTGGAATGAAGTAGGCCAGGCAAGAAATACCTAGATCAATCCTCATTATTTCGTTCGACATCGCCCTAGTTCTTGTGCTATATAGCTCAAATTCACGATCCTGAGCGATCTAATCATCGAGGACGAGTCCAGCAGCCCGTCGTGTTCTTAATATCTACCCTTAGATTCTCCGATGCGTCATGGGTACAAACTGTGCAGCACTGACTTTATCCTACCAACCCTCCAAACACCGAAACGGCCTAGACCGAGGCTTCTCTACTTAGTTCTATCGAGGAACAAATCAGGCTTTCAACGTTAGCAACGACGTGGTCGCCACCGTGGAGCTACCCCGGATCCAAACAAATAATGACGTCACCATATTGCGATCCGTCCTACCGTGTCGAGACTCCCCTTGTCCCATTCTCCTTCATATATCCTAGCAGTGTGTGCTTGATTACACTGGATCAAATACCCCGTCTATTGAGTCCCCTGTCAACCACGATGTTGACCTGTCCGCTCATCAGAAGCACCGGCCCAACGGCCCGCCGATACTTTCTTCAAGGCATCGTGTCTCATCATCCAGCATACGCTTCTCCCATCTCTCTTCCCTCTCGAGAACAGCCTCCTCTCTCGTCTCATTCCCAAGCCATCAATACTCCCGCTGTGGTAGAAGACTTTGACCGCACGGTCCTCAACCCCGAACAGCACGAAACCTGCAAATGGGGCACCGACGACGCCGTTGCGAGCCATCAGTCCTCCTACGACCCGTCCATGACTTCCCCCGAGATCGAGTACACGGCTGAAGAGGCCGAGTTCAAGCTCGAGGGCCAAGATCACTCTCCGCTGTACGTTAGCCCGGCTAATCGTGAAGTCAGCGAGTTGCTGGATCCCATGGTCGGAGGGGCTGTTCATTGCGCGGATCGCTTGGGCCCGAGCGCACGGGGCTGGACGAACAAGCATAAGGTCGTTCGGGTCAGGGATTTTCCTGGGAGTCGCTGGAAGCAGTATGAGAAGGCGTTGGAGAAGTTGAAGGCGGCGAGGGAGGCAGGCAATGCTCCCAAGGATGTCAAGGCTTGATGCGGAGTACTGGTATTGTGTTTGGGGTTATAGTTATTAGCAGAATATATCAGAATGAATAAACACATTTCTCTGTATATGCTGTTCAAGGAATCTGTAGTCTGCCTAGTTTGTTTCTCGCAGTCGTCTTCAATTCTCCAGCGACCGCACCGAATCTACCACATAGGAACCAGAACACAAGCACGGACAAATACTATAACTAATAGATCAGTCCACACAGTGCAGACCTCTCATCCCCCGCAATAAAACACGCGACAAACGATCCAACTGCAACCCAAAAAAACTGCCTTCATTGGTCCAGGCTGAACTCCAGGGTTCATCAGACCGCAGCGATCGACCCTGCAGAGCCAATCAGCACCACGCCAACCACACGATGGATTCAACTTCGCCCCAGAATTGCCCGGATGGTCGGCGATGCGACTAGCATATGAACCCTGGAATGACATCATCGGAGCTGCTGGCACCAATCTCCGTTCAAATTAGCAGCGCATTGCCCTACTGATCCCTGGCGCCTGGGACCGTTGGACTGTGCCTTGTCACGGAAGGATGGAAGGAAGGGTTGGCGTTGCATGGCGTGGTATGACCTGGGGTATAAATTGGAGATGAACCTAGGGTGTTTTTTACTAGAGTCTAAATTAGACGTCACGTCACGTCTTTATACATATTTTGTATTCCACTGTTGAGGCTATTCCAACACACTAAACCACAACTACATTCTATACTTCACATACTCTGTCCAGTCCCCAGTCCTTTCACCATGGGCCTCTTCTCCAAAAACAAAGACCAAACATCCCACTCTCAGCCCGAAGAAAACCAAAAAGATACCAAAGACAAGAAACCTCTCGCCGATCCCTCCTACACATGGGGCATCACGCCGACCGCAGAACACACGTCCACCGACCCATACATGGACAAGAACCATCCCGTGCATAAGATTCCGCTGGAGAAACAAGAGAAGATGCGCAAGAAAAGAATCGATCCCGTGGCCAAAGCGGAGATGGACGAGGCGTTGAAGGGGGAAGGTGGATTCTGGGCTAAGTTCGCGGGGACGAGTATGGGTGGGGGATGGATTAAATGACCTTTCTATTATCTTCGTGTGCGATGTGTCTAGGTGGTTTGTTGTGATTTATCTTTCTGTTTTTTACTTCGTTGTGTTTAAGTAAGGGGGAGGATAAAAAGGGAAGAGATGATACCAGATCAAGGCAAATGAATTAATCAAATATAACCCAACTCCTACGCTCTATATATGGAATGCTCCTCTAGGCCAGTCTAGTCTATCTGTATCAGGTCATTAAAAGTGCATCACACCTACAACCGCGCAGTACCCTTCAACTTGGCCTCGATCATCTGGCCAATGCGGGGATCCACACGACTAAACATGGCGATCGTGGCATCGCGGATCTGAGGCGGCACGCTCTCCAGCGTCTCGGACACGTTCGCGATCCACTTGCGTCGCTCGGTCTCGTCGAACACCTTGGTCCAGAGCTCGCGCGGCTGCACAAAGTCCTCGTCGTCGACGGGGGTCTCGTTGAGACCCAACACGCCGCCAGACCGCAGGAACTCGTTGTGGCGCACCTCCTGCACGGTCTGCGTGCGGACACCCGGCGTCAGCGTGCTGCGCACGTAGTTCGGGTCGCCGTTGTAGTTGTTCGTCATGGTCATCTTGCCGTCACGCTCGAAGGGCGCGTACACGGGGCAGACGGGGCGGTTGGAGGGCAGCTGCGTGTAGTTGGCACCGAGACGGTAGCGCTGCGCGTCGGGGTAGGCGAACATGCGGGCTTGGAGCACTGGAGGGAAGTCAGTTTGGGAGTCTGGAGGGACAGGGCGAGAGTTAGACATACTGGGATCGGGGGTCATGGCGACACCGGGGACCATGTTGGAAGGAGAGAACGCGGCCTGCTCAATCTCGGCGAAGAAGTTGCCCGGCTGGGTGGCACGTCAGTATTTACTGTCGGGCATGAGTTCAAAAAGGGAGAGCCGCTCACGTTCTTGTTCAGAGTCATCTGGCCAACCTCGATCAAGGGGAAGTCCTTGTGAGGCCAGATCTTGGTGATATCAAAGACGGCGCGGCCGTAGGTCTCGGCCTGCTCGGGCTCCATGACCTGGACGTACAGCTTCCAGGCGGGGTGCTCACCGCGCGCGATGGCATCCCAGAGGTCCTGGGTGTGGAATTCGGGGTTGGCACCAGCCATGCGCGTGGCGTCGTCGGGCTTCATGTTCGTCATAGGCGTGACGGGGCGGAAATGGAACTTGCAGTAGCGGAACTTGCCGTCGGCGCCGACCAGCTTGAAGGTGTGCACGCCGAAACCGGTCACGCGGCGGATCGAGTCGGGGATACCGCGGGAGCCAAAGAGGTGCATGAGAGTGTGGACACTCTCGGGTTGGTTGGCGTGGAAATCCCAGAACTGGAAAATGGTCAGTCGGAGAGCAACGCCGAGGGATCAAAGGAACGGTGCTTACCATGCCCCAGTCGGGACGGTTCGTGGCCGGGTGCTTCTTGTGACTCCGGTTGAGGGAGGGGAAGCGGACGGGGTCGCGAACGAAGAAGACGGGCTGCTGACGGTTAGAGCTGGTGCAAATTAACCGGGGCAACTGAGACATACAACATGGTTTCCGACAATGTCGTGGTTACCCTCCTCGGTGTAGAACTTGACCGAGAAGCCACGGACGTCGCGCACGGTGTCGGCGCTGCCCTTCTCACCGCCAGTGGTGCTCAGACGGAACAGAACGGGCGTCTTCTTGCCAACGCCGTTCATGAACTTGGCGCAGGTAAGGTGGGAGATGTCGTTGGTGACCTCGAATTCACCCCAGGCACCGGCGGCCTTGGCATGGACGACCCTGCAGGATGTCAGCGCTAAGCACAATCAAGATCGCGAAGATAAAGTAATAATTGGGTACCTTTCCGGAATCCGTTCCCGGTTAAAATGCGTCAGGGTCTCGATGAGAAGAGTGTCGCCAAGGGTCGTAAGACCGCCACCGCCATAGGTGGGCAGGGTCTGAGCGACCGAAGGGTCAGGAAGAGGTTGGCCTGCACAGCTGGTTAGTCAAAAGTTCGGCAATCGGAGCAAGATAAGCTTTCAACGTGCCTTCGGCCAGGGTGTAGACGGGCTTAGACATGATGGGATCTGGCACAGCGGATGTCCAAAGATGCAAATGACAAACGAGGATGGAGAAAATCTCGCTGGCACACTGGGGAGCTCCATTTCATTTATATCAACAATGAAAACCCACCTCTCCCGTCCCAACACGACCGAAACCCACAATCATCCTCGGGCACCCGACCGACGCGGCCGCGCATTGACGAAGAAATTTCTGTTGATAACAGTCCGAGACAATTCCGGACCCTTCTAGCGCCAAAAGTGGATGAAGCCGGCCAGGTTTCCTATCTCATGAGGGGAACTTTGCAATATTTTTAGGGTTTCCCCTCACGAGGGGAAGCTGCGTGAGGGGCGTCCCACGTAAGCTGCAAGCCACCGGCTGTGATTGGCCACTGGGGAGACCTGTGGCTGGGCGCGGCCCGTCCGATTAGCGGCCGACATTTGACCGAATCTCTGCCGGGTGTCGGTGTCAGCCACACTGCAAAAGAAACAAACGCCGCCGTATCGAAGGTGCCCCGTTGCTACCTTAGCCAGGGTCTGCCTTCTGTCTGCCCTTTGTCTGCCGTCATACCGTCATACTCCTGCGGTGTCACCATTTTCCTCTTCGGATCAGACGGGACCACGGAAGACGGCACTGAGTTGGAGAATGAATCGAGTTGAGTTCAGTTGAGGTGATTTCATGTCATGGAGAAAACCTCTCAATATGGTGTTCGTAGAATATATAAAGACGACGGGTTGAGCTTCAATGGACTGTATCTCATCAGCATCGCATCAACACAATTCTCAACATTTCCAATACTTGCAATAACCCATCTCTTGTCTTTCTTCACTCTTCGAATTTCTTCATACCTTAATCTTTATACCAAGTCTTTCAAGCTCAAAACATCATCATGTCTGCAGTGACCAACGGATCCCAGTACGACTTCATCATCGTCGGCGGAGGTACTGCTGGAAACACTATTGCAGGTCGTCTGGCCGAAAACCCCAATGTCCACGTCCTGGTGATCGAGGCCGGTATCGACAACCCTCATGAGGTGGAGGACATCACCACCCCCTCCAAGGCCTTCGGTCTCCGCGGCAGCAAGTATGACTGGGCCTACAAGACCACCATGATCAAGCGCGAGGACTACGAGCGGGTGGAGAAACCCAACACTCGCGGCAAAGTCCTCGGCGGCAGCTCCTGCGCCAACTACTTCACCTGGATTCCCGGGTCCAAGGCCACGTTCGACGACTGGGAGGAGTTCGGTGGTCGCGACTGGACCTGGGACAATTGTGTGGAGTATCTCCGCAAATGTGCGACGTATCATGACGACGAGAAGCTATACCCCTCAGACCTGTCCAAGATCGGGACTGGTGGGCCTCTGCAAATTTCCCATGCGGAGCTCGTCCCCGAAATGCAGCACTTCCGGGATGCCCTCACCCAGGCGTGGGTGTCTAGCGGAGAGCCTCTGTCTGAGGACATCTTCTCCGGCGAGATGCACGGACTCACCCACTGTGTGGATACCATCTACAAGGGTCAGCGACAGGGTAGTTTCCTGTACCTGTTGAACAAGCCCAACGTGACCGTCCTGTCCTCGGCGCAATCGAAGCGTCTCATCATCGACTCGGCCACCCGCGTCTGCTCCGGCGTCGAAGTCATCAACCCGGCCACGGGCGCCGAGACCAGCGTGTATGCCACCCGCGAGGTCATCCTCTCGCAAGGTGTCTTCGAAACGCCCAAGCTGCTGATGCTTAGCGGAGTGGGTCCCGCAGAGGAGCTCTCCAAGCATGGAATTGATGTCATCCTGGATTCCCCGCACGTTGGTCAGCACCTTCTGGACCACCCCATCGTTCCTTTCGTGTTGCGGATTAAGGACGGCTTCGGTCTAGACGACCACCTGCTCCGCGCGGGTCCCGCCAACGACGCCGCCGTTGCTGCCTACCGACGCGACAAAACCGGGCCCGTCGGTTCCGGTCTGCTGGAACTGGTCGGCTTCCCCCGTATCGACGAGCGGTTGAACCAGTACCCAGCCTACCAGGAGGCGAAGGCCGCTAACCAGGGCCTGGACCCGTTCGGACCGGGCGGCCAGCCTCACTTCGAGCTGGATTTCGTGGGCATGTTCAGCTCCGCGTTCCAGTGGCATTACCCCGTCCCCAAACAGGGCAACTACATGACCGTTATTGTGGATCTGCTGCGACCCGTGTCGGAGGGCGGCGAGGTCACTCTGAACAGCTCAAACCCTCTGGTGCAGCCCAACATCAACCTCAACTTCTTCGGCAGCGACCTGGACGTGCTGGCCATGCGCGAGGGTGTCCGTTGGACCTACGATGTATTGACCAAGGGTTCTGGGTTCAAGGACATCGTAGAGCAGGAGTACCCATGGGAGATGCCGCTACACTCGGACGAGGCGATGAACAAGGCCGTTTTGGAGCGCAGTCAGACCGGCTTCCGTAAGTTTTGGTCAACCATTCCTAGTATCATCGCGTTGCTAACTTGTTGTAGATCCCTGCGGAACGGCTCGTCTGTCGAAGAGTGTCCACCAAGGTGTGGTTGACTCGAAGCTTCGCGTGCATGGCATCCGGAACCTGCGCGTCGTCGATGCATCTGTGATTCCGGTCATTCCCGACTGTCGTATTCAGAACTCTATCTATATGATCGGAGAGAAGGTGAGAGGCGATGAATCCATGAATGAGAATCGGACTAACGGATATGATAGGGCGCCGACATGATTAAGGCTCAGCACAAGGATCTGTATGAGATGAAGAATATTGCGTATTCTGTGCCCAGTCGATTGTAAGAGGACCGGGAGAGGAGAATGGGACGGCGTTGCTGAAATTGAAATCTAAAATTGGGAAATTGGAAAGTTGGGAAGTTCAGGGAGTTGAAGAAGGCGAGAAGGACATGCGGGGAAATTGTCACCTACTGATTTAATCTCAACTTTGTCTTTTGTAACCAGAACTTCCGACCGATAACCAGAATCGGGTCTCGTGGCGCAATGGTAGCGCGCTAGCTTCCGGTGCTAGCGGTTGTGCGTTCGAGTCGCACCGGGATCGTTTTTTTATTTTATTTTTTAAATATTTCTTCTTTGCCCATAGCCAGTATGGTCGATGTATCAGGTTTAGGAACTTTAGAACTATTGGATATTGACTATTAGATATTTGTGTTTTGATACATAGAAGCATCATTTCAATCCAAATTTTCTGCCCGGAACATATGTAACTGCCCTCCAGCGCAAGCAAAGAACTGAACAGAACAGAGAGAGTCACTGAAAGACATTAGCTATTTCTCCACTATTGCTCCTCCGCGGAAACAGTTCCATGCTAGGTTTATTGAAAAAGGCTCTGTGGACAATTGGCGGGGTGATCCTCACCCGCTGAAGGAATTATCCTTTGATCGTTTGACATCCCTGTGCATCTGGCTTGGTGACTACGATGAAAGTAAACACATTCCCATCTTCAGGCGCCCTGGCTTAAGAGGTTGGTGATCGTGCCAAAGAATACGACCCTACCCGACGGTGTGGAGCATCATTCCAAATTTTTGGTAAATAAGATGGTAAAGCACATTCCGGTATGTTGTTGTCCCTGCGTTTCTTGTCTGCCCTGCTCACTGACCGGTTGCATGACTGTACATGGAATCTTTACCCGCGTCTAGAAAAACCGATCTTTGGGATGTGAAGCCAAGTCGCCGTTTTCTGAATTGGCTCATGAAACGGATGCCCAAGCTGCAGGTTTTCGATGCCCCGAAAAATAATGGCCATCAGAATTGGTTGTGAATGAAATGACTTTCATTACTTTGGTCCCGCTGGATCCGCCAAACCCTCACTAGAGGAAAGTTCCGGAGATCTCTATAAGAAGAAAAATATTTCCTCAATTTGAGTTGAAAACTCCATCTATAACTCTCTATGTATATCCATCCTTCTTTTCCCTTCCTCAACTGACATTTCCCTTGCCAAGTACTAAACCAGCAACATCATGGCAACCGTTATGACAGCAGAGCTCCTCGGAATTATCTTCATGTTCCTTCAGTACTATTCGGTGGACATAACCTGACCCCCCAAACATTGGATGTACCCTTGCATCCTCGTGAATAAGCTCTGGTGTCGAGAAGCAGTGCCTAACCTTTGGAAAGATATCAGTCTTGGGACAATGACGAGATGCCGCTCTATAGAAGAACATTTCAACCTAATAGCTCCTGGCCAAAGACATTTTTATGTGAATTTTATTGAGAAAGCCGCCTTCAAAATTGGCGATGGCGATTGGGATGTCAGTGTGCTTGGTGGATTGACGTTTTCTCGCTTAAATTCCCTGAATTTATATCTTCATGCGTACAATACTAGGCCTTGGCCCCAGATTCAGGCACCCCGGCTCAAGAGCCTAGCGCTCTTTGTGAGCGGTCTCTGGTGCTTTCGTTGTCAGTATTATGACGTAGAGGAGATGCTGAAGAGAATCCCGGCATGTTCTGCTCTATCCTCTTGTTTTCTCTAATTTCGTTTTCTTTCTTGTTACTTTCTATTTTACCCTCTTACTGATGCATTGAGTGTAGGACTTTTTCCCGGATTTAGACGAGCTTACGTTTTCCTCTAACTTTGAACATTGTGAAGATACAATGGAACTGCTCTGAAAGCGGCTGCCGAAGTTAAAGGCATTTAATGTCAAATTTGATTTGGAGAAAGAGGACTGAGAAGAAGACTGGGAAGAGGACCAAAATGAAGGGAGGTAGGACTGGTGATTATCGGGGCTGATGTCGTGGTGAAAAGCTTTTCAGTAGTTTTACTTGTTCTATTTAGTTCGTGTATTGGGTTGGAGAGCAGCCTAAAAATATTCTGGAAAGAAGAGCCGAAAGGAAAAATGCTGCACAGGTCTCTATATTTGCAAATAGGTTCTAGGTTATCCAACAATCACAACATCCTTAACTATATGTCTGGCATCAACAACTGCCCAGGCACCAATATAACTACTTAGCATCCCCCAAACCCAGTAGGTCAAGTAGTTAATAAATATTCCATGAAAAAGAAAGAGTTACGCGTGACCAGGGCCTGCGTGCACCGTGTAGTGAATACCTCTATCCCCTATAACTCAGTCTTTAAGGAGTCAGTGAGGCTTCAAATCTGCACACTGACCTAAACTTTCTTCCTTCGCTTCTTTCCATCCTATAGCTATCTTCCAATCCATAAACGAAGTCAAAACGAATAAGGAACCATGGCGACCGAAATGACAGCCACCCAGCGTGCTCTCCACTTGCCAGAGCTTCTAGCCATCATCTTCCAGCTCATCCATCGGAGTTTGAGGTCAAGCTGTCATCACCGCCTCTTTTACGATTTCATGCTTGTGAATAAAGTCTGGTATTGGGAAGCAGTGCCCTACTTATGGAGAAACATCATCTTCACCTTTGACAAATCTATAAAATATCATTCTATTGATCACCTTTTTACCTTTGTCGCTCCTTGCCGAAGACAGTTCTATGCCGAGTTTATTGAGAAAGCCAGAGTGTACAGTCGCCATTTTGACGCCAATTCGCTCAGTGGTTTGGTCTTTTCTCGATTGAAATATCTTCTCTTCGATTTCGATGGTTTTGCCGACTGTCGTATCCCCATGATTCAGGCGCCACGACTCAAGAAGCTGGGGATATATGGTCTTCCGGGGTGGTGGGGTCCACATGAGGTGGACCAGATTCTGAAGCATGTCCCGGTATGCCTGGCTCTTTTTTTGTCCCTTTTCTTTCTTTTTTGCAACTTTCTGCTAGATTTTGCTCACTGACTGGCGTATTTCCTGGGTATAGGATCTTTTCCCAAGTTTGAAAGAGTTAGAGATTCCCCTTGCATCTCGGCCTACTCAAGATTGTATGAAAATGCTCGAGGAGCGGCTGCCGAAGATGAAACTGCTTTATTCCGTGGGTTATGGCACCCGGCTTTAGGATTACGATCCTAACTACTGGAATTGATAAAATGTGACATGTCTTCCGGCAGTGGTCGACTTTTTGCTCTGTTGTTTGCTGGCGCTGGAGAACAAGTAGCAACATGTTTTGGGAAGAAGGACTGAATCAAAAATAATGCATAGTCTCATATGTTCTAATGAGTTCTGAAACATCCAATGGCTTTAGAGTTACTGATCCTGATAACTGCTTTGGTATCAATAAAAAACCTTCCCCCCCCCCCCCCCCCCCGGGCCCCGCTGAATTCTGCAAACCCAGTAGGTCACACGGAAAAATTCAGGCGTGCCCATGGTCGGTTTGGATGCAGTGAATAACTCCTTCCTCCCTGCATGACCCCCGCCGTAGGGCTTCAACTCTCTACATACACACATCCTCTATTCATCTACCCTCCCATCACCTAAAACTAAACCAACAACACCATGGCCACCATCATGACGGCCGCCCAGCTGGTTCTCAACTTGCCAGAGCTTATCGCAATTATCTTCAATTTCCTTCTTCACCTCCCAGACGACGACATCGGCAGTCCGGATATCCTGGACGCAACCATACATCATAAATACTTCTTTTACCAATGCCTTCTTGTTAATACAGTCTGGTACCGAGAGGCAGTATCCTATCTGTGGAAAGACATCAGGAATCTCACAATGGTGAAATTTCGGTCTATAGAACAATACCTCGGCCCTATAGTTCCTGGGCGAAGACAGTTTTATGCTGACCTTATTGAGAGCGCCACTGCGGACATGTGGTCCTTTAGTGACGATGCGCTGATTGGATTGATATTCCCTCGTTTGACCTTTCTGGTTATCTATCCTGAGCCGAACCACAGTCGTGTTCCCCAGATCAATGCGCCACGACTCAAGAGTTTATGGTTCTGGACGAAGGGAGGGGGTTTTTACTTGGGTCAAAAACACGTGGTAACCGCGATGATGGAACAAATCCCGGTATGTTGCCCCTTCCATATCATTTCATTCCTTTCTATCCAGTTTTTTGCTCTCCCTGTTCACTGATTGGTAATATAATTGTGTGTAGGATCTTTTCCCGCATTTGGAAGAATTAAAGCTTTATAATGGGACTCCACCTATCCCAGGTACTGTCAGAATGCTCAGGGAGCGGCTGCCGAAGTTGAAGAATTTTTCCCCAGAAGATCAAGACGAAGCCTGGGAACAGCGGTCCGAAGAAGACTGGGAAGAAGACTCCGAAGAAGACTGGGAAGAAGACTGGGAAGAAGACTGGGAAGAAGACTGAAACAATGACTGGTAGAATTGGTGACTATTTGCACGGATATCGTGTGGAATACTTTTCTGTAGTTCCTCCTTGGCTTTGTTCTTTCCTCGCATCAGAGGGCAGCTAACGACATATCTTGAGATGAAGGACTGAATGCAAGATATTCTTGGATTTTCAGATCCACCCAAGAAGATTCAATGATCGCAATTTTCTAGAAAATACCTCAAGATCAATGTATTTACTTCTCTCCTCTAACATCTGCATGCCATCGATGCCCCTGCCAGTGCAACAGCGCCGTCGGAATAAAGCTGACGCCCATGATCAATGCCGTGATGACTCCCGAGCTGTTTGCAATGCCCACACTCTCAAACATATCCGGGAACCTGTTTCACTGAAATTAGCAATCGAACACAATCCAGTAAAATTCACGAATGGAATAAGATGAGATGTGTACCAAAAAGGCCCAATAAATCCCCACGTCGAGCGAACAAAGTTGATAAACACGCCTACACTGCCCGCATCCTGCGGATACGTATCCACCGCATACGTCGTCAACACGGTCGTCACGACCTGATTCCCAAACGCCGCAATTCCCGTGCCCACGACCGGCGTGACGGTCCATTTCCCCTGCGTCGCCTGCTCTGTACAGACCAGGAAGACTACCATCCCGGCGATGCTCACCAGGAAGCCGACGTAGCTGAGCCAGAGCCGGTACTCGGGCGCTGGCTTCTGTCCGATCCGTCGCGCCCGCGTGTTCATCCACACGTCGGACATGATACCGCCGAGTTGTTCGCCGAGGAGAGAGCCGATGATCAGACCTAGGAATTGTAGACCGAGTTGTTGGGCGTTGAGCTCGAATTTGCTCTGCAGGAGTTGGGGCACTTCGACGGAGTTGAGCACCGAGGCGAAGACGAAGACCATGGCGTAGGCGACCGCAGCCAGGAGGACGGGGATGTTGGTGAAGAGGGTGAGCGGGTGGAGGAATTCGGAGACGTTGAAGGGAGTCGGGTCGATCCGTCGGATGGCCACGTATTGGTGTTTGAAGGAGGAGGTGGTTTGCATGTCGGAGCCGAGATAGCGGGTTTCAGGACCGAAGAAGATATAGAGAATGAATTCGCACGCGTTGGTCTGGTCAAGTTAGATTGTTGTTCTGTCAGTATGAAGGGTGGCTTACGATGGCCAGGACCCAATAGATCCACTGATATCCCACGCGTTGCGCAACGAAGCCGAAAATAAAAGGACCGACGGGAACACCCAAGGTGACCATGACGGTCCAGATGCCCATGTATCGCGCTCGCTCGCGTTTGAAGAAGGTCTCCGTCACCACGGCACTGCCGAGGGCCATGGCCGGCGAGATGAAGAACGACACGAGGGCGCGACATGCCGCCATGGAGGCATAATCGGGACTCTTGGCACAGCCAATGTTACACACGCAGCTCAAGACCAAAGAGATCAGGAAAATCGGTCGTCGTCCGAATCGATGGGATAGCGGCTTCCAGAATAATGGGGCGCCGCCGAGAATGGCGATCTGGAGGGAGGTGAGGTAGCTGACTCGCTGCAGCGACACGCCGAGATCCAACGAGATGTCTTCATAGGCACAGATGATGGCGGCCGCGGTGAAAGTGCCCATGCAGGCGTGGAAGGCGACCAGACTGAGATTCGCTGCTTTCTACACGCTGTCAACGCCGGCAGTCCAGCCTCGGGATGAGGACTGCATACCTTCCAGAGCGGCCAGTTGTAGGGATCGGCCGGATCACTGCTCGGCAAAGGTTCGAGATCCAACGTGCCATGTCGTTCCAGCAGATAGGCTCGATGAGAATCCGACAGACGGCCGGTCGGGTCAACGGCTCCGAGCGCCGCTTCTGCCTTCTCGAAGTACTGGGAGTCCGACTTAGACGCCGACATCGTATGTTCCGGGGACGCCATCATGCGGGAGGTCTCGAAAGGTCAGCCCACGACAGGATGGGTCGGTCAAGGGAGCGAGAGCTATCGTGATAAAAGAGACGGACGTCGGACCTGGGGGCGGGACCGGACCGCGACGAGGACCCATCCGCACCCAGCGAAATCAATGATTCATTAAGGAAAAGACCGGGGAAAACGCGGGGTCCCGTGTCAATTCCCCCATTCAGCAGCGATTATCGCGGTGGATTCCCCGTGGACCACTGAGCGTCTCACGATAGTCTCGACGTGCGGTGGAGTCAACGTGTCCCCGCGGTACTTGAGAGGGGCGACTCGTTGCCGGTCGTGCCTCCTGTCGTCTTCTGCGGGCGTCTCGGGTGTCAATGTACCGGACCTCGAAGGATCCCGCCGAGGAGAAGGAGTCCGAGGCTGATCAACTGCCGATGCGTCGTTCCGTGCGTCTGATAGATGGACAATTCGTCGTTCGTGTTGCTTGGTGTGCTTATGCTTCGTTGGTGCCTTGGGGCCAAGGCGGATGGCGTCTTTTATCCCTTGGCAGCACGAAACAATCACTTTCTCTCTCTCATCTTACACAGACAGACTGGCTCTGCACCTGTGGTGGCATGGCTTGTGCAATTCGTGATGCACAAGGGGTGTCAAATCACGTATTCTCCGAGCGCTGGGTAACTCCCACCAGACAGATCACTTATCGGCCGACCCGGTGCCTATCGGGGGTGTCTACTGCCAGGGTTGAGAGCGTTGGATCATGTATACTACAGATCTCTGGACACGCGGTCACCTCGGGGGTCCTGAATCGAGCCATTGAATATGTATAACTATCGAACTTGCACACCCACTCAGCCTTCCTCGCCGCGACAGCCACGCCGCATCTCCACGATAAACAACCGCGTCATAGTCAATCGGTCGCCTTCCTCTAGGCCAGAAGGCCCTGTCCCAGAGTACGCTGAGTCAAGTTCGGCGAAATATGTAGTTAGATCCCGTTACTTATGTCCCTTGGGTGCTGAGTAGTCAGACAATATCTAGAGACCGGACTAACATTGACCGTCACTCTTACATTACTCAACCCGCTCACCATCAACTATGCACCTCTCCGACAAATCCCCCCAACACATTTGTTCCCATAGCAGCATTCTTCATCGTCCTCGCACGGACCAAAGTCCTCGGCACAATTAGGCCACTTCGGATCGGTCGGCCGACATTTATTCGCTGCGCAGTAAGATGAGCAGCAAAGAGGTCCGGAACCGGACGTGCAGCCCGCTGGCCAACTCGTTAGCATGTTTCCCGGGTCGAAGATAGGACCAGGTTGGCTTACAGTAGACGCCCACGCAAGTCGGGGTCGGCATGGAGGTTTCTGTGGTTGTGGCGCGAGTCACCATCGTGCAGACCTCTGTCAAGGGACAGTCATCGTAGCCGACGCATTTACTGACTACGATGGTGGCAAGGGTAAGAGGAATGAGGAATTTCGTGACATGCATGTTGTTTTATTTCTTCTTCGGCGCTTAATTCAAACTGCTCCTGGTGTGAGCCGAATTCGTATTCTAGTATCGAGAAAGGCTCCTTGGAAACGAACCATCACGGGTATATATCTTCGAAGAGAACACACGGTACACAGATGTCTCAGGTATTTGCGACTGATTGGGAGAGAATACGAGCGGCCATCACGGTGGCCTGCTGCTGCTGGCTCGTATAATAGCTGTCGAACATCAGATTCCACCTCCATGTCCCATTTTCCGAGTATCTTTTGGCTTGGTCAGGGATACGATTGGCGTTGTGGAATGCCGGACAGACCCGTGCTTGCTGCCATGTCTCTGCAATACGAGGTGGAGATGGACATAGTGCGGAGGCGATGATCGTCTGATCGAGGTACAATAAAGGTCTTCGTATCCTAATGTCCAAGACACCATTGTGGGGGAATTTGGATCGTAGACTGCCGCTAGAAGCGAGTTTACACGATAGGACTGCCTGTGGCTTGGCCGATGCAATATTTTCTTTTCTTTCCTCGTCCTATCTTCCTGTATACTCAACTCAAAAAAATCAACGCCATTCGTCAGGCTATTTCTGGGTGAAAAATCAGATCTTTATATTGGAGGGGCGGGCATTTCTCCCTTCGAACGTCCCATTCACTGCTCTGCTGTGCTATCTCAAATTTCACCTTCATAGGTGAATAGGGAGGTGGACAAGTCTTCAATCCTTGGTGGAAGGGATTTCTTCGATCGTAGGGACGACGTCAATATCACAGGTAGCCGGGAGTAGAGAGCTTCTTAGAAAGGAATTGATTAACTACCAACTAGACGAGGCTAGCGATGCTTAATCTTAAGGACCGAACGGTGGTTTATCCGATGAAAGCCGGAGTACTTACTGTCGGTTCCTCGCAGGCAAGGGGCAGCATAAACGTTGCACAGATCGGCCGTTGTGCTGCATCCTGCAAGGAGTAACTGCCGACTTTCGGTTTTCCAGATCAGAAGCAATTGAGTCTTTTTTTCCAATCCGAATTTCGTAACAAAATCACCGATTAGGTAAATGGTTGAAGCTTCAAACCGAGCGATGCAACGTTAGGGCTCGTCAGGCACGAGATCGACGATGACGTCGCGATCACTTGTCCCCAAAATGAGCTTGAATGGCCTCCCCAGCATCTCCGGGCGAAAAAGCGCGCCCAGTTGATAGGCAGCCAATTTCCGACCGGTGGAGCGCTGGCAGACCGTCGAACTCTTCTCTTCGTAAGGTCCACCGCGTGGGGGTGGAGCACTTTCCGGCCATACCAATCACCATGGGAACTATCGAATCCCTTATCCATTCCCCCCAGAAGGCGGAGGCCATCCAAGGAAACGAGAGACCCAACACGCCCGTTTGGAGCAATCAGGACGACAGCCTCATGCATGTGAAGGACAGGAACTATATGAAGCCAAGACTGCCAAGGAAACGTCGACAAGTGAGATGATGGCATTGCTGCACGCGTTGGTCTCCATCGTGAGGCCATAACAATTCCCTATCCCGAGATACCAGACTTATAAAGTCCGCCCTCGCCCACGGTGGCTATGGTTTCCTCTCCTTTTCTGCGCGCACTCTTCCTCCCTCCTCCTCCTTCTCCCTTCCTCTGCCCTTGACCTAGCTCTTCCTCCTTTTCTCCCTCTCTTCGCAATGCACCTTTCCCTCCTCTTCACGGCCGGTGTCGCCGTGGCCGCGCCCTCCTTCAACCGTCGTCGCGCCACCGCTCACAATGAAACAATTACCAACATCCAGGTCGGCCCTCGTCCCTTCTACCTGGTGGACGACATGGACCCGAGCCCCCTGAAGGAGGAGCTGCTCGGTTGCTCGGAGAAGCCCATCCGGCACGCGCCCAGCTTCACCATCTCGCACCGCGGCGGCCCCCTGCAGATCCCCGAGCACAGCCGCCAGGGGATGTTGGCCGGGGCCCGCATGGGGGCCGGCATCGTCGAGTGTGACGTCGCCTTCACCAAGGACCGCCAGCTCGTCTGCCGTCACTCTCAGTGCGATCTGCACACGACCACCAACATCCTCACCATCCCTGAGCTGGCCGCCAAGTGCTCCACCCCCTTCGAGCCGGCCACCGACGACCAGCCCGCCCAGGCCCGCTGCTGCACCTCCGACATCACCCTGGCCGAGTTCAAGTCGCTCTGCGCGAAGATGGACTCCAGCAACGCCTCCGCCACCACCCCGGAGGACTACCAGTACGGTGGTCCTGCCTGGCGCACCGAGCTGTACGACCAGTGCGGCACCCCCGTCGAGCACAACGAGTACATCGACCTGATCGACTCCCTGGGTCTGCAGTTCTCGCCCGAGCTGAAGGAGCCCCAGGTCGCGATGCCCTTCCAGGGCAACTACACCCAGTCCATGTACGCCCAGCAACTGATCGACGACTACAAGCGCAAGGGCATCCACCCGTCGCGCGTGTGGCCGCAGTCCTTCGTCGAGGACGACATCTTCTACTGGATCAAGCACGAGCCCGCGTTCGGTCGCCAGAGCATCTACCTGGACGAGCGCATCGATACCGAGGAGGGATACGCCAAGGCCGTGGCCAGTCTGCCGGAGTTGGCCAAGAAGGGCGTCAAGATCATGGCGCCGCCTATCTTCGCGCTGCTGAACGCTACCGACGACGGCGAGCTAGTGCCCTCGAAGTATGCGAAGGCGGCGCGCGACGCCGGCCTTGACCTCATCACTTGGTCGTTGGAGCGGTCGGGCCCGTTGAAGGCGGCCGCCGCCGACAAGGAGTATTACGTGCAGTCGATTGCGAGCACGATCAGCAAGGACGGCGATATGTATCGCATTGTGGATGCGTTGGCGCGCAAGGTCGGCGTCAAGGGTATGTTCTCGGACTGGCCGGCCACAGTGACCTATTATGCCAACTGTGTGGGGTTGGCTTAATGGACGGGGTCTGTAGTATGTAAATATTCTAGTATGCTATGCTGTGTATATTTAAAGTGTATAGACGAGGAGATGAGAGGGAGACAAAAGAAAGGATGTATGAAAAATCCTGGGGTATTAGTTACTACTTATTAGGAGTCAATGATACGGACTGTACGACTGTTTCCCACGAAATCACCACTGAACCAACCCTATATAATCCTGAGATACTCCGTACAGATCAGATCTCCACTCTCCAGCAGTCTGCACCGGAAAAGCCGACTGTCCCATGGGGAATCCCCGCAAAGTCGGGGCGATGATGACCCGAACGATCCACCACGAGCTGCGTTCAGCCTACGGAATGGCACCCAGCATGCCGTTGCTTGTCACCGACGCCTACAACCGTCAAGATCGGCGTGTGGAGTACGGCATCTCGGGGTAAATCTGTCACGATGCCCGGGGAAGGTCGACCCCAGATCCAAATATTAGATCGGTCCGTTCCCTTCTCCCGCACCTGGGGTAATTGTCTGCCTGTCAGTCGAGACTAATAGCCAGCGAGACAGATTTCACCGTCGCCAAAATGCCCCTCTGGAAACATGACTTTCGAGGCCGGTCCTTGATCATCGCCATCACCATGGCCTCCTGCCAGGCCTTCCTGCTGCTGGGTTTCGACCAGGGCGTGATGGCCGGCATCATCGGCGCTGATAATCGCTTCGGTCGCGACTTCAATAACCCCGACGCGAATATGCAGGGGAATATCACCGCCCTGTACGATATCGGCTGCGTGCTCGGCTCCATCGTGGCGTATTTCGTGGCCGAACGGTTGGGTCGTCGCACTATGTTGATTGCCGGAGGGTCCATCATGATCATCGGCACCGCCATCCTGGCCTCCTCCTTCACCGTCGCTCAGTTGATCGTCGGAAGAATCGTCACCGGCGTCGGTAACGGCATGAACTCGTCCACCGCGCCCGTCTATCAGTCGGAGCTGTCGCCGGCCTCGTATCGCGGTGCGTTGCTCACGCTGCAAGGCACCGTGACCATCCTCGGCGTGGTGATCGCCTACTGGTAAGTCAGCTTGAATACCGATAAAGAGCATGCATGGGTTGGAAATATAGAGACATACTAAGACTCACCCTCTCGCAGGATGGACTACGGCACCAGCTACACCGAATCCTCGCTGCAATGGCGCTTCCCGCTCGCCTTCCAGGCCATCTTCGCCGTCTGTCTCGTCCTCCAAGTCATTGGCCTGCCCGAAACACCTCGCTGGCTGGCCTCGCGCGACCGGTTCGAAGAGGCCCGCGAGGTCATCGCCGCCATCGAAGATAAACCCATCCACGATCCCTCCGTCAGCGCTACCATCGTCGACATCCGCGTCAACCTGGAGGAAGAACACAAGGGCGGCCCGTTCAGCATCAAGGAGCTGTTCACCTGGGGCGAGAGCCAGAATCTGCGTCGTCTGCTCATCGTCATCTCCATCGAGCTGGGCCAGCAGTTTAGCGGATCCAATATGATCAATTACTACGGGCCTGTCATGTTCCAGGAGACGATGGGCATGGATCGCAATCTGGCTATGATTCTCGGCGGTTGCATCCAGTGCACGTATCTCGTCGGCTCGGCTATTCCGGTCTTTCTGATGGATCGCTTCGGGCGTCGTACGTTGCTGTTGATCAGTACCGTCGGTCTGTGTTTCTGCTTCGTCATGGTCTCTATCTTGCTGTCGCTGGGCCAGACGAATGCTGCGTACGGTGCGACCGCTTTCATCTTCGTCTTCCAGCTGTTCTATGGCTCCGGGTGGCTGTGCGTGCCGTGGTATTATCCCAGCGAGATCTGCTCGAACCGCATCCGCAGTCGTATGCAGGCGATTGCGTCCGGCTGGAACTGGATGGCCGTGTTTGCGGTGGTGAAGATCACTCCGATTGCTTTTGGTGAGTTCTTTTTCCTACTTCCTAGGTATTCCATGGAGGACTGAGTGAACGGATGCTAACCGACACAGCGAACATCGGATGGAAAACCTTCGTCATCTTCGCCGTACTCAACGCCGCCTTCTTCCCCATGGTGTACTTCTTCTATCCCGAGACTAAGGGTCTCGAACTCGAGGATCTCCCGCTGCTGTTCGCCAAGGGAGGATTCACCGGAGGCGTGTTCTCGTCCAAGGGAGGTCGCACGGTGCTGCCGGGTCAGCACGCGCAGGAGCGGAATGTGGATAAGAAGGTCGAGGAGGAGCAGGTCCAGCAGGTGGAAAGGATAGAGTAGAGGATTTTTACGACTGATGATTTATGTTATTGGGTCTTTGTAGTATAGAGCGAATGTCATATGTGGCATGTATGAACCTTATAGTATGGTACACCTATTCCAGCGCAGTCTCGTGAATGTGTCATGTCATCTCGTCATTCTGCCAGTTCCTTGCACATACACCTAATTAGATCATATCGTAGCCACTACTGTCTCCAGAAAAATAATTTGAAAGATCAATTAGAGCTCGTCCATCTTGGGCTCCTCTCGATCGGGCCAGAGGATCTTCTCAATCTCGGCTTGTCGTCCGAGAGGCCGGAACTCGACTTCTCCACGGTCGGCTTTCACCTATTCCATTCTCAGCCGGTCCTTATATCTTCCATCTCGCCGACAAGAATCAGGCCAACGTACCGAAGCCTCGCTCAAGGTCGAATGGAGCTCGTCCCACGACCGGGGCGGTCCGCCGCCCTTCTTCTTGATGATCAGGGTCGGCGACTCGAAATCGTCCGGGAAAGTGGGTGCCACGTAGACTGTCTGGTTAGTGTGCCTGGAATGACATGGTGAGGCTACGTACAGTCCTCGCCTTTGGTGCTGATCGGTTCGGGGTGGTAGGGGCGTAGACGGGGATAGAGGGTGGTGGCAGGACGCAGGGAGCGCCGGAGAGTAGTGGAGAGGGGTTTGGATAGGGATGGGAACATGGACATTGTGGAGGTCAAGGTTGGCTTATCAGGGGGAGTATTCAGTAAGAATGGTGACAGGAGAGAGGAAGCTAGGAGTGCGAAGTATACGAGGGAAGGAGAAGACATGGGCTGTCATCATGACGTCGGTCGCCATCGTTGGTTGTGTGGTGTTTTGTTCTGTTTGTTTATTGTTAGGATCCTTGGATCTCAGGCACCAGCAGGTGACAATTTATGTCAAGAAGTATTTGGTAATGGAATTGTTCTTCGTGAGGAACTGCCCTTGTTCTCTACTTCTGGTTCCACGGCTCTCGTTGGACTGCGATGGTGTGATTTCTGACCGACAGTCGCCATGACTCGACCAACGCTCAACCTCGCCTTCTTTCTCTTCACGACATCCATCTGCCCCCTCTCTGTCTGTATTATAATGAAATGGAAGACCCGAAGAATGCTCGCACACCCACGCCGCATTCCCATCCTCCGTGCCATCCCCATTGCCAGCCCATGGCACACAGTATTCCAGCCACACCGATAACCGTCAGGCCCAGGTTGCGCCAGGCCGCCTGAATCGTCTGCATGACATTCCCTTGGTAGTTCTGCATCATGTATGCCGGCGTGTTGCCCGAGGGGAATTCCTCGTCTGGGATCTCCTTACCCAGGAACCTATCGCCAGTGAGCCTCGGTCGCATTTCCTCTGTCGCACACCCAAAACAAATTGAATTAACTCACCGACAGAGAGGCTCCCATCCGTCTTCTACTGTCCAATCCAACAGTTGTTCTTGAGCAACCAGTCCGCGAACGACGGCGTTATGCTCCTCATACACCCACTTGCCATGTCGGGTCCACGAGCCCCGAAAAAAAGGGATCTGGACATCCGTCATGTACCGCATCTGCCAGTACAGATCGGCCTGGAACCAGGGCAGAACGTGCCACAGCGTGCCCGTGGTGAGCGGCGTGATCACCGCGTTGAAGCTGTGGTACCAGTCATCGACGTCGCGACGGTTCAAGATGACCTGGGCCTCCGGGTACGCCTGGATGAGCTCTGGCGCGAAGAGCGCGCCCGGCTGGTCGGTGATGGCCTCGCAGTGGCCGAAGAGGGCGTCGAAGTCGGCGCGCCCCAGACCCGACGACCCGGCCACGGGGCTCGTCGTGCCCCATTTCCGCCGTCCCAGCAGCGTCCAGGGTCGCCAGAGGGTCGGCGTGTGACTCCACATCTCGAAGCCGTGGAAGACGTGGTCGTAGCCCAGGATGCGCAGCGCCCGCGAGAGCGATTCGGTGCCGCTGCGGGAGAAACCGAGGGCCATCACTCGCATCGGTTTGCTGCGTGTTTGCGCCTCATGGGGCGTGTGGTAAAGCCATGATTCGAGAGTGTTCATGATGAATGGATACTATCTTTCTCTCGTTCCAGAATGATCATGATATGTCACTTTGTTCTGTTCTGAAGAGATTTCATTCGATTGCTCCGGATTTTTACCAGCACCACCGATCAGCGGGGGTAACGCGAGCCTTACGATTTAGATCGTGCGATTGGTGCCCACTCGTCTAGTTGCTCTAGTCTCAACTGAGTAACTACTGAGTAACACGAGCGACAAGTGCCTGCGGGGTTGTCAGTGGACTTTCGAGGAACTACATGCTTTGCTTTATGCAAGGTATATCCCCATGTACGGACACGGACCCTCATACCGACACCTACGAACCAGTTACGAGAAGACGCAAGACTCGGAGAAATGAGTGATCGAATACGCAGGGACCCAGTCCCCAACAGTAACATCCTAACATACAAACATTTCCCCCTATCCCCATGGACGACCAAGAGATCACACCGTCTACTGCACGGTGATATCCGCAGACCCGCTGCTCTGGTATCCCTCGGTGGCGACGATCTGGTAGTTGTGCTCGCCCAGCGACAGACCGGACTTGGCCCAGGCGTCGAAGTGGTTCTGGACGGTGACGGTGCCGCCGGTGCGCAGGTTGTCGCGGACGGACCAGAACTGGGTGAAGGTGGCAGTGCCATCGATCGAGGGGGCGTTGGTGCGCGTCGTCTTGTAGATCTTGTACGTGCTGCCGTCGCTGGTCACGCTGCCGATCTGCTCAGCGCCCGTCGACGGGTTGTAGTCGCCGTAGTTCTCGACGATGTAGTATTCCACCAGCGGGTTGCGCGTCCAGCCGTACACCGACAGGTAGCCGTTGCCGTTGGGCTTGAAGGTACCGCTGTAGGTGATGGCGCTGTACATAGCGTTAGTTCTCTGTATTGTCGCGACACGGACTATGTCGAGGATGCGAAGACTCACTTGGAGCTACCCGGGTTCCAGCCCTTGCCGACCACAAAGTTGCCGGCGTCGCTCCAGTCGACGCTGTACTGGCCGCCGTTGCCGTTGGTGTAGCTCACGTCGCCGTTACCGTCCGACCAGGTCGAGTAGAAGTAGCCGTTGTTCGTGCCCTGGTCGCGCTTGGCCAGCTCGACCAGCGACGAGTCGCCGGGGGCAGCGAACGCGCCGGTGACGGCGGAGACGGCGAGCAGGAGAGAAGAGAAAGCGACCATTTTTGCAATTGTAGGGAATTGGAAGGTTGCTTGACTCCGGATGATCGGGGCGTCAGTCTGCGCTTTATATCCGTCTGTCTCCTGTTTGATTATTATCATTGATTAAGCACTAACTAGGCTGATTCAGTACTCCGTAAAAACAAAAATAAATGCAGCACCACCGGTTTCACGCCCTTCCAAGCTCCTTCGCTCCCGCCTGAAGTCGACCTTATTGCCTGCCCCGGAATATCCTCGGAGGGTCTTGGGAAAATTTGAAGGGAGACCGCGTTTCAGGTAGAGATTGACAGTCCACTATTAGCAGTTCAGGCGCCCCGACACTGGCCAAGCTCGTCGCCGCGGTGGACCTCCTGCTCCACTCTGGCCGGTGGTGAAGAATCGCCGGTTTTGTCTAGTTTCACTTCTCCTGGCTAAAAGACCTTTCGGCCTGCTGCCCCTGACTTGACTCCGTGCACTCCGCAGAGCATGACTAGCCAGAATGCTGCTGTGGACTATAGTTCTGCTGTAAGCTATAATTTACATGACGTCGGATGCTGCCGGACGTTTTAGCCAGTGGATTACGGAGTAGGAATTTAGTTCCTGGAATATGCTAAAATGGACTCAGGGGAAGTTTGGGAATGGGGGGAATGCATTGCTGGTTAAATTCTTGAATTAACCGGGATCGACAGTCCTGTCAAGTATCAGTGTCAATGAGATGCGATCTGCGACAGTTGAGGTTTCCGTCAAATGCGCTGATCCTGGCGGGGGTATTCAATTTAGCCTCAAAGGAATCGATTGCGATCGAGACTGGGGATTCAAACTTGAATGGACTCTTGGATAAAAGGAAGACTCCCCAACAGATCCTGTCTTTCCGACAAGCCAAACGAGACCGAATTGTCAAATTGTCTCGAGTGTATTAATCGTCTGGGATCTGCAATGAGAGGTTACTGTTTATGATGAGACCAGTGGAGTAAGAATGCTACTATTCTAAAGCCTTGACGAGCGATACTATAAGCTCGTTGTCAATATATAAATATGGAAGGATTGGCATAGGTCGATATCGCAGAATCCAGCGCTAAAAATAGATAAGATGGCGTTAGAAATGCACATATATGCGACAGGGCCCAATTGATGGAAAAGACTCAACCTATCTTATTTAAAATAAACAGAGATAATCGTAGATAGAGAACACTGTACCCAAAGCAAAAGCAAGGATTGAAGCCAGCGAAGAGCTGCATGAACTCGGCTAGGGGAGCCACAATGGCGGGGTATAACTGAACATCAACTGCACATAACCTCAACATCAACAATAAACCCCTGTCCACCACCACCCGTCATGGCTCCCAACTCCAATAGCGAGATTATGCTCTGCATCGAGGATATCAAATCCGCCGCGACGGCCAAACTGCCGTTCATCGTCCGAGGTGGGCTTCATCTGCACCCATCGCGGTGGCTTGGGTTACGAATTACGCTGCTAACCTCGTCCAGAATTCTACAACTCCGGGTCCACGCAGCAAGTCACCGTATCGGAGAACTCGTCGGCCTATAACAAATACCGTCTGCGCCCGCGTGTTCTCGTCGATGTGTCGGGTCTGGATATCTCCACGACGGTGTTCGGTCAACGCATCGCATTCCCCCTAGGCCTGTCGCCCACAGGAATCCAGGCCATGGCTCATCCCGACGGCGAATTGGCGACCAGTCGGGCCTGCGCGCGTCGTAATGTCCCTATGGGCGTGTCCTCGTTTGCGAATCATTCCGTCGAAGAGATCACCCAGGCCGGTGAGGCCGTCGGCCTCGGAATCCACGCCATGCAGGCCTATACGATGCGGGACCGCGCCAAGCAGGAACGTATTATCCGGCGTGCTGAAGCCGCCGGGTGTAAGGCTATCTTCTTAACGGCGGACAGCCCGGTCCTGGGCGTGCGGTATACCGAGGTCAAACATGATTTCCGCACTCCGGCGGGTTTGTCGTTTCCGATGATTGAATGGGATTCGGAGACGATTCAGAATCAAACGCACGATGCGGGATTCGTGGCGTTTAATTCGGATGCGCATTCCTGGGCTAACGAGGTCCCCTGGTTGAGATCGGTTACTAAGATGCAGATCTGGATTAAGGGGGTTTTGACGGCGGAGGACGTCCTTCTCGCGAGACAGTACGGCTGTGACGGCGTGCTGGTCAGTAACCACGGCGGACGACAGTTGGATGGCACGACGGCGACGATCGACGCGCTGCCGGAATGTGTCAAGGCCGCTGGAGGTCAGATCCCCGTGCACATCGATGGTGGGATTCGGACTGGTAGCGACATGTTCAAGGCTTTGGCCTTGGGAGCTGAGTGTTGTTGGATTGGAAGGCCGACGCTTTGGGGGTTAGCGGTAGGTTGATCGTCCCAATATGCGAGAGTCTACATTCACTAATAATTTGATTTAGTATGACGGGGAGAACGGTGTCTCTCGAGTGTTGGACATTCTTTATGACGAGTTCAAGCGCTGCATGCAATTGACGGGCTGCCGTACGTTGGCCGATGTTTCGACGGCCTCGATCGGCGTCTTGCGATCGGATGGGCCGTTGGCTCGTCTTTGATATATTAAAGTGCTTGATTTGCTAGACTTGGCTAGAGAACACCTTGATAGACGCATTATGTGAACAGATGAGTGATGATAACGAGATATAGAACAGGTGGATCTGAAAGATCAAAAACTCCATTCACCGACACTATGTAGATTCTGGTATAATTTATCATGAACATCAAAGGATATCAAACATTCACCACTCTGGCCTGGGTCCGCTCGACATGTACCACCTCCAGCGCCTTGGCCAATTCAGCATCCGTCAAGCTGTCCGGGCCCGGATAAAACTCGATCTTGCCTCCCTGCCTGATCACGCCCGTCCGGTCAAGACAGTTGCGGCCTCGCACATAGGGGTCCAATCTCCAGTAGTTGAGTCGCAGGTCCTCAGCCACGTCGGCCCGACGAGCCTTGACTCCCTTCTCCTGCTGCTTGTTGTTCGCCTTGGCGGCCTCGATCCATTCTCCGGTGACGCGGAGCAGGTCGTCGCCGATGCGCTGACGCTCCGCCGTGAGCTCGTCGCGGGTGGCCGTGTCGGCCATCTTTGCGTTCTCGCCTTCGACCGGCTCGATGTACTCGTAGTCCCATTCTTCCTTTCCTTTGAGCTCCTTCACGATCTGGTCCGGGGCGATAAATTTCTCCAGATCGGCGACGGAGTTGGTGAAGTGGATCTTGGAGACGATGACGGGGTCCATCCATGCCTTGATGATGCGCCAGATTCCTGAGTTACGTTAGAATGGTTGGCATAGTGGGAGAGAAGTGGGCATCTTACCGGAGAAGACCCAAGGAGCGTTGTGGATGAGCATGGTGCCCAGTGATTCGGGGTAGTTCGATTGGAAGCAGTCGATGAGGAACTTGACAGGAGCATATTCCTGAAATAGGGTCAGTAAATAGGTCCTCGTGATGAATGAAAGAAATGGAAATGACTGACCATGTTGGAGAGAGAGAATCCCGTCAAATCGAACACAATTGTCTGAATCTGTTAGCCTCCCATCGATAAGACACTTGATCACCGCTACATACCACATTCTCCATCGGCGGCACCAGCAGCAACCGCGCCGTCTCGATGACATGCAGAATATATCGGTTGATCACCTCCTCGCTCTGGTCGGCCGGTTTATGCAAGCGAGCCTTGACAACGCCGATAGGACGGCCGACCCGATCCACTCCGTGGAAGTAGGCCTTTCCGCAGCGCATCTGCGCCAGGAACTGGCTACCAGCCTTCGCAGCCTGCGGATCGGATTTGTTCTGCGAATCCTTGAGCGCCTCCAGCTCCGATCTCGCGATGACCTGATCGTCAACATGCATCTCCTTGACACGCCACACCAGCGCGTGCAGCATCATCACGAAGGCCTTGTTTACGTCCCACTTGCGGGCGCGCAGGAACCGCAGCAGCAGCGCATCGGGGTGATCATGCTTTGCCGTGCTCAGGAGACTCTGACGGAGGTCGTCAATGGAGGTGTTGACAAGTGCATCGCGAACCGACTTCAGCTCCGCGCCCTGGATGCCCACTTCCTGCAGGGTTTGGGCGAACTCGTTGGTGTAGGCCGAGTTGGGATTGGCAGATGCGGCGGTCTCGGTGCGAGACAGCGAGGCTCGTCGATCGCCGTTCGTGGCGCCAGGTACATCGTGCGAGCCTTGAGCGCCCGCGTCGTGCAGCTTCAGCACGATGGACCAGAGCTGGCGTAAACGGGACTCCTGGTCCGTCGTCAAGTTTCCCAGGAAGCCCTGGGCAATGGTGGTCGAGGTCATGGTGTTAACGGAAAAGTCAGAAAATAGTGTACATAGAGAAATGAACTGGATCCAGAGGATTTCATCGGCCTGACCAGGACTTAGTATTTAAGATGCGCTGCCAGGAGTCCAGGACCCCTCGTTGGACTTGCATATGAAACCCCTTTTTCCTTTCTTACTTTCCCCGCAAAGAGGATCGACAAACCTCGGATCTCGACACATTCATGGGATTTGGGTCGAGTGCCTTAGACCCCTGGCGATTGGCTGGTTCCAGGTCCATTTATCAGACAGGCTTTGGTCCTTGCACGGTGGGGATTCCCTTTATTGGGTCGCGCCAGCTAAAGTTTGGCCCGAGCCCAGTTCTCACCAGTTCTCTCCCTGCTGTATACTTCGTAGTGAGTACACTGTACAGTGCACACTGTCCAGTGGGATTCTGAGCAATATTGGACCTTTCCCTCGCCCTGTTGCATGTCACCCTTGAGACGGGCTGTTCATTTCCCCTTGCACCGATCCGTCGCATGTGGAATGTCCCGATTTCCATGTCACCCACCGAGACAAACATGTAGTCCCTGGCATTTTGTTGCCATCTGTGCGTCTGTGGCCTCATCCTCCGCCCTTCTCCCCAGATCTACGAGTCAGAACCGGCTACTCAGCTGGTCACTGGACCCGGGGCTGTCGCGTGGAGGGTGGTGGACTCGCTGGAATGGTCAATGGATATAATTAGACAGCCTCGGCCAGTCCTTAACTCCCGAGCACTCTGAAGCGAGATCAGCGGGATCTACCGACCCCTCCAACGTGGGGAAAGGGTATCTTGTTCTCTCACGAAGCCATTCCTCCTCCCCAGGGGGTTTCGCAACGCCTGCCGCATTGGGACTAGCGTGGTGGTCTACCCATGACATCATCGAGCGGTTCCTGCTGAGGGCTCTGCAATTGGCAATTCGCAATTCGATTAACAATTGAATACAATGAGGATCATTCTACAAGTACAACCGAGCCGAGGTGGAGAGCAGTTGCAGGTGGGCTCCGACGTTGTGGTGGTGGAAATGCTTACCGTTCGTCCACTTTAGAGCCCCGGCATGGCTGTCACAATTCAAGATTCAGTAATTCCTAGTTTATTCACAGTAGCTGCCGACGCCAAATCCTTCAATGCCGAATTTCATTGCAGTCAATGATCGTTCAGTCTTTAGTTATTATCCCACATTCACACTGTTTCAAGGCTGCGCGATAAATATTCGCCGACCTGGCTACTATGGATTCGGCCTTCTTCGATCTTGCGCCGAGGCCACTGATTTGCCCCATTAATTTACTGGGTGCATAGTACTCCAGTTCGCGCTGTCGATAAATTAGGATAATGGTTGACTCCAGTCGTGTAGAACAAGGTAATCTCCGGATTGTTGTAGATTCCTTAATTCCCGGCTGAAACAGAACTAGAGGGAAACCTTGTGTACCTTATTTTTGGTTACCCCCGGGCAGTGGGATGATCAAGCGAGCTAGATATGGTTTAATTCTCCCCAATTCCCCTTTTATCAGTCTTCATGGTTAGTTCATGCCCTTCAAACAGACCGGAAAAACGAGGTTTCGCATATTCAGGGGTTCAGCACTATTACCTTCAATCACAAAGTCAAGACAACAACGAACTCCTGCAGATGACTATCTCAAAATTAGGGCATGCAAAAATAGATGCAACGGTCTAGATCCCCACGGCCGCGGAGCACTTTCAGGGATTATACCCCCTCCACTGTTCATTCATATTGCAAGATCGGGCTGACAGGGTTGCACACCAAAACCGTGATGCACAGCCTTTCTACGTCCATATTATATCGATCGTTTCTAGACTCTAGAAAACCAACGAAATTCAATCCTCGTATATGCTGGAATGATGAAGAGGATCGAAATGACCTCGTGTCTGAATATGACAATATGGTTTGTTACAACATGGCAAATGGCAAAGCGAAGCCAAGTAATGCCAATGGCCAAGATACCAAGAAAGGCGCAGCGCGACTCGCAGTGGGCCGATGATAAAAATGCACCTCTGGGGGAGAATTTCACACTTCCCTTCCTTCTCCTCCTGTTCTTCTCTTTTTTATCTTCAGGCCGACCTCCTCCAAGGTCCTCCTACTGAATCGTTCAAAATGTCCGATCTCGAGAATCCTCCGGCGACGGCCTCCGCGGCGGATCCCCTCAACCTCTCCAGCAAAGTCAAAGCCTCGTCAGATATCCAGGCCGTGTCGGCTAACAGCTCGCGAAAGCGCATCTCCGGTCGCGTGAAGCGCAAATCCAAGGTCGCCGACTTTTACACACAGCAGAACGAGCACATCGAGCGACTCCTCAAGCCCGTGCACGACCATGTCCGAGAATCCCGCGATAACGAGGCCTCCACCCAGCTGCAGTATCGCATCGCGGTGTACGGCTCCTTCGTTTGCAACATCTTCCTGTCCGGTCTGCAGCTCTACGGGGCCATCGCCTCCGGGTCTCTTTCACTCTTCACCACCATGGCCGACTCCATCTTTGATCCCATGTCCAACATCACCCTGATTCTCTGCAATCGCGAGGCCAAGAAGGGATACACGCATCGTTTCCCCGTGGGGAAATCGCGGGTCGAGACGGCGGGAAATATATTCTTCTCCTTCATCATGATGGGCGTCTCGTTGATCCTGATTGCCTTTTCATGTCAGGAGCTGGCCGAGGGTGGAGAGACGGGCTTCCATCTGCCGTCGGTCATCGCTGTGACGGTCGCTTTTGCCGTCAAGTTATGCTTGTTTCTCTACTGCTGGGCCCTGCGGAATACCTACTCGCAAGTTCGCATTCTGTGGGAGGATCATCGCAACGATCTCTTTATCAACGGGTTCGGTATTCTCACCTCGGTCGGCGGATCGAAGCTCAAATGGTGGATCGATCCCATTGGCGCTGTCATTCTATCCTGCTTGATCCTGGGCCTCTGGCTGCATACCTCGCTCGGCGAGTTCAAGTTGCTGATCGGCGTGTCTGCAGACGCCGGCATGTTGAATCAAATCACGTACATCGCTATGACCCATAGCGAGTCCGTTGAGGCGGTGGATACCGTGCGTGCATACCATTCCGGTCCGCAATTGATCGTCGAGGTTGACATCGTGATGAATGCCAATCTGCCGCTGCACGTCTGTCACGACGTCGCGGAGGATTTGCAGGAGAAGCTCGAGAGTCTGCCGAATGTCGAGCGGGCGTTCGTGCATATCGATTACGAAGTGACACATCAACCGGAACATATGAAAAAATTCATTTAGTATCAGATGTAGTATAGTACAATGTGTCGTTTTTAATGAACTAATGATTGGAATATTTGTAATGGCATCGTGACGATGTGGAGGGAATGTAGTGCATCACGATCATGCAGGGCCGATGCAGGGCTAGAATCCCTTTCAACCCTCGGCTGGGAACGCAGACAGGCCCGGACTCCATCCAGCTAGTCTTGATTCCTGAATCAATCGAGACGGACTTCTTTAGCCTGAAGCGCGAAGGCCCGACAGAGATCAGCCACCAGCGACGTCCCCGCGCGCCGTTGCAAATCAGTCGCCGCCAACGCCCGGCTAACATTGCCCCCTTTCACTCTGCTAATGATACTAGACTGAAAAGGAATAAGGGACACACCTCGCAGGAGGGTTGCAGTCCCTTATGACAGCCTTGGCAGCCCTCCTCCATGCCCTCGAGAGTGTCCGGAATCACACCGTGGCCGGTCTTCCGCGGGTCTTCACGCCCGTCGTGATCATGCTGCCAGATTGTGGCGTTTGGCGTCCCTGACGGTCTCTTCCTGGCATTCCTATAAGAGTAGTATCTTTCAATCACGCGACGTGGCGAGATCTTTCATCTCCGACCGTATGTGGGATGTGAGACCCTCTGCACCGTCGCCATCTGATCGCAAAGAGAGGTGATAGTTCCCATGGATGGCATGGCCCACTTCCGCAGCAGGCGTAAACGGCGACAGACAGTGATTCGAATTCTTTTCTTCGCGTTCGGCTTTGCGCTCTGGTACCATGCCATCTTCGGCTGGACGGGTGCCCTGCTGGCTGGGGATGGTCTCCAGGGCGACCCTCTGGCCGCGAGAAACGCTACCTTAGCCATCAAGCACGAACATGGCTTGATGGGAGTCAATTTGACCGGTCGACTATCGACTGAGGCTGTTCGCGACGTACCCAAGGTCGATATTGTTACCGGAGGATGGGAGCGAAATGCTCAAAAGTCATTGCAGCGTCCAGCAGTGTCAAATGGCAGTCCCAGACCGAAAAAGGAGAAAGGGGATTCGGAATCGCCGAATTTCCAACTTGCGCTTCGTCGTGTGCTTGAGTTATTGCCTGATGAGTTACGCATTCGCGACTTGCTCCGTCCGATTCAGGGCTTTGGAGAAGATCGGATCCTCGAACTGGGTCTGCGGACGCGGTCGTTCAAGTCACTCCTGGAGCCGTGGGAAGCTCTTCATTTAATCACCAGCGATGATAAGCATTATGTGCGCGATGATGTTATTCAGTCTCTGCGAAAGCACCCAGGGATCACCGACAGTCTCGAAATGCCTCTGTCCCAGGTTGTCAGGTCCTACGAAGCATATCGCTCGCTGATCACCGGTCTCTCGACTCTCTTGTTCCCCTGGACCGCTCCCTATTACGCGGATCATATGACCCTGCACGCGCAGCTGTTCAACGGTGGCCGCGGAATCGTCTTCACGGCAGGAGACCACCACGCCCCATTCCTGATGACTTCTATCCCCGCCCTCCGACAACTGGGTTGCGATCTTCCTATCGAGATCATGTATCTCGGAGACTCAGACCTAAGCGAAGATGTTCGCGCATACCTTGAATCTCTCCCTGGCGTGGTCACCCGAGATCTCAGCCAGATGGTGAACGACGCAGGCTGGACACTGACCGGGTGGGCGGGAAAGCCGTTTGCCATTCTTCTTTCCAGCTTCCGGGATGTCATATTCATCGATGCGGACTCGCTATTCTTTCAGAACCCCGAGGTCTTGTTCCGGGATCCTGCGTACATGGAAACTGGCGCTCTGTTTTTCAAGGATCGCCTGATGATGCCCGAGTCGAAGAAACGCTGGTTGCAGCGGATTTTGCCCCGGCCCATCTCGAAACATGTCACTCAGAGTCGTTTCTGGACCGGGGAGAGTGGTCATATGCAAGAGTCGGGGGTTGTGGTTGTGGATACGTGGAAGCATTTCGTCTCACTTTTGCTGGTGACCAGGCTGAATGGACCGGATCGAGATGGCAGTCCTGCTTACGGTAGAGGGGTTTATGATATGGTTTATGGTATGCCTGCCTCTGTTTAACCCAGGATTTCCTTCATTTTCTAACCTGAATACCAGGTGATAAAGAAACCTTCTGGCTCGGCTGGGAACTCGCCGGCGACACTGACTATGAATTCCACGACGGCCATGCGGGCATCATGGGAAGTATCGAGCCACCCTCAGAATTTTTCACGGCGAATTCCACTGCAGAAGATCCCCCTTCGAACTACACTATCTGTGGTCCTCAGCTACTACACTTTGACCGACGCGGTAAACCGCTCTGGTTCAATGGCTGGCTAGCGTCGAACAAGTTCGCGGATTGGGAGCATCAGCAACCTAGTAAATTCACTGCATATCTGCATGAACCGCGGACGGTGCGTGATCCGGGAGCCTGGCAACTCCATGGAGACAATATTTGCTGTCTGACATCGGACCATCTGTTTGACTTCACTCGAGGCGAAACGGACACGCTGGAGATGATGGTTGACTTTGGTAGAAGGGCCGGGGCTCTGGGGAGGCTGGAAGGCATGGATGGTTCGATATGAACATGTCTATATGATAGTTCATACCAAAAGATGAATTCCGATCCCGAGCCAATTATATATAGCACCAAAACCATCTTACTTCCTCTCACCCACTGTGAAAAAAGCCTGAAACAGCTCTTCGATATCCTCCGCTCCCTTCAAGTGCTCTGTCCCACGAATAATAAAATGAGGTACGCCGACAATACCGGATTCCCTAATCTTCTTGGCCTCTTCCTCCGTCTCCTCAATGCCTTCTTCACTAGACAGCCATCCCCGGACCTTCTGTTCTGGATTTCCAGCCTGCATCGCTGCTTTCACCAGTACGTCCGGCCGACTAATATCGGCCTCTTTTTCAAACTGATAGTGGAACAGCATCTCGGATAGCTGACATTGCAGCTCACTGCTCTCCTTGCGAGCTAAATAGAGCAATTGGTGCGCCTTGCGCGTACTCCCGATCCATCCGCCAAATTTGAAGTCGATCCCGACGCTCATGCCCACTCGCTTCAGGCGCATCTGAGCACCGTGAACCATGTCAGGGTTCATGCGACGGAGCATTCGATCTAGGATTGTTGGTCAGTTTTACTCTCTATCACGGGCTTGACATTGGGTAGGTGCGCTTCTACCCGCCAAGACCGTTTTAGTAGGTCTGTGGGACGGTTACCGACTGAGCTACTAAAAAGACCAGAATACCAAGTCGACAACTTGGTACGCGCATCACTCTATATAGTGGTTCTTGGTCAGTTCGTCACACTCTCTTGGACCCATGAATAATGATAGTAGGTATGGCATGCCTTGAATCAATTCACTCTCGCGAGGAATCTGGTCGAGGAAGTAGGGTTTCCACGTTATGTCAAACACAACTTGGGATCCGCCGGGATATGTCTTTTGGTAGAGTTTAATGGCTTTTTGGAGGTTTCGGTAGCCGATATAGCACTGTTACCTATTAATTTCTGTCCGTGAAGAGGAAAACGAGGATGTACATACCCAGGGACAGATGGCGTCCGAGATAATTTCGATTTGTATGACCGGCATTGTGGCAGGAGTTGTTTTGTGGATTATCCGATCGAAAAATTCTCGGATTGGAGGCATGAGGGCTTTTATATTCATGTAAAGATGGAATCAACGCGGCAGCCCGAGGTTGTGGACTCCCTGTTCCTGTCGCATTGCCTCCATCGGACGGAAAGAGGATCATTTTTGCTCCAAATCAAATATAGATATGGACGCATCAGCTGCTGACGCTTTATTTGTAATCCAATTCGTTGTTCTTATGCCTGTTCCGGTTTAACTCGAGGCGACCGAATTTCCCGGGGATTTAGGCATCTTCTATTCTAGAACGACTTGGTGGATTATTGAGGCAGCAGAAGAAGTCGGGATGTCACTCAATCATTGTATGTTGCTGTGATTGAACAATCAGAAGTTCGTCGATACCCACTATTGAGTAGAATGCATCGCTGCACTAAGAATAACCGCCCAGACATGCCCCGCCAAGCAGTATGGGGGCTAAATGTGCCAGCTCATCCTGTCAGCGTGCCGAGGACCTTCTTCAAGAATACTATCCTTCCTTGGATCATAGTTGCAACGTAAGCCGATTCACGATAATCAGTATCTGTCAAACTTAGCCATAATGTCCTCTACCGCTTCAGTCCCGGCAGATCCTTGGACAGAAGCCTTCGAGACACTTGACCCGGAAGATCAGAAGCGACTAAATAAGCCCGACACGAGCCTCCTGGGTATCCTTGAATCGGTACATACATGTCTACCTTACCTAGCATGTTTCCCGGATACTGACGGCCTCAGGTCAGAAATGACGCCGACTCTCGCAAGGAAATCTGCCGCCAGAAAGGATGGAAAGTCGGAGAGAACAAACACGGCGAGAAAGTCACTTTGCGTCATGCGCTGGAGAAAGTCTCCGTTTGGGTCAAGGAGACCATCAAGGTCGTTGATGTCGTTGTGTCGATGGATAAGAGCGGCCAGGCCGCTTTGCCGTGGGCTGCTATTAAGTTTCTGATCTCGGTGATTTTTCGTCATTCATTTTCTGTTCGCTGGCGAAATTTGGAGTTTATGCTGATTCGCTTGTTATAGATCGGAACCAACGACATCGCATTATTCACTAATATCACAGAAGCCGTAGAGACGATTGCCCGGCTTATTGCGAGGTATACCGTCTTTGAAAAGCTATACCTTCATGAAGATTGCGAGACTGTGCCTAAACTCCGCGAGTCGCTTCGAGAGTTATATGCTGGGATCCTGCGATATCTTTCCAAAGCGAAGGATTATTTCACTGGGAACTGCTTGAGTATGTGCCTACCCTAGGGACAGACGTGCACTGACCTGTATGCAGAGAGATTTGGTCGGGGACTGTTGGACATGCTGCGCAAAGAATATGATGAGCTGTGGTCCAAGATCAATGAGACAGAGGTGGAAAAATGGGCGAAATTGGTGGATGCTGAGTGTAAATCGCTCGTTCCTGCTGTGTGACGTGGACGCTAATGCTGTGTGCAGTGAATCGGAAAAAGGCTAAACAAGCGAGCCAACAGCATGATCGGTTGAAGACGATATTGCATGATATGGAACGACCGATCATGCAGATCACTGACCAACTTGCCGCAATTCAAGATAAACTTAACAGTTGGTTCTCCCTTCTAGCACTTGGGCAAATGCTGATGATCTTAGGCGAGGAGCGCGTCAAAGTGTTCCATTGGATTTCTAGAATCGAGTATAGGAAGCATCATGAAGAGCTTTCAAAAGGTGTTCTTCCTGGCTCGGGAGAATGGCTGCTTCGTAGCCCCGAGTATATTCACTGGGGGCAATCGAGCGTGTCTTCCATTCTCTGGCTTCATGGCATACGTAGGTTGCTTTTTCATGCAAAGGCACAACATGCGCTAACCTTAACAGCCGGTTCTGGCAAGACAAAGCTTGTGTGAGTTTAAGAAAATATGAAGAGCGAATGGATTATGCTAACTGATACTCGCAGTTCAACCGTCATCAACAGCATCCAGCAACATTCTACCGCGCCCGTCGCTTATTTCTACTGTAATCGGAGCAATGCTGAGGGTGAACGGTCCATGCCGCGGGAGATTATTCGCGCCATCCTAAGACAGCTGGCGAGCAGCGACCCCGACGTGCCCATCAAAGAACCGGTGGTCAGGGAATATGAATCCCGCAAGAAACATGCCGAGAAAGACGGGTCGAGCCTGAGCGAACTAGCGATCGAGGACTGCACCAAATTGATTCGAGAAATCACCAAATCTAACCCTGCGACTATCATCATCGACGCCCTCGACGAGTGTGATCAGCTCGCTTGTTATGAGCTGCTAGACGCTCTTCACGAGATAGTAGCCGAGTCTGAAGAAGTAGTCAAAGTCTTCGTCTCCAGTCGTGATGACGTTGATGTCATAGTAGGTGCAAGCAACAGCTGCGTTGCAAATGGCAAGCTGACTTGTCTTAGGGCCAAAGTCTAGAGAAATGTGGCCAGATCCCTATCAGCCCTTCCCAGAATGGCGGGGACATTCGCCGATTCATCGATACTGAACTAGACCGGTTGATCAAGAAACGACTTCTGCTTAGAGGTCGGATTTCGAAAGACCTCCGGAAAAAAGTGATCAAGACCTTAAATAAGGGAGCGCAAGGTATGTTCCGTTGGGTGGCTTTGTCGCTGGAGCTTTTACAACGCCAGAAGTTTGAACCAGATTTTCGGAATGTCCTCGGTCGTCTGCCCCCGGCGCTGTCTGGGTTATATGACGAGGTTTACAAAGGCATAGAGAGCTCTGGTGTTCACGGTCATAGAACTGCCGTCAGGGCTTTGCAGTGGCTTCTTTGTGCGCAGCGGTTGCTATCCGTCAGGGAGCTGTTAGCTGCGATATCGATGGGTTTACCAGGAACATCGGACGAAGAGTCTAGCTCGAAGCCATACTTGAGTCAAAATAGTGACTCGTCCTCAGAATCTGACCTAGACGATGAGGCTTATTCGGCCAAAGGATCTGATTATGATATTAAAGATGGTGACTCTCTTGGTGCTGATGTGGCCAACGACCAGCATTCAGTCACCACGACTGATATCCTCCAACTTTGCCAGAATCTGGTGATTGTTGATTCGCAACTCAGCGTCTTTCGGTTCGCGCATCTATCTGTCCGTGAATATCTGCAAACGCGACCCGAGTTCACCGAAGTGGAATTACACTCTCTAGCCATGAAAGGATGCATGGATGTGTACATGACTGAGGCCAATATGAATCCCGCGCATCAAGAGGCTCTCAAATCTTACGGCATGTTCTTCTGGCCGGTGCATTATAAGACACTTGACCTAGTGCTTGGCAGCAAATGCACCTTAGAGCAACTGGAGCAATTCTTACCTTTCTTCTTACAAGGAGAGGAGACGTCTTTGTCGTACGTGACGTGGGCCAGAGAAATCACGTCTCAGTTTACTGTCGGCCAACGAATCAATAGCCATCTACGACTAGACAGGAACAACCCTTTGGGTATTCGACTTGAGTATGCAGCATCTACACCTGCGACTCCGCTGAAGGCAGCGTGTGCCTTTGGTCTTGCCTATTTAGCCAAGAAATTTGGATCGCTTTCTGATTCCAATGTGAATGAAAGCCGTTTTCAGTTGCCCCAGATTGCCGCCTCTGAGGGCCAGAATGAGATCCTGCACTGGTTGCTAGAAAAGGGCGTCGAGGTGGACATAAAGGACTACAATGGCGAAGTGCCGCTCTGTCGGGCGGCGTCCCGTGGGCATTTGACCACCGTCATGTTGCTAGTGGAGCAAGGTGTCGATTTGGAACGCCGCGAGGACCCTCAGCGCATGACGCCTCTCCTATGTGCTGTGAAGGGCAGCCATCACGACATAGTCAAGTACCTTCTGCAGGCTGGAGCCAATGTAGAGACCAAGGACAGGAGTGACTGGACGCCTCTTATCTGGGCAGTCAACCGGGGGAACAAGCCGATCGTCGATGTCCTGCTCAAACATGGTGCTGATTTGGAAGCTAGCCCGGAAACTGGATTTACAGCTCTTTTCCACGCAGTATTTGAAGAGGATGTAGACATGATCCATCATCTTCTCGACCACGGCGCCGACATCGAGGCCAACGACAGATATGACCGAACACCGCTATTCCAGGCACTGCTGCGAGGTCAGCAAGACATGATGCAATTGCTTCTCAAGAAAGGGGCCAATACAGAAACGCGCGCCGAGGACGGTTGGACACCACTAACGTCGGCGGCGATGCAGCCGAACGAGCCGATGGCCATGCTGCTTCTGCAAGCAGGAGCCAACATCGAAGCCAAGGAGGAGGACGGTTGGACGCCATTGTTCCGCGCAATAAGCCAGGGCAACGAGGGAATGGTTGAGTTACTGGTCAAGCACGGTGCCAATGTCGACGCTAAAGACAAGGACGGCGAGACACCGCGCTCATTGGCGCGAGTGATGTCAGAGTACGAATTGGAGGACTTGCTCGACTGATCCCCATTGTTGCCTCCGGTCCTTGCGTGCTGAGAGGGAGGAAATGCCGTGTTCAGCAACGGACAGTCAAAAGTCAGTGCAGGACCGTCCCAGAAAAAGAGACCTCGGGAATCCCCCGACACACAATGAATAGTAATCATTATTAATGCAATTTATGCTCGGAGTGATGTCAAATCCGTGAATTGGCCACCGGGGAAAAACCCCCAAGGGGAATTGTGGATATAGAGCCCACTTTTCGCATTAATAATAGGATTGTGAAGAGGATCACCGCAAGGATGTGCCGCGGTGTTCAAAACCCCTGCAATTTTTCGCAAGACATTGAGGGGTTGACAGGCAAATCCAAGGAGAAGCTTATACACGAAGAAGAATACCACCTACTCAAGCCAAAATCACGATGTCTACCAACAGCGTTGACGTTTCGCCTCTGGGCCAACCGTTGCCCTTACCCTTCAGTAAGCGTACGGCGCCCAATCGCTTCTACAAGGCGGCCATGACCGAGCGCCTTTCTTCCTGGTCTCCCACAGACCTCGCGGCCCGCGGGGTGCCGAGTCGGGAGCTGATCAATCTCTACAAGTGCTGGGGTGAGAGCGGTTACGGCATGATCTCGACAGGCAACGTCATGATCGCGTACGACCAGCTCGAGGCGGCCGGCAACCCCATCATCGACCTAGAGAACCCGTACCACGGCGAACGATTCGAGGCTTTCCAGCAGTTGGCCACCGAGGCCAAGCGACAGGGCAGTCTGATCGTCGCCCAGGTGAGCCATCCTGGCCGCCAGGTGATCGAGCGCATCCAGCCCAACCCCGTGTCCGCCAGCGACGTGAAGCTGGGGACGACGATGGGCATGACCTTCGGCCAGCCGCACCCTGCCACCCATGATGAAATCCAGGATATCATCCGCCGCTGGACGCATGCCGCCGTGTACCTGCACAAGGCCGGCTACGACGGCATCCAGCTGCATGGCGCCCACGGTTATCTCCTCGCGCAGTTCTTGTCCAAGTCTACCAACCGCCGCACCGACCAGTACGGCGGCAGTCTCGAGAATCGCGCGCGACTCATTGTCGAGGTTGCCCAGTCCATCCGGCGCGAGCTTCCGTCGTCCACGGGATTCATTCTCGGCATCAAGATCAACTCAGTCGAGTTCCAGGCCGACGGATTCACGGCCGAGGAGGCGCGCGACTTGTGTAAGATTCTGGAGGACAACGAGTTCGACTTTGTGGAGCTTTCTGGCGGCACTTACGAGGCGTCGGCGTTCGGTGCTCGTCGAGAATCGACGTCGCAGCGCGAGTCCTTCTTCCTCGATTTTGCCTCACTCATCACGCCGGCCCTGAATCAAACCAAGAGTTACATCACGGGCGGTCTTCGCACGGCGGCCGGTATGGTGGAAGCATTGGAAGCGGTGGACGGCGTGGGAATTGGGCGACCGGCGACTCAAGAGTTGGACTTGCCCCGAGCCATCTTGGCGGGCACGAAGTCGCGAGCGACCGAGCAGAAGTACGACCAGTACAACTTCGGACTGACGAGTGCGGTGGCAGGGGCGCAGATGAAGCAGGCGGGCAAGGGACAGGAGCCCATTGACATGAGCAACGAGAAGAACGTGGGGGGATTCATGCAGCAGCTGCAGGGGTGGATGCAAGAGATGATGGCGGACGCGACGACGGAGATGAAGCGCTTCGGCTTCATGGATCTGGCCTGAGGGCTGAGGCCGTAAACTAAGATCGTCACGGGACCCGCTGATGGGTGCCTGAGGTGTGCATAATGAATAGCCGAGAATTAAGCGAGCCCTGGCCACTAGTGCCCCACGTGATGCCGGGGCCTTCCCTATAAAAACATGTTGCTTCCTCCATGCTTTCCTCGTCTTTTTTCTTTTCTTCTCCAGCTCTCTTTGCCTTTTGGCTTAGATCAAGTGTAGTATCTGTTCTTTTCAGTTTAATCTCTGAAAGTGTTTAAAGGAACACAACTTTGATTAATCTCATTTTTGGATCTCGTGGCTGGGCCTCTGTGCTTGCGCATGTCTGGCCACACAGTGTCATCGGGCTTACACTATCCTCGATCGACGCGATCTTTTCACCATTGCGGTCGGCAGTGCCGGCGGTTTGGAGAAGAGTTGAGCATATTTTATTTGTTATGTCTGTTGTTACATGTTGCATACCATTGCTTAGTCTCGCTATATACACAGACAGATCTTTCACTGGCTCAAATGCACTTCGACCACCGGTCCCTCGTACACCTTCCTCGCTCGCAGGATGTAATACGCCAGACTCAGAATAATCACTCCCACCGTTCCCACCACGCTGAAGTTCATCGTCTGCACTGTTATCTCTTTCTCTGGCGGCCAGAAGCTGAAGAACACCGCGATGGTCATGTAGATGAGAGCGAACGTGTTGATCAAGATGCCCCAAATCCCCGGCAGGTGGAATGGGCCCCAGACAAGTCGCGCGCCCGCCGTGTTCACCATCGTCTCGTCTCCGGCCATTGACTTGCTGATGCCTCCCGTGACACGTCGGTAGAGTAGCAGTCCGGCGACTACCATGTACGACAAATACAGACCGGAGATGGACATGGAGACCAGGGCGTTGAACGCGACGTCGGAGCCGATGTTGATGAGGGCCAGGAGGCAGGAGACAACCATTGTTAGGGCGACCGCGTACGTGGGGACGGAGGTACGAGCCGTCACCTGGAGTGAGTAAACGGTCAGTTAGTTGCGTTTTGACAAGCGTGGGCGATTTGAGCGGAGCGACCAGGTCGTTCCGTCGGGGTCGCTGTCTCTTACCTTGCTCCAGACTCGCCACCCCGGGATCCCTCGGTCGCGCGCGAATGACCAGAACTGCCGCGACGTCGACGCGAGCATACCGACCGACGTGCTGATACCCATGGATGTGATGATGGCCCCCATCGTGGCGGTGCCGGCCACCGAACCCGTCGCCTGCAAAAAGATTCCCATGAAGGGGAATCCCGTCGGCGATTCCAGCGCCGCCTCGATATCTCCCAGGCAGAAAAGCAGAGCGATGAGCATGCTGAACCCCAAAGTGCCGTTGATGGCAACGCTGAGCATGATGGATCGAGGCACCAACACAGGTGCGTTGTTAATCTCTTCGGACATCTACATCGCAGCCGATGTTAGCAAACGCAATGAGACCGTGGACATAACGGGTGAGCAATCATACGTGAACAGCGGCGTCTCCTCCAGCAAAAGCAAATACGCAGCCAACCAAGCCGATGAAGAAGGACAATCCCTGTGTCGGCCATCCGCCAAGGTTCATAAACTCCGTGAACACCTCACGGGCCGTGCCGTGGTCCGCCATATACGTCAGTGGGATCAGGATGGCAAAGAAGCCCAGGATGTGCAAAACTAAAATCAGCCCCTCGAACCGGGGCAACACCTTTCCTCCGAAGCTATTGATGCCGACCGAGAACACCGACACGGCCCAGAACAGCAGCGTCCCGTGCCAGGATTGCGGTTCGTAGGTCGGATTGGTCAGGACAATCAGCCCCTGGATCAGCGTGCCACACAGAAAACACGACGTCGCGTAGGTCGCTTGCCATCCGATCACCGTAAGCCAACCCGTGAGGTAGCTGAGAAGTTTCATGGCCGACGGAGGTGCCAGCATGGAGCACCAGTGATATTGTCCGCCCGACGTGGGAGCCCTGGAGGCGTTAGCAATCGGTCTGCATGCTGCCGGATGCGCTCTCACATGGATGCCAGCTCTGATAACACGACAAATGTCGCCGCCACGCCGGCCCAAACAAAGATAAATCCATAGATCGCACCCGCTGGGCCGCCACTGAAAATCGATTAGTATGCGACGAAGCCGACTCGGGTGGGCAAAGGTGATCCTACTTCTGGAAGGCTTGCAGAAAAAGACTGTTCATGGCGGTCAGCAAAGAATGCGCATCAATAATGCGCGAGGGACATACACCGTAATTCCCTCCCAGGTGATCAATATCGTACAACTGAAACCCAGCATGGACATCAGACCAAAATTCCGCTGCGCCGACGTCAGTTTGATCCCGGGCGTTGAGGTCACGATCGAGCGGTACTTGTACTGACCTTCAGAACCGGACGTTTGCCCAACCGTGCCAGTTGGATGTCGTCCATCTCCTTGCTGGAAGGGTTTCCCTCGATCTCGCGCAGACTGGTGGGTGCCATATGCTTCAGTTCTTGGGACGACATGACGAAGACGCTGGATTGTAGGCCAACGGCACCTCAGACTGAGTTTCTGGGGAATGAATGGCTGCACGGCGATGCGCCAGATAAATAGAAGTGAACAACAGAAGGGAGAAGCTAAAGCAAAACTAACAGAAAAGGAGCGAGACAAAAAAATTCGAGCGCACCGGAGGGGACTACTACCCATCCCTGGAAATCCGAGACTCTTCTAGCCCAGGGTCATATTGATTCCTGTGGGCTCACCCAAGGGAATGCACTTCCACTTGGCTGTCCCGTCGGTTCATACCGGTTTCGAATGGGAGTTTCTAATTAGTCCACGACACCACCCCTGTTAGCCCCTCGTTGGCGAGGACAAGGCATGCAGCCACTGCACCGATGCGACATTGGCGACGGCGGAATAGACTAATTGGTCACCCCTCGGAGCACCATCCCAGTCGCAATTGCGTCCTTCCAACGGTGGCAATCAATTGAAATGTAACAAGCAGGGGGTCAGAACCTAATTCGGAGACGAGCTCATAGAAATTCCGGGCTTTCGCAGGTTGCACCCAGCAGCTTCGTTACTCCGTCCAATCCTTTCCATAAATCTATATGGCGCTCCCACGAACCGGGTCCTTGAACCACCAAACAATGGGCCCACCGACGGCCGGCTGCCAATAATCGCCTATTATCCCATAATTGACGTTGCACCGCTAAGGAAGCTAATCATGCATCTGGCTCAAGGCCAAGCCTCTGGGCACTAGGTTCTATAACGGAGGCCTTTCCCTTCCCAGAGTTCCTCCCGCCCCCAAACCCTATACTAAACCTACCATCGGATTCTAATTTAGTGCCATCCAGGGTTCAAAAGTACCATTATAATAATTAAATACAATACAGAGTGAGAAATGAAACTGATTATTGCGAATCGCCCCCTGAACTCTGCGGCGCATCGGTCACCGTCCATGTGCGAACTTCTCGGATGATGCGCGACTGGCTCGTCTGACTCTCGGCATCCCAGTCCTGTCCAGTTCCCGCGGTCGTCACCGTCGCTTGATGATGGCTGTTCTTCGCAGGCAGCGAAACCAGCTCGTGCACCTCGCTAAGATGCCGACTGCGGCTGCGAAGAGTCGGAACGCGCGAAGCCGATTGTGATCCGTAGCCCTTCTGCGAGGTGCCGTACCGCGTCATGCCGTCGATACGCATACCTGTCGATCGCAGGCTCTCCATGAACGGCTTGAACTGGGGCGAGCAGGCCGTGACGATGCTGAAGCACTGCGCCAGCTGCGTGGAGATGGTCACCGGCCACGTGTCCGCGGTAATATTGGTAGAATGCGCCGTCTGTCGCGCGTAAATGATCTGGCACAAGATCGCGACAATCACACTGAGGGCGTTAGCAGGGCGTCTTCACATCGGGGGTAATTCTGGATGCACGGACAAGATTCGCAGCGCGAACACACTGGCCAGCGTCACTTTCTTCTTCACGTTTGTCTGAACGCGAGCTATGACTAGCACGGCTTGCACGATGATCGCCATGTCAGTCAGGATATTCGACACCCCAAGATAATCCCACCATGCATCCTGCAACGGCCATCAGTTGGGTTCTGTTAACTCTAACACCACAAGGGCATACCAGTCGAAAACATTGTCCCTCCAAGTAGTCCCAGGTTCGAGGCGGCTTGCACTGAAAGGCGGCCGTGACGATGCCCACCAGAGCCCACAGAGAAGTCAACCCTTGTAAACTGACGGCAAAGCGTCGGTCGGAGGTAGCGGGAGTCAGGTCGCGGACGAATCGAATCAGAGCTAATTTGGAGAAACACATGCTCGTGATGAACAAAATGTTGGCGGCATACTGTGCCTGATGATAGAGCCAGCGCCCGTTAGTAAGACCCTGAACCACTGCACGACAGTCGGCCCACCTTCATTATACTCTGCATGTTGGATTCAGAAACTCTTTCGTAAGGCTCGCCGTATCCATTTGCCGTGGCCATGGAGACCGCGATCGATTGTGCTGTGCATGTTATCTGGATTCTGTTAGCCAGGGCGTTCGCGGGCCCGGTCTCCGCGGCGGAGGTTGTATGTATACCAGCGAGACGACACTCAAATAATCATCGGGCGTCAATTTGCGGAAGATCCACCACTTGGTGCCCAGTCGAGTCAACACGCTGAGAGCGGCCGTAACCAGCAAGTACCAGGTGAGGACATTGACCGCGGGCGTCCAGCTGTCCGGCGAGAATCTACCCATGACAGACGGCACGGATAGAGATCGATGGCCATGGAGAGTAGTTTCAAGGAGAGAATCCGGTATTATGGCACTCGCACAGTTCTCGAGCATGCCATCTCCGTCGGATTCCACTGTGTACCGGCTTGATTCAAAATCTCTCTCCCCTGTTCAAGGGAGCGCGCTCATTTGCCATGCCATGGATGGGACCTCGGCGAGATTGAGCGAAAGGAAATGAGTCCAGGTCAAAGGACGAACACGCTAGGCCGGTGCGAGTACGGAGACCGCCCATATTAGAATCCCAGCCTACCAGGACCTGGGCATCACAAGCCTCTTGGACCGTGGCAACGCCGACAGGATCCTTTGACCGGCGGGGCCGCAAGGGTCGCAAACTTTTGATTCTGCGCTATCGGAAGAATTTGATTATTGGTGACCGAGACTGGTCGAGACTACGGTGACACTTGCACCACCTTATTAACACGCCTCGTTGATTAACCTCCCGGTCTAGAATCTGGATCCTCCTCTTGGCTCTGTCTGCTCGGTGGTCCTCGTCCTCGGTGGTGCTACCGCTAGAGGGCCGTGGCACTTGTGCACATAATTCATCATGGCAAATGAAACGGGTACTGAGAGGTTTCATCGAGTGCAAACAAACTCTGGACCTTTGGCATTGGGCTCATTTGCGACCGGCGTTTTCAATGGCCTTTCGGACACTCGCATTCAGCCCCCGCTGTGACACGATCTAAATATGCACATCGCACCTAAGAATGATTTTCAGTATCAACTATGGAACTTCCCTGTAGCCCAGTTGCCCATAGACTGTGCTGTTCTTCTATTTTCTGTTTACTTGCTCGTCATTCATTATGTTTCAGAGATCACAGGCCGTTGGGCGCGCACGGCCTTCCACAATGACGTATATTGGACATTTTTCTTTATCGACTGCTCCCAGTCAAGTAGGGATCTTTGCAACAAAGAGACGACTGAACACATTGACCAGTGAGTCGCAGGCAACGGCTGAGTGGCTGAGAAGGCAGAAGCAGAGGGGGTGTAGCTGATGATCACGTGAGTCGAACAACCCTTGTGTGGCCGCGGAAGATGACTAAACCGCTTATATCATCGCCTTACATGCGAACCGATCTACATTAATCGTATGATTTATGACGATATAGATCATGCAAATTCCGCTCATTTTATGACGATCCTGAAGCCCCTGAGATTGCATAAATATCGGCTTCTTTATCGTGTAGTTAGAAGAATTAAGACCTTCTTTCATTTGAATATGATCATATAACTAGTTAAAACGGCTGAATCAGCGCTTCTCAGTAGACCCACAGAAATCTGCCACACCTTGGCGGTCTCAGCTCGTGGTTGATCTCGGGCCTATTCGGTTTGATCTCAGAGGGAAACGGGCAGATCTCGAAGATTAAACCCTGGTGCATATAGTCTCTCTATTCTTGTGAATCCGTCTATCTGGTGGGACAGGCCTGGAGGGCGATTTCTATGAGAGCTCGACCTTAGTGGAACCAACTATATATCGGCCGGGCGACCACCTCGACGGACACCGAACCCTCACTCATTCATGAACCTCTAGGGGGTGGATGCCAACATGCTCAGGTTTCTCCACAAATAGTTAATCTCTGGAGAGGGGCAGACAGTATGCAGTGACGCACACAGTTGTTCTATCTATAATTCTATCATAAACGACAAGGCTGGATGGACCCCAACACGACCGACCGTTTAGGCGAGATGACGCGCCAAGCGGGACATTCCGAGACCCCAGACTTAACCGCTTTGGGAGAAAAGAGAGCATCGCGACGAACAGTGGACAGTATGTAGTGAGTGAACCGTGAGCAGAATGAACAGGCAGCAAACAATCGGCACGGAAGATTGATCAGTTCTACCTAGCGAATACGAGTCCCTGCGTCACCCTGGCTAACCTCTTCGGGTTCTCCCGTGATCCATGTCTCGTCAAATAAATATCCTGCGCTTCCACCAGCCACCCGAAGCATTCCAACCTCGCCGTCAGCCATCAGATAAGATCATGAATTCGTCCGGGTCGCCGGAAGGGGAGAAGACTGCCGATCAGGCCGACCAAGCCGGAAACGAGAGCCATGAAGAGCCCGCGAAAGGCCCTTCGCTGGCCAATTACGGGGTGTGTATCGATCAGAACATGCGCAGAACCCCTCGCTGACGGAGACAGAGGATCCTATCTTATGGAGCTCGACGTGGCGGCATTTTCGCTATGGTAGCTGGCTTGATATGTGCCATGGGCTCAGGCGTGGTAGGTGCGCCCATCTCCAGGCAGGATATCCAACGCTGATCCTCTAGGCCCTTCCCCTAATGAACATCGTGTTCGGCGAACTCGTCGGGAATTTCAACGAGTACTTCGTCGATGGAAATCAAATGAGTAAGGGGGATTTTAAGTCCACGGTCAACAAAAACAGTCTATATATCTTCTACCTGTTCATCGGGAAATTTGTCCTGACATACATAGCCATGGTAGCCTGATCCACCCGATCATGCTGATCCCTACTGACTCATGAGCGCATCTAGTTCTGTTTCCGGTTTATTAGTCTCCAGGCTTCAGCCACCTTGCGCCTCGAGTATACGACCTCCCTGTTCTCACAGCCCTTGTGCGTTCTGGACGACATTTCCTCCGGCACCGTCACACACGCCATCACCTCGCTGTCAAACCAGATTCAACAGAGCATCTCGGACCGACTGGCCACGCTGTTCCAGGCGATAGCCCTTCTCATCGCGGCGTACGCCATCGCTTTTCGCTACTCCTGGGCCCTCACTCTCGTCGTCAGCTCGGCCATACTGTTCGTGATCCTCGCTTTCAGTATAACAATCCCGTTCATCATCAAGACGCAGGCTCACGTGGATAAGGCCGAGGCAAAGCATGCCTCCATCGCGGCCGACGTGATGAGTTCCATTCGGACCGTGCTGTCTCTCAGTGCTGAACAGCCGCTGGCTAAGAAATATTCCTCCTGGATTGCCGAGGCGCGGAAAAGGGGGTCCCGCTTGAGTTTGGTCACCGGTATTCATCTGGGACTGCTGATGCTAGCCATGTATTCTAGTTACGCTCTTGCCTTTTGGTTTGGCCTGAAGTTGTTTCGCGAAGGTCACATCGACAACATCAACACGGTGATCACGTAGGTTGCGCCGACTACTCATGTTGTCAGCACCAGGGCTAATCGCTGCCAGGGTTTTCTTCTCTGTTCTGATCGTGGTGTCAATCATCGGGAATATCGCAAGCCCGATCATGGTGATCGGAAAAGCGACGAGTGCCTCCGGTCCTTTCTTCGACATGATCAACGCCTTGCAGCCATCGACCGAAGGACGGCGAGACCCGGAAGTCTCCAGTCACGCAGATATCGTCTTTCGGGATGTCACTTTTGCCTACCCGTCGCGCCCCGGAGTCCAGGTTCTCAAAGACTTCTCTGCTCGCTTTGAACGTGGCAAAACGACGGCTTTGGTCGGTCCCTCGGGTTCGGGCAAAAGTACCGTGGTCGGTTTGATCGAGAGATGGTATCAAGTCCAGACGCCGACCGGTGATGACGAGGCAGATGGCAATCGCGGCGAGATTGAGGTAGATGGTCACAACGTGAACGACCTGGATCTCCGCTGGTGGAGAAGGCAGATCGGGCTGGTCCAGCAGGAGCCCTTCCTTTTCAACGACACTATCCTGAACAATGTCGCATTCGGATTGATTGGTTCCAAATGGGAGAATGCCGAAGAGGATGTAAAGAAGGAACTGATCACTCGAGCTTGTGTCGAAGTGTTCGCGGATGAATTCATCCAGCGATTGCCTTTGGTAATCTAGCCCGCTTTTAATCCAAGCGAAATCTGGAAGAAAATTACTAACATCCTAAGGGATACGAAACTCTGGTCGGCGAGGGTGGAATCACCTTGAGTGGCGGACAGCGCCAACGTCTTGCCATCGCTCGTAGTATCGTTAGCCAGCCGCCTATCCTGATCCTTGACGAAGCCACTAGCTCGATTGATGTTCGCGGCGAAAAGATCGTGCAAGCCGCCCTGGACCGCGTCTCGAAAGATCGTACCACAATCATGATCGCTCATCGTTTGTCGACCGTGAAACGCGCGGATCGAATCATCGTCATGAAAGACGGGACAAAGATGGAGGAAGGGTCCCATACGGAGCTGTTGGTCCAAGACGGAATGTATCGCAGCTTGGTCCACGCACAGCAGCTGGGCACGCTGACAATCGATTCCGACGAGCAAGACGAATTGCCGACGACTCTGACTCCAGAGCTCAAACTGGCTGCTTCCGTTGTTCCGGATACGAAGGAAGTGGCAGAGGAACAATTCCCCGAGAAACAGAAGAAGATGAGAGGGCTGAAGAGCTTTCTGACAGTCGCGTCAGAGCAGCGAGCGTCTTGGCCGCTGTATCTTTTGGTCCTCTTCGCAGCGATGGGAGCAGGATGTATGCTGATTCCTTTCCTCAACCCGCTGCTTTCACTGACCGTTGTTAGCTGGCTTCTCGCTCCAAAGTTGGCTTTTTGCACGCCTTGTTCAAGTCTTCCAGTTCACAGGGAAAAAACTGGTCGATGCCGCGAACTTCTGGGCTTTGATGTTCTTCATCCTGTCCTTGGCCATGTCCGGACTTTATTTCCTTCTGGGAATCAGCGCCAACTCCATCTCTGTGGTAAGTTTTCCCGGGGTTCGCTGAAAACGCCGCTGATCATGTCAGAACATCGCGTCCACATATCGCACCGAGTATTTTGTCAATATGCTCGCCAAACCGGTTTCCTGGTATGACAGCGACGAAAACGCGTCGGGGTCGCTGATATCCCGTCTGTCCACAGATCCGAAACAATTGCAGGAGCTGTTTGGCATCAACGGCATCTTCCCACTGGTATCGATCTTTAACGTCTTAGGATGCATAGCCATCTCCTTTGCTTTTGGTCCCAAATTGGCAGCTGTGGCATTTTTTGCTGCTCTGCCGTTTCTTTTCCTGGCCGCGTACTCTCGCATCCGCTATGAAATGAAGTTCGAAGAGCTGAATGCTGCGGTATATGAGGATAGCTCTCGTTTCGCCACCGAGGCCATCCGTGCTTTCCGAACAGTCAGCGCGTTGACTATGGAAGAATCGATCATCAAACGGTATACTGATATGCTCAACCTACAGCGACGGAAGGCGATGCGAAAAGCGATCTACTCCACTCTCGTCTTTTCGTTCTCCGACAGCGTGGAGCTGGCCGTCATGGCATTGACATTCTGGTACGGTGGCCAGTTGCTCGCAACTCGGGAATACGACATCGTCACCTTCTTTGTCGTGTATATTGCCATTATCCAGGGAGGCCAAACTGCCGGCCAATTCTTCAGTTTTGGGCCGAACATGGCGCAGGCCTCGGCGTCAGCGGCCCGCATTTTGGGCTCTCGCCCGCCGTTGCCCAGCGAAGGTCAACTCTCCAAGGAACCATTGTCATCGACTAACGATGAGTTCCGCGCCGACATTGAATTCAAGAACGTGACATTTCAATACCAATCGCGAGAGACGCCCGCCTTCATGAATCTCAACCTAAGTATCGGATCGGGGCAGTTCGTGGCCTTTGTTGGGCCCTCTGGCTGCGGGAAATCCACCATGATTTCTTTACTCGAACGATTCTACGACGCCACTCGCGGGACAGTCGAGTTCGGTGGGCGAGATGTTTGCTCTATTGAACTTTGTTCCTATCGAAAGTCCCTATCCTTGGTTGGTCAAGAGCCGAAACTCTTTGACGGCTCAATCCGTGATAACCTCATCCTTGGCCTGGATCACCCTGAAGAAATGATCGAGGCCGATATGATCCAGGCCTGTCGAGACGCTGAAATTCACGATTTTATCGTCTCGCTGCCGGAAGGATATTCCACGGAACTAGGGGTCAACGCTCAAACGGCCCTCAGTGGTGGGCAAAAACAGCGACTGTGCATTGCTCGTGCCTTGATGCGCAAACCTTTGCTCCTTCTGCTTGACGAAGCTACCTCCAGTCTGGATTCGCAGTCTGAACGCTTGGTACAGGACGCGATGGAGCGCTTGGCGGGTAAACGCAGTATGACGATTATTGCTGTTGCCCACCGACTGGCAACCATCCAGAAGGCGGATGTGATCTTCGTCTTTAGCGAGGAAGAGAACGGAAAGGGATCGTGCATTGTGGAGAGAGGATCTCATGCTGATCTGCTGCGTCAGAAGGGTGCATATTGGCAAATGGTAAGAAAAGCTTTCTCCTCTCAACTTTTTTGCGAAGAGAATTGTTGCTAATTGACGGTATTTAGTGTCAAGCACAAGCGCTAGATCAATAGTTGTCTCAAGACACATTAACCCCGAGTTAATGACACGTGTAAAATCTACCATCTTATACCCATCTCCTATCATCGAGTTTTTTTTTTTTTTTTTCATATTAGATAGAAACAGATCTCCTCTTATGAAAACCCCCAGGTTCAAAAATGAATGTCCCCAATAGAGATGGCGTTGTGTACAATAAATAGTGTCCCGCTACCTAGGCGCTCTCAGCTCAACACCCCCCCCCCCAAAAAAAAAAAAAAAAAAGACACAACAACAAAACAGACTCAGTAGTTCTCATATCGGCTGTTAATCCTTTTCAGTCTTTGGGAATCGCTCACATTCCCACCTAAATGAACTCCGTGTTAAATAGACATAAAGAGAAAAGAAACCAGGAACAGTAAGTAATTCGAAAAAGGAGCTCAAACGGTTAGGGTCTCCTCCAGCAGCTCATAATTATTGCCTAAGTATCTCACCTGCACCTGTCTGCCATCACCAAAGGTATTGGCGATAGTCGTGATGCGCGCGCGAACGGGCAGATCCGCCGGCTCGTACGGCACACCCTCGGGAATCATTGCCGAACGTTCTTCGATTCTGGCAACTTTGGAGGCCAGCTCGGCAAATAGGAACGAGTCCCAGAGACCTTCGCGACGTTGGCTCCGCCTCATCAAGTCAATAGCGCGGTATCGGGTTCTTGAGTCGCGACAGGCCGTGGCCACGATCCATAGCGGCGGTAGTATGCCCTGTGACATGGAGAATGTGCAGGGAGAGGGAAGGTCCTGTGTATGGAGTATATGTTGGTAGGAAGGAAGAGTCGACCCCGGCGGTGGCGAGGAGGATGCAACGCTTGCTGCAGCAGTTGGCGATGGGCTTCTCTTGCGCATCTCTGGCATCTCTAAGAGGATGTTCATGACTTCTTCGGCCAGATCCACTACCGCTGCCAGCTCCGGCGTGAATCGGTCCCAGCCCGTTTCCACCAACGGCAGCTCCATTTGCAACACGATGTGTACCATTGCGTTCCACATCTTGTGTTTGTTGGCAAATTGCCGGCTGGCTGAATCCATGGCCTCGATTGGGTGGCACTCGAGGTATTCGCTCAGCGCCGCGGACCAGGCGTACATCTCGGTTCGGGCTTCAGCGTAATCAGCTATGACTACTTCGGGAATTTCGGTTAGTTCACCGTCTTTGACGATGTCCGCATGGGCTGCCGGCGTTGATTTCGTAAGTAATCGGAGGAGTCGGTTGTAAACGAGGCGGAAGTTCTCGTCAAGCTCCTCCAGGGTGTAGGCTCCGTGAGAAGAGTCGATAGGGGGTAGGCCCGAAGGCTTGAGTGCGGAGGGATGCAGTTTTTCAGACGCGTTGAATTCGTCGTCTAACTCGAGCATTTGGCTTTCCAGATAGGCAAACAGCGACCGAATGGCGTCCGCGGGGAGATTGGTCTTCTTTTGCAATGTCTGACATTGGACTTCCTGTTGTTTCATGATGCGCAACCCTGACGTGACATGCCGCAGGGCTACTCTAAAATGCCCTTGTAGACTCTCAAAGCAGTAGAACAAAATGCACATGGTCAAAACTACATCAACAGACCCGTTTTCCACGCCCTTAGACATCTGTGCTAAACCCTGTCGAATCGCGGTGTTGTACTGACGCAGGGCTAGCTGGGTTCCTTGCATGCGCACATCGGGGTACCGAGTCCGCTCAAATAGAAACTCGCGATGTAGCGATCCTAGAGCCATAGCCGCGACTCGAATGCTGGGATCATGGTAAGCCGAGCGAAGCAAGAATGCTCCTGCTTTGGCACCGAAACATGATGAGGTCTGCAGATGGAAGAATTCCAAGGACTGGTACTCGTCTGCATGAAGAGGCCGGTCCCAGGAGGGAAAGAAGCTCATCTGGACGGGGCGATCCACCATGGGGGTATGATGTATGATGCGAATCTCTTTATTCCTACTGGTCACTCGCCGCTGGCCAGCGTTAGACGACTGTGGCGGCGGCAACGCGACGTAGCCGTCGCATTTACGTCCGGTCGATCGGCATCTCCGGCAGCTGGGCTTTTCTTCATCGCATTTTACACGTCGAATCCTGCGAATGCCCGGTTATTTCTGAGCTCCAGTCAAGATCAAGCAAGCAAAGAAGAAAGAAAACGGTGGAGACTGACTTGCAAGTAATGCACCCGGTTCGGGATCTCATTCGCACGCTCGGGGTGGTTTGTGTCATGTCTCTTTTACTTTCGTTAATCCCTCCTATTCCGTGCACTGAACTCAAAGTTATCATGTCATCGAGGGACGTCGAAATCCGCAGACCTGGGTGGGATAAAGAAGAGGAGACAGCCTGGCTGCCTAACGGACGCCACCTTCTATACTCGACTCGGTTGGCGTCCGCGAACCGGCCATTCATCACGTCGTCTGTGCTCCTCACATTTGGGGGCCAAAGACCCTTCCAGCAACAGTTTATTTAAACCTTTGGGTTCCAGGATAATGCCTCCGCAAAATGCGTATTGGCTCGATCGCGTCCCCAAAGCTGCATCTAACTTAGACTGGTTACCGTAGGGCGAGATGGACTCTGCCTTCCAGGGCTCGCGGTTGCGTCTGTGAAGGATCGACTGCGGAATTTAGAATTCGATCCTGCAAGACTCAGCATACTAATCAACACATGGGATATATCCAGAATGGGCTTCTCATCTGTCTGCTTCAGGGCCAAATTGTAGAAAAAGCCACAAAGGGTAATACGAGGTTCTTTTTTTATCGCATTAAGCTTCTGCCTGGAACACGCTTGGGGATCCTGTAGATTTGAATATTGATAATAGAGAAAGAGTCAGAGAGAAAGTGTTTAAAAGCCTGGTAGGACCTCGTAAATCAATTCGTTTTCATCCTTTAACACAACCTGGCTCTCATAGCAGCTGGATCCGTCTTCTGGATCATCTTACAAATTCTTTCAGGACCTGAGACCTCCCTTGCCGTCTTGTGCTTTATTTTTCAATTCAGTGCTATAAATCTCGTCATGAGTGCTACCACGCTATCGCCAACAACAGCCAGTCCCTCCAGCACCATCATCCCAGCTTGCACAACGCCTAAACCAGGGAAAAATGGCTACCTGCCACCGGAGGCATGCGACGTGATTCTCTACTATGTACCGTCGTTCGGTGCGGCTGTCTTCTTTTGTGTTCTATATGGATTGTCGATGATTGCGCATGGTGTGCAAGGGTTTATGTATAAGAAGGTATGCTTGTCTGGTGAACGATCGGAGATCCGCTCTAACAAGATAGCAGAGATATACGTGGGTCATCGTGATGGGAGCACTATGGGAGTTATTCGCCTTCATATTTCGATCGCTTCAAACGCGTCAACAGAATAACGACAGTTGGGCCACCGCACACACCATTCTTTTCCTTCTGGCCCCCCTCTGTACGTCCTGCTGTCCCTTGAACTACCGAAGATATCTAGGCTAATGACCAGCTTTGTAGGGATCAATGCGTTCCTGTACATGACCATCGGCCGTTTGATCTACTTCTTCATCCCCGACAAGCGTCTTGGCGGCATCACCGCAAAGCGATATGGACAGTTGTTCGTTTGGCTAGATATTGTGGCATTCCTTGTTCAGGCCGTCGGGGCTGTTATGACGAGCAACACACAAGCTACCAATGCTGAGATTATGCGCGGCGTGCACATCTACATGGGCGGGATCGGCTTGCAGGAGCTCTTCATTCTCATCTTCAGCGGCCTGGCAATCCATCTACATCGTCGCATGCTTTCCATGGATCGTGTGGGACAGCTGGACGACGAGAGATTGCACCGTGGAACGATGCCGTGGCAATGGCTTTCTACGCCATGTACGCAGCCCTCTTCATGATTACCGTGAGTACTCCATCGAAAGGAATTAAAATGATATAACCCCGAACCAAGACGTCTAACTGGCCATGCAACTCAGATTCGCATTGTCTTCCGTCTGGCTCAATACGCCGACGGCACTAACCCCAACAACCCCGCCTTGACGCACGAGTGGTACGAGTATGTCTGGGACGCCTTGCCGATGTTTGTTGCTATCGGGCTTCTCAATATAATCCATCCCGGGCGCGTATTACAGGGACCGGACTCCGAGTTTCCCAAGCTGAGCCGCAAGGAGAAGAAACAGAGGAAACGGGACAAAAAGGAGGCTAAGAAAGCGTTGAAAGAATTAAAGACCAAAGCGAAGCTAGGAAATGGCGTCGAGTTCGAGCAACTGAGGAGCCAGGAAGAGGGAGGTATGGGTCTCTCGAATGGAAGTCTTGGGACGTTAGATTCTCATTCGCGATGATTGATGATTGACAACGAGTTCTGACAGTATCACGGTGCTATGCATTGTTTTCTTTTCCGTTGTATTTGATTCTTGTTAATACATATAGATAGAATTTGGATTCCATAACAATGACCTGCTAGAATCCAAGGAGAGCAAACAAGCTCAAAAGCCCTGCGCAAGAAGGCGGTAAGGGGCGAGGAAAAGGAACAGAGTGTATGCAAACGAGGGAATAGCCCTAGGAACTGATAGAAGCCTGAGGTCTAGCCTCAGGCCCACGACACATGGTCTGTCATAGCCCTAGGGGCTCGGTATGGACAATAAACTTGATTAAATAATAATACAAGACGGGGAGAGGGCCGCCCTTGTTGATGCCTGCATTATAAGGCATCAAGAGGCAGACAGGGACGGCACGTGCCGGACCGAGTAACTGCCCCGATCGGGTTAGACCAACTGGAGTGTGGCGAGGCTCGCAATGATTCTCCTGATTCTCAACCCCCAACTCACCTCCAATCTGACTGGTAATGGTTGGTTTCGGAGGAAAATGTAATCCCCAAGATGCCTATATCGAAGACATGTCAAAACTGTGCCCGATCGAAGGTACGGTGTCTCCGCAGTGCTGCCTCCCAGAGTTCCTGTGATCGGTGAGGCCTTTCGACGCGGTCCATGTTTAGTACTCGCCTGGTGCTGATTCACTTCATGCTAGATGTCGTCGACTTGGGAAAGAATGCACGTATCGTCAAGCGGGTCGCCGCTTTGATGGATTTCGAAAAGACAAGTTAGTCCCCCAGGACTTCCTTTCCAGGGCCCCGTGCTAACTATCCCTCCAGACAAATCGAGGCACTAGAGGCAAAAGTGAATGAGTTGATGGCTTATCAGCCTCCCGTGGCAGGCTCGTCAGACACATTTCACAATGCTTCCTCCGGGCGACCGGGCGAGCTCACCGGTCAGGGGGATGTCATTGATCAAGGGATCCTGAGCATGGAGACGGCCGACTACTTCTTGGAAGTCTTCAAGAGCCGGATGGCCATGCATTTCCCATTCGTAGTAATACCACCAGGGACGGGATCCAGTGATCTTCGCCAAAAGAAACCCTTCCTCCTTCTGGCTGTTCTCGCATCCTCCACATATGAGGACTTGCCATTGCAACGGCGGCTGGGGAGGGACATCAAGGACCAGATAGCCAGCCGCATGGTTATAAACGGGGAGGTGTCCTTCGAATTGCTGCAAGGCTTGCTAGTATATCTGGCATGGTAATTCGCCCAACGATATTAAGTAAAACTGCGACCTTCTTCTAAAACCACCCAACAGGTCACACTTCCACAAGAAACCACATCGCTATACGCAAATTCTGCAGTTAGCCATCGGCTTGATGATCGAACTCCGTTTGGACCGCCCCCAGCACACTAGAAATGCCAAGACGGCCCTCCAGTGGAAGTCGAGTAATTCCTCGGATGATCGGATTTACACACGAAGGTCATTGGGGCGTGACGAACAGCGAGCGGTGGCGGGATGCTACCACCTGTCGTCGATGTGAGAATGCTCAGCTTCGATCTTGCCCTTAAGGCGAGCCATGCTAACTTCAAGCATAGGAGTTCCATACTGCTACAGAAACCGTCAAGCTTCCCAAACATTTCTACCTACCTTGAGGACTGCTGTCACTCTCTGCATGAGGCAAATGAATACCCAAATGATCGATATATAGGCCACATTACCCAGCTGCAGTTTCTAACGGAGAGAATTGACCGCCTGGCGGTGTGTTATGGAATGAACGCCTTTAAACCGAGCTCGGTGACTGATCTACATGTTTCCAGTCTCCAAGAAGACCTCGAATCCTTCAGGAGGCGACTCCCATTCGATTTGCATGGTTATCGTATGTGTCCTCAGATAATAGCCGTATTGGCCGCGAGCTAATAACCGTTTCTGGCTCCCTAACAGCTCTCTTAGCGATACAGTTCCACGTGGCCGAACTCTGTCTATGCCAGCTTAGCATTGGAAGCAACTCTGAACATCCCCCGGGCTTGGATCGGCAGGAAGAACTGACATTTGCGGGATTGCATGCAGCGGAGTCACTTTTCAGAATGTACCTCTCACTCCCATCAAACTATGGGCTTGGACTCAACAACAGCCAGTGGATTCAGATGGGGTTTTCATTGTTGGTGGCATGTAAGCTTGTTCTTGCGACCGCGAAAGCTTCCCCCAAAACAGGTCGCTCCCAAAAGATGCAATGGTTAGAAACCATGTCACGACTGCACGATCAAGTAGGATCTTTGTCTGCTGCACGGGTCGACAATGATCATGAACGTGATGTCTTCTACGACTTTTCTCAACGAGTCTCTCGAGTCATGTCCTGGCTCGGAAAAGACCCACAGAGTCAAGGGTCGCATCCCGATGAAGCGGTTCAGCGCCCCCGGAATTCATTCAGCGGCGCTTCGATAATGGAGGCAGAAAAGCTACGAAATGCCGACTCTGCTTCCTCCACAGAGCCTCCGTCATTTGACTTGGGGTTTGACATGGGCAGCGACATTGACTTGACCCACGATGCATTTTTTGCAGCGGCATTAGACCAAATGATGGGTAATTGGTTTTAGTTAACGTTGGTGCTTGCCTTCAAGGTCCCTGATCTTCATATTCCTATTTTACCGAGCATAGGGCCAGGGTCAAATTGCAAGGAAACAGGAACGAACTAGAATGTCGATCTCATCATGGCAGTGCTTGACTTTTTGCGCGACGGATCGCGCATCTCCGACCCGACGCTCCACACTGGGGGCGATGTGTGCCTCAGGCTTTCCAGCCCTTGAGATCTCCGACCCGACCTGCAGAGTATATCTTCGAGAACTCCAGGATCGTGTCAAAACAGTTCCAGCAGATTCAACCTCTATCAATAATAGAAATGTATTTCTCATCCTCCAGCCTCAATTTGCTTGCTTCTCTTTTGGTCCTGGCCCCCTCAGTATTTTCATTCACACCATGTCCTCTCCTCGGTCCGGCCTTCCCTCCGTTTAAATTGGACCCAAGCTCGAAAGACGTGAGCAAGGCCATCAAAGAACTCAAGCACGAATTGGACGATCAAATAAAGTCTGGCAATGGATCGCATGGAATCACTTATTCCAACACCACCTCGTTCAGCTTAGCGCTGTTCTCCACGAACGAGGGAGCTGGCTCCGATGGCCCGTTCTTTTACGACTACCATTACACCGCTCCCTCGCTGCGGCAGTCCAAGCACTACCGCGCAGCTGATGCGAACAGTGTATACCGCATCGGTGGGCTAAGTCAAATATTTACCGTATGGACCTTACTGGCCACTGCCGACGATGGTGTCCTGGATGATGCTGTGACGGAATATCTCCCTGAGCTTGAAAGCGCGAAGAGAGACGCAGCAGAACATGCGGATAGCTTTGTTGCATGGGAAAGGGTGACTGTTGGACAATTGGCTAGTCATATGGCGGGTATTGCTAGAGACTGTGCGTTTTTTCTAGATCTTCCTTTGACGACTGACTGACCAGCTAACTTGAGAACAATGCAGCTTGTATAAGCAGCCTGAATGATGAAATAACCTCTGGTGCCGGTTTACCAAAGTCTCCTGCGTCATATACTACCTGCACTTCGGTTTCTGAAGATGGTATGGAGCTTTGAGTGTATTCAGATTTTGATATGATACTAACCATGGGTGTAGATGCAATTGCCCGACTGATTCAACAGAAGCCGGCGGCCTTCCCTGACTCGACGCCCCTCTACTCCAACATGGGATTCGAGGTTCTGGGCTATGTCATTCAGAACATTACGGGGCAGAACTTTGAAAAGGCCCTCCAGGACACGATCCTCACCCCATTGGCGTTGGACGACACTAGTCTTTTCCGGCCTTCGAATTCCTCCAAGGGGATTATCCCGGTGAACAAGGAGACCAGTGGATGGGCGAATGAGTACACAGGAGCGGCACCGTAAGTCACCGGCCCTCCAATTGTTCTTTACGCGAGGCTAACCTTTCCCAATAGTGCGATTTCGATGTTTTCCAGCACCAAAGACCTTTCGCTCGCCGGCAAGGCGATCTTGAACTCGACACTGCTCTCTCACCTTCAAACCAGGCGCTGGCTTAATCCGGCCTCACACACGTCCAACCCAGCCAACTCGCTCGGCTATCCCTGGATTATTTACAGCAGCGTAAAGTATCCCAACACCTCCATGGTAGATATCTACACATATTACAGCGACGTGGGCCTGTATAGTTCCTACCTGGGCATTGTCCCCGATTTCAACATCGGATTTGCCATTCTCGCCGCCGATAGTGTTGCCAGTCCGGACTTGAATGCCCACGCTGACATCATTGGCGATATTTTCTTTGAAGCCATGATGAAGACATCCGCGACCCAGGCAGCGATGAACTTCGGCGGCCATTACCGTGCTTCCAACAACAGGTCATCGATCACCATCTCGGCCGATGGTCTACCAGGGTTGTTTATTGAGGACTTCGTGAGCCAAGGAGCAGACTTTCGAAAGACCCTCGCCTCGTTGACCGGAGTTCAAGACCCTGATGACTTGAGCATTCGCCTGTACCCGACCGGCTTGACTTTGCCGAGCGAGTCCGGCTCCAGGCAGACCTTCCGTGCGATTTTCCAAGACAAGACCGAATTGGCAGACAACGGGACTCCTACGTGCGTGTCCTGGACCGACGTGGGCAAACTGAAGTTCAACCAGGCTTCTCTGGACGAGTTTGTTTTCGAGGTCAACGGCGATGGCGAAGCAATCGGCGTGGAGATTCCCGCACTGGGGGTGACTCTGAAGAAGAAATAGGACTAAGCAGCGGATCCAGTGTACCATAGTCCCCTGATAGGAGATGATAGACTTTTAGGGTGTGAGAATAGTGTGTATCTTATATGAATTGACTGTTGTTTCAAAAGAAGTACACCGGCCCCCGGATTACCAGAATAGGCAATCCGGTAGGATCAGCGATCAGCGCCCGTCGGGGTCTTTTCCTTCTCCCCTCATCACCTCACTTGTCTCCTGTCCTTCTTCAACTTCCACTTCAACTTCATATCCACCGACCTACCAAACCGCTCTCCCCTAGTCTACTCGATTAAATGCTTCTATACAAATTTGCCACTGACTCCTTTCGCGCGCTCTTCAAAATCAAAACATTTACCTGACCCAATCCTTAGAACCTCAGTCGATCTTACTTCTGAACCCTCCCTATTTCGCCCGTCGCACTCAACATGCCCTTCTCCTTCAACCCCCACAACTACCGAAAACTACAGAGAATCGACAGCGAGGACGACAATTTCAAGCTAGCGTCCTTCGAGGACCAACAACAGGGCCCCTCCGCCCTCCCTGCGCCCAGTAAAGACCCCGCGAGAAAGAACACGCGATGGATGGTCTGCACCGTGCTGCTCTCCGCCGTCGTCCTGGCGGCCATCAGTCTCCTGTCGATTAATTTTGCCCGACCGCGCCATCGTACGTCTTCGTCGCCTATCTCGTCTGCGCCAGAGTCCCAAAGCACCATGGCGTCCCAACCGTGCGGCACGTCGCCGTCCGAGGCCAGTGCCGCTGGATGTATATACGACGTAATGATGCACTCGTGGCTCCCTGCGACGTGCTTCGACGAGGAGCTCACGAATGAGTTTCGCGGTCTGCGAGAGTGGCAGTTCTACGCCGATGCAAACGGCACGAAGACCTTGACCGAGAAGGAATTGGCATGGCACACGGAGCAGGTCTACACGACGCTCGACTATCATTATACGCGCTGCGTGTATAGCTTGCGGAAGGACCAACGTGCCACGGAGCGGATGAAAGATCTCGAAGTCCCTGTCGCGGCAGAGGGCACGATCGATTGTTCCGAACTGTTTTTGAGCACGGCAAAGCAGTTGAACGAGACGAGCAGCGTGATTGTCTTGGAAGGCACGTTGAGGTCGCTGTCCGTGAGTTATCCGGTATGCACCCGGCCGAAGACGATGTGAAGCCTTGAGCTCAAGACCTATGGAGAAGACCGAAGAGACGTAATACTTGTAGGTCGGCCTTCATTCGGAGCGAGGCTGCTAGTGGCATTGGAAAAGGTCTTAGCGTGTACTAAATAGACCTGGCTATTGGCATAACTAAGGCTGGTGCCTTTGTGATTCATTCATCCTCGCACCGTCTTTCTCACTTTCCAACACTTGCGACCGAATTCAGTTCTGAGACCCCGAGTCCCTGGATTTGACTCAACTGTATCAAAAGCTCTTAGCGAAGAAAAGGTTCCGTAGCTTTCAGTTTCCTACCTTGTGTTACTTGGCAGCTTCCAGTTCGGAGTCATGTCATGCCAATATATTTTTTCCAACCTACTCGGAAGTCAGTCTAGGTGGGAACTGGCAAAGCGAATTCTGAAGCCTTGCGATGCTTGCACCTCTCGACTCAAGCCATAAGGGGTGGGTCTTGGCCTAACATTGAGAATCGAGACGAATGAGGGTCTCTCGCAGAAGAGCTAAGGAGGCGCAGCACTGTGCGCGGCATCCACATTGGCCAAAGGGCGAAAGGAATCCACCGATCGTCGCGTGGGGGCGGATTCGCCGTTGACTGCTTATGGTAAACTAACTTTCTTTACTCACACCGTCTATGCCGGTTCTATTTGTAGTACTGAGTAGTGTTCAAAGGAGACCAGCATTTCAGGCAACAGTAATAGGTGTCAGACTGTAGAAAATACGAGCGCATTCCCGCGAGGCTTGGTCGCTACGTACGCAGTTCTTTATCTAGTCCAGATATACAGCGTGATACCATCAGATCTCACCGCCATGTCGAGTTCGTTGTTTTCTTCCATTCTACCGCTAAAATCCGCACCATCTGACAGAATGGAGACCGAGAAGCCCCCCGGCTACGATGAAGCGACTCGCTCCACTCCCACCGAGTCTTCTAGCGTCTTCGATGGCGCAACCAAAAGCCCCAGTCTCAAGTACGCCCTGATCTCGATCGCCTGGACCGATCGCATTCGACTACTGCGGTTCCCCGAGCATATCACCGAGCGCGTCTCGGCGGTATTCCGCACTACTTGGCCCAAGAATATCCAACATGTGAAGCTGGTCGCCGAACATCCGGAGATCAAGCTGAAAGGGAATCCGTTCTCGTATGCGCAGGACGACGAGAAGATCGCTATCCGCCATTGTTTCCTCGAGATTTTCGACATGTTGGCGCAGGAGGGGTGGGGAGTTCATCCGGTGTTGGCGGGCACAGGGCGCATTGGCTCCTTTGGGAGCACGGCCGAGAAAGGTAGGCGTGGTTTTACGGACGGTCCTGGTGGATGGTCTTATGTGAGATGGGGATGGCTAACACGGCATAGACTGCATTGTCTTCCAGCGTCAGCCAGCCCAGTGTCTCTCCTGGATGTGCGTCTCCTTTGATTCGAGCTCCTATATCCACCTGATCAATAGTCCTCCGGAGTTTGGGCAATCCATCATTCAGGTCTTCGGAGATAAAGTAGAGAAGTGCAACCGGGACTTGGTTTCGGGGAATTTCGAAATCAAATTTCGCGATGGGCCCTGGTCAGGGTCAGGGAAAAACGCAATTTCGAGCCGACTGATCATGCTGGATGTCTTGCGGTGTCTGGAAGAGCATGGGTATGCGCTGTGCGCCAGTATCGATTTGGACAACGGGTCGGGAGGGAGTCTTTATAAGAGCAGTGCCAATACATGGTTTTGCTGTCGGTCACCAGAATTATGAAGTCATGAGTTAAGAATGATTGCCACAAGATGTCTCCTGTCGTGTAGATCGTAGCCTACGGCCATTATATTAGATTAAATCATATCCAATCCATCCAGTCCCGGTGTGATAGAGCTGGGGTTATATACATTGCATGAAGCACAGGCCTCAACGGACCGCTTTACGGTCGTCCGTTGCTAAAGTAATCCCTCTCGTCCACCTCTCTCGTCGACTCCAGCCTCCATTCTCCGTCGGAGCTCGATAATTGCCCGCTGTTCTCACCCACACGCGTCCCGTCAGAGCTGACGCTGACCTCCGAGACGTCCGACACCTGGCTCGGTCGATGCGCATGTCGTGTCGTGCCGTCGTCCTCGTGGATCATGTTCGCGATGGAGAAAGACCGCACGCTCGAGAGGCTAGAGATGTGACGATGATGCGCCGGTCGCACCGGCGGCGAATCCGCCTCCTGGATATCCTGGCTCGGGTTAGGCGACGCGACAGGCGACATGAAACTGGTCGAACCGCTGCCGGTGCTTGGAGTCGGACTGGGCAGAGGGTTGCTGTTATATGGTGTCGGTAGCTCCACAGGAGGCGTGGTGCTTTCGTCTGCGGAGAATGTCATTATCAGTAGCTGTCGTATAGTACAAGAGAAGGAGAACTGCATAAGAACATACCATGCATTTCGTAGATCGGATCACTTCCTGCCTCGATCGTCCGGGGTGAGGCTGCTCCTGCCGCCGTCGTCACAGACTGGTCCACGCTCGAGTCGTTCGGTTGGTAGGTGCGATAGCTGACCGACGCCGTCGTCGTGTCGTTGGACTTGGCTCCCTCCCCAACGGCGGGCGAGCCGGTGTACATCCAGCGCAAAATGTGTGAGCGCTTGCCCGACTCCTCGCTCGTCTGTTGCGAGCCCTTGGCCCGGCGACGCCGACGGAAGCACCAGAACGCGAGGGCACCGCCGATCAGGAAAAGACCGAGAACCACGCCGATGATGGCACCGGCCCACCCAGGGAAGCCGGACTTCTTGTCAGGGACGACGGAGACGGTCGGGCTGGGGTTGCTGCTCTCGGTGCTGTTGTACGGGTACCAAGTCTTGACGGTCTTGGTGTACTTAGATGAAAACACGCCCTCGAGCGAAGAATTAGTCCAGGACTTTGGCGACGTCGTTTTGGCGCCGCCTTTGGAGCTGGTAGGTTCGACGTTAGCGCTGCTTGAGTACGATGTCAAAGGAAAGAACCTACTCTCCGCCGATCCGGCCGGTCACCAGATCCGGCACTTTGTACTCGCTCCAGTCCTTCGGATCATACTTGTCCTGGAATCGGCCGGTGTTGAGATTGAATACCTGCACAATCCCGCCGTCGAGACAGTTGGTGACTGTCTTGTAGACACCCCCGAGAACCAGCATCTTGTCGGGGTAAGGCTTAATGCATTTGTGGCCGCGACGGCCATGTTTGCTCTGGCCGCTGAGCAGCTTAATCCACTCGAAGGAGGGCAGCGACAAGACGTAAACGTCGTCGGATGGGGAGCTGTCCGTGCTGAGACCGTCGTAGCCCCCGTAGATATAGATGTTATGGGACGAACCGTCGGATGCGCTGGCATAGACCGAGCAGAACTGGCTCAGGGCCGGCGGGATGTCGCCCGTTGTCTCTTGGACATACCTGACAGCGGTCACGGCGTTAGACTGGGTTTGCTGGATGAAAGGGACGCACTCACCATTTCTTCTCTGCGATGTCGTACACCGAAACCGTCTCCATGAACTCGGGACTCGCGCGCCGACTCGCGTTCTTCTGGGAGTTGCTGAGCCCGTCGCCGCCATAGATGGACTCCGGGTTGACGACGCCTCCGATGGCCACCAGCGCGCCAGAATCCGACACAGGCAGCCAGACCAGCTCGGCATTGGCTCGTGCCGGCACATAGTCAGGTAGCGAGGTGTTCGACCACACGTTGCCGCGCATCTCCGACATGTCGACGCTGATCATGCGAGCGGACGATCGGTTGGCCGACTCATCGTCGGCGATGGGCCCCCAATTTGCGCCGTGCATACCGCTGAAATAAAACCCCAGATTTTCGCTGGGGGCCGAAACGCCGGTGCCGTGGGTAATATATCGAGTGACATCATTATCGAGTTGATCTTCGTAGAATCCCGGCTGCCACGAGCTGCGATAGGGGCCGTACTGGTATGCCTCGTATCCCAACACCCGATTTCCGGCCGGCGGGTCTTGACTGTCCGTGGCGCGGAGGAGGCCTCTGTAAACGGGATGAGAATCATGCGATCCGATGGAGTTTATTAGGGCGTGCTTACCCGTATAGGTAGAATTGGTCGTCGTTCGCAAACATCACGCCGTCGCGATAGTTCGGCGCCAGATTGTTGGCGGCCGAGCCGGCCTTGGGTATGGACCCGATCAGCGCGGTGAGGTTATCGGAGGACGTGTCGAATGTGGAGGAGAGATTCAAATAATATAACCTGCCCTCTTGGTTGTCTAGGAGAAAGATCAGCGTCCATCCACCGTCCCAATTCCTAGTATCCGTTGGACGAGTGCAGCTTACCATCGCTGGTGAATTGGGGTGCCCCAGACGTATACCCTCTGAAGACAATCAATAATTATAATACAGCGGAGTACGGAATAAGAGTGACCTACTCCTGGCGCCATAAATATCCCCCGTCGAGGTAGACCTTGTCGCGAACGGTGTTGGCTGCAATGCGATTAGAGAAAGCTACGACGCGCGCAACGGAAGATTACAGAGCCAGTCGTCGCACCTCGGAGCTGCGCCCAATTGCAGATAGAGACATTCACTTGATTCCTCCAGTCCTGCCCCGACGTCAGCCCGGCCAGCGCCGCCCATAGGGCTGCCGTGGGCCACGGAGGCAGCATGGTTAGTGTCGATGGGAAGAGAAACGGGGGTGGGCGGTTCCTAATTGTTGCGCATGGTTTGCTCTCCCGGTGTCTAGTTGTCTCGCTGACAGCATCGATTACCCAGCATGACCCAGGAACAGCGATCAAGAGAGACAAGACAAGAAGAAGGAGAGAGGGAGGGATGGAGGGAGATCCGTTCGCCAGAGAGCACCAGAAGGCGTTTGCCCACGGGTGGGACAAGAGCACAAAGAACGGACGGACATGCTATTTCCAGCGGTCGGAGAGGGGCGCTGCGGCTCAGTCGGTTTAATTCCTTTTCGTTTTATTGTGTTACTGTTGTATCGATTTTAATTATTTTAAATTTTGCTGGATTTTTCGCATGTCTTTTTGGCCGTGTTTTCGGCCTGCTCGGGTTTGCGCGGTTTCCTCGATAATGAACGAGTCCAATGAGCGACCGATTCAGAACGAGGAAAGCGAAGGAGGGTGGCTAGAGAAGACTAGGCGCGACTAGACTGTTCGCTCTCCGTCCTTAGTGAGAAATGCTATGGCCCAGGGCCAAGAGGCGTTTGATGCTATTGATCGCGGCGAGTTAGCGACCTTTTTTAGTGCCAACACATTATTGCCCTAAACCCTCGGTCGGGTTGAATCTCTTCGGTCGCAACGCAAGGCATCGGAATCGGACGAGGGGAAGGTGCCAGTGTCGACGCAGAATTCCAATGCAGACAATCAAATATGATAGGGTATGATTCATGCGCACTGCTGACGACATGTCGCCATGTTTCTCCTCTTCTGCCGGGGGAGGGGATGCGGGGGAGCGAGGGCAAAGACAAGCACCACCGGACTGCCCAGGTCGGAATAATAATTCTGACAGTAGTTACGGCTTACTGCTGGGACGATTGGGAACCAGCAGGTCCCGTGCACTCCCACTTGAGTCCAACATGAGTCGGTGCAGCGAGATACGAGGGGAAGATGAGGGCGAGTATCCAATGGCCGCCAGTCCGACAAAGAACCTGCAGGACGAAGGATACACCGCTGCTTGCCGATCGGGTGACGTGCGCGGTCCCTTGCGCTGTTAATAATTATCATCATTATTCCTAATCCCGAACATGTCTGCCCAGATCTGCCCCCCTGTCTAGCCAGGTTCATACTTCACTGTCGTGACCGGCAGCGGGTTCGTTACCCATGGTAGCTCCTCAAGCCATCTTAATAAGAACCATGTCCAGTCCAAATTGGGAAAAAGGGGTTGGCTGGGCGACCTTCGGAGTTACATTTCAGCAACTGCGATTTAGCAATTTGACGTGGGAAGAATTGAGACATCCTTTCCCTTTCAACGAGGCGGAATTTTTCCCGAGGCGAGGCTGCCCTAAAGCCCAACCGGTGGCATCGGACGCTATGATCAAGACACGAAAAAAGAAAAGAAAAATCAAATAGAATAGAAAAAAGCAAAACATGGCCGCCAGAATGGAGAAATCAGAGTGAAATGCAACCACACGGGTGCGGCTCAACACGAACTGGCCGGACAGTCGTCGACTTTCTCTGTCTCTGTCTGTCTCCACTGCACGACGCCGATGAATGCACGCCAGGATTTCCGTGCTAATTGGACCCGGTCTGTTGATGCCCCGCTCTTGCTCGCTCACTGGGATGAAGTAGTGCAAATAGCAATAATATATGGACAGCAGCAGTACCGGGATTCGTAGGTTTTTCTTCTCTTTCTTTGTTGTTGGATGCCGCTACCCTCGCTTGTCATTCGGCTCTCCTAAAGGCAGGGTGTTCCCGTAGGAGGTTCTTATTTTCTTTCCTTTTTTTGGGTTCTTTGTCTGTTTCCTTCTGATCGGCTTCTATCGCGCTTCGAAGGAAGTCAGTTCAGAGTTAGGGTTTCTTACCTCCCGCCCATCGATCGATGCGGGCAGAAGAGGTCATTGATTCGCACTCGCCTCGTTCCTTTCTTGAGAGCCAATCCCGTAGACTGTAGCGCAAGGATTCCGCCATGAAGCCCTCGCGCGCCGTCGTGTCACTACTGGCGACTTCGTTGCTCTCGCCCGCGCTGGCCGCCGTCACGCCGTCGGTGCTCATCAAGGGCGGCGCAGGGCACCCGGTAACAGTGACGGAAACCAGAATCCAGACGGTCACCGTGTCGGAGACCTGCCAGGTGAGGCTCAGACTGCTCAATGAAGCGCGATTGAGACTAATCGGAGCTACAGATACCTACTACGGTACTGCCTTCAAGCCAGCCGCAGGACACGAGTGTCGCGGTGCCGCCCACGACAGCCAAAGATCCGGGATATTCCACGCTGCCGGACGTTCCCAGCGCTCCTGCGACGGAGACTTCGGCGGGCAATGGCTATTCTACTCTCCCAGAGCCCCCGAGTCCGCCGAGCACGACCTCCGTCGAGGTTCCGGCGCCTCCGGCGTCGACCTCCGTCGTCCCTCCGCCGGCTGTGACGACCAGCACTGCGTCGCCGTCGGGTGAGCCCGAGGACTGCGGCTGCGAGGTGACCACAATCCCATACACTACGTATACCCTGACCATCCCCATCCCGGGATCGACTCAGACGACGTCGACGGTGCCCGAGACGACGAGCAATCCGCCGTCCACGACGACTCGCGTCTCGCTGCCGCCGCCCAGTTCGACCATCACCACGCCTCCTCCTCCGCCGACGACAACGACGACGAGGACGAGCACTATCGACTGTTACTGCGACGGCTGCGGTGGCTGCGGCGAGGAAACGCGCACAGTGACGGTCACCACGACCTTCATTTCGGTGACGACGTCGGTGGTCACCTCCACAGGGTACGTCACCTCTTTCCGCACGAGAACGGTGTCGCAGACGGTCACTTCGGCGGAGACTGTCCTGGTGCCGATCACCACGACGCTGACCACGACCATCACCAACACCGTCACCTCCTCGTACATCTCCACACAGACCGTCACCACCACCAAGGGCTACACCGAGACCGATACCGTCTCCAACACCGTCACGCGGCCCGGAGAGACGGTGACCGCGACCCGAACTGCCAACGGCACTGTCACAGTCACGGACCGAGAGACCGTCACTGAGACCGAGACAGCGCCCGGAAAAACAGTGACGGTCAGCAAAGGCGGACCCGGCCACACGGCGACGGTGACGGTGACGGTCACCGAGGGCCAGGGGGAGACCGCCACAGAAACGGTGACTCGCACGCAGACGCAAGACACCACAGAGACGGTCACTCTGCCAGAGAGGACGATTACGCTGCCCGGCTCGACGGTCACTGGCCCCGGTGGAACTGTCACTCTACCCGGGGAGACGATCACTTTGCCCGGAGAAACGGTGACCCAGCCTGGTGAGACCATCACTCAGCCAGGCAAAACGATTACATTACCCGGCTCGACCGTCACCGGCCCAGGTGGCACTGTTACTCTACCCGAGAAAACAATTACTCTCCCTGGGGAAATAGTGACCCAACCCGGTGAGACTGTCACTCAGCCAGGCGAGACTGTCACTCAAACTCAACCCGGAGAAACTGTCACCCAGCCGGGAGAGACAATCACTCTACCAGGAGAGACGGTCACCGGGCCTGGAGGAACGGTTACTCTGCCCGGAGAGACGATCACTCTACCAGGAGAGACGATTACTCGACCCCGAGAGACAGTGACCGGGCCTGGGCAAACAATAACGAGACCGGGAGAGACCGTCACCTCCATCCAGACGTTGCCCGGAAGCACCGTGACTCTGCCTGCCTCCACGCGGACCACCACTGTCGTTGTTCCTCCCACCACCATCACCGAGTCCGGGTCGGTGACTACGCTACCTGCATCCACAGTGACCTCGACCTTCACCCAGCCTGGCCGCGTGGTCACTCTACCTCCATCCGTCGTCACTTTGCCCGGATCGACGGTGGTCAATACCAACACCGTCCCCGGCCCAACTTCGGTCGACACCGTTTCAGTGACCGTGATTATCAGCACGACCATCTTCGACACGGTTACGTTGCCTGGTAGGCCCCATGTTAATTCCCTTGTTCTTTTCCGCAGGACTAATTTCCAGTAGGATCGAGCACCACCGTCACCGTCACCGACACTCCCGCCACCGGCACCGTCACAGCCACCGGTAGGTTGCCCCCCTGCTCCCCTGAGACTTCCCCCTTACTGACGGACATTGTGACTAGGAACCACGACCCTGTCCATCTGTCCCAGCCTCAGTATCAACCCGACCTACACCCCCGCCGCACCGCTGCCCCGCGACTACACCTGGGGATGTCCGCCGGGATACCTCTGCAAGCCCAAGCACGTTGGTGCCGACGCAGGATGCAACTTCGAGGCCGGACTGCCGGCGGAGAGTTACGTCTGCAGTCCTGACCAGTGCATCGAGAGCCCGCCGTTCATTCACAAGCAGTTCTGGGGCAAGCCGGGCGAGTCCGACGAGGTGGCTCCCACTTACAACGTCTCCAAGGACTATTTCAACCTGAACCCTCACCTGTTCCGGCTGGACTACTCCATCTTCAAGTATCCCGAGAATACATCGGACTTGAAGCTCTACTACAAGCGTTCCTTCGGGTCGCGATCCCGTGGCAAACTACAATCGCGACAGTCGATCACCGATGTCCCTCCCGAGTGCTACGACGAATGTAACGATGCGGCGCTTGAGGTGCAGTCAACGGGCAAATCGGAGAAGATCTGTCAGTCCAACTCGGTGTTCCAGCGCTCCCTCGGCAGCTGCAGGAAATGTAGCAACCGCGATCGTAAGGACGGCTTTGACCAGGTCGTCTTGCCGAATTTCCAGCAGTTCCTGAACTACTGCGAGGATCAGCCATCCGGGACGACCACCGCGGCCGGCATCACGGAGGGCTCGTCGCAAACCGCCACCCATGCTACCACGTCAGAGCGGGCAACGACTACGAGTCGTGATTCGGACTCGACGACCTCCTCGGCGTCGGCGTCTGCTACGGTGACCCGGGCGACGACCACGGCGATAGCCTCGACAACGAACCGAGGGTCGGAGACGACAGAATCAAGCATCACCGAATCGCAGACGACAGGATCGCAGACGACAGGATCGCAGACGACAGGATCGCAGACGACAGGATCGCAGACGACAGGATCGCAGACGACAGGAT